TGTTGAGTGTATTTGTGTGTGTGTGTGTGTGTGTGTGTGTCTGTCAATGGATCCATGTGTAGCTGTGTGCTCTATGTGTCTGTCTGTATGTATCTATGTCTGTGAGTGCGGGTCTCTATATGTGAGTGTGTAAGTCTGTGTGTTTGTGTGTGTCCGAGTCTATATGTGGGTAATGGAAGTGTGTACTTTTTATTTGTGAGTGAGTGTATGTGAGTGTGTGAGTATATGTGTGAGAGTGTGTGTGTGAGTATATGTGAGTGTGTTTGTGAGTGAGTGAGTTTGTGAGTGAGTGAGTGAGTGTATGTGAGTGTGTGTGTCTGTATGTGAGTGTGTGTCTGTATGTGAGTGTGTGTGTGAGTGTGTGTCTGTATGTGAGTGTGTGTGAGTGTGTGTCTGTATGTGAGTGTGTGAGTGTGTGTCTGTATGTGAGTGTGTGAGTGAGTGTGTGTCTGTATGTGAGTGTGTGAGTGTGTGTCTTATGTGTGTGAGTGAGTGTGTGTCTGTATGTGAGTGTGAGTGAGTGTGTGTCTGTATGTGAGTGTGTGTCTGTATGTGAGTGTGTGAGTGAGTGTGTGTCTGTATGTGAGTGTGTGAGTGAGTGTGTGTCTGTATGTGAGTGTGAGTGAGTGTGTGTCTGTATGTGAGTGTGTGTCTGTATGTGAGTGTGTGAGTGAGTGTGTGTCTGTATGTGAGTGTGTGAGTGAGTGTGTGTCTGTATGTGAGTGTGTGAGTGAGTGTGTGTCTGTGTGTGAGTGTGTGAGTGTGTGTGAGTGAGTGTGTGAGTGAGTGTGTGTCTGTATGTGAGTATGTGTGTGAGTGTGTGTCTGTATGTGAGTGTGTGAGTGAGTGTGAATGTATGTGTAGGGCTGTTTGTTGTCTCTCCGCATTTGTCTATATACATGTGAGTCTCTCTGTATTGTGTGTTAGTCTCTCTCCAGTCCATACCTCTATATATGTGAATATATCTCTGAGTCTCTCTTTTTCTCTCTCTCTGTATGTGAGCGCCACTCCGTTTGTGTGTCTGTGTCGCTCTGTATGTGTGTCTGTGTCGCTCTGTATGTGTGTCTGTGTCTCTCTGTATGTGTGTCTGTGTCGCTCTGTATGTGTGTCTGTGTCACTCTGTATGTAAGTGTGTGTGAGAGTGTCTCTCTGAGTATCTCTCTGTATATGGCTGTGTGTCTCTCTCTGTGTGTGAGTGTGTGTCTCTGAGTGTCTCTGTCTCTCTCTCTCTCTCTGAATGTGTATGTGTGCCTGTGTGTGTGTCTGTCTCTGTGTATGTGTGTGTGTCTGTGTGTCTGTCTCTGTGTATGTATGTGTGTGTGTCTGTGTGTGTGTGTGTGTCTGTCTCTGTGTATGTGTGTCTCTGTGTATTGTGTGTGTCTCTGTGTGTGTGTGTGTCTCTGTGTATGTGTGTGTGTCTGTGTGTGTGTGTGTGTATGTCTGTGTGTGTCGGTATGTGTGTGTGTCTCTCTATGTGTGTATGTGTGTGTGTGTCTCTGTGTATGTGTGTGTGTCTCTGTGTATGTGTGTGTGTCTCTGTGTATGTGTGTGTGTCTGTCTGTGTGTGTGTGTGTGTCTATATATGTGTGTATGTCTCTGTATGTGTGTGTCTCTCTCTGTATGTGTATGTGTGTCTCTGTGTATGTGTGTGTGTGTTTCTGTGTACGTATGTGTCGGTATGTGAGTGTGGATGTGTTTATTGGAATTTCTTTCTGTTTATCATCACTCTATGTAAAGGGATTTCTCTCTATCTCTCTCAATACACTTTTTCTTTCTCTCTCTCTCCCCCTATTCCTATGCTGTTTGCCGGGGACTGGTGTTAGTTACTGACTGATCCTCCCTCACTGGGTAACACAGTGACTGAACGTTTGCAGGGTTTGGCTTATAACAGGGTTGGAGCATTTGACATGGGTTTCTCCCCATCCCATTCCCCCCACCCCGAATATTTTTCGTGGAGTCCTGTAGCTCAGTGGTTAGAGCACTCGCTTCGCAAGCGAGAGACCTGAGTTCAATCCCCGGGGGTCAGGGCCAAACCTTGGGCAAGTTTCCTTACTCCACACAGAGCCTAATAATAATCCTCCAAAACAAACAATAATAAATTGGTCATTTTCAATCTACGACGCTTTGTGGGACATTACTGTGCGCAATTGGCTGCCGCGTTCACCCACAAATATACAGTCACTTCACTTTACAGTGTGTTCTGTGAAGCGCTTTGGGACGTCCTCCCGACGTGAAAAGCGCTATATCAAATGCAAGGATTATTATTATTATTATTATTTATACAGTGACAGACACACATACAGAGAGAGAGAGAGAGAGACACTCACAGAGAGAGAGACACACACACATATATATATATAGGGAAAGAGACACTCAGACAGAGAGACACATATACAAAGAGACACACACACACATACATAGACACAGAGACACACACACACATACATAGACACAGAGAGAGACACACACACATACATAGACACAGAGAGACACATATACACATACATAGACACAGAGAAAGACATACACACATGCAAAGAGACACACACACATAGACACAGAGAGACACATATACACATACATAGACACAGAGAAAGACATACGCACATGCAAAGAGACACACACACATACATAGACACAGAGAGACACATACACACATACATAAGACACAGAAGACACACACACATATAGAGATATACACACATATATAGACACAGAGAGAGACACACACACAAAGAGACACACACATACATAGACACAGAGAGACACATACATATACAGAGAGAGATACATACACACACTTACATAGACAGCGCGAGACACACACAACACATACATAGACACAGAGACACACACACTCAGACAGAGAGACATATACAAAGACAGTGAGGGAGAGATTCAGAATAAATATACAATTTTCCATGTGTAGCTGAGACAGTATATTTCAGGTATTTTCAGCCTTTTGCCTGTCATTTGTCCCTTCGCTTTCGAGTGTCCACCCTCAAACAGCCATGTCCTGGAGGGAGGGGTACTGTGCGAATAAGGACAGAGAGCACTGCTGGAGAGAGGGGGAAGCGAGGCGAAGGGATTTCACCCACAAAACACACGGTCACTCCTGTACACTTTACAGTGTATCCTGTGAAGCGCTTTGAGACGTCTCGACGACGTGATAAGGCGCTGCATCAAATGCGAGGATTATTATTATTATTATTCTCTCGAGACGCGGTCTTTTAAGGGGAGAGCTCCAGACTCCAAGTCACTGTTTAAAGGAGGTCCCGATGGTGAGCCTGAGAGCTCTCTCTCTCTCTCTCTCTCCATCCATTTAAGCTAAACACTCTGGGGAAGCACGAGATTAACAGATGTTGCATTCGCTCCCCCCCACCCCCACCCCCCATGGGCTGGATCATTTAACATTATGGCTCCAAAGGGGACACTCATTCCTTTGAAGTTCACTCGTCGCCACATAATGGGATGTGATGTCTCTTGTCTCCTCCGCTGTTAGAGGCACCAGAAGAGAAGCCGAAACCATACTAGCGGCTCCGGAATAAACCCCCCACCTTCCTCACTCCCTCTCCTCTCTATCCCCCCCACCCCCTCCACACACACCACACACACACACTCACACAAAAACAGACAGAGCAGAACTCCGCTGTGTCAAGATGCTCCATCCTTCAAATGGGACCCATCTGTCTTTAATGTTCAGGTGGATGTTAAAGATCCCATTGGAAAAGGAGAAGGGCTTCCTTAATAATAATAAAAATCCTTGCATTTGATACAGCGCCTTATTACATCTTCGAGACGTTTCAAAGCGCTTCGGAGTGACTTGTCTATTCTGTCGGCAAAACGCGGCATTCAATGGCCCACGGCAGCGTCCCACAAGCAGTCGTGGGTCGAGTGACCAAATTGTTCTTTTTTTTGGAGGGCTTTTTACCCCCAGAAAGCGACCCACCAATCCACTGACAACCGGGTTCCATCTTATTGCTGGGTAAGCAGTGGTGCGCGGAGTAAAAGAACTTGTATAAGGTTTCGCCCTGTCCCGCCTGGGAATCGAACCCGGGTCCTCTCGCTTGCGAGGCGAGCGCTCTAACCACTACTCTACGTGATCTCAATTTCGAAGCCTTTCCGTTTCCCTTGTTTAAGAACCAAGACATTTTCCGCGATCCCCCCGCTCGTCTCAAATTGCGAGACTCAAGTGTTTTTTTTTGCGCCACGTGCTAAAACCAGGGAGAATTCGACGGTCTCCCGGAGTTCGCAAAAAAAAACAGGGGGGTGGGGGGGGGGGAGAGGGTCATTTTTTTCTCGTCCCGAAAGCCCTCAAATCAAAGAAAGTGTTGTTCTTTCTCCTCTTCCGGTTGTCTTTGAGTCTCTGATAAAGTGCGACGAGTCTCCCACCTGGTTGGTGCTTAGGAGAAAGTTTAGACGCCGAGTCGAGCGGTGCTCTCTTGCGCCTCCCCGTGGTCAGTTCGTGACACCGCGCTTGCAATTCGGATCCCAATCTCCCCCCCCCCCCTCAACAGCGAGCGAGAGGACCCGGGTTCGATTCCCGGGCGGGACGAAACCATAGGCACGTCTCCTCGCTCCACACGCCTCTGTTTACCCCTCAGTAAGTAGGAACCCGGTTGGTAGTCGATTGATGGATTGTTTTTCTGGGGTTAATAATCCGTCCAAAGGAATAATAATAATAATAATAATTGGGTCTCTCAATCCACGAGTGTTTGTGGGACACTGACTGCTGCGCGCAAATTGGCTGCCGTATTTGGACCACAAAATACACGGTCACTCCACGTTACGGTATATGCTGCGAAGCGCTTTTTAGACGTCTCAGCGATGTCTAAACAGAGCCGTGTGGAGTGAGGAAACTTGCCTAAGGTCTCGCTCTGCTGGGAGTCGAACCCGGGTCCTCTCGCTTTGCGAGGCGAGTGCTCGAACCGCTACACGACGGGACTCCACAACGGGGCTGTGCCGTGGGAGACTCTCTGATGATGCTCTTCCCTCCGCAGGTGAAAAGCCACATGATCTCGAGGTCCACTCAGGGCCCGGACACCACGCAGACGGGTCACAAGCTGAGGAGTTGGCGAGCCAGCGGGCAGCACGTCCGTCGCAGGCACAAGCGCAGGTGGTCCCAGCAGAGACCCTGGGCCGTGCAGACACAGGCCAAGCTCAGCTCCACTGCAGAGGACACCAAACCCTTCATCCTCGATCTCAAGAACCTCCCCAACCTGGCCACCGCCGACCTCAACGCTCAGAACCCCAACATTCAGGTACGGGGGAGGGGAGGGGTGGTGTGGGGGTAATGTAGGGGGGGGGAGAAATGGGGGAAGGTGGGGAAATGGTGGGTGTGGGAGTGGGAGGTAATGGGGTGTGTGTAGGGGGGAAGAAATGGAGAGAAGGGACGTAGGGGCTAATAGTATCTGTGTGTAGGGGCAGTAATGGTGTATGTGGTGGTGGGGGGGGTGGAGGGGGGCGATAATGGGGGAGGGGTGTCCCGGGGGTAATGGGGTGTATGTGGTGGGGGTAATGGGGAGGTGGGGGAGGGACATTGGTCACAGATTCCTTTCACATCACTCGTTTGCTTCCCGGGAGCGGTGCTGTGGGCAAATTGGCTGCTGCGTTAACCCTTCGATCGTCCAGATCCAAGGTTTCCCTCCTCCTAAACTGTTCCCAGATCCCAACCAAACTCCCCTGTTTGTAGTCAGTGAGTTTGAAACAGCACATCCATCATTCCGGGGAGAAGGTTTATCTCAACCGGTAACAGGATTGACAGGCTGATAACCTTCTATCATCCACTTCTTCACCTCCGCTCACCCCTCACCCCATAATTATTCCCCTGAGTCCCTGTCAGTGGCTCCCCCCACTTTCTAAACGCCTTTAAAACCACTCGGGACACAAAATTCCACCCAGCCTTAGCCCCCGTCGGTGTTCCTTTTCTCTCATGTCTTTAAAAATGCCATAATCGTGGGAAAATCCTAATGTTGTAAACAGTCCTCGCTTCCGAATCCTTAAATCCCGAGCCAGGTCGATCTGCAGTATTCCAGGGCACGGCCGATGACAGCGCAGCTCAGTCTGGCTCATCGGCAGGACCTGGAAGGGCAGACCAGTCACTGAGGGCAGGGAATCCTCCCACTCCGCTCCTGTTAACCCTGCAGCCAAAATGGTAGAGTGATCCTCGCTGGACAAGCAGCGGGAAAGCTTGCCGGGCAGCAATATCAATGGCAATCAATGTGGTTTTAGCCGGTTGGACTCCAACAGTTACCCCAACACACACTCTGGGGTTCCCCCCAAGCCTCGGCTCTTGCCAACCTGCGCCTAATACTCTCTGGAATTAAGTAAGCGGGATGCGTCCCTCCAGGGAGAGAGAGAGAGAGAGTGCGCATTCCACTCCAATAATCTATCTCTGGGATTTCTATGTGTAGGTGGGAGGAGGGGAATTCTCCGCTCGGTTTGGATGTTCTTAAGCTCGGTCTCCGTGGGTTTCCGCTCGTGTCAGACACACGGCTGACCAAAAACAATTGTGTATTAAATCCAGCGCCTCCTACAGGATAATAATAATAATCCTTGCATTTGATATAGCGCTTTTCACGTCTTCTCGAAGTCTCAAAGCGCTTCACAGAATAGACTGTAAAGTGAATTGACTGTATATTTGTGGGCGAACGCGGCAGCCAATTGTGCACAGCAATGTCCCACAAACAGTCGTGGATTGAAAATGACCAATTTATTATTGTTTGGTTTTGGAGGGATTATTATTAGGCTCTGTGTGGAGTAAGGAAACTTGCCCAAGGTTTGGCCCTGACCCCCCCGGGGATTGATCTCAGGTCTCTCGCTTGCAAAGCGAGTGCTCTAACCACTGAGCTACAGGATTTCCATAGGTATGGAAGAACAGTGTTGTGCACAGAGGATCCTACAGCACAGAAGGAGGCCATTCGGCCCGTCGTAGATGGGCTGGCTCTTTGAAAGAGCCACAAATAATCCCGCTCCCCCGCTCTTACTCCAGAGCCCTGCACATTTTTCCTTTTTAAGTACCTATTAAAAATTCCCAATTGGGCGCAGTGCGGTCCCACAAACAGTCGTGGATTTATAATTTTTTTTAAAAAAGGGATTATTGCCCCCAGGAAAGCGATCGACTAACAACCGAGTTCCTGGGTAAACAGAGGAGTAATGAAACCTGCCTAAAGTTTGGCCCCCCCGCCCGGGAATCGAACCCTGGTCCTCTCGCTTGCGAGGCGAGTGTTGTCACCGCTACGCTATAGGATCTCGATTTCAAAGCCCGTTTCTCTTTTAAGAATCAAGACTGTTTTCCACGATTCCTCACCAATCCCACCCTTCAAGACTCAAACGACGATAACAAATTGCATTTGCAAAGCGGCTTCCACATCTGGAGGTCGTCCCAAACCCTGGAACAGTCAGAGAAGAGGGGGGAGAGGGGTGGGTGGGGATGCGAGGAGGACAGACGTTTCCCCCGTTGCTTCTGATGGTCTTGAACCTGTGGCCCCTCAGGTGACGATCGAGGTGGTGGACAGCCCTCAGGCGGAGGTGGAGATGGACCTGCTGAAGGGGCAGAGGAACGACTGGTCGCTGAGTGCTGACGAGTGGCTGGCTCACAAGGACATCTTCTGGCCGCTCTTCTGGGAGTACCCTGACTCCAGCGAGCTGGGCAGCCTGGAGGCCTCCAGCACCGGCCTGGGCGGGGGCGGGGGAGTGGGAGGGGGCGAGGAGGAGGAGGAGGATTACCCCAGGGAGTACGAGGGGGAAGACACGCTGCTCGCTACACTGGACGGGGTGTGGGACCGTGGTTGGCCTCTACAGAACAGCTGGAGCTCCAAAGAGAAGTACCACTATGGTGAGACTTAATAATAATAATACAATAATAATAATATTAATAATAATAATGTAATAATAATCCTTGCATTTGACACAGCGCCTTATCACCTCGTCGAGACGTCCCAAAGCGCTTCACAGGATACACTGTAAAGTGTAGTGACTGTGTATTAACGCGGCAGCCAGTCTGCACATAGCAACATCCTGCAAACAGCTGTTGAGTGAGCGAGCGACTGACCGACCGACCGACCAGTTTTATTTGGGTGACTGTTGGCCAGGACACTGAGGCCGGGACACACAGCTGTCAGCGGTTCTCAGGCTCAGGGGGTAACACCCAGTGTCTGAGGGTGTGAAAGCACAAGAGGGGAGAGTGGTCAGTGTGCGTGAGCGAGTTGGCTCGGCTCGGAGTTTACACCCTTTTAAAGAGAGAGAGAGAGAGAGAGCGTTCATCCTTCCCGATTCTCCGCCAGGTTCCCACTGTTTCACAGGGTACATAGCGTCCATGTGAGTGTGTATATGGGTGTGTGTGTGTGTGTGAGTGAGTGTGAGTGAGTGCGTGTGAGTGTGTGTGTGTGAGTGTGTGTGAGTGTATGTGAGTGTGTGTGTGTGAGTGTATGTGAGTGTATGTGAGTGCGTGTGTGAGTGAGTGTGTGTGTGTGAGTGTATGTGAGTGCGTGTGTGTGTGTGTGAGTGTGCGTGTGAGTGCGTGTGTGTGTGTGAGTGTGTGTGTGAGTGAGTGTGTGTGTGTGAGTGTATTTGAGTGCGTGTGTGTGTGTGTGTGAGTGTGGGTGCCGGTCGCTTGACTCACCCCGGATCCAGAGCAGCAGGAACCCAGAACATAGGAGCAGGAGTAGGCCATTCAGCCCCTTCAAGCCTGCTCCGCCATAATAATAATAATAATAATCGTTGCATTTGATATAGCGCTTTTCACGTCGGGAGGACATCCCAAAGCGCTTCACAGAACACACTGTAAAGTGAATTGACTGTATATTTGTGGGCGAACGCGGCAGCCAATTGCACACAGCAATGTCCCACAAACAGTCGTAGAATGAAAATGACCAATTTAATTATTGTTTTTTTTTGGAGGGATTATTATTAGGCTCTGTGTGGAGTAAGGAAACTTGCCCAAGGTTTGGCCCTGACCCCCCGGGGATTGAACTCAGGTCTCTCACTTGCAAAGCGAGTGCTCTAACCACTGAGCTACAGGACTCCACCATTCGGGTTTAGTGTGTAATTTGCCTGTGACACAGTGACTGACGCCCGCGTCCCGTCCCCCCCCACCCCACCCCCAACCCCCACCCCCCCCACCCCCCCCAACCCCCCCCGCTGACGTTACAGAGTACGAGGATGATGAGGAGTGGAGCGTGTGGTCTCCCTGCACCGTCACCTGTGGCTCCGGGAACCAGAAGCGCACCAGGAGCTGTGGTTACGCCTGTACAGCCACCGAGTCCCGCACCTGCGACCACAGACGCTGCCTTGGTGAGTGCGGCGACACTGGTTACACGGGTAACACTGGGGGCGAGGTGGGGGGGGGGGGTGGGGGGGTGTGGGAGAGGGAAGGGTGATGGGGGGAAGGAGAGAGGGAAGGGAGAGGGGATGGGGAGAGGAGGAATGGGGAGGGAGTGGGGAGGAAGGAGGAGAGGGGAGGAGGGTGATGGGGGGGAGAGGAGGGGAGGGGGAGGGAGAGGGGAGGAGGGGGAGGGAGAGGAGAGGGTGATGGGGGGAAGGGGAGGAGGGAAGGGGGGAAGGAGAGGGGATGGGGAGAGTAGGAAGGGGGAGGGAGGGAGAGGGGGGATAGGGGAGGAGGGAGAGGGTGATGGAGGGAAGGGGAGGGGGAGGGAGAGGGGAGCAGGTCGTCTGACAGTGTCACTTCTTTCATCCCGTCTTTTTTCTCTCTCTCTGTCTGAAGGGATGGAGGAGGGTGTGACAGAGAAGACGTTGGGGGAGAAGGAAAACGGGACAGAATTATTTGACTCTGGTGAGCATAACGACAGCAACAACAACAATAATCCTCACATTTGATCCAGCGCCTCATCACGTCTTCGAGACGCCTCAAAGCGCTTCCCGGGATACACTGTAAAGCGTAGTGACTGCGTATTTTGTGGGCGAAACGCGGCAGTGAATTGTGCTCAGCGACGTCCGGGAATTTGAGTGACCAAATTATTATATCGCCTGAGGTGTCGTCTCAAGACCTTCCGCTTTGACCCTGGCCTTCGTCCACACACCCACCCCAGTGTGTGGATGCATAAGGGGGGTGGGTGGGGGGGTATGGGGGGGGCGGGCAGGAGTGATCCTGCTCCACCTGCCATCTTGATCCCAACCCCCAGCTCGGTTGCCACCCCTTCACTGTCCAACGCCTTGGGACGTCCTCCCAAATATTCAGGCCCACTTCACTACACTTTCCAGTATATCCCATGAAGCGCTTCGAGATTTGGCGAAGGCGTTATTATTATTAAGCCGCTGCCCTCTTGCCCTGACAGATGTGGACAGATGTGAGAAGCAGCTGTTATTATTGTTATCATCCCTCAGTCCCTCCTCCTCGCCCCCCTCCCTCAAGACCCGTCTCAAGACCCTCCTCTTCGACCGCGCCTTCGGTCACTCACCTACCCCCATCCCCGCCCACCCCCTCCCTCCCTCCCTGCCCTCCACCCCTCCTCGATCCCAACCCATCGGCTCGGGTCCCTGACCCCCCCCAGTGCCTTGGGACGTCCTCCCGACGTGCCAGGCAGGCGCTGGGTCAAACGAAACGAGTTGTCGTGGCGGTGGCGGCGGTGGTGGTGTCTGTTATCGCCGCTGTGGTTTCTCTCCGATCCTGACAGACGTGGACAGCTGCGAGAAGTGGCTGAACTGCAAGAGCGACTTCCTGAAGAAGTACGTGCTGAAGGCGCTGACGGACTTGCCCAGCTGCCCGTGCCACTACCCGAGCGAGGCCGTGTACAGCATCGTCAGCGTGCAGGAGGCCGGCCGGGACCGGGCATACCGGTGGAGGGACGCCAGCGGCCCCAAGGAACGGCTGGACATCTACAAGCCCAGCTCCAAGTCCTGCATCCGCTCCATGCTCTCCCTGGACAGCGCCACGTTGGCCGCGCAGCACTGCTGCTACGACGCCCGCCTCCGGCTCATCACCCGGGGCCGGGGGGCCGGAGCCCCCAACCTCATCAGCACCGAGTTCTCCCCCGAGCTCCACTACAAGGTGGACGTGCTGCCCTGGATACTGTGCAAGGGCGACTGGAGCCGCTACAACGCCGTGCGGCCCCCCAACAACGGGCTGGCCTGCTCGGACAATCCTTCGGAGGAGGACTTCATGGCTCAGTTGAGGGAGGCGAAGGAGTTTTAAAGGGGTGGCGTGTCGTGGGGGGCGGTAAGGGCGGAGGGCAGGGGGGGCGGTACGGGGGGAAATGGGGAGTTGACCCCCACCCTTCCTCCCACCACCACCTCCCTCCCCCCTTCTCTCGGAACACAGAGACTCTCGAAGCATTGAGTGATTACGGATAAACTGCTATCCTGACAGATTATATATAAATATATAGAGAATATCTTGTCTATGTCATCCACCCCCCCCCCCCCGCGCCCCTCATTCCTCCCCTCTCCCCGCCTCCCCCCCTCCTTCCCCCTTCCTCTGTTTTCCCTGGTGTATTTTATCTTATTTATAACTGATGCAGTGACCTCTCCGGGTTTCACGGTCACTTCGCCGGCTTTATAGTGGTTCAGGTTCCCTGCCCACCCCCCACCCCCAGTGATCGTAATAATAATAATAATAATAGTAATCCTCGCATTTGATGCAGCGCCTTATCACGTCTTCGAGACGTCTCAAAGCGCTTCGCGGGAATATACCTTAAAGTAAATCGACTGCGTTTTTGTGGGCGAAATCCTCGCTTGTGATAACAGAGCCTTTCGTGTCGAGAGGACGTCTCAAAGCATTTCGCAGGGCTTCACAGTGAAGTGTAGTGACTGTGCGCTTGTGCAAGGAGAACTCGGCAGCATATTTGCGCACAGCGACACCTTCCCATGAACAGCCGTGAAACGGAAGGGGAATGATTTTATCGGGTTGGGGGTGGGGGTGGGAGGGGGGTTTGTCAGCCAGGACATTGCAGGGCGGGAGGGAGGGGAGGGAGAGAGAGAGAGACTCCGCCGTCTTTTCAAACAGCGCCGCAAGAACTCCGAGCTGCAGTGGAGAAAGAGTGGGTGGGTGCGAGGGGTGGAGGGGGGGAGGGGAGAGGAAGAATTATGATAATAATAATCCTTGCGTTTGATATAGTGACTTATCACGTCGCGACATCTCAATCTTATCGAGACGTCGTCAAAGTGCTTCACGGAATATACTGTCAAGTGCAGTGACTGTGTATTTTGTGGGCGAATCGCGCAGCCGATTGCAGACAGCAGCGCCCCGCAAACAGTCGTGACCAAATTATTATATTATTTTTATTGCTTTCGAAGGAATTGTTGCATTTCAAATTGAATGGGGTAGAGCGAGGGGTAGAGGGGGAGGGAGGTGTGGTGGGGCGAGGGGGGAATGGGGAATTGGGTGTAGGGAAAGAGCGGGGTGGGGGGGGGGGGGGTGGCGGGGAGGGGGGAGTGGAGCATTTTCAGTCCACGTAATGTCTGGAGCCAACTTTGTCGCTCTGGGATTGACCCGCACTTTCATTTGACGTTTCCTTTCCAGAGTTTTCCTGTGTCAGCAAATAGAAAAAAATTCTTGTATGTAACGTAGGGGAAACCGATAGCGTGACGTAATCTGGTAATTGTGATTTCCTTGGCCTTCTTGTTGTTGTCGTTCTTGTACAGTATTTATTGTCTGTGTGTTTTGAATGCGTCAGAAGACTGCGAAACAATTCAAACACGGAGGTGGGCTATTGAGAGACGCCTTTGTCGCTGAAAGGGATTTCCGTGTCGTTTAATCCCACGTTTTGTCTTTGAATAAAAACTTATTACCGGAAAATATTGGTTCGCTTTTGCTTTTCGGCCTGACGTGGTGTGACTTTGGCCCTCGGTGGGTGGGTTTTCAGTCTGTATTCTCTCTGTTCCCACCCCCCCCCCCCAACCCCGCGCGCTCTGAAACTCTCGTAGAGTGCTGTAGTGTAGTGGTTAGTGCGCTCGGATACCGGGGGTAATAATCCCCCCACAAAAAAGTCACTTAATCCACGACTGTTTGTGGGGCCCTGCCTGCCGTGTTTCACCCCCACGTTGTACACTCTACAGTATATTCTGTTGAAACGCTTTGAGATGTTTTAACGACGTGATAAGTCGCTGAATCAAATGCAAGGATTAACCCCGTATTCCTGTGTCCCCCCCCCAATTCTCACCCTCTCTCCATGCAAGACCCGTCTCGAGACCTGCCTCAATTTGACTGCGGTTTCAGACGTCTTCCCATTCCCCCCCACCCTCCCCCTCCCCCTCCACGTCTTACCCAACCCTCACTCAACCCTCTCCCAAAGGCCCTGGACAGTCAGGGATTTGGACCCGAGCTGGCGGTTGAGATCAGGAGAGGTGTGGGTGGAGGGCAGGGAGGGTGGGGGGGGGGAGGTAGGAGGGTGATCGAAGGCGCGGTCGAAAGAGAAGGGTTTTGAGGCGTGCCTGAAGGAGGTGAGGGACAGGGAGAGGGCCAAAGTCGAGGGCGAGTCGGTGGGACTGTGGGATGGAGTTCCAGAGGGTGGGGGCAGAGAGGCTTTGATCTGGGGTGGGGGTGGGGGTGGGGGGTGTTTGTGCTGTGAGATCACAGTGAAGCTCTCACAACATCTGGCTGCAGTTAGGGTTTGTGAGCGCAAACCACACTGACTGGCCCCGGCCACGCAATTGCTCACATGTGTTCAGGTCCTTTGAAGATGTTACGATCGAGCGTGTCCGATGTGAGTGCGTGTGCGTATTTGTTTGGGCTTGTGTATATTTGTGTGTATGCGCGTGTACATTGGTGCGTGTGAGTGTATTTGTGTGTGTGTGGGTATATTTGGTTATGTATGAGTGTATTTGTGTGTGTGTGTATCTGTGTGTGTGTATGTGTGTGTGTGTGTGTGTATATATGTGTGTGGATTGTCCACGCTTCACCCACACACTGAGAGGACACACTTCACTGCTCCAGCACATCAGAGCATCATTAATGCATAAGCGGCTGAGACAAGAGAGTGGAGCCAGACAGATGTTAGCAGGTTAGGGTCCCCACGAGAGCGCGCGAGAGAGAGAGAGTGAGAGCGAGAGAGAGATAGAAAGAGAGTGCGTTGTGATCAGACCAGAAGTGACACACAATCGGGTCCATTTTCCCAAAGGACACGGCTGCCGGGTGGCTGTCGGAGTCAGCACGTCGCCAAGTTGTTCGACTTCAGCTGCTGCGACTCCCCGACATCCCTCGAATCCCAGGCCTCGGGTTCAGGCTCGTGGTCAATGACCCTTCCATTCAAGGGCTTAAACCTCGGGAGTCTCTCTCCGTAGTGTAGTGGTGAGAGCGCTCACCTCGCAAGCGAGAGGACCTGAGTTCGATTCCCGGCCGGGAAGAAACCGCAGGCAAATTCTGGGTGGGTGAATGTGTATATAAATATATAAATGTTATAAATGATAAAGTTATAAGTTTCCTTACTCCACACACCTCTGTTTACCGAGCAGTAAGTAGCAACGCAGTTGTTAGCGGATCGGTTTCCGGGGCTAATAATTCCCCCTCCCCCAAAATAACAATAATTTGATCACTCGACCCACGACTGTTTGTGTGGGGACACTGCTGTGCGCAATTGGCTGCTGCGTTTCGCCCACAAAATCCACTTTACGATATATTTGAGACGTCTCAACGATACAAGGCGCTCGAATAATGATCATACTAAAACAACAACGACTTGCAGCGATGCGGCTTAATAACAATAATCCTTGGACTCGATCCAGCGCCTTAATCGCGCCATTGAGACGTCTTAAAGCGCTTGAGGTGTCTCAAAGCGCTTTGTCAAATGCGAGGAATATTATTATTATTAAACATAGCAGCGAGCGAGCGAGTGAGTGAGCGAGTCAGTGAGCGAACGAGCGAGCGAATGAGTGTGCCTCTCCTCTCCTGGGCTGGTGAGGGGACGGGGGCAGCAGCTGCCGGTGACCACTTGAGCGGAGACGTAGTTAAGTGTCCGAGAGACAGGGAGAGCTCAGCGCCGGCAACACACAATTGGAAACTAATTGGCCCTTAAGTCAATCGATCAGAAAACAATTCACTGCGAAAAGGCCTCTGTCTCAATGTCATCGCTGCTGCCACGTGTGTCCACTGGAGGACATCTGGAGGTGCGATGAAGGAACGTTCGATTCTGCTCCTGTCGGGGTAGAATAGACTAATAATAATAATCCTTGGACTCGATCCAGCGCCTTAATCGCGCCATTGAGGCGTCTTAAAGCGCTTCACAGGATACACTGTAAAGTGAATTGACTGTAAAGTGAATTCACTCACTCCCTCATTCGCTCGCTGCTATGTTTAATAATAATAATATTCCTTGCATTATTAGCCCCGGAAAGCGACCGGCTAATCCGCTAACGTACTGCGCAGTAAACAGAGGGCGTATTTGTGGGCGAAACCCGGCAGCCAATTGCGCACAGCAGCGTCCCCACAAACAGTCGTGGATTGAAGTGACCAAATTATTGTTATTTTTTTTAAACTTTTAGCTGTTAAGCTTTAAACTCCTAAACACATCTGTGGTTGTAGGTTTGACGATTGTGTGCGTGCGCTTTTTTTTTACCCCCAACAACCATTTTGGGAGGGATTGTAATGCATAACTCATTAATCCATTCAGCCAACCCTCCCTCCTCGTTCTCTCCTCTCCTGTCTCTGAAGTGAATCTTGCTCCGTCACTGTAACATCCCTGGTTTGAGTAGCGGGTCAATGCGTTCGGAGGGTGGGGAATTGGGTGGGTGGTGGGGGGGGGGGGTTTGGGTGGAAGTCACAGACAGACATACCTATCGGGAGCTCTCTCACAGCAAGAGCGCAGACTGCTTGGAGCAGGAGATGAATGAATAATAGCACTGACAATATCCCAGCGACTGCGTCAGCAACATCAATGCACCTTCAAAGTGGGGGGGGGGGGGGGGGGGTGGGCTGGAGGGAGGAAGGTGGTCAAAAGTCCGGTTGGAAAGGTAGCTCTTAATAATAATAATAATAATAATAATTATCCTTGCATTTGTGATGCCGCAATGTGCTTCGCGGGACACACTGCACTGTGTTTTGTGGGTGAGACACTTCAACCGATTTACACACAGCAGTGTCCCACAAACAGTCACGAAACGAGTGACCGATTTTATTTCGGGGGGGGGAGGGGGAAATGGTGGGGGCATTTGTTGGTCAAGGACAAGGGGAAAAAAAACTTAAGACACATTTCGGAAGCTGGAAGGGAGGGGGCCGGGATAGACGGACCCCAGGAAGGAGCTTCAGAATTCAAGGTGGGGGGGGTGGGGGTGGGGTGGGGGGGTAACTGGGAGGGAGGTTGATTTCAAATGAATTAATCAGGCGAAATTGTCACCCGTTGATTTAACGGGAGCCGACGCTCACACCGGGACAGCTAAGGCATATTTCCACCCACGTTTATCTTCCTTCCGTGCAAATGCAAAGGAGGTTTGTACCATCTGGTGGTAGAGGATGGAAACTGCAGAGGTGCGTTGCATTTCACCCCAAAAACGCTCCCGGACCACAAGCATCGAACTCGGTTAAAAACGAAACAATTAACGTTAAGGAAGAAGGACGCTATTAGCATTTGGACATTTTCATCAGAACCCGTACTGTCTTTTTTTTTTCGGTCAGCAGCGGCCGTGTGTCTGGAAACCCATCACCAGGCTTAAGAGTACCCAACCAAGCTGAGATTTCCATGTGTCCCACTTGCCCATGGAAATCACGGAGACTGTCGCAATGGAAGCACGCGCTCTCTTTCTCTCTCTCTCTCTCTCTCCCTGGAGGGACACTTACCTAATTCCGGAAAGTATGAGGCGCAGGTTGGCAAGAGTCGAGGCTTGGGGCATCCCAGAGTGTGTGTTGGGGTAACTGCTGGAGTCTAACCAGCTGCAACCACACCGATTGCCGTTGACTACCACAGAGGGTTGGCTCAATTCCGACATTCTGTTGCCAAACATGTCACCTTGGAGCCAGTTCAGCTCCAGGGAGAACCCGCTTATCTCTTCAACCTTAACCACCTGCCCCCTCCCTTGCCTCCAATCCAGAGTTAACCTTGCGCCTGTCCAGCACGACAACACGTTACCGTATGTGAGTGGGCGCTGTTTCAGGACGTCTGCAGGGCATCATTCAGAACTCTGCCGCCCGCAGACTGAACCAGACCAAACCCCGTACCCACATCTCACCGGTCCTGGCCCAGTGCTCCACTGGCTCCCCAATCACCGAACGGATCGACTTCCAAGACCCTCACACTCGTGTTCAAATCCCTGCACTCTCTGGCACCTCCCGACCTTCTCACTCCCCAATCCACCACCTCTGGCACCGGCTTCTTGCTCACCCCTCGCACCCTCCGCCTCACCACCAGAGGTTGTGCTTTCAGCCACTATACTCCGAAAACGCTCTCCCTCAATCCCTCCACCCTTGCCCCCTTTTGCCTTTTTAAGTCCTGCCTGGAAGACTTCTTCTTCGACCGTGCTCACGGCCACCTCCGTCCCCCACCCCCCAGCTCGGAGTCAGGCTCTGCCACCGTTAAGTCTCTCAGACGCTGCCCTGTGTAGAGGGCGCTATATAAGTGCAAGTTGATGTTGCTTAAAGCAAGTAATACATCCAACGTGAGGATCATTACCATTAATTATCACGTGCGGCAGCCTAGCAGTGAGTCAGCTCTCACCTCTGAGTCAGAAGGTTGTGCGCTCAAGCCCGTCAGGACTTGGAATCGCACAGTCTAAGCTGAAACTCCAATGCAGCGCTGGGGTGTGTGTGTGTGTGTGTGTTGCATTGTCGGAAATGCCATCCTTCAGATGAGACGTTAAATCCAAGGTTCTGGCTGCCTGTTCCAATGGATGTTAAGGATCTCATGGCTCAATTCGAAAAGAGAGCGAGTTTCTGGTGTCCTGGCTACAAACCCAAATAAAATCCATCACTCACTCCATGGCTGTTTGTGGGACACTGCTGTGCACAACTGGGTACCGTACTGCACCCACAAAATACACACTTTACAGTATATCCTGTGAAACACTTTGAGACGTCCCAACAACGTGAAAGGCCCACAAAATATAATAATCCTTGCATTTGATCTAGCGCTCTTCACATCTTCTAGACGTCTCAAAGCGCTTCACAGAACATACTATAAAGTGAATTGACTATATTTATGGGTGAAACGCGGCAGCCAATTGTGCACAGCAATGTCCCACAAACAGTCGTGGATTGAAAATGACCAATTTATTATTGTTTTTTGTTTTGGAGGGATTATTATCAGGCGTGTGGAGTAAGGAAACTTGCCCAAGGAGTGCCCTGCCGGGACTCGAACCCAGGTCTCCTGCTTGCGAGGCGAGTGCTCTAACCTCTGAGCTACAGGACTTCCAACATCAGTATACATCAATTCATTTTACAGTATATTCTGTGAGGCTCTTTGAAATGTCTCGAAGACGTGATAAGGTGCTATATCAAATGCAAGGATTAATATTATGGCGCGATATCAAACTCTAGGATGTACTATTAATTTATCATTATTATTAATACATAAATCAGCATAGTTTTTGTGAAAGAACCACACGGGGCACTGCTTGAATTCAGTGCTGCATTTTTATTTGTTTTTAAATGAAGAAATACATCTCTATACAAAATAGCTTCTGAAAATTACTAGTGTACAGACACTATGAAAAAAAACAGAACTCCATCTGTGAGGCACAGAGTACAGTTTGCGAAAGCAACAGTTAAATCGTAAGGTAGGGAAAACTACGAGATGAATCCGTCAACAATCAAAAAAAAAGATTTGTTTTAAAAAGTTTAGCACTCTACGTGGCAAACACCAGGCGCATTCACGAGAAACCTTATTTTTTCTTTATTCGACCCCCCCCCCACCCACTCCCCAACTGTCGCTCGTCCAGAAATAACCGATCCAACCAGTCTGTCACAGATTCATTTTCACATTTAAGTTAAGCCGAGAGACGGAACAATAAATAGTGAAGTGAAAGATAATGTTGTTTCCCCCCCCACCCGCCCCACCCTCCCCCTTCCCCCATGTTAAAACTAACACAGATACAGTAAAAGTTCAGTAACGATCCCTTATTATTGGGAAGCGGTCAGTCTTGAGCACCCATTTCTTTCACGAGGGAAGGCCGGGGGCGTGTGGCGGGGAGGGAGGGGAGAGAGAAAGAGAGAGGCGAGTGCCCTGTAGTAAGTTGGTAGTTGCTGCTTTGTATAGTCACCGCTCTTAGCCAGTGAATGAACAGATCTGACATTTGATTAGTAGGTTAATTTTTGATTAACAAAAGGCAAGGCCTTCGTTAAACATAGCTGACTAAACACGAGTCGTGTAACCCCCACCCCCAAAAAGCATACCGCAGTAACACTGTACAACTTACTATTTGCTGCGCTTCAAGGGATCGAATTAAGTGGAATTGAATGAACCAATTTCGCAGTCGGTCACGAACTGCAATGCCATTTGCAGGGCGGGTTGAAGGCAAACCGAGCCAGGATGAGTGAGCGCTTGGCTGAGCAACGTGGCATTAAATAAAAAGAGGATAAAGTAACTTAGTTTGCCTAGGAGTTGCGTCTTTTAAAAGGTTTCTACTGTACATCAATGCGGCCGAACAAGAGAAATAAAGGTCATAAAATCCATCACATGCGGACAACTGGAGAAAGTAGGTTTGCTTGGTAAATACTGACCATACGAAGCAACATGTGAATTGTGGTCCTCAGACACCAAGCGTTCTGTATGCTCTTTACAAGACCAGGTGATGGTGGCAGTAAAAGCGCCAATAAAAGAATGTTCTGGTCAGTAAGCTGCATCCTCTCTTAGGTTCTTGGTAAATGGACAGGGTTCCCTCCCCTGCCCCACACAACCCCGACCCCCCAGCCCCCCCCCCCCTCTCCCATCCGATTTCTTAAGCATCAGCAAAATGGTTTGAGGGAATCTGCAACCGTTTTAAACGTCACCTGGCAAAAGAAAAGTGGATTTGGTGCACGCACGGCCCCAAAGAAGCGCAGGGCGAGACGTGCCAATACCACAGTGTTTGCTGCAACCTGTCATACAAGTGTATTGCGTGAGATTAGACAACATACATCTCATTCCTCCTACGTAAATGCAATGCAGGTGATGCACTGGCTCTACTACACACATGCAACATAGACGCGATAGTTTTGTGGTTGTTTGTGCCCAAGCTTGCTTTCCCTCTCATGCTCTTGCGCCAAATTCTAGTTGTACAGCAGTTAGCGTGACTAAAAACGAGCTGTCCTGTTTTAACTGTGGCCTTTGATATCGGCACCTGAGGTTCTCACCTGCCTGCTTAACATCTACACTAGCTACCAATATGGGAACGACTAATGTTCTCATGGCTGGTTCTCAATGACATCCCTGATCTGGGGTTGTGTGGGAGGGAGGGGAGATCTTCTGTCGAAACAAGAGCACACAGGTTGGCTACATGGTCTGAACGGTAAACTGTGCGTCGATTCCTCCCGGGGTGGGGGGCTGGGTATCTAACACGCAGGCTTGCTCCAGCCAGGTGGAGGAAAAACAATTCTCTATTGAAGCTCACATGTTCAAAACGAATGGGAGAGACGTCATAAAGTGTCAGAAGCTTTGGAGAGGTACATTTGCAGGCATTTCGGACTTCAGACCACGACCGAATGGATAGTGACTAAACAGTTTAAAATGAACCCAAATTAAAAGTATTATTCTTTTTTTAAATAAGAAGAATAGCGCCCTAGATAAGACAGACGCCTCCGTGGTGACTGGCCATTTAGAGCCAGGGACACTGTTTGCGCGTCACGTTTCGCTAAACAGCTGAAAGACTATTTGCGTGCACCATTGCAAGTCTACGTTGCTGACAGACGACAGACACAGATACGGCCTCGGGTCACAGAGAAAATCCTCAAACGTCGTTTAACAAAAATGTAATTTAAGAATCTTCGGAATTTGACCTTCCTCGCTCTCCCCTCCCTTTCCCCCTTCCCCGCTTGTAGAAGCTAACCCCAATTTCCGATTTAGCACCAATTGGCTTTCAGACGAAAGAAAAGGTTATGGTTAATCAGAGCGCTCCAACCCTTTGGCTGCCGAGGGCCGGATGTCCTCTTCGAGAAACATCCGGGGGCCACATGAGCAATATTTCTGTGTTTCCCTTCCAGAAACATCACATAACATTTACGCGTTATGGAGGGAGCAGGTGGGCCAGATGAAATGGGGTGGGGGGAAGGGGATGAAGTCAGCTCTCGTTGCCCACCTACAGCAAATTGTCCTTGCAACATTTGCTACACAAGCTCGTGCTGAACTTATCAGAAATATATGCCAAAATTTGAGTGACGGTAAGCACCTACGCAACCAGCCTTTCTTTCTTGTGTGTGGATGTGAATGCATTAAGCAGAGTTACAAACCTTTTAACATGCCTTCACAGAAACTATATTCCCCAACCCCGCCCCCAGCCCCCCACACACGCAGTAAAAAAAAAATCTGTCTCGCTTCGCTCTATGTTTTGGGATATGTGATTAAAACAGGCCGTTTGAAATGTTGGTCATATTCAGTGAGTCGTTCAATTTTACAGAACGTGCTTGGAAATTCTCCATGCATCTCCGAGGGGAGGGGTTTAAAAGCGACGACAGACAAGTGTCTGGAAGAGCACAGCCTGTGGTTTTCTTTTTAAACGCAGCGATCCAAGGTAGGATTTTGCAAAACCAGGAACAATTTAAGAGTTATTTGCTTGCACACTCAGAACTATTACCATTGCAACAAGAGTGGTCATACCCACTCGCTCTGGCTAAAATGGCTTCATGTAGAGACCGGCACAAGATTAGTCAAGCTTTTTTCCCCCCCGTGTCATCTGTAAGGTGGAGGGCTGTCCTGGCTACAACACCACAGCCTTTATTTGGAAGCTCTCCAGCTGTTGCACTTGCCACCCGAGCCATGCAGAGATTTACAGTATGTTTTCTCTTGGGCCAAGGGAAGACAAGCAGTGTGGAGCTTGTAGTGGTGGATGGGGGGGGGGGGGGAAATAAGAGGAGTGTGCGTGCGCGCGTGTGTGTGTGTTCCATCCAACATCAAATATGTGCCGTGGATGCAAACCATTTGCTTAAGATGCAAAATTGATTCCAATTGCCAAAAAAGCCCAACCTTCTCCGTCAGGGTGGCTGCCAAGGGCCAGATGCCCTATTTGGCAAACGCAAGCAAGATTATTGTGTTTCCGTTTGCGTGCCAGAAACGTAACAGTCACGGGTTACGGAGTGAGCGAGTGGGTCAGATGAAATCGGCCCGCGGGCTGCAGTCGGAACACCCTGCTCTATGTCAGCCGGCTACCCAAACGCATCCCGAATTCGAGTCTCAGGCAATAATTGGAATCTGTTTAGAGTTAGTATCTGGCAGCGGCACAAATAAAACAACTACTAGAAAAAAAATGTCAAGTGAACATCTTTGTAGATCAAAAAAACGCAGCACAAGGAACCAACTCACAGATGCTTTGGCCTTTTTTGCAGGTGGTAAGATGCCACTTAGAATCAAAGCTCTGTTTCTGCTTTTAGAGAAAGAAACGAAAATATATATATATATATATATATAGAGAGAGAGAGAGAGATATCGATTAGCTCTGTAATTAAATTCCATACCAGGTACAAGATTCCTTCACGTCTCAATCTCTCTCAGTACCACGACCAGCCTAAACTGACAAGTAATGCCCATAAACGATTGGTCAAGAAAAAAATCTCGTCACGACCGCGAGACAATTTTAAGAGCAGAGACAGGTGGTAGCGGAGGACGGGGCGGGGGGGGAAGAGAGCGAGAGAGCGAGCGGGTGGCCGGGCAGGGGAAACAGGGGCGCGGAGGGCGAAAGAGAAACGAGGAAAAAAAAAAAGAACGTTTCTCCGATAAAGCGTTCGCTAAGCAATGTTTTTTTTTTCTCTCTCTCTCTCCGACTAACGTAACTGTTGCCAACGCAATCAGCGGTACTCTGCCAAAACGCACCGGCTGCATTCACACCCCGAACAGTCGGGCGACACTGGTCAAAATTCTATCAGACTCTAGATTCAACAATGATCAAGTCTTATTACGGGTCACAGTTCTTTTTTTTAAAAAAAAATCTACAGCCTTTATCGTCCAATGTCACGTCACGAATATACCATTAGCACTCGCATCCAAAAAAAACTTTTACATTTTTTTTTCCCCCACAAAGGAAGCTGTAGCCAGCAAACAGATGACTTTCGTTAGGTTTTTGTGTTTGTGTGTGTGTGTGTCTCCAGGTTAATTCTGTTGTTGTGTTCTGTGGCCCCAGGTGTGGCAACTGTCCTACCGATTCAGTCGTAGCTTTATAGAATTTTTTACTACCGGAACGGGGTTTACAGGAAGGGACGAGACGTCAGAGAGTTCTGTGCTTGTTGGTTCCTGTGGAAACAAAAACAGCCATAGAAAACAAATGTGGGAAACCACTGCATCATCATCAACAACAGATGACAAGTGTATAACACCTTTCATGTCGGGAGGACGTTCCAAGCACTGAGCAGTCAAGGATTTGGACCTGAACTGGGGGGTTGGAATCAGGAGCGGTGGAGGGTAGAGATAGGAGGGTGACTGAAGGCACAGTCGAAGAGGAAGGTCTTGAGACGGGCCTTGAAGGAGGCAAAGGAGTGGGCGAGGAGAAGGGACTGTGGGTTGGAGTTCTAAAGGGTGGGGGCAGAGAGGCTGAAGGACCAGCCGCTGATGGTGGGGCGGGCAGGGCGGGGGACGTGGAGCAGGTTGGAGTCCTGCAATACAGGGACACCGGGTTATAGCAATCCTGGAATGCTAAAAGATTCGGCACAGTGCAATGTTAAACATTATTAGTTTGGCCTGGGTCTAGTGAAGTGAAAGTGCTATTCAACTTTAAATAAGAGTGGGAAGGAGAGGGAAAGGAAATAAAGGGAAGTCATAAGAGAGGACTAATATCACTTTGTACACTTTGCAACTACAAGTCATAGAACAAGATCATAGTCACCTAGAGATGACTGGGTACCTAAGTAATAACTTGGAATATATTGCTGCCCTCTTTATAGGAGATGGAGATTGGCATTGGGGGAGAAAGTCTGAATATCTAAACATGCTGCAGTTCTATGCACCTGTAGTGGTCGATCTTTAACGTCCGGGGCATGTCCTGAGTAAAAAAGAAAACTACCTGTGAGATGGAAGCGATGGTTGGGATTGGGGTCAGCTTTTCTTCTGATTCAAGCTCCTGCACATAAAAGGAAGCCAACTACAGATTACTGTTTGTCTAAGATACACAAGGCAATTCTAAACCCGTCTCCCAAAAACAGACTGAGCAGCAAACAACTTCAGTTTATTTCTCACATAAAGGTAGTGGAAATCTGGAACTCTCTCAGCTGTCGATGCTGAATCCATTGAAATTTTGAAGACTAAAGTGGATAGATATTTGTTAGGTCAGGGTATCAAGGGGATATGGAGCAAAGGCGGGTAAATGGAGTTGAGGTACAGATCAGTCATGATCTAATAGAATGGCGGAACAGGCTCGAGGGGCTGAATGGCCTTCTCCTGTGCCTATGTTCCTATCCGCAAACTCACGGGTTCTATAGGGACTGATTCTTTTCACAATTGCCATGCTCTCCACCCAACCAACTTGAACGACCCAGCATTCTATTTTTGGACGCGTGTTTTGTATTTTTTTTGTGAGAAGCAAGTTGAGATGTTCTCTGCACCTGATCATAAGGCAGACAGGATCAGCCAGGCTCAGTGGTAGCACGCTCACTCCCGAGCCAGGAGGTTGTGGGTTCAAGCCCACATCGGGACTTAGAATCAAGTTTAAGCTGACACTCCAATGCCGGAGGGGGGGGGTTACATTGTCTGAGGTGCCGTCCTTCGGATGACATATTAACCTGCAGCTGCATTTGCCGACAAATACACAGTTACTGAACAGCACAATAGAATCGTAAGTCCCACCTGTCTCGTGATGTACTTGAAAAGCACAATAGAATCGTAAGTCCCACCTGTCTCGTGATTCAGGGAACGATTCCTCGACACTACCCCTGCTGTGGTTGTTTGTTAGGGAAGTTACTGGTGCAGATTGGCAACTGCATAACGCTCACCGATCCTACCCTGTATAGCGCTTTGAGAAGTTTATTTTTAGTAATAATATTAATAATACTACTTGCATTTGATATAGCGCCTTATGTCTTCAAAGCGCTTCACAGGACACACTGTAAAGTGAATTGACTTGTGTAGTTTGTGGGTGAAATGTGGCAGCCAATTGCGCACAGCAGTGTCGCACAAACAGTGGTGGATTGAGTGACCAAACTATTATTATATTTTTTGGAAGGAATTATTACCCCCAGAAAAGCGATCCGCCAATTCCTAGAAGCGATTCCTAGAACCCGGTTGTTTTTTTTTCCCCCCACACGAAAGCTGCCGTGTGAACATGAGTTTGCCAAACGGCCACGGTTCTATTGTAATGTTACCGTTACCTTTACGTCCTCGTCCATTCTCTTCTCGCCCGCAGCGCTTTTGGAAGAGTCTGCCCGCTGCTTCACAACGCTGGCCTCCTGAAAAACACCAGCCAATAGTCTTAGAGTAGCGTTGGCAGCCCAGCTTCTCGGCACAGAGCTTTAAACTTCTAGGGCGACGGAGCCAAAAATGCTTTCCACTGCAACACACGCACGTTTCTTTTTAATGACGAAGAAAACGCCCGGGTGAGGAGGACACTTGATGCAATTCACTCTTTATTACATGTTACTTGGATTTCCAACTAATTGGATTTATATAATGTCCCTCGCGCAGTGTAACCCACCCACCGCCCCCCCATCCCAGAGCGCTCGACAGTGGCAGAGCACGACAGAGCCGGGGAGGTGGAGGGGGGTCGAAGAGGAAGGCGTTTCTGCACTTGTGCAACGACCACAATCTTAGCCCAACGTGTAAAGGGTTCTATCTGAAGCTATTCGAAGCGTTGCCTGGATCTGACACATCCCAATGTCAACTTTGGGTCCACAATGCTCTTTGATGAGCCTACACGCAGAGGTTGAAGGAATGTTGAATGACCGAGGAGGAATGTTAAATTGCACGTGATTTCTGCCTCATTCTTTCAGAGACATTCAACCTCCATCTACAAAGCTCGAGTCGTGTCCCTCGATTATTTTTCTGACCTTAGAGCTTGGAACTCCTCTAAATTTGGGTTTGAGATTCGGACACAAGTAAGGATTCCACTCACGTCTATTCTTGTTCTCTTTGGTGAGCCTTCGGATGGCTGTGTGGAAGGTCGCTTCAAGCTCTGTGATGATGGGCTCTGATCCACTGTTACACCGTTGGTTGCAGGCTCCTACGTGCCAAGCAGGATAAGAGAAACACACGAGAATTCAGGTGATCCTTAGCCTTAATAACAATAATAATCGTTGCATTTGAAAAAGCACCTTATTACGCCTCAAAGTGCTTCACAGAATATATTGTAAAGTGTGTTTTGTGGGACAAACGCGACAGTGAATTGCGCACGATAGTGTCCCACAAACAGTCGAGGATTGAGTGACCGTATTTTTGGGGGGGGCAGGGATTATTAACCCCGGAAAGTGATCCGCCAATTGGTTAACAACCGGGTTCCTACTTATGCAAGGTAAACAGAGGCGTGTGTGTGGAGTAAGGAGACTTGCCCAAGGTTTCACCCTGCCCAGGAATCGAACCCAGGTCCTCTCGCTTGTGAGGCAAGCAGGCTAACCAATATGCTGTGGGATTCCACCATCGGACGTCTCGACGAAGAACATCCGTGATATAAACACGGGCCACAAAATGTACAAACCTCCACTTTCTTTGCAGATTCATCTGTCTGAGGCGAGGTTGGTCTCTTTGCTCCCGAAGCAGCCAGACTGGGTGCTTTAGCAGTTGGGTTTGAAGGCTGGTTACTGACACACGTAGACGAGACACGGCTGTTTGCTGGTTTTGGCTGTGGAGCAGAAGCGGGGGTGGCGAGAGCCTGAGGAATGTGGTCACTGGTTGATGAAGAAGAGCCTAGAGAGAGAGAAAAAAAAACGGGTTGCATTTAAAAAGAACAGCCAAACTACAATAAAACATTGCACACAGCACACTGACCAGCTATCTGTACGGCCACCGTGAATCGCCAAAGTGAAATTAGGCTGTCATGTTGGTGGACAGTGTGGCTGCATATGTGCACGGGAGGTTACTGGATACAGGAAGCTAGCAGATGTGGGTTATTCCCTGCCACTCCCCACCCACCCCACTTTGAAAAGGAAGGATGAAGGGGAGGCTGGATAGAAATAAAGGATTGTAGAGCGAGAAAGAAAACCCACACAGACGCTGTTTCACCCACAATATGTACAGTCACTACACTTTGTTGTTGTTTACAGTATATCCTGTGAAGCGCTTTGAGACGTCTCGACAACGTGGTAAGGTGCGATATCAAATGCAAGGATTATTATTAATTGTATACATCCACAATGGGGCTGGGAGCAATTACAAGAACAACAACATGCATTTAGATAGTATCCTACTACTTGGGGTAGTGTCCCAGAGCGCTTAATTAGTGCAAATGTCAGTCTCTTTGCTGTATTCAAATAAATGAAGAAGAGACGAGTACAAAGTGCTCTTCCCCAGACTGCATGTAGCACCAAAACCTCAGGATTGAGACTGTTTGAGCAAATAAAATTTGGAAATAAAGCGAAACTAAGTGAAGTTTCACCCCCTCTCTCACTTGACCCTTCCCGACAACAAAAAAATACAGTGAAAGGATGTCCACTTACCCTCTGAGCTTGGAACGGAATCTCTCTTGGAAGGACTGATCTCCGGATCAGCCTGGGATTCCGAATTCGAAACGCTGGTCACATTGGCTGTTGATACGGCAGTCGTGGGACTATTCCAATTGAGAAAAGAACACTGAATCACGCAGACTAAGATGACATTCCAGAAGTATGCACAGTCAATTCACTTCACGGTATATTCTGTGAAGCACTTTGAGACGTCTTAACGACGTGATAAGGACTATCTCAAATGCAAGGATTATTATTATTCACACACTGTGAGCCTCAGTCCATCTAAAAACTAACCTTCTCCCCACCCACCAACCAATGCCCAGATAACATCCAACCAATCTGAATGGTTAGCAAGTATTTAACTAACCATGAAAAGCAGATGCACCACTTAAATTTCGCCCACAAAATACGGTCAATTCACTTTACAGTTTATTCTGTGAAGCGCTTTGAGATGCCTCGAAGACGTGATAAGGCATTGTGTCAAATGCAAGAATTATTATTATTAAACTTTCCATTGAAATTGCATTCGTGGCACCAGGAGACCTTGTGGTTGAATGAGCCCTCTGCTAAACGCTGCGGGAATGATTTTAAGGTTTACCTCTGTGGGCTGTTGGCATTCTGTAACGGACTGGTAGGCACGAGCAGGCTGTGGTCACTGTCTAGAGAAGCCTCCATGCTATTTTCATCTTCACAGTTGGCTTTGTTCCCTTCCAGTGAATGCTTGAAATGCAAAGGTGAGAAGCGTAAAAAAGACCAGAAATCACCTGAATACCCTGCGGATTTTCGGAGCTTCAAATACTTTGTAAGTGGGAATTCGGAGGAAAAAAAATACCCAATGAAACTGGAATATAATGAAGTACAACCCAACATGGAGTGTTATTCAACACCAGATGAATAGTGTTATTAACTAACCTCACTCAAGCTAGATTCCCTCAGTGGGGAGATGGGAAGAAAAGAGTGAGAAAAAGCCCCAAGGCCCCACATCATATCGCAGAGTATAAACTAAACCCTTCGAGGAGGCTTCTAAAGGGCTTGTGAGTGTTCTGAACATCTCACGATCTTGATCAGGAATAAGAGTTCAGACCGGTGCTCAACGTATTCACCCAAACGCTGGCAACGTTGGGCAGCTCGGAGTTTACACATAAGAATAGCACAAAAATGCCTCCAGCTAAACCCAGCTGCACTGTAACAGTCTCGTGCTTTTATTCTGACGTCACTGATCCCACTTCACAACCAAGTAAAACTTTGAAGGAAGTGCGCTTCCCTGGGATAATCTATTTAATTCACTAATGTCTATGGCTTGTACAAAGTTTACAACAAACACACAACACAGAAGCAGGCCACTCGCCCAGCCAGTTGAAATCCATCGATGTGGGCTTTGTCGAGCCTGTATTAAGAACCAAAGCACTGCATACAATGTATTATTTCTGAGAGAAGGTGATGATGGCGTGAGAGCATGAGAGCGTGTAGCCTGGATCAAAGACTCACTTTCGCTGCTCACTTATGTTATTGCGTTACTCGTGCATGAACCAACATGATGGATACCTTTTTCTTTTTCTGTAGAACGCAACTGGGTAGAAGCAAATGGAGCTGTTTCCTCTTCACATGCATTGCTGCAATCCTCATGTCTGCTTCAAACATCTTGCTGTTCATTGCTTGTCTATAAACTATAAGGACAGGAGAATTAGTCTCTTGCTACTGGTCTTATTTTCAATCATAAATTTCTCTCCCATAAATGGCAGTATTTTTACTCCACACAAGTCTCTCTTAAAAGAGCCAAGGAGCTTCGGGATTAAAGTGTCTAAAATACCAGCGCCCCTCATGCAGGATAGCGCCCCAGAGCGCTTGACAGTAGCAGAGCACAACGCCGAGCTGGGGGGAGGGGGAGGTGAACAGAGGCAAGGTTGAATAGGAAGGTCTTCAGGCGCAACCCGGGGAAGAAAGGGACAAGGCGGAGGAATAGAGGAAGAGTGCTTCAGAGTCTTGGGGCATAACGGGTGAAAGCCCGGCTACAGATGGTGGAACGTAGTGCACGAGGAACATACAGAAGGCCGGAGCACGTGCAATACAATTTAAATCAACACCTCAAAATTCCAAATAGGACTAGTTTCAAAGGCATTGAATGAGTGGGGGGGGGGAATGGAGTTCAGACGAGTATCAGATGCAGATGTCACTGAGTCAGCTTTGGGACAATGGGCAGAAGAGACATTCCTCATTCAGGCTCCATAGACTGCTGAACTCTCCAGGATAAAGTACAGAAAAAGCTCTTCTGGGCTGATCAGACACACAAAAAAATTGTGTTTTGGCTAAATTTGGAATGGTATTCGAGTGATCCGAGGCTGAATCACTTCCGAAGGTTTGTTCCTATTCCACAGCAATGAGCCTTCTTGGAGCAAGCCACAAAGAGAAGGAAGAGTTCAGCCGTGTCCAACTCAGTATTGGCCAACGTTATGGATTGCTCTTGTGTACATGACAAATGGTTGAGGGTTGGAGAGTAAGTTCCGGGACAGAAAGCTCCATGGGCGCAGAAACGAAAAAAGGCACATGTAGAGAGAGATAAGACAGCATCATTCCCACCAAAAGCATAATTCTACAAGACAATATCATAGAGAGATACAATCCTCTTGCTTATTGATATTCTTCCCATCTACACAAGCTATCAGTTTAAGATAGACATTTGGATCACCTCAATTGCTTATTAATTCAACCTGTTGGCACATACACTGACTGTATGGATGGCTGCACGACAATAAGACCTCACTTCAATGAAAGCAACCAACATTTGATCCAAATGTCAACCAGAATTCTTTTCCCACATAAAAACATAAGAATTTGCTAGGCAAAAGAAGACCAAGGTCCATCTGGTTCACCTTCCACCATCCTGGCAGTTGCTGGACATGTCGTGCCCCAATCTGCACACTGTATCCCCAGATATTATTTTCTAGCAGAAACCTATCTCATTTGTTCTTGAAACAAACATTTTCTGCTTACCACCGTCTCTCTAGGGCGCCTGTTCCATAAGTTTACTACTCGCTCACTGAAGCAGTGCAACTCTCATCTGAAACATTTGTCAAAGACATACCTTATGGGGATAATACATGAAATTACAGTGCAGTTCCATCATTAAATAGGCTGAAACTTGCGCACTCTTAAAAGATATTGTTCTGAGGTCTGACGTCTCGAATGGCACTCACCAGTGTCTGTAAATGACTGAATGTCGTATGTCAGGTCAACACTTAAATTCTCACTGTTTTCCACTTTCTTAAAGACGATTCCAATCACCCACATCGTGCTGAATTCATCTCTGAAAATCGGGAAAGTGCAAGAAACCGAAAATTTATACTTGCAAAATGTTGCGTACGAAAGATCCACATGGAATATTCATCCACCAGCACAGCCATAAACAAAGGGCCAATAAGCACCTCTAAATACTGATAGAGGTCTATATCACACTTAATAATAATCCTTGTTCTGGTATAGGGCCTCATCACATTGTTGAGACATCACAAACTGCTTCATAGGATATACTGTAAAGTAGAATGACTTGTGGGTAAAACGCAGCAGCCAATTGTGCACAGCAATGTTCCACAAACTGTCATGGATCGAGTGACAAAATTATTATTTTTTTTTGGGAGGGATTATTACCTAGAAAGCAATCCGCCAATCAAATCTGCTAGGTAAACAGGGACGGGTGGAGTAAGGAAACTTGCCTAAGCGTTCACACCGCCCAGGAATCGAACCCAGGTCCTCTCGCGAGGACCTATGATTCTAACGTAATTTTGGCACTCTCCACATAACACACAAAAATTCCACACTACAGTACTTACTTTTCAGGATTCTCTTTGGGAGCTGGAAATGACTGTGGATTGACGTGAGCCAGAGTAATGAATTCATTCTTTTCCAAACTGCTGATCAGGATACGGATCTTTGATTCCACCAGCCCCACCCTAAACACAGACAATCAACCTTTGGTGAGCTAAGTTCAGTCGCTCCAGCTATCACAGATAAAGAGTGCATTATGTCAAGATCAGAACAACGGTAAATTCACTCTCCATCAAGCCTAGTCAGAGACAGGCTATTTGGCGTTTGTAACCAACACAGCTGACACCTGATTCTGTCCTTGTTCAGCTGCTTCAAGTGTCACTTTATGAATTCAACATGAATTCAACACTGGTGAGATGTCAAATTATGACACTAATGGTTTTAAACACTCCGAGACCCTGCCCCATGTGAAGGGCGCTATATAAATGTAAGTTGTTATTTTTATTTTCATATAAACTGGAGAAAAGTATCTCAAGACTAGTTTCTAATGTTTACTGCACTATTATTATTATTATTATAGTACATACCATTCCAAGTGCTGTTTCTCGGTTGGGGCACTTGCCAGCAGCACAATGTAATGCCTTAAAAGAGAGACAAGATCAGTTATTTTGTGCAGTTAAAATAGACCAAAAACGGGTATTTCAGCCGTTATATATTTTGGTGTGATCAATACTCACCAATGTCCAGCTTTCTTTTTTTGGATCTACTTAAAATGAATTTACACCGCGTTGTGAATGTTTCTTACACTCTGTGTGGATTACATCTCAAAGACATCTTTCCACCAGTTTTGCCGCAAAGTGTATTTTACAATACGAATATTTAAAAAAAGAATACAAGCATGTGTCCCAGTATCAGTCTTATATGAAGTCCAGTCCTAACAAACAGTCTAAATAATATCCCCCTCAGTATAACCATGTCTTCACCAAGTACACACCACTATATGGTTCTACGGCACATGGTCCAATGGACAAGAGGACAAACATGGCTGAAGTTACCACCATTTTAAACATGGAATCCCCTCATCATTCGGAAGCACAATGCTCCATTCCAACAGTTCTTCCCATCTCTTCCAAAGGCAACACAGATTCCAACAAGCAAAAGTACACACAACACACACATACACACACGAGAACAATTCCAATATCTGCCCACCATCTTGATCCTGCCACACACACACTGCAGCCTGATACCCCAATCACCTCAATCTTATAACTGACCTGCAGTTAAGAAGATACTGACAAAAATCACAGCATAAATTGAAGATGTACAGATCTCATTGGGTAGCATATTTGTTGATACAATATTTGTCTCGCAAGTCAATTCTCTTAAAAGAGCCAAGGAGCTTCGGGATGATAAATAGCTTCACACATAGGGTTGCAACAACCTGGAATTCATGGTTATGAAAGCTATAGAGGCGAAATCAATTGAGGGTGTTTAAAGGGGTGACAGGATACGTGGATAAGGAGAAACGGTGGAGAAATGGGAATAAAAGATCTGCCACGGTTTAATAAACAAGCAGAAAAAGCTTGACAGTCCTCAATTCAGCAACATTTGTCGCTTTGTTAAAACTAGTCACACACCTCAAGGAATTGAGATATCGTGACAGTAGAGAGTACATTTTGTGTTTGAAGCCATTGGTGAGGCTATTATTTCCCTGACTAACTCCTTTCTTAACCTTTCACAAAGGTGACCATATGTAACCGACAGTTAGCGTCAGTCACTGATGAATGCACAAAAAGGCAAGACTGACCCTGGCCTCACAAGTGCACATTTTTTCAGTGTGTGTCTCTGTGGATAGGAGCCGGGAACATTATTATCACCCGGGGGGGAGTGATAATATGGCTGCACACAGTAACAATCTTAAAACAGCCAGCTATCTTGGTTGGAAAATCTAGAGCTATGTGCGGAACGGTGAACATACATAAGGGAGAATGCTCCATCTAGCAATCACCGGGCAAGTAACCCGCTCAAACCAGCGGAAATATATTGTACACATCTGGAAAGACAAATGTCACAATGAGAAAAGTTGATTAGAACACATTTTTATTCAAGAATTTTGCAGAAAATACACTCAGTTTCCTCCAGTTTATTACAAGTCATATTCCACCTTAGAAATAAATGAGAGCAAGATCAGATCTCTAATGGTTTGTAAACACTACAGATTTTTAAGTTATAGTACACAAAAATCTGCAAATATCAAACTACATGCACTGGAATCTCTCAGGAGATGAAGACAAATATGAAAGTGTACTTTACTCGGAAAGCATAGGGAAGTATTATTACAACGGAAAAGGGATTTCCAGCTCATAGATTAAGTCAACACTCCAGTGCAATGCTGGGGAAATCACTGCATTATTATGGAGGCTCTGTCTTTCGGATGAGACATTAAATCGAGGGCCCATGTGCATAAACTTGGTCATCTTATGGGGGGGGGGGGGGGGGGAGAGAGAGGGAAGATGCAGTAAAGAAAGCTAGCTTTTAGCTAATTTAGCAGAGAACTGCGATTAAACCTGCAACCTTCCTGATCTTTGAGGTTGTGTAAACCCGCCCACAGACATTTGGGAGCATTTACGAAACTAAAATGTCATGCTATGAAACCAAACAATATATTGTTTATTTGAAATATATTTTAATTTCCACAACTGCATTGCAGATTTTTATTTCCCCAGTAGCTGTTAGAAAACATACCACCAGTTTATGAAAAATGCTTTATTCGGGAACTAAATATATTGTTATGACAAGTTTTATAATCTCACACATAATTCCACAAATCTATTGAGACTACAGTTAGGGCTGGAGCTAATAACTTCAGAGATCAAGTACACAAAATCCAAAACAGACTGGAAAAGACCACTGTAGTCCCATTTACAAATACCAGCTCTCACCAACTCATATACTCTCGTTATTTCTCTCCCATCCTCTTCATTGCCAAAATATTATCCAATTCCCTCTCGACTACCTACGCTGTCCACCTCCATCACTTCCCTAAATAAACAGGTTAAGTATTCAATGCACAGTTATTGTTTCTGGACTGCCTATTCGCCCCTTCTCTTCTGAGTTTTAAGACCATGAGCTCTCATATATATATATTGAACATGCTATTGGAGTTTCGCGTGTCTACAACTTTTAGCTCTTGTATACAAATCCTTAATACATTGCATCAAAAAATTTAAGGTTATATTTTAATCAATTTCCATCAATACTAAGTCACCGCTATGCATCTATTTAGCAACAGTAGCACTCATCTTTCCAACTTTGAACTGAACAACTAGATCGAATAAGCAAACAGTACTCCATCAGGCTAGCTTATTATAATATGTTACAGGGTTATGGTGTAAGAGGGGGGAGTGGGACTAGTTGGGAGCTCTTTCATAGAGCCAGCACAGGAATGATGAGCCGAATGCCTCCTTCTGTGCTATAAGATTCTATGATTCTAATAGGGGATCTTAACACAGCTAAACCCCAACACAAGATCTTCATAGGGACGTAATTGGGCCTCAGTATTAAGATTTAGATTGATATTTGATGCTACTGTTATGGGTTCAAAATTTCCTATTGGGGGGTCCTTTTCACACGCGCCATAATCTCACTCCAGTCCATATAGGTCAGTGAGGCTTTAGATCATTTAAACAAATCCAAAATGTCTTCATTTTTTTTGTTCCATCATGCATTCATTCAGCTGACGTTGTAGTCAGTACAAAATGCCAAACAGTGGATCGTACGCTGTCAATCCCATCACAAACAATACAGACTCTTCTTTCATGCACTAAACTCCAAATTGCTTTAAATCCCCAACGTGAAAAACAAAGCTGATAAGGGACAAATAAGTTGTCAGTTTGAAAGGATGGGTATTATATGCAACATTCAGTTTTGTTGCTCCTTGCAGTCACTCTCAACTTCCTGTATCTGCTGTTTCTACATATTCACAAGGTACACGACTCTACCCCTATGTCACAACTGGCTCACAGTTACACAGATCCTTAAATCTTCAAATAGGAGGCATTTCCTTCTGCACAGCTAATGCACAAGCCATTCAATACAGAGTAGTTTGGGCCTCCTCCCCCAACCTACCCATCCCACAGTCCCATTAGGAGTGTTTTTTTGATTGGAAGTGACAATTATCTAATAAAGTGCGTCATGGATAGAACGCCTGGCTGCTGGATTCAAAAAAAGTGTCCAATTGAACTAGGGAATTGTGATACATGGGTTACAAATGGTTTGTGCTCCTTCTCTCTTGAAGGCACCAGCTGACAGTGGACCTCAGATCTGCAAGTGATTGCAGTCTCTTAGTTCCTTGCCCAAGTAGCCACTCTTCACGCCTGACCCAAGACTGCGGGGAGTGGCAGACCTAGCAACAGTGGAGCCCAGTCTGGTTCTCGTCTAATGTCCACTTGCTCACTTTCCACTGGGGGGTGGGGGGGTGAGAGATCAGACCAGGACTCTAGTTTGAGCGTTAAGGTCAATTAAAGACCAGAAACACTTGTCCCGACCAAGGTTGGTTCACAAGACCACAAACCAAGCCCATAACTTTCCAATCCTTTAGCCTGGCTGCTGAACCGAGTCGGTGCCTTTACCCGCTAGGCGTAGGGACATTTTTTGTTGTTGTTGTTGAAAAACAAATTATGTAAATGCTTGCTAGTTTGAATGTTGGATGTAGGAAAACTGAAAAAGGACAGTTAACACATTAAAAAGTTAATACTTTTAATGTTTGAAAATACAAGGAATCGCAGGCTTTTAAAACATTTATCACAAGCCTCATATGAAGTGCGATGTTGGGGGATGCTTCCCAGCGGCAACTGGAAGAAAAGAATTGGTAGTAAGCTCTTGCACAAAGATTCTCTGAGCTGTCGAAAGTCAGCGGCAAAGTGTCAATTAGGTACGTACATTAAGGGAATAGGAGAGAGAAAAAATGTCAGTAGGAAAATCTACTAAATAAATTTCACAAAGTGAATATAGCATGGGTTTGGAGAGGTCAGATATAACAACAGTTAAAACATTTCAACACATGTGCACTGTAAAGGCTGTGGCCTAGTCAAGTGGTCAAGAGTAATGCCCTGCAATTCACGACCCTGTGATTTAGTTGCTTGTTCAAATGTATAACTTTTAAGATACGCTGCACTCCAAATATTAAATTACAAATGCGAACTCACAGGACTTCTAAAGGTCCACTGTGGTGATATCACTTCCCTCGTCTAAAGAACTTCAGGGTATTTGAACCACCAGTCAAATATGGCGCGCATTTCATATATAACACATAATAATAATAATAATCCTTGCATTTGATATAGCGCTTTTCACGTCGGGAGGACGTCCCAAAGCGCTTCACAGAATACACTGTAAAATGAATTGACTGTATGTTTGTGGGCAAACGCGGCAGCCAATTGCGCACAGCAATGTCCCACAAACAGTCGTAGATTGAAAATGACCAATTTATTATTGTTTTTGGTTTTGAAAGTCTTACCCAGTGTCCTACCCATATAAGCAATTTAATACATACTTGTACTTCTGAAAGAAATTTGGAGCTTCAAAGAGTTTGGGCCACTCTGTTTTACCCATTAATATTTCATCTGTGATTGAAAGCCCTGTTAAGGAAACAAAAGAGTTTGCTTTTACTCCATTTTGAATTTCCATATCTCACAACTTACATATAATAATATACAATAGCAATCCTTGCATTTGATATAGCGCCTTATCACAATGTCGTTGAGGCATCTCAAAGCACTTCACAGATATACTATAAAGTGAATTGACTACGTTTTGTGGGCAAAACACAGCAGCGAATTGCACACAGCAGTGTTTTCCAAACAGTTGTGGATTGAGTGATCTTTGTTTTTCCTTTTTGGAGGGATTATTGCCCCCGGAAAGCGATCCACTAATCAACTAACAACCGGGTTCCTATCGACTGATAGGTAAACAGAGGTGTGTGGAGAAAGGAAACTTGTCTAAGGTTTGGCCCTGCTGGAGAATCAAAGCTTGCGAGGCGAGTGCTCTATCCAATATGCTACAGGACTCCACATAGTTATCTTAGTATGAGTTGTAATGTATCTATGCCATAAAACAGTCTAGATGTGTAAGAGAGAAAAAGGCAAAAATGCATACAACGACAAAATCCTCTATGTGCTTGATCTGAACTTAGAAAGATTACAAAGAGCCTGACTGACCTTGCTTGAACTCCTCCATCATCACTGCTCGTGTGGAAGCTGATACATTATACGTGGAGTTCTGCTGTGGGTAGGCTGGTGTGATAATTGGCATTAGGTGGTATCTGTCACTTGGGTTGACCTACATGTGAAAAATTAGCTGTGAGATACTAAATAGAAAACATGGCAAAATTATAACAAAATAAATTGGACAATAGTAACACCAAGTCAAATTGTTAGCCTTACATTCTGGTGATCAAATGTAATGCATCTTAAAAGAACTTAAATATTAGGACACAGATATCAGCACATTCAAATGATTTACAGATTTGGTACACAACCTGGAATGATACTGAATGGTTACTGTACAACAGCTTTATTCTTCACTGTTGTAACCTGCTCCCCAGACTGCAGTAAATCCACACCATGGAAGCATAAAAAGATTATGTAACTCTCTTTGGGCAGCTGGCATCGCATTCATTAGCAGTTAATAATAATCCTTGCATTTGATATAGCACCTTATCACGTCTTCGAGACGCCTCAAAGCGCTTCACAGAATATACTGTAGAGTGAATTGATTGTATATTTTGTGGGATAATAAACACCCAACCTCTACATAAACTGGACAGAGCAACATGAACAATGAGGTTACATTAAATCTTCTCCAATAAGTGAATCACTTGGCAAGGATTCAGCCTGAATTATTTGGGAGTTTTACTGTGCAGGGTGAGACCTTCACGCATTTTGCTAAAATGTAAATTTAAATTTGAGATCGAAATGAAACAATGGCAGAAACTGCCGAATATGTTACATATACAGGAAAATCTGCAGAATTCATCCAATTGTCCCTAAAAGTTAACAAGTCCTTCACCAGTAATAATAGTAATCCTTGCACGTGGTATAGAGCCTTTGTTGAGACTTCTCAAAGCGCTTCACAAAATATACTGTCGAGCGAATTGACTGTGTATTTTGTGGGCAAATCAAATCTTGTAATCTTGATACCAGTCAGCTGTTCAGCTCCTCTCCATCTGATACATCTTAGAATTTAAGGCAACAAATGGTCCAGAATGTGCACCACAAATACGTTTCCAGAGTCAACTTAAAACAACCCTAAAAGAACAATAAAATATCTTAGCATCCACCTCCCATTAATTTATTGGCTCTTGTACGTTTAACCAATCCAAGGATCTACCTCGAAGGAATAGGTGAACACAACCTTACTCAAAGCCACAACAAAAGGTTCACCTACCCGCGGATCCCACACTGGCAGATTCAGATTACAGTCCTCTGGTTGCTTTAACAAGACAGGATTAGGCCATTCCCTGTTAAGAAAATAAATCAAAGTGCTGTTGTTTCAGTTGTCCCTTACTAATACATTTATCTTCTAGCTGCTTCTATTCTCATAGAACATCAATGTCTGTCTGTTCTTCAAGGATCTGAATAACCGATTACCGTAGAGAAATGATTAATATCTCATCGGAAAGGTCTTTCATCTGGGAGTGACATGGGCATATTTGTTTTCGGTTATCTCCTATAATTCATTAGTTATTTTCAGTGTTGCGTTTTTCGCTGTAGTTAAACCTGGTGCCCGCCAAAGTAGCGCTGTAGCATAGTGCGTCACAGAGCACCTACGTATGCACACACACTGCAGTTGCACGTGGTAGCCACACTGGCTGGCCGTGGTGCTGCGGCATACTGCGTCATAGAGCACGCACGTAGCCAGGCGGCGGGAACAAAATAAAGAGCACAGACGAAGCTAAGCTGTGGCAACAACAAAATTACATTTTTAAAGCATCGAGTCCTCCCAGAAGGAGTCCTCACAGTTGAGTATAGATAAAGACGAAATGTCTGTCTGTCTGTCAATCTACATTCCATATTGGATCCTTTGGTTGCAAGCGAAGCTGCTCGTTCTACATATGATGGCAATTCATTTTGCATTCCAGTAGCGGGTGCTGGAATCAGATTGCAGGACAGATTCATATTCCATAGTTTTAATAGTTAAATAGTAGAAAATGTATTGGAATTATTAATGACGATCCTTGTATTTGATACAGCAGTTTTCATGTTGGGAAGAAGTCTCAAAAGTGCTTCGCAGAATTTATTGTGAAGTGTAATGGCTGTGTATTTTGCGGGCAAACACGGAAGCCAATTTGCGTATAGCAATGACCCATAAACAGCCATGTAGTGTATGACCAATTGTATCTGGGGGGAACTGGCAGCCAGGAAACCAGGAGAACCTCCTGTCTCTTTTCAAATAGTGCCATGGTATCTTTAACACACCCAACTTAACGAGACTAAACTAGCAATTTTACAAAAAAAATGTTTGGAACAAGCTTCACTGAAATTCCAATTTCATAATAATAATCCTTGCATTTGATCAGGTGCCTTATCACATCTTCGAAATGACTCAAAAGCGCTTCACAGAGTATACTGTGAAGTGAATTGACTGTATAGTTTGCGAGCAAGACGTGGCAACCAATTGTGCACAGGAGTGTCCCACAAAGAGTCGTGGAGATTGAGTGACCTAATTATTGTTATTTTATTTATTTTAATATCTTGACGGGATTATTACCCCCAGAAAACGATCCGCCAATCGACTAATAACCAGGTTCCTACTTATTGCTAGGTAAACAGTGGTGTGTGTGGAGTAAGTTTTCGCCTTGCCTGGGAATTGAACCTGAGTCCTCTGCTTGCGAGGTGAGCACTCTGAACAACACGCTACCAAATTCTAATTTCCAAACGTGCGACTGATCGAAAAAGAAATACTCACCACTTTGAAAAGACCAGGAAGAACTTGTGTACCAGAGTGGATGCCACGGCATTGGGGTATAGTTGACACGTTCTTGCTACCAACATGGCCCATGACACACCACCCAAAAAGCCAAGTATGTTGGAGTAGATGTTATGACCTATTTCAAATAGAAACAACACAAGTTTCCTTTTTAAACACAAGATAATTATATTACTACAAACTAACTTGGGAACACCCCAAACCATTCACTGTCATGAATAGTTTAACCTACATCATGTTGTATTCAGTTAAACATAATGCAGTCTTTTTTTAACATGCAAAACAGGCCAAGGCAAAGTGCAGACAGGACGACTTACTATGAGAAGGCTAGGAATTCTATTCATTTCTGAGATTTCTTTTCGGTTGGAAAAGAGGAAAATCTTGATTACTGCTCGGGAGTAGGGTCGGCTGAGCAAAATGGCAACCATAATGTTCCCCAAAGGATTTCCCCTTGGGATGATGGCAATGTTCTGTTTGCACAAAGAGGTTGGAACGTCTTTCAATCAACGAAGAAAAACCTACGTATCTAAGGTTACATTACTTGCCACAGGTATGGGTTTTCACCATTCTTTCTGCTAACTTCCGAGACAAAGATTACAAACACAAGTGCAAAATATTGCAGTTATTTCAGGAGGGGGAGAAACACATGCAGACACCGACCAATATTTAGGCATTTCTTCTAGTTTGGGGTAAAAAGACACCCAGTGATGATGACAGGAGAAAGAAAGACAGCAGGTACAAAGCAGGATCCAGTTGAGTGAAGTAAAACAGTCTAGTCTGACTCATTGACATTGTCCAGGTATGCTTTCATCTTAAGAATAGACGCGATATTCTTTTAGCACGTGGAAGTGAATAAGGAAAATTGTTTTATAGACAAGAGAAGCCCGGAAGCAACCTGAATTATTACGAGCAAAATTCCATAGTGTAATATGACCAACAGAACAACACTACTACAGACAAAGAAAATACTCACGTTTTGCCCACAATTTAATTGCTCTCAACGTCAGTCTAAAGTTTTCAATGTTTGGGACTAAATGTAAAATTTCATCAGTTACTCTGCAACCTGTTTAAAAGCAGACAAAAATAAAAGTTTAACTTGTATTCGGTCTAAAACTAGTTAAAGCGGTGGCAACGGGGGTAAGGAAATTGATTTCTCCTGTTACACTCTCACTGAACGTCCAATGCTGATGAAGCATTTCGTGGAATTGCAAAACAGCTCAGCTGCAGCTGCTCCAAGTGCGCCTCAGGCCAGTTTTACCGTTTTTTTTGTTGTGTGTTTTTTTAAACAGAGCAGAGAAGTAGAATAAGAAAGAAGCGATCTTAATTTTGCACAAAATAAATCTTCTTTCAAGTGTGACAGTCCTCAAATCCTAGTGATGCAGAATATTTTACAAAACAAGACTAGTTACATTCTTACATTTCCATTTACCATGCACAATTTTGTATCTCTCCACCCTCTGCATATATATATATATATATCATATATATGTACGTGTGTGTGTGTTGTCGTGGTCCAACCTTTTGGTTGCCGAGGGCCGGTTGCCCTAATTGAGAAACCAGGGGCCACATAAGCAATATTTTTGTGTTTCCCTTCCAGAAACATTACATTTATAGGTTATGAAGGGAACGGATAGGCCAGATGAAACGGGGGGGGGGGGGAAATTGGCCACGAGCCGCCAGTTGGACCATCCTGATATAGACTATTCGAATCCCAGCCTCTGCAAAAATGCATTCGCACGCCAAAACAATTACCATTAAGACTTCGGATGCATCTTAAATCCAAATTTTTAAGCAGCACATCATCTCGAAGATCCAAATCTTCAGGAATCGTCTGAAGCGCTAATCTTGCAAACAAAATATCAATCTGAAACATATGATTGAGATTGTGCTCCTGTCAGATTCAGGTTGCCCCTGAGTAATAAATTGCACGACATAATATTACCATATTATATTAATTATTCCAAAATTAAGAGAATTCTTTCTTTATAAACTTACACAATGTAAATTTACATTCCAACTTTGTAAACTAATGAATATTAAAACCCATTTAGATATACATAGATGTAGAATTACCTTGACTGTTGTTACTAGATGGAAACAAGCCACTCAGTTCAACTAGTCCATGCCGGTGTTTATACTCCATGCGTCTCTACCTCTCCTAATTCCCTATCCCATACCAGTCTATTCGCTTCTCTCTCGTTTACATCACAATCGTTCCTTTACTGCAAATATTAATAATCCTTGCAATTGATACAGTGCCTTATTACTTCGTTGAGATGTCTCAAAGCGCTTCAAATATACTGTAAAATAAATTGACTATGTATTTTGTGGGCAAAATACGTCAGTCAATTGCGTACAGCAGTGTCCCACAAACAGTCATAGATTGAGTGACCAAATTATTATTATTGTTTTTCAAAGGAATCATTATGCAGGAAGCAATCCACTGACGGAGTGAACTCGAACTGTTTCATGAACGCTGGTTGCACATTTAAATCACTGCTGAGATATTAAATGATACAAAAAATTAATCACTATAACAGATATTTAATATGAGCTAAGTAATGATGAGGGTCACAATATTTTTGGCCAAAAACCCCTTTAATAGGAGTCAGCAAGCTTGTATTATATAATAATCCTTGCATTTGTTATAGCGCTTTTCACGTCGGGAGGACGTCCCAAAGCGCTTCACAGAACACACTGTAAAGTGAATTGACTGTATATTTGTGGGCGAACGCGGCAGCCAATTGCGCACAGCAATGTCCCACAAACAGTCGTAGATTGAAAATGATCAATTTATTATTATTTTTGGTTTTTGGAGGTTTCGCCCTGACCTGCCTGGAATTGAATTGAATCAGGATTCTCGCTTGCAAAGCGAGTGCTCTAACCACTGAGCTACAGGACTATATATACATGTAACTTGTTCATGGATGTATCTCAAAAGAAAATGCTAAATTAAAATTCACAGAATAATTTAGTAGATCTATGCCCTGCAAATTTCTATGCTTAAAACCTACCTCTATACCGTCAAAGGAAAGTTTAATTACTGGTACGAAGGCCTCTTCAACAGCCTGCAAAACATAACAAACAGAATATTGTCAAAGCCACACAAACTATTATTATATAAATTGTTAAAAACACAAGTACGAGAGTGGAACATCTGCTGAGACTTACCCTTAAATTCCTCACTTCGTCCTGTTCTTTCAACTTTTCACAGAATGAGGTGAAAAAGTCGCTTCTATCAATATGACGAGGTGCAACACACAGGGCATCAATATCAGCACCTGAAGGCAGAATAAAAATAAATCCACTTTAATGTGTGTCGTCATGTTCGTCACTTCGATTGAATACATATTTGTCGTTAGCTTCGTGATCTCTAATTCCATATAATAATTCCATATAGAAAAAGTTTCATTAATCTGAACCCGCCATAGACATTTTAAAATTACTTTAGAGAATTTACCTTTTGTGTGCACTCCCAGTCTGTAGGAACCAAATGTAAAAATCTTGCCACCAACATTCTCGATAACGGACGGTGGAAGGTTCTGGAAGAAAGTAAAAAATAGATATATGAAATAAGTTATCAATTCACATGAATATTCAGTAACTGAGTATATCTTTCACATGGGTTTCAAACAACAAATTACATTTGTATAGTGCCTTTCACATCAGGAGGACGTCCCAAGGCGCTGGACAGTCAGGGATTTGGACCCGAGCTAGGGTTTGGGATCGGGGGGGTTGGAGGGAAGGATAGTAGGGATAGGAGGATGAAAAGGAGGGTCTTGAGATGGGCCTTGAAGGAGGCACGGAAGAGGGCAAGGCGAAGGGACTGTGGGGTGGAGATCCAAAGACCTGGTGGTGGGGTAGAGAGACACAGAGCAGGCCAGAGTCCACTGAACACAGACAAAACACAGAAAAGGGAAAAAAAAACTTCACTTTAGAAGAGGGAGCAGGACGAGTTAAGCAAAGTATTCTGATATCTGGAACTGCATTCAAAATTCATTATTCCTAAGAATTACATTCTAGCCTTTACGGAGCAACCCTGCATATTTTCATTGCTCTATTACTTACTTCAGCCTGGATTTTAATCCATTCCACAGAGGCCAAAGATCAGTATTCATCTCACTGCATCACCCAGTCTGCTTCAAACAGATTTACTCAGTATATCGCAATCTGAGCCTGTGCTATCCTGTTGCTAAATTCCTGCTGGTCTCACCCTGTATTTACTAGGTGGCAACAATAGCTTTGATTCCAAATAAAATAATAATAACCCTTGCATTTGACATAGCGCTTTTCACGTCTTCTAGACGTCTCAAAGCGCTTCACAAAATAGACAGTAGAGTGTAGTGATTGTATATTTGTGGGCGAAAATACTTTGCTTACCTTAATTTCACTGGTTTCCCGGATCCACTCTTTAACTAGACTATTTAGTTTCCCTAGAATTGCGATTCTGCAAGATAAAGCAGTCAGTAAACATATGTGATGAAAGGAAAATGTGAAAGTTACAGAATGTAGTTTATTTACCCCCACTCTTAAATGACTCTCTTCCTGTTTTAGTGGCTTACACAATTTATGCATGTTCACCTAAAACAAGGCCACGAGTTGTAAAACATGCAAGGCCACAGCACGAGCACGTATACCGGACACAGCACACCCTTATAGCCTGGGAGGACTTATGTCTAACTCATCACTCAGCATAGTTCGTCACTGAGCTCTTTCCCTTGCAGTGGTGAGTTATCCGGAGTTTACTATACTTCGATATCTATATGCTCCCTCTTGTTGACGATCTCGGTCCTCACCTTCAAAGCCCTTCATGGCCCTGCTCCTCCCAACCTCCTAACCCCCTACTAACCTGCCTGCTCCCTCCAGTCAGCGGGCTCCAGCCTGATTCATATCCCATTGGTGGGCGGGCCTTCAGCACTCTGCCCCCACCCTCTGGAATTCCATCCTGCAGTCCCCCTCCTTGCCCCCTCGCTTGCCTCCTTCAAGACCTGCCTCAAGACCCTTTTCTTCGAACGTGCCTTCGATCACTCTCCTTTCCCCACCTGCACTCCACCCTCCCCAATCCCCAGCTTGGGGTCGAAACACTGATTGTCCAACCTAGGTCGTCCTCCCGATGTAAAAGTCGTTGTGTTTAATTTAGTTTTAAGGTTTCCTTAGTTTAAATTGACTGTAAAGCACAGCAATTACAGTACTCGCCAATTGCAAATAAAAAAAATTCTTTAAGACTTATTAGACATTGTAATGACTTTCTTGGTCACCCTGTATATACTGTGAAAATCACTGATAGTTTTATTTACTTCTGCTGTTGATTGTCATGACACAAAATTGCAATGACATTCACACTAAGGAACTAATCGCTAATAATAATAATAATAATCCTTGCATTTGATATAGCGCTTTTCACGTCGGGAGGACGTCCCAAAGCGCTTCACAGAACACACTGTAAAGTGAATTGACTGTATATTTGTGGGCGAACGCGGCAGCCAATTGCACACAGCAATGTCCCACAAACAGTCGTAGATTGAAAATGACCAATTTATTATTGTTTTGTTTTTTTGGAGGGATTATTATTAGGCTCTGTGTGGAGTAAGGAAACTTGCCCAAGGTTTCGCCCTGACCTGCCTGGAATTGAACTCAGGTCTCTCACTTGCAAAGCGAGTGCTCTAACCACTGAGCTACAGGACTCCAAGTCTGAACAGTCAACAGTTTAACATCATGAAACAAAGAAACACTAACTAATTAAAAGCTCAGGTTGTAAAATGTCTGTTAAAATTGTTACTGTACATCCACAGTGCAACCCTGATCAATCCCTGGTTACTGATCTCAGTATTGGAATAAAGTTATTTCGATCAGCTATTCAGGACTGCCTATTTGGGTTAAATTTACCTATGTTGCAGCTCCTCTTCCTCTTCAAAGACTCCAAAAGGTTTTAGGGCCTCGATGAGTTTCTGAGTAAGTACATGATCGTTTTCTCTTGGTAAAGCCAAGCTAATGGGAGACGTGATGCCATAATGCTTCTGTGTTGGGAGCTGCAGAGATCCTGGGTTTCCAGCAGGGCTGTGGAGCAGATGGTGACACATTAATCTATACAGTAACTTGTAGTTATGTTAGCACAAGTTTGGTTAATCAAGAGCTCATCGAAACTGCAATAAACATTTTAGGAACTTGCTACAGAAAGTTCAGCATGCTTGTTAAAGGCTGGACATCCTCACAAAGAAAAATTGGTAGCCACGGACAATGAAAAATAGCACGTACAAAGATTTGATATGATTTCGACTACAGTCACTAACCCAAAGAAGCATGAAATGTACTATAGAGGCATTACAGTGTAGTGCCATTTAGTAAGGAAATCTGCCTTCAGTAATTTGAAAACAACTCCTCTTCTCTGCTGCTCAACAAAACTATAGATACATGGACGGACTCCTGGGCAAAAGTAGCTCAGACAGAATCAATTTACTCTTTCGAGGAGGAATTTGGTGAATACTGTATGTGCTTGGGAATAGCATCGGAAGTTATAGGTACAGACAAATATGATGAAAGCTTAGAATGCAATACAAATATTAAAAAGTCCTTCCACTAAAAGGGGAAAACTCCATGAATGTCTGCAACATGCAATGCTGGATCAAGTTATCATAAACAAAGTCAGTTTGCAGCAGGTGTCAGAGCCACGCTGCTCGACTAGCATCACATTCAGATAAATGTGAACTCTGTAGTCATGAATTTACATAAACACAATTTGCTCAAATTGCAAGGTTAATACCTGGATAAACATGAGTGTGAAATGAAGAGGAAAAGGAAACAAAAAGCCCTTTCGCGAAGGCCGCTTGGGGAGTTGATGCGATGTGATTTGTGCCCCGTGCTCTGTATTGGGTTAAGAGCGGGGGAGTGGGACTAGTTGGCGGCTCTTTCAAAGAGCCGACACAGGCACAATGGGCCGAGTGACCGTCTTCTACGCCGTAGGATTCTGCTTTGTGACATGGGTTCTTTTTGTAACCAGGACAGACTGTCCTTGAAAATCAAATGGAAACAGACAATAATGAACTTTGAAAAGTATTGCTGAAAAGCTGGCCAAGACCTTGCTTAATGTACAGCGTCAATTTCACACGTAGAGAGTAAAGCTTTTCAAATCAATGCACAGCAACGAAGGGGGGAAAAAAGGGACCCAGTGAACGCAGAAGGATTGCCTGCTGAGTAACTGACATTATACAGGTATATCCAACACACAACTAATAATAATAATAATAATCCTTGCATTTGATATAGCACTTTTCACGTCGGGAGGACGTCCCAAAGCGCTTCACAGAACACACTGTAAAGTGAATTGACTATATTTGTGGGCGAACGCGGCAGCCAATTGCGCACAGCAATGTCCCACAAACAGTCGTAGATTGAAAATGACCAATTTATTATTGTTTTTGGTTTTGGAGGGATTATTATTAGGCTCTGTGTGGAGTAAGGAAACTTGCCAAAGGTTTCGCCCTCTGCCTGGAATTGAACTTAAGTCTCTCACTTGCAAAGCGAGTGCTCTAACCACTGAGCTACAGGACTCTACCCAGAGGACAGTATCGAGACACATTTGCCCAAGGCACAATAGTGAGTAAGTCAGGCAAGCAGACACCTGCTGGCAATTTGAAGCAGAAATAACAAGTGCTGCAAAGGAAACCATGCAATGTTACATTGATCAGAACAAAACAATGGTAGTCAACAATGAACTACAGTTGTGGCATAATTTTGCACACAAAATACAGTCATTAATTCCATTTTACAGCATATCCTGTGGAGCATTTTGAAACAATGTAATAAGGCGCTATTTCGAAAGCAAGCATTATTATAACTGTACACCTTATTGTCACACTTGATTCCATTCGAAAAGGTTATATTTGAAGTTTCTAACTACTCTACTGCACCAAAAAGATTGCATTGTGCACTAGCTACTGTATTGCATTTAACTGCACAATACAATCTTTTTGTTGGTTACAATAATGCCATCGGAAGCAGTATCCGATTCATAGCACTATTAGGAAAACATATAGAGAGATACTGCGGGTTTCGGTGACCCAGATGCCAATCGGGGAAGAACAGGGGGAAATCAAGGAGAACCTTCTAGTTCACATGCCAAGCATGCATAAAATGCAGAAGGCCATTGAACCAATTAACCAACTTTTCAGAGAGTAGATCTAACCCACCAGTCACAGACTCTACGCCAACCTCCAGAGGAAAAGCTCTGCAAAAGCATTCCGCTCCCCAAAGGTTATAAAGAACACTACAATATTCACGCATACAACATCTCCACTCCTCAACCTTGGTGTGCTGTCTCCAGACAATCCTCTTGCTGTGGTAATAGAGAAGCCTATGCCCACGCCTAAAGTCCTTAAAACTCTTCAAACCTGTTCCCACATATTTATTCAGCTCCTTTTTGAAAGAGTCGATCGCAATACCATCACCTGCTTTTAAAAATAAGCCTTGCATTTGCACTGAGCTTTAGCTGGTGTTCTGTTCCATAGAAGACATGTTCAGCATAGAAGAGCATACGGCCTGTTGAGTCTCTGCTACTGCTACCCATTCACTAAAACTTCATTAATCTCACTTTCCAGCTGTTTCTTAATAGTAAATAATAATCTTACATTTGATATAGCGCCTTATTACATCTTCGAGACATCTCAAAGTGCTTCACCGAATATATGTAAAGTGAATTGCCTGTATATTTTGAAGGTGAAATGCAGCAGTCATTTGCACACAGCAGTGTCCCACAAACAGTCGTGGACTAAGTGTCCAAATTATTTCTTTTCCATTTATTTTTTTGAAGGGATTATTACCCTCAGAAAAGCAATCCTCCAAATGACTAACGACCGGGTTCCTACTTACTGCTAGGTAAACGGAGTATGAAAATTTGCCTAACGTTTCGCCTTGCTCGGGAATTGAACCCAGGGCCTCTCGCTTGCGGGTTGTGCGCTCTAACCAATACTCTACAGGATTCTTGATGGCCCCTAATATTTTTACTGCCCTGGTGTTTATCCAGCTCCCTGTTGAATTCTTTTAAACCAACCTCAATAACCACTTGTGGCAATATATTCCAAAGGTTAATAACTCAGAATGTGAAAGTGGAGGGTAAAATCTATTTTCTAAACTAATTTAAAGTGTGAATTTAAAACTGTATCCTCTGGTGCAGTGACTATAGGAAGTCAAATTATTTGCTTATTTATTACATCTTCATCACCCTAATATTTTAACCTCCATCGGGTCTCTCTTTCAACCCTCAGTCAAAATATCTCTTCTCCAAAGAAACAAGCTCTAATCATTGGTTTCATCTAAATCTAGAATCATGCTTATTACTCATTTGAATTTACTCCAATACATCAATATATTTTAGAAGATAAATTCTTCTAACCTGTATTTGTCAGATACCTATCAAACTAATGGCCCACTAATGACTTCCTTAATAATAATAATTGGGTCACTCAATCCACGACTGTATGTGGGACACTGCTGTGTGCAATTGGCTGCCGCGTTTCGCCCACAAAATATACAGTCAATTCACTTTACAGTATATTCTATGAAGAGTTTTGATTCGTCTGGAAGATGCGATAAGGCATTATATCAAATGCAAGGATTATTATTATTATCTTACTTGCAGGAAGGGGAAGGAAAGCAAAATCTCCTGGGAGCTGAGCTGGCTCCAATGCAATGGAATATCAGAATTAAGTGACTACTTGTGATGGTTTTGAGTTTGGTCCCTGAGCCAGACAGGTCCACAGTAATTCAAGGCAACGTTAATGATAGACCAGTCAGCCTAGCTCTTTGGCAGGAGGTCAATTCTAGTGCCACGTGCTGCCTGGCTGAGATTAGTTTATTTCACAAGGATGACCTGTGGGACCTCCCGATCTGTAGATATAGGCACTCCACTGAAAGGGCCATTTCCTCACCATGACAAACAATTCATCAGTTATACTTATTATCCATCCAGGAAAACAATGCCGATTAGAGTTTAAATTAAGACATGACATACACATATCAATTATTCCTCCTATCCGCCGTTTCTCTGCTCATTACAGCCAAAATGCTACTAAAGTACAACGTGCCTGCATAAAATCCACGGATGTTGAATTGACGACAATCCCAGGGATACATTATATTGTAACCACAAATTCTCACTTGGGCGTGTACTTAAGCACAGAAATGATACTTGCTGTTGTCTTACTGCCAAAGTCCTAGCTCAAAGCCAACGTATGGTCAGAATTGGCAAATAAAGCACTTAACAGAGACAGAGTAGAAACCCAAACAAAGCTGGGAAATAGGCAGGGTTGGAGGGCGATGATCAAAGTCATACTTAAAGAGAGATGATTCTTAGGTTTTTGAAAGCAGAGCGTGTGGGAAAGAGTGCCAAAGCGGTAGCATTGTTACTAATTCTCAGCTGCAAATGGTGCAGATGGAGAGGATGTATAGCAAGCCAGAGATAGCAAAGTGGAAGCTGTAGGCAAGGGAATGAGACAACAACAAGATTACATTTGTATAGCGCCTTTCACGTCGGGAGGACGTCCCAAGGCGCTGGACAGAGTATAGCATTTCACACCCGAGCTGGGGTCAGGGAGGGAGAAGGGAGGGGAGGGGTACAGGGTGACCAATGGTATGGTCGAAGAGGAGGGTTTTGAGGCAGGACCTGAAGGAGGCTTAGGAGGGGGCGAGGCGGAGTGACTGGGGGATGGAGTTCCAGAGGTTGGAGGCAGAGTGGCTGAAGGCTCTCCCGCCAATGGTGGGTCGGGGGACGTGGAGCAGGCCAGAGCCGGCTGAGCGGAGGAAGCGGGTGGGTTGGCAGCGGGTTAGGAGGTCACAGAGGTAGGGTGGGGCGAGGCCATGGAGGGCTTTGTATGTGAGGACCAGGATCTTGAACTGGATCCTCTGAAGGATAGGGAGCCAATGGAGTCGGGCGAGAGTGGGGGAGATGGGGTCACGGAGTTTGGTGTGGGAGAGGGTACGGGCTGCAGAGTTCTGGATTATCTGCAGTCTGCGGAGGGAGGAGTTGGGAAGGCCGACAAGCAGGGAGTTTGCATAGTCGAGTCTGGAGGTGATGAAGGCGTGAACAAGAGTTTCAGTGGCCTGAGGGGTGAGGTAGTGGCGGAGTCGGGCGATGTTACGGAGGTGAGGGAAGGCAGAGCGGGTCATGGCTTGGATGTGGGGGAGAAAAGACAGTTGAGGGTCGAACGAGACACTCAGGTTCCTGACTGACTGGTGAGTTGTAGAATGTGCAACCATGGAGGTTGATGTTGCCAGAGCCTGAGGTGCGGAGACACTGGCGCGAGGCAATCAGGAGGGCCTCAGTCTTGTTCACATTCAACTGTAGGAAATTTGCCCTCATCAGGACTTGATGTCCGACAGTCAGTCTGTCAGGACAGCAGTGGTCCTGGAGTTGTGTGTGGAGGCAGAAAGATAGACCAGATAAGGTCTGAGAGGGCAAGGCACAATATACGACCCCAAAAGGATTATATTTGAGACGGACATAAAACCACCCCAACTTCAATAGGCTACCTAAACTCAAAACTATTTAATGAATATTCCCTAAGTATTTGAAAGCTGTTAGGTCCTGACAGTTGTGAATTCAAAGCAGTTGGAAGCTCCCATTTTGAACATGCAATACCTTAACTATTGGCTCTCTCCAGGAGACTTATCTAGTTACTTTACATCTCTTTTCAACCCTACACTAATGAATCCTGATCCTCCATCTGTGTTCAATAAATAAAGGCTTCTAGTGCTATATAAATGAATAAAGAATATGGTATTTCCTTAATCAGAAACCTAACCAATTTGTGCAACTTCTGGAGGTGAATGAAATCTGTCTCAAGAAGCTCATTGTTCCAACTGAAAAATGCAAACTATGGTAAGATCTTTAAAGTTTTGGAGAGAACAGCACAGTATTTAGCATTAAATTCACTTAGTGAGGACAAAAGTATAAACAAGATACAACAAAAATAAATGTTCACTTCACTATATTTGGCAATTATATATATAGATATATATAGATCTTTATATAGATCTATAGATATATACACACACACATGCTATAGATCTATATAAAGCACACGTTTCTCCTTCAAAAGATATGGTGTGTGATAATAAACCTCTCCTTTACACCATAGCACCACTAGTGCCATTTAAATCATTCCACCAAAGATTTCAGTAACATGCAAATTGTCATGTTTAAGGATGATCATTGTATTACTGTATTTATTTAATTCATTCATTCATTTGGGAGTGCCCTTCTTACGTGCCTAATTTTAAATAGATCTCAGTTTCTTGGCAGGAAAAATTGTGGCTCAATATTTTTAAATGAAACTTCATATTTTTAAAATCTTCCCGGCTTCCACTATTTTGAAGTAGTCAGGTACCTTTCGAACCCAACAGGTTCAGTAGATGGAACTTTACTTTTAGGACAGAATTTGATCTACAGAAATTTTTGCCCATCATACATTTAGGGTTTATTCCAGCATTATTGTCCTCACTCGTCCATCCTCACTTTCAAGGCCCTCCACGGCCTTGCCCCCCCTACCACCTCTCTGACCTGCTAACCCCCAATCAACCTGTTCGCTCCCTCCGTTCAGCAGCTCCATTTCTCCCGTCAGACACACCCTTACACCGGTGGGCAGGCTTTCAGTCTCTCTGTCCCCACTCTTTGGAACTGCATCCCACAATCCCTTCGCCTCACACCCTCTCTTGCCTCCTTCAAGGCACGACTCAAGACCCTCCTTTTCGACTGTGCCTTCAGCTGCCCTCTTACCTCTCTGCCCTCTCTCATCCCAACCCTGCCCCCCCCCACACTCAGGTCCCGATCCCCAACTGTTTAGCGCCTTGGGACATCCTCCAGACATGAAAGGCGCTTTACGAATGTAATTGTTGTATTGGTTGATATCAATACTTGAATAAAATTTAAAAATTCAATGAGGTTCTGGAATTATCCTCATTTTAAGAATGCGCAATCTTATTTATAGGCTCATTCCAAAACAAATCTCCCCTTAAAAGTGGTTCGATATAATTTGAAAAATTCAGCAGCATACTGCAATGCTTTTCACTGGTTAGCTGAACCTGGTTGGACCAGAGCAGAACATGGACAGAATACAGTTCATCAGGGAGATATTCTGTACCTACTCAGCTTTGGATATACAGGTCTGGAGTTTAGAGCTATAATAGTCTGCAGTTAGCTGGTATTGTTGAGTTAACTTATTGTCCCATAAGTATAATTTCTAATTATTCACAACAACCAGATTTTCCATAAGGAGTTTCCCATAACTTTATGAATGTGATAAAAAATATATACTGTAATATACAATCAACTGCATTATATTCAGCTACACATAGCACATTACACAGGTCCATGTACCTATTACTTTAGCTGGAGGTTGCATGAAGGTTAGAACACGTTTTTCCTCCATCTATTTTTAAAAGATTTGAAACTGCATTCTTCCAACTTAAAACTCTTAAACATTCCACTTTCTCCACTCCCTCATCTCTAAATATTAATCTATGATAACCAGTGCCTATCCCTGCGGAGTTTATAGCTAGATGTGTTTCCAGGATTTATTTTCAAGTTAAACTTTTCTGTATTGTGGAGTCCTGTAGCTCAGTGGTTAGAGCACTCGCTTTTGCATGCGAGACCTGGGTTCAATTCCCAGCAGGGTGAAACCTTGGGCAAGTTTCCTTACTCACAAGCCTGATAATAATCCCTCAAAAACAATAATAATTTGGTCATTTCAATCCATGACTGGTTGTGGGACACTGCTGTGCGCAATTCGCTGCTGCATTTTGCCCACAAATATACAGTCAATTCACTTTACAATGTACTCTGTGAAGCGCTTTGAGACATGAGAAGTGCTATACCAAATGCAAGGATTATTATTATATACAGAGAGCGGAGAAGCAATGCTCTCATGATAGTTATCCAGTAATTCAGCCTGGAAATTGCTGAGAATAGTATCAATAATTCCACCCCCCCCATCCCGTTCCCCCATCCTGTCCCTATGGTCAGTCAGCAGTCATTGTTCCAGTGAACATGAAAAATGGCTTCTTCGGCAAAGATACCGAGAGTGGTCAGTGATTAGGCAACAGTAGTTTCAGTGGGCTACCGGCATTAGTTAAGCAGGATTCGTCCCTCCAGGGAGAGTGTGTATTCCATTCCAACAGTGTATCTCTGGAATTTCCATGGACAGGTGGAACGAATGGAAATCTCAGCTTGGTTTAGATACTCTTAAGCACGGTGATGGGCTTCCGCATTTGTCAGTCACCCAGTTGACCCCCCCCCAAACTGAAACTTTCAGTAACCTGAAGGGGAATTTGGGGTGAAGATCTCATCATTCTGGGTAGTCTTCCTGGTCAAGTTTCATGAAGCAATACAGACTGTGATTTCCTTCCTGACAGCCCAATATCCTAAAGTTACATCAACAGCGAAATTACATATTCTTTTAAATGGGATGTGNAAAAAAATAGTATCGCTCGGGGAACTCAAAGCGAAAGGACTATTTAGCGCTGCCTGTCGTTTCGATGAAAGTTCCTTACCAAGGTCATGCATCCACCCCTGCCAAAAGAGGTGGGAGTTGTTTTTTTTTTAATCACCATCACATCAACTCCTGGCGTGCGATTTTAACAGAGGGTAAAGTTTTTAAACTGCAACCCACAATGCGGTCTTATGAAATTTCGCTTCGGGCTTTGGAAAAGAACACCAATAACGCCGTCGTCAAGTTTAAATTAAAGCCTATTAAAAAAAAGTAGGGTGGGGTGGGGGGGAGGTGTGTTGTACCAAAAAAAAACACGGTTCGTTATAAATTTAGATTAAGAACGGCGTAAGATGTTACCCAACAAGTGTAAAAAAAAATCAAACCTGTATTACAGTAACAAGCAACAGTGAGGCGTGACTGGGCATTATCAATACATTTACTGCTTGTGTGCATATACTATATGCAATATATACACTATATATATATATACACACACACACACACACTTTGCAATCAAAAGAAAACTAAAGCAGGAGGGATGGGATCGCACCAGAGAGGCGAGGAGAGAGAGACGAGGCCCACATGACAAGACAGGCGTGTGTTCGAACCCCAACCCCAGTCTGTGATATATATATATATATAATATATATATATGTGTGTGTGTGTGTATGTGAGAGATAAGTGTGTAATATTAACTCTTGTCTCTCTCTCTCTCTCTCCCGCCCGCGGTGTGTACAGGACCGGTGCACACGGCGGTGGTTGGCGCCCGGGGAGGCGGCGCGAGGCACCGGGGCGGCGCGGTGCGGTGCGGCCTGTGTCGGGGGAGAGCCTGTGCGTGTGGCCTCGGGTTTTCCTCCCTCACTCCCTCCCTCCCTCTCTCCCTCCCTGACTTACTACGGCATGGTGTGTGGGCCGCCGCTCTCTAACGGTCGCCGGGGGCTGTTAGCATGTTGCGGCGGGGGCGGCGGTCTGGTCTGGTTTGGTTTATTCTCTCTCTCCCTCTCCCTCTCTCTCTCTCTCTCCCTCTTTGTGTGTGTGCGGTTTTCTTCAACTCCGGGGAAATCGTGTCGGAGGGGTTTTTTCTTTAAAAAAATTGTTTTGTTTTCCCCTCTTCTTCTTCCTCTTCTTCTTCTTCTTCTTCTTCCTGCTGCTTCCTTCCTTCCTCTCCGTCGTCGTCGTCGTCTTCTTGGCTTCCTTTTCCTTCTGCTTCCTCCTCCTTTCTGTCCCCTTTTCTTCGGTTATAACAATGCATCCGAGCCCAACATGGCGGCCGCCGCACAACAAACAAACCCGCCGCAGCCAGCGCCAGCCGGCTCCCTCCCTCCCTCCCCGCCCCTGCGTCCTCACGCACGGCACGCACGCACGCAGGGCACGCACGCACGGCACGCTCGCCACGCTCCACTCCCGCCCGCCCGCCCGCCCCTGCGTCCTCACGTCCAACGCCCTCACGCACGCCAGACAGCAACGCGCGCTCCTCTCGCCTCTCCACTCCACTCCACTCGCCCAACGTCCTCGCGTCACGCACTCACGTCACGTCACGCACGTCACGCTCCTCTCCCTCCCCCACCCACCCCTGCGTCCTCACGTCCAACGTCCCCACGCACGCCAGACAGCAACGCGCGCTCCTCTCTCCTCTCCACTCCACTCGCCCAATGTTCTCACGTCACGCACGTCACGTCACGCACGTCACGCTCCTCTCCATTCCCCCGCCCCTCCCCCACTCACCATCCTCACGCCCTGCGTCCTCGGGTCCACGAGCCTCCGCCTCTGCCCCTGTCTGTTTGGTTGGCCCTCCTGGCGGGCGGGGGGCCGGGCGGGCGGGGACCTGGCGAGCGGGCGGGCGGGCGGGGGGCCGACGCGCGCGGACAACCCCAACCCCCGGCTTCGCGGTCTCCGAACCCAACCGAGAATCCCCCACCTCCCACCGGGACGCGTGGAAATCCCCGGTGCGCGGGTTGGGGGTAACCGGTCTGAAAGCGCACAGCGTGCCGTTGATAGCGCCGCCTGGCAAGCTTTCCCGCCAGGACCACCCTGCCCTTGAGGGCTTTCGGCTGCCGGGTTAACAGGAGCGGAGCGGGAGGATTCCCTGCCCTTCCAGGTTCCCCCCCCCCCCCCCCCCTCCCCGATGAGCCGGGCTGAGCTGTGCCGTCTTCAGCCGTGCCCTCTCTCCGCGCACACGGAAAAAACTCGCACGCGGCCGTCATGCGTAACAAGAGTGTTGGGGGTTGGAGGAGGAGGTTATCACATGGCTCTTTTCCCTCTATGTGGTTCCCTCCACCACACTCCGGGCACACTCACTCTGACTTACACAGGACACGCAGGAGTCCTGTAGCTCAGTGGTTAAGAGCGCTCGCCTTGCAAGCGAGAGGCCTGGATTCGATTCCCAGCAGAGGACGAAACCTTGGGCAAGTTTCCTTACTCCACACAGAGCCTAATAATAATCCCTCAAGAAACAAACAACAATAAAATCGGTCGCTTCAATCTACAACTGTTTGTGGGACACTGCTGAGTGCAGTTGGTATTTCGCCCACAAACTGCAGAGTCAATTCACTTTACAGAATATTCTGTGAAGCGCTTTGAGACATCTAGACGTGAAAAGAGCCATATCAAATGCTAGGATTATTATTATTATGTTAATTATTTATAGTTATCCTTACATTTCGTATTGTACTGCAGGTCAGACTGGCAAGTGGAGGCACGCTCACCTCGGAGTCACAAGTTGTGGGTTCAAATCCCACGTCAGTCTTGAAAGATCCAATGCAGCACTGAAGGTGTGATGTCAAAAATGCCATCCTTCAGATGAGATGTTAAACCAAGGTCCTGTCTGCTTGTTCAGGTGGATGTTAAAGATCCCATGGAGGTATTAGAAAAGAGAATGGAGTTTCTCTCTCCTGGTGTCCTGGCCAACAAACCCCCAAGTGAAATTGGTCACTCACCAATGGCTTTGTTGGACATTGTTGTGCGCAACCGGCTGCCGCGTTTCCCCCAGAAAATTCACAGTATAACCTGTGAAGTGCTTTGAGACATCTCGACATGAAAGGCGCAATATCAAATGCAAGGATTATTATTCTTATAATTTCAAATCCCTTCACAGGATATTCTCCAAAGTGTCTGTAATTTTTGTAGGCAAACCAGGCCAATTTACATACACCCACGTCCCACAAATAGTCATGAAGTGAATCTTGAGGTGGAGGGGGGGAAGGGAAATTATTGACCAGGGCACAGGGAGAAACCTCTCTTTTTCAAATATTGCCATGAGATCTTCAATGTCCACTTGAACAGGCGCAGACAGGACCTTGGTTTAATATCTCATCTGAATAGGGTTTCCAACCCTCCAACGATGTCAAGGAATTAAAGATTGAGCTGGACAATGCTGGGAGAAACCCGGGAGCACAATCACAGGAAATTCTCATGGTGAATATTGAACGGTGAATTGAATGTTTCCTTATTCCACATGCCCGGTTACCCACCATTAAGTCAGAACCCTGTTGTCGATTGGCGGATTACTTTCCGAGGGTAATAATCCCTTCAAAATATTGAAATAAATAAAATAACAATAATTAGGTCACTCAACCCACGACTGCTATGTGCAATTGGCTACCTTGTCTCACCAACAAAATATAGTCAATTCACTTTACAGTATATTCACAGGATATACCATAAAGGGAATTGACTGCATATTTTATGGGCGAGATCGTCACAGGACATACTATAAAGTGGTTGAATGGATATTTTGTGGGCAAAACTCGGCAGCCAATTGCACACAGTAGTGTCCAACAAACAGTCGTGGATTGAGTGACCTAATTATTGTTATTATTATTTGTATTTATTTTTTCAAAGGGGTTATTACCCCTGGAGAAACAATCCCCAATTGACTACTAACCGGATTCTTACTTATTGCTAAGTAAACAGTGGCGATTGGAGTAAGAAAACTTGTCCAACATTTCGCTCTGCCCGGAATCAAACCCAGGTCCTCTCGCTTGCGAGGCGAGTGCTCCAACCACTCTGCTACAGCACATACCATTATTAGTGATGTGTCCTCATTATTGAATTGGGTGCTTTGGTTGTCGTCCATGGAGAGAAACACACTGAAATAGTGGCCACTAGTACAGTGAGTTACACATCATTACCGAGGCGCCTTACATGGTGACGTTCAACCAGACTGAAGTAAAACATAAAGTCAGTCCTTAGCTCTATAAGAGTACAGACAAATAGATGCTACTTTATTGGAATGCGTGATAACCAAGATTTGCTTTAAATTGCAAGCACTAATTACATTTGCGCTGCACAGCTTATTAATAATAGTTTAATGAAAAATATATTCTACAGTTTTGAACGGGCTCTTTATTGGGAAGTTGCCTCAACTGCTTCTTTAATCCTCTTCATTCAATTTGTGGATTGTTCTTGAGCAGATACTCAGCCTTTGGAGAGGAAAAAATACAATCTATCATCAGTACAATAATTGAAATTCCACCAACTTTTAGTCTTTCAAGTCATTTTTGCCTGAACATTGGAGCGACACTCATGTACACACACACACAAACTCTGAACAAGAAACTTCAGATACAATTTAAGTTATTAAATTGAGTCTTAATTTGAAAGACAGTTTTCCAGGTTTATTGTTTTAAAAAGACCTCAGTTTAACATCTCATCCGAACAACGGCACCTTTGACAATGCAACATGTACCCCCAGTGGAGCGTTAACTTAAGACTATGTGAACTCAAGGCTCTTACTCTAACGTGTCTTTGTATCCCCTTACCAGAAAGTCTACAGGATCCTCGGGCCTGATTTTGCAGCACTCGATTAATCCCTGTGTGAGGGTTGGCATGACGTTCTGCATCAGGTAATTCCGGAGAGGGATCGAATGAGCTTCAAGGAACTCGTGTTCCTCTCTCTTTACATCTTCCAAGCGCTTGTTCTGCAATGAGTAACATAGAGAACCCATCATTCCCATTCTCTCTCTCAAACACACACACACTCTCACTCTCTCTGAACAAAAAACCCTAAACACAAACTTTAAACAGTAACGCTTTCTGAGCCAGGCAGGTACCACAGTATTCCAGGACATTGCTGATGACGCACAGCACAGCCTGGTTCATGGCAGGGCCTGGAAGGGCAGACCAGTCACCAGGGGCAGGGAATTCTGACACTCAGTTCCTGTTAACCCTACAAGCCAAAACCCTCCGTGTGGGTATCTGACACATGAGGAAACCCATCACCATACTTAATATCCAAACCAAATATGTATCCCACCTACATATGGAAATTTCAGTGACAGATTGTTGGAATGGAATGCACACTCTCTCCCTGAAGGGACGCATACTGCTTACCTAATTCTGGAAATTATTAGGCGCAGATTGGCAAGAGCCAAGACTTGGAGACCCCAAAGCATGGGTTGGGGTAACTGCTGGAGTTTAACCAGCTAAAACCTGCATAGCTTGCCATTGATAGGTGCAAGTTGGCAATATCACTCAAACCAGTCAGCACGAGGGGGGGTGGTACCTGCTTTGTGCAAACTGTTCAGAATCCTGTGGGCATCGGGTCGGTTGATCAGTCAGTCAATAGTCAGTCGGGCAGGGAATCTCCCCACTAAGCTCCTGTTAACCCTGGAAGCCAAAGCCCTCAGGGGTAGGGTGGTCCTGGCTGGACGAGCAACAAGCAGTGGGAAAACTTGCCAGACAGCGCTATCAAGGGCAAGCTAAGTGGTTTTAATAAAAATAATCTTTGTATTTGATACAGCGTCTTATCACATCTTTGAGATGTCTCAAAGCGCTTCACAGAAAATACTGTAAAGTGAATTGACTGTATATCCCAAGCTGTGAAAGAAAAATATATATATTATATATAATTTACAGTAACCTCAGCTGTCTTTACATGGACTATGGTGATGTGGAGGAAGAATCAAAGGACACTTGGGTTTGGATGCCGTGTATCAGCCTTGTTTGGGATCTTTAAATATAATCACTTCAGAGCAATCATTTGCCAGTTGCTGACAGGTTGATACTCCCTCTCGTCAGCAGGTTCAGCCTGGTTCTCCACTATCGTTGGGGTGGGCCAGGTGTTTTAACTGGTTAGACTCCAGCTGCTGGTGACTCACCCATTCCTCCCAACGCGCTAACTTTTCCGCGGATTCCTCTGCCTCCCTGCGTTCCCGCTCGGCCCGTTCCGTGACCTCCTTGAGGAGCTGCTCCTTGGCCTGTTTACGCTCGATCTCCGCCAGCTCCTCGGGGGTGGGGCCGTAGTTCCTGGTCTTGCCGACCAGGCTGGTGATTTTCTCCACCAGTGCCGTGTTGGAAGGGTCAGTGTCCTTGGTGATGTCTGGGAAGAGGGAGACAATGACAATGCTGTGTTATTGTCAGACCCCCGTTATAACATGGTGGGCTATAGGGGGTGGAGATGTTGGTGGAGGTCCATAGAATTAGACCCTGTGTTTAAGGGGCTACATTATATGCCGTTGACAACACCAAACTACTCTGCTATTCAAGCAGGAAGCCGGCAACAACAACCACAAATTGCATTTATATAGGGTCTTTCATGTTGGGAGTACATCAAGCTGTGGGCTTGAGTCAAGATTGGTGGAGGGCAAGAGGGAGATGGGGGGGAAGATGACCGAAAGCGTGGGAAGTGCACTGGCCTGCACCACATCCCCCCGCCCTGCTTGCTCCACCATCCACTGGAACTCCATCCTGGAGCACCTCTGCTTTGCCCCCTCCCTTGCCTCCTTGAAGGCCCATCTCAAGACCTTCGTATTGAACCCACAACCTGGAGGTGGTAGCCCAACCGACCACAAGATGACCGTTGTGACAGCGCAAGATGCAAAGATCTTGCTGGGTCCGAGCAGCAAGTCAGTCAGTTTGCGGGTGCAGTATCTAATCCACTTACTTACTTACCAATGTGCACGGGATGAACCTCGATCTCCTCAAAAAAATTAAGCAGCGTCTCGTCCTCTGTGTTGGTGTCCCTGTACTTCGCCAGATGCCTCAGGAATTTCTCTTGTGTGTAATGAGTCCCTGCAACCTCGCTCTCTGCCAGGTTCATGATACGGTTCTTCAAGAAATCGTCGCTGGCATCCAAGGCAAAGATGTGCTCTGCGGTGAGAGATTTATTTAGTTTGGTCTCACCTGGCGGCACACCACAGGAAGTGATGTCAGGTCTGGATGAGTAGCCATACTCTTTGGCTTCCGTCAACGTCTTCCCTCCTGCGCGTCTCAACTCCTCAACCTCCCGGGTCTCTCCCTCAGACTTACCGAACCCATGCGCAACATAGGCGTCAGGTTTGTTCCCCAACTTTCCTTTCTATCCACATCCATTCCCTGACCAGGACCCACTTTTTTCCTCCTCTGTCCCAATGCCCACTTCCGACTGTACCTCACATCCAAAGCAGCCCTCGACCACGCTTTCAACACTTCCCTGCTAGACTATTCTAACATCCTCCGCGCTGATCTCCCCAGCTTCACTACACAAAATTCAATTATTTAAAAACTCCGCCGCCCGGATTCCCATCCGCACAAAACTCCGTACCCCAATCACACCAGTTCTTGCCAGGCTCCGCTGGTTCCCAATTACTGAACAGATCGATTTCAGGATCCTCTCACTCATTTGCAAATCCCTTCCTGCCCTCGCACCTCCCTACCTATCTGTTCTGCTTAACCCCTCTCCACCACCCGCTGCCTCCGCTCGGCTGGTTCCGGCCTCCTGTTTGTCCCTCGTCCCCTCCACTCCGCCATCAATGCCCATGCCTTCAGCTGCTACGCCCCGAAACTCTTGAGTTTTCTTCCTCTATCCCTCCGCCTCGCCCCCTCCTTCCCAATCTTCAAATCCCACCTAAAGATTGTAATTGACAAGACGTTTTTGATTGTGCTTACAGTCACCTCCCACATCCCTCTCCCCGGCCCATTGTCAGACTCTGCCATTGTGAGGAGCTCCGGGAAGCTACCATATAAATCCAAGTTGTTGTTGTTGTCAGCTGTGATCTGATTGACCCCAAAGTTGGTCATTTTGGGTTCCTTCTCTCTCTCAGTGTCCTGGCTGACAATTCCCTCAAATAAAATGTGGGCACTCCCTCCATGGCTGTTTGTGGGACATTGCTGTGCACAACTGGCTACCGCGTTTCCCACCAAATTACACAGTAACTACACTTTACAGTATATTCTGTGAAGCACTTTGAGATGCCTCAACGATGTGATAAGGCGCTATATCAAATGTAAGGATTATTATTTATTATTATTCCCTGTACTGGTGTAATGGAGTAATTTTGCACTGCTTTTAGGCCTTCTTCCTCCAAATCAATCTCGTTTGAAAAAATACTTCCTTTTTTCAAACCCTGTAGGTCCCTGTTCTACTAGTCACTCTGTTGTCCTAATTTTGAACATACTGTAGGCGGTAACCCTTGTTACCATATACAGTGTGTAATTCCTGAAGGTTTAATTTAAAAGCATGTGGCCCTATGTTCAAGCCTCCTTATGATAATTTTTAAGCCTTTTGATGCTTCCAATTCCAATTTGATGCTTGAAAAGAAAAAATCTGCAAGACTATAGGGAAAGAGCAGGGCAGTGAGAGGGATTGGGAAGCTCTTTCAAAGAGCAGGCACAGGTACGATGGGCCGAATGGCCTCCTGTGGGCTGTAGGACCCTGTGAATTCGGAATGTCACCCCGTTACTATGTTACTATGCAAGAAACCATTGGACGTTGCGTATTGTGGTGAGAGAACAAAGTATGATTGGTATTAAACAGGGCAACGACAAAGCGCAAAGCCACAGCGGGAACCATTCTTACCGGGAGTGATGGACTTGTCAAAGTGCACTATATTGGTTAGAATGTCCGTTGCCTCGTCGTCATATTCAGCTGCAGTGAGAATAGAAACTCGTCAGGGTTTTGTAATAATGACGGCAAGGTTTCAAGAGCTTTGTTCCACCATAGCATCGACTGCAGGTGAGTCCGAGAGCTCCGAGATTTTGCTTTCAATTTTGGGTTTGAACCCACAAACATCTTGCCAAGGAACGAAAGCCCTTAAATTCAGAATTAAATCAGAAGTTGGCCCTTTTTCAAGGACCGTGGATTCAGATTTGAACTTAAGTCAGATCGGGAACTCGCTGCGATGATCAGGAACAATTGCATTTCAATCACACGGTGTTATAACGGGGAGAGGGGGTTGGGGGGGTGGGGGAGTTTGTAACACCCTGTAACATGGCTTGCGAGAAATCATGCAAAGTAGAGAGTGAGAGAGAGCACTCACTGCCAAAGAGATCCTTGGTTTGTAGGTAACTCTTTGGAAACCCGTCCAGGATGAAGCCTTGGTTCTGACACTGCATCGATTTCAGCTTCTCCTTCATGAACCTGATGACAAAATGATCGTCCAGGCGACCTACAACAACAACAAGTTACATTTACTCAGCGCCTTTCACGTCGGGAGGCGTGGGACAGTCAAGGTTTTGGACCCGAGCTGGGGGTTGGGATCAAGAAGGGTGAAGGGCAGGGAGGGTGGGGATAGGAGGGTGATTGAGGGCGCGGTCGAAGAGTAAGGTTTTGAGATGTGCCTTGAAGGAGCCAAGGGAGGGAGGAAGGTGAAGGGACTGTTGGATGGAGTTCCAAAAAGTGGGGGCAGAGAGGCTGAAGGCCCAACCGTCGATGGTGGGGCGGGCAGGGCTGGGGTCGGAGCCTGCTGAGCGGAAGGAGAGGAAGATTGGTATGGCAGAGAGAGCATTATTTCTGCTAGAAGCCACTCAAGGAAGGATATGCCAGACAAGATGACTAAACACCCGTTCTACCACCACTCCATCAACAATAACAAATTGGGAAAAGCAATTTCTCCTGTTGGGACTCAGCGCCCACATTTTTCTGGGGCCTCTCACACTACCTTCAGACTGCTCCATGTTCTCTCTGATTTGGTCCAGAAGCTCCTGGGCTTCTTTGGAAGTGATTTCTTCCTCCTCCTCCTCCTCTTCCTCGGTATCGACCCGACCGATCTTTTCCTCCTGCAACAAGAAGATCCGGGTTACAAGCAGATTGTAAAGGGGGAAGCATTGTGTTTCCAGAACAAAAGCTGCAGCTTTTCGCTCTGTTGCTGCAATGTTTGTAGACTAAGGGGGCAGCCATGTTTGTAGACCAAGGGGGCAGCCATGTTTGTAGACCAAGGGGGCGGCCATATTTGTAGACCAAAGTGGTGTCAATGTTTTTAGACCAAGGGGACGTCCATGTTTGTAGACCAAGGGGGCGGCCATGTTTGTAGACCAAGGGGGCGGCCATGTTTGTAGACCAAGGGGGCGGCCATGTTTGTAGACCAAGGGGGCGGCCATGTTTGTAGACCAAGGGAGCGGCCATGTTTGTAGGCACGTGTCTGTAACCTGCAATGCTTCTGGTGTAGCAATAAATAATATTAATAATAATAACCATAACCCTTGCATTTGGCATAGCACCTTTCCCATCAGGTGGACATCCCAAAGCGCTTGACAGTATACAGTGTATATAGTGACACCTCAAACCTACCAGTTTCCTTACGGATTCCAAAATGACGTCCTTTATTTTAATGTGGTGAAGCTTGAAATGTTTGGACAGCTTCTCCGCCATTGCGGTCTTCCCCACACCCGGGGGTCCCACAATAGCGATCTTCAGTGGCTGTGAAACACAAAAACAACAACACATTACATTATATGGCGCCTTTCACATCGAGAGGAAGTTTCAAGCTGCTGGAAAGTTATACCTTGGAGAGAGTTCTAACAAGACGTTGGTCAGTTGGTGCCTTTATGTGTTAAATATTTTACATATTAAATATTATTAAATATCATTTTCATTTCACCCGCAAAATACAGTCAATCCACTATATATTCCATTATATTTTGAGAAGCGCTTTGAGAAGTCTAAACATTGTGATAAGACGCTATATCAACTGCAAGTATTATTATTATGACTCTGACTTAATTTAAGGCCGGCGTCAGATTGTATGCTTTTGGCAAATGAATATTTAACATTTATTTTGAGTCATGAGTATTTTAATTTGGTATCAAAAACCAGGTACTGGTTTTGCCCTCCCGACTTGAACCTACCCCATCCCCAACTCTAGTCACTGGGAGATTAGGTATAAAATACTGACTCCGTGCTAAATAGTGTCATGGCCTGGACTCAACAACCTTCTTCTCTCGTATGTGCATCACGTTTTCTCATACGTTGATACCTGGTCTGTTTGTTCACCCCTGCCGGCAAGGGAGAACCCATGGTGCTGTTTTGGACGAAGAGTGAAGATACCTGATACCTCACACACAAGTTCACACACACACACATACACTCACACACACTGATCGGCCGGGTGTCTGACACGTGGGGAAACCCATCACTGTGCTTAAGAGTCTCCAAAACCAAACTGAGAATTCCATACATCCCACCTATACATGGAAACCCCAGAGATAGATTGTTGGAATGGAATGCACACTCTCTCTCTCCCTGGAGGGACACATCCTGCTTAATCTAATCCCAGAAAGTAGTAGGCACAGTTTGTCAAGAGCCAAGGCTCGAGGGACCCCAGAGTTGGGTTGGGGGTATGTAGGGATTCTTGATAAGGCAATCTGCATCCCAACAATCCTCCACGAGATATATTTTCTTCCAACTTTGGCTACTATTTCCTTCTGGCTGAGAATCCTCCGAAAGGATGGGAGCATGTAGAAGATTCAAAATTCATACGATTTTAGGGCAAATCTGGGCACTGGAGTCAACAGCAGTGAGGGTGAGAGGGGGTGAGAGGGGAGGGAGTGGAGGTGGTGGGAAGATAATAATAATAATAATCCTTGCATTTGGTATAGCGCTTTTCATGTCGGGAGGACGTCCCAAAGCGCTTCACAGAACACACTGTAAAGTGAATTGACTGTATATTTGTGGGCGAACGCGGCAGCCAATTGCGCACAGCAATGTCCCACAAACAGTCGTGGATTGAAAATGACCAATTTATTATTGTTTTTGGTTTTGGAGGGATTATTATTAGGCTCTGTGTGGAGTAAGGAAACTTGTCCAAGGTTTCGCCCTGACCCCCCGGGGATTGATCTCAGGTCTCTCGCTTGCAAAGCGAATGCTCTAACCACTGAGCTACAGGTTGACCGAAGATGCAGTCTAAAAGGAAGGTTTTGAGATGGGCTTTGAAGGAGGCAATTCCGGGATGGCGTTCCAGAGGATGGGGGCAGAAAAAAAGGGTGTATGTACGTACATATAAAAACCTCAACAAAACGGCTGATGATAGAGAAATTAAAGATTTCTTCTTACCAGGAGCCCTCGAGATTCCTTGAATTCCTGGATCATCTTCTGCATGTTGTCCACCAGGCCGTTCTCAGCCTCCCAGCGGATGTTAAAATTCTCTTTGATGTAGAAAGCCTCCAGAGGCAGGTTGATCAGTAAATGATCGATATTCGATTGCTGTCGAAAAACACAAAACGAGAAAAGCAAGCTGACAGTTATATATCGGGAGGACATCGGAAATCACTTTATATAGCGCTTCTGTTCGGAGACTAATCTAAAAGAATTAATTGCTATCAACATCTCCATTATTGTAGTTTGGGACTACCAGGATGATAGAACTAAATGGATCTTAGTCTTTTCTTGTCCAACAATTCCTATGTTTCTGTACAGTTGGCTGGGAATCCAAGATGACTAAGAGGGAAGGTGGCCGAAAGCGCGGTCGAAGAGATTAGCTCTTGAAAATAACACCAATACATTGCATTTATATAGTGCCTTTCAGGTCGGGAGGACGTCCCGAGATGCTGGACAATCAAGGGTTTGCACCCGAGCCGCGGCTGGAATCAAGAGGGTGTGGGGGACAAGGAGGGTGGGGGGGTGGGCAGATGACTAAAGGCGCAAGTCGAAAAGGAAGGTCTTGAGATGGGCCTTCAAGGAAACGTGGGAGGGGATAAGGCGAAAGACGTGTACTCACTTGCAAGTCTTTATTAAGCAAAGCGTTTTCCTCTGGAACCATCTCCACCTTGCCCGACCCAAGTTTACTGATTGCCTGTAAAAGGGAAGAAATATTATTTACATGGTCCTCCCAGAGCAAGAGCACAGCTTCGCATACACCACAACCACCACCATCAACAACGTGAGTTTATATAGCGCCATGTGGAGTCCTGTAGTTTAGTGGTTGGAGCACTCGCCTTGCAAGAGAGAGGACCCGGGTTAGAGGACAGTAACATCTTGTGTCTTAAAGTAAAATCTTAAAAAGTTACCTTGATTATGCTTTGCAGTGAATTTTTTGAATCGTCGACAGCGATCAGGTAGTGAATCTTGGGTTTCTGATCTGCTACATTCTGCAAAACTCTGCGAATAAAAGCAAAATAAAGGTCTCACCTTGGCTCAGTCGCTTGCACTCTCACCCCCTGCTGTTAAGATCAATAATAATGCTTATTAATAATAATAATGCAACGCCTTCTCACGTCATTAAGATGTCTCAAAGCGCTTCACAGAATATACTGTAAAGTGGAGTGACTGTGTATTTTGTGGGTGAAACACAGCATTATTATTAGTATAGTATTATTACTGTTATTACTACCGATCTCTATACTATGATAGTATTAATTCATACTGTACATTATTAATAATAATTAGATTGTACTATATATAATTTAATTATTACTATTATTGCTATCCATCTCTATATCATTATATTGCTAATTAATCCTGTACATTAATATATTATTATTAATAATAATTTAACTGTCTATGTATAATCAAATGATTATTATTACTATTATTGCTATTCATCTTGTTGTTTGTGGGACAGTTACCGCCATAACAACATTCACTTTCATCTCCAATCAGTGATGTTCAGTGAAGGGCATTTTCTCGGGGCGGTTACTTTAGAGGAATGGAGCTGCGTGATTGTAAGTTGCCGTTGCTGGTGCTCTGAGCCGACAGGAAAGCTCTCACACTTACGCAGCCAAGTCCCTGATGTGAATGCACGGAACTATGTTTAACCCGTCTCCAAAGTAGGGAACGGCTGGAACGTCCCCGAGCCAAGCCATCTGCAGACACACAGAAACCAGTCAGTCCCGTTGGGTCAGAAACAAATGCAATACAATTGACCTGATACTCCACTGCGCCTTTCACATCCCAAGGCCAAAGCTTGATGCCTCTGGCTGGGCACCAGAGCGAAGAGTGGGGAAAAGACGACCGAAAGCGCGGGAAAGAGGCACGTTTCGTGGTGTGTCTTGAAAGAGGCGAGAGAGGGAAGGAGGGAGGGAGGGATCAAACGAGCAAGGATGGAAGGGACCGAGCGAGAAAGGGAGGGAGGGAGGAATAGAGGAATGGAGAGAGTGAGGGAGGGAGGAATGAGGGAGGGAGTCTGTCCCCACAGCTCTCACTGAGTTTAAGATTTTTTCACAATTCTGGATGACTGTGTGTGTGCGGGTGGTCAGGTCAGAGGCTAACCTCTGTCTGGGATGTTGCGAGGCAGATCTTGAAAGAGGGGAGAGAGAGAGGGAGGGAGAGAAGGAGGGAAGGAGAGAGGGAGCGATAGAGGGAGCAAGTCGGAGGGACCTGGGAATGGAGTTCCCAGGGAAGCCTTTGATTGAGAGTGGGAACGACTCTGTATTCTGTGACTGGGACACAGTTACAACAACAACAAATGACAATTACACAGCGCCTTTCACTTTGGGAGAACTTCCTAAGGCGATGGACAACCAGAGATTTGCACCGAGCTGGGGGTTGGGAGCAGCAGGGGTGGAGGAGGACCGAAGGTACAGTCGAATAGGAGGCTCTTGAGACTGGCCTTGAAGGAGGTTAAGGGAGGAAGCGAAGGGACTGTCAGATCAGGGTGGGTGTAGAGGGCCAGGAGGGTGGGGGTTACTCACAAGAACAACAACAACAAGATTACATTTGTATAGCCCTTTCACGTCGGGAGGTCTTACCTTGAAGAAGGTGTGGAACACAGTCTCTTCCATTCCGTAGTGAAGTCCAGAGGCAACGACGTACGTATTAAATTTGCGTTTCTTCTAAAATGGGCGAACAGAATCACATGACTGAATTGAAAAGCAAAATCTCCAAATACAGCCTCAGTATTTTAGAAGAGGTTTTAATCGAGGGGGAAAAGTCCTTCCGTTACTGAATACAATTACTTGCTTCTAAATACAATATCATCATTCTTCCACATGTTTCAGTTGATGGTCAGTGCACTGTAAGAAAAAAATGAGGGTAACAGAACTTTGTGGACAACCTGTACACTGAATCTCCTGTTGGATACCCTTTAAGAAAATAAGGACCAATTAAATAGGACCAACGAAAGGGATCCGGAGGTAGAAACGTAGGGAGAACTGGCTGAAGGGTTTTTGGTTGGATTGTTTGATTTGTAACTTATAAGCGAAGAATAAAAGAGTTTTCTACACATTGAGTTTTGAGAACATAACATCTCCCACTTTAACCCAGAAAGCTGTGGACACACAGGCCTGACTGTTCTGGATTTCACTACGTACAGTTTTCCCCAGTTTGATAACCAGTTTCTCAATGCTCAGGTGGTCTTTGAAGTTGGGGTGTGCTTTCCTTCTCCGATAGTCATCCTCCGTGAAGGGAACCGAAGGGTCATCCTGTGAACAGAAACAAGCTTTGCGTTCATCCACAGCTAACTAACAGAACTAATAATAAGATAGAGTGTTACAACACTGGCCTCTTAGTCAAAGTCAAAGTGATTCTTTAATTGTGTAACAGGTTTGCTGCATTGACTAGAATGTCAACAGTTGATCCTTGCTGGACAAGCAGCGGGAAAGCTATATGGTTTTAGCTGGTTAGACTCCAGCAGTTACCCCAATGCACACAACCTAATACGCTCTTGTTAACCTGCTCCTAATACTCTCTTGGGGAGAGAGAGAGAGCACATTCCATTCCAACAATCTATCTCCAGGATTTCCACGTGTAAGTGGGATGTATGGAATTCTCAGTTTGGTTCGGAGACTGTTAAAGCACGGTGATGGGTTTTGGCATGTGTCAGGCACCCGGCTGACCAAACAAAAAGACTGGAAGGTCAGCTGTCGTTGCATCAGGCAGGAAATAAACAGAACTCTTACCGCATCCAAAGGTTTGGTGTGTGACCAGGTCATGATCGTCGATAACAGGATGAACATCTTTGGGGCCTCAAACCGATCCATCTCACTGTGTAGGGCTGTGAATTGTGAAGAGAAGAGAGGTTCAGCTTTCCCTCCTCCATTATCCACAATGAGAATAATCCTCCCAATTCATCTGGGTCCGAGAGTCACCACAGACATCATTTGCTGTGTGCCACCCGTGCACATGACCTTATGACCTGGAAGTCGGCCATTGTCATCGTTGAAACGATCACCAGAAATGTCTTAGAAATAAAAGTGAACAAACAATATTATCAGTTGTAAAGTTTGTGAGTAATGAGGAGCAGAAATGAAGCGCGCCCGTCCTTTTCTTTTTGTCCCTCTTCAGATCCCACCTCAAGACTTTCTTCTTCGACCGTGCCTATGGTCAAGTCCACCTTCTACCCGGATTGGCATCAAACTGCGCCACTGTTAAACATCCGAGGCACTATCCCGTGTAACTCGAATAAATGTGAGTTGTTGTTGTTATGGCGGTCGAGGGACTGGCAATTGTTCTTTAACCGTTTCAATCATCAACAACGACAACAACTTGCATTTATATAGCACCCTTCACACGATCTCAGGGGTAGCGTCCCAGAATGCTTAAGGGAATCAAAGCTAAAGAGAGACACAGTAAGAGAGAGACAGAGAAAGAGAGAGAGACAGAGAAAAAGAGAGAGCGATAGAGACAGCGAGAGAGACTCAGAGAGATAGACAGAAAGAGAGAGAGAGATAGAGAGAGAGAAACAAGACCTGAGGCAGCCCATGAGGCCTCGTCGATCTGATCCGTGTTCTCGATGATGTTATAGATGATAATGTCACACTCCAGCAGGAATAAGAGCAGCTCCTCACGCGATACAAACTGAGGAAGATAAAATCAAAGTCACCCACAAGCACGGTTTGCTCAAGATTTAGTTCCGTCACTACGCTGTGCATTCAACCACCTGAGCTCAGCCTGCAGTGGTTACAGCATCCTATTATGCACCATAAGCGCACTTATTAAAATCCCGGTCTATGCTGGAGTTTATTGGGCTCTAAATTAGCTCTGGCCTACCCAGGGTTGTGGAGAGGGAAAACAGCCAGGCTTCCTGCATCTGATCCCTTTACGGCACCCTCTACTCTTTGTGTGCACACAGGACGCCCTCTACAACTGAGCGACACTCATTGCCAAGGCTCACATAAAATAAAAATAATCCTTGCATTTGATAGCGCCTTAGCACTTTGTGGAGACGTCTCAAAGCCCTTCACAGAGAGTAATGTAAAGTGGATTGACTGTATATTTGGTGGGCAAATCATGGCAGTCAATTACCCATAGCAGTGTCCCACTAACAGTCGTAGATTGAGTGACCAAATTTTTAAATGTTTTTTTTTGGAGGGATTATTACTCCCGGAAAGCGATCCGCCAATTGACTAACAACTGGGTTCCTACTTACTGCTCGGTCAACAGAGGCTTGTGGAGTAAGGAAACTTGACCAAGGTTTCACCCAGCCTGGTAATCGAACCCAGGACCTCTCGCTTAGAGTCGAGCGGAATAACCACTGTATGGGACTCCACGTAGGATTATTCTCATTAATTAGGGATCTCTGCCACTCAAGCTAGAGACTCAGTTGGCAATGAGGAAACTTACAGAGCAGATTTCAAAGGCGAAATCAGGACCCTTGTCATTACGGTTTTTCAGCGTTCCCACGACCTGATACGTTCCCTCCTTGCCTCGGCCCAAGGACCCGCTTAGTATCGTAGAGGTCTCCTCCTCCTCTTCCTCCTGATCGACTTCCTCCGATGACGATCCCACCACACACTGGGCCAGATACTGCAATGGGATAATAATAGATAATAATTCCTGCATTTAAAACAGCACCTCATCACATCATCGAGACGTCTCAACAACCACAACAAATTACATTTGTATAGCGCCTTTCACGACAGGAGGACATCCCAAGGTGTTGGACAGTTAGGGATTTGCACCCAAGCTGGTGGTTGGGATCAGGAGGGGTGGAGGGCGGTGAGGGTAGAGAAAGGAGAGTGACCGAAGGCACAGTCGAAGAGAAGGGTCTTGAGACTGGTCTTGAAGGAGGCAAGTGAGCTCATGTGAGATCAGCCATGATCTTACTCAATGGCAGAACAGGCTCGAGGGGCTGAAAGGCCTACTCCTATTCCTATGTGAGGGCATGGAGGAAAGTTAAACCTTTTCCTACCATGACTGAAATTATAATAATAATAATTCTTGCATTTGATATAGCACTTTTCACATTTTCTAGATGTCTTCTAGATGTCTCAAAGCACTTCACAGTGAAAGCGTGAAGTGAATTGCCTGTATATTTTTGGGCGAAACACGGCAGTCAATTGCGCACAGCAGTGTCCCACAAACAGTCAACATTATCAAAATTATCAAAGTCAAGCAAAAATTTTCCCTTGCGATGTTTTTTCAAAGCAACTGCGAAAGCATCGCCCTAATTCCTTGATCCTCCCACAACGCGCACCTTTTTCCTATCTTTAAATCCCACCCAAATACCTGCCTCGTCGACCGCACCCATGGTCACATACCCCACAGGAGGAGGCCATTTGGACATGTTGCCTGAATCGGCTGTGTGAAAAAGCAACCCATTCACTCTACCCCCCCCACCCCACCCACACACACACACACCCACACCCACACACACACACACCCTCCCCCACACACCGGCAGGGTAGCGTCCCAAAGCACTTGACAGTGGCGGAGCATGACATTGAGTTGGGGGGGGGGGGAGGAGGGAGGTGACTGTAAGCACGGCCGAAGAGTAAGGTCTACAGACGCGACCTGAAGATGGGGAAGGAGAAAGCAAGGTGTTGGGATAGAGGGAGGGCGTTCCCAGAGTTCCGGGGGCTCTGTGGCTGAAAGCCACCGATGGTGGAGCCCGCGGCGGGCAGGAGGGACAAGGGCAGGAAGCCGGAGCCGGTCGAGTGGAAGCAGCGGGTCGTGGGTTGGCGAAGTAAGCAAGTCGGAGAGATGCGGAGGTGCCAGGGCTTGAAGGGATTTGAAGGCCAGTGAGAGGAAGACCTGGAGTAAGAGGCATTTCTCCCAATTCCCTCAGAAGCGGTTCTGACCCCCCAACCGCCGTGTCCCAGAGATTCCCACCTCCTAACACGGTGCGACCCTAACGGTTCGTGCACACGGTTCGTGCAGGGCAGACACGGACCTTCCCCACATATTTGCCCACGAAGGTGTCCAGTTGGTTGAGGAAGATGCGTTTGCTGCGGACTATCTCTTTCTGACCATCGTCAGGTTCCTCCATTGCTGCCCGTCGCTAAGGTAAACACCAGCTGCTCCCGTTGCTAAGGAGGGGCCTTCGCACCCGACACATCAGGTCAGGCATCAGCTCGGCCACCTCGACCGACAGCAGCAGGCGGGAGGCGGGGTCCAGGCAAACGTCACACGAACACGACAATTGTTTAGGAATCGCATCTTTATTCCCCACACAAACACACACACACACACACACACAAAAAAACCCAGAGACGAAGACAACAGCTCTCGTTGGTTTTTTTTTGTGAAAATTGTGGGCAGAGAATCAGGCGGATCTGGAGGGACAGGCGGGGGCCTGAAGTGCGCGGTGCTTGATGGGAAATGTAGTCAATCTATGACCACACACTACTGGAGTCACACATTGGTGCCCCCCCCCTCCCCCCTCCCCCCCAGTTAATAATAATAATATATTAAATCTGTTGAATAGGATTTCAGGAACAGGAATATCCCATTCAGGCCCTCAAACTTGCTCTGCCACGGCTGATCTGTACCTCGATTCCGATTACCCGCCTTTCCCCCAAATCATTTAAAGAATTAAATCAAATTAAGGAGAAACCACAGTCGTTCGTTCAACTGATGAACTTTCACCATCCAAAAGGCCCTCCACCCCCTCCTGACCCCAACCCCCAGCTCGGGTCCAAAAACCCGATTGTCCGGCGCCCTGGGACGTCTTTCCGATGTGAAGGGCGCTATACAACTGTCATTCGCGGTTGGATATTATTTCCATCGTGAAAATCAGTCAAAGCAGATTTTAATCGGTTGAGAGGCAGTCCCGGGTCAGCCGTTGGGCATTAAACAGGTGTCCAGTACTTCCCAGTATTAATAATCCTTGCATTTGATACAGTGCCTTTCGCATCGGGGCAGTCGCAAAGTGCTTCTTCGTGGGATATTATAATAATAATCCTTTCATTTAATATAGAGCCTTATCACGTCGTTGAGACTGTGCTTCTCAGAAGTGAAGTGACCGTGTTTTGCGAGCCAACGTGGCAGCCAGTTTGCGTACAGTGACCCAGAAACCCCACTGGAATGATGGACCATCTTCATAACTGAGAGCAGGCGAGGAGGTGGGAATGGGCAGCCATGTGTCTGGTAAATAATAATAAAGAACTCTGCAAGTTAGTAAGCAAACAAGCAAGCGAGTAATAAATAAATCAAGTGCCCAACATGAGTTTGGCAATATTTTATTTACAAGTTCTTCTTGGTAAGTAAGGGGGCGTTTTTTTTCCCGCCTGGTTTCTGTAAAACAAATGTTCCCTCTCGTAACTGCTTTGCAATAACGCTGGAATTAATCCTCGCATTTGACACAGCGTCTCCAACATCGAGACATCCTCAAAGTGCTTCACAGAGACTGCGTATTTGTAGACAAATGGCACAAATTAGCTCCTGCACCCGTCCACAACACCAATGTCTCTGGAGGATGTGTTGGCGTTTACCACATTTAGGATTTCGTACATTTCATGTTTGTTTGTGGGGGAAGGTGGCGTGGAGGGAAGTGTGGCTTGTAAACCAGCGGATAACTAAAAAAAACTGTTCTTTAAAATAAAAACGAACGGGGCTATGGAGTAAGAGCGGGGGAGTGGGACTAGTTAGTGGCTCTTTCAAAGAGCTGGCACAGGCACGATGGGCCGAATGGCCTCCTTCCTCTGTGCTGTAAGATTCTATGATATGGCGGTACTCCATTCACAACCGCAGACCGACAGCGCCGCCTCATGGCGAAAACTAGACAGTGCGACGCCCGATATTCTTGGAAGCACATCTCATCTCCTCAAATCTGGAACATTTTGGCATTTTCAGCTCCTAGACCTGTCCGTCTCCAATGGAATGTCTCCCCACTGCCCCAGCTTCATAAAACCCATGCGTATAACCGTTCAAAAATGTACAAACCTGATGGGAATTAAGCGTTTAAATTCAGTTTGATTTGAACACTTCAGGTGATGGGTTTCCTTGTCGGACAGTGTCAAGATACCCGGTCGACCGAAACAAAAATGTCTAAACACGTGGGAGAGGGAACTGGAATTCTAGGTCACCATTACCGGTTGGTGGTGGGGGGGAGGGGGTCCTTGGGGGTGGGGGGTGGAAATGGCGCTGTCACAGAGCACACGTTCTGCTGTGTTAATCCTCAAGCTCCTTCGGTTTCACAGCTTTCAATCTAGAATCGCGTTTGGAAGACTGTTGTCGCTCCTTGCACCTCAAAAGGTTGACGGCTCTGTCGGGTCAGTTCTTCCATCGGATTTGCTGGAAAGTGCAGTCATCAAAACTTCCATTAGCACCCAATACATTCTGGTGGGCTGGGATACTCGCTTGCTTTTCCTCCTTCCCTCCCCCCAACCTCCCAATCGTCACCTTCAAATATCTGCTCCGTTCTACCTCTGCGATCTCCTGTCACCCACTCTCCAATGACATTGGTTTGGGCCCTAGAGTTTAGGACTCTGGAGTCATAATGTGAGTGTCATTGGGCGACTCAATGAGTTGGATAAAACAACACGACACCCAAAGGGCAGAACACACTTCGGGGGTTCTGCCGTTCTCCAAACATACCCATCCTCTCTCCCCCACCTCCTCTCCACACCCTGCTCCCCCCCCCACCCTGCTCCCCCCCCCCCCACCCTGCTCTCCCTCCCCACCACCCTGCTCTCTCCCCCCACCACCCTGCTCTCCCTCCCCACCCTGCTCTCACACCCCCCACCCTGCTCTCCCCCCCCACCACCCTGCTCTCCCCCCCACCACCCTGCTCTCACACCCCCACCCTGCTCTCCCCCCCCACCACCCTGCTCTCCCCCCACCACCCTGCTCTCTCCCCTCCACCACCCTGCTCTCCCTCCCCACCACGCTGCTCTCCCTCCCCACCACCCTGCTCTCCCTCCCCCACCACCCTGCTCTCCCCCCCCACCACCCTGCTCTCCCCCCCACCACCCTGCTCTCCCCCCCACCACCCTGCTCTCCCCCCCACCACCCTGCTCTCCCCCCCACCATCCTGCTCTCCCCCCACCCTGCTCTCCCCCCCACCACCCTGCTCTCCCCCACCACCACCCTGCTCTCCCCCCCCACCATCCTGCTCTCCCCCCCCCACCCTGCTCTCCCCCCCCCCACCCTGCTCTCCCCCCCCACCACCCTGCTCTCTCCCCATCCACCACCCTGCTCTCTCCCCTCCACCACCCTGCTCTCCCCCCCACAGCACCCTGCTCTCCCCCCCCCAGCACCCTGCTCTCCCCCCCACCACCCTGCTCTCCCCCGCCACCATCCTGCTCTCCCCCCCCCCACCCTGCTCTCCCCCCCACCACCCTGCTCTCCCCCCACCACCACCCTGCTCTCCCCCCACCACCACCCTGCTCTCCCCCACCACCACCCTGCTCTCCCCCACCACCACCCTGCTCTCCCCCCCCACCCAGCTGTGATCAAGGCGAGGGAGGTGAGGGAAACCGCATGGTGTCTAGCCACTGCCACTGCCATCCCTGCTGCAGAATTTTAAATTCCTGTTTAACTCACGGAATTGTTCAGAATAATATCTATCTTCCGCTCCTCCTCCGAGCCCCTGTCCACNTTTTTTCGGTACATCAACAGCTGCTGTCGGTCTTTCAGGTCCTTGTAGCTCTGAAATCAGAAAAAGAGGAAAAATAATACAACAAAAACTGCATCTTGAGTAGTGTCTCGGTGCACTCAATGATGATGGAGCCCAACGCCAAGCTGGGGAGAGGGGGGGAGGTGACTGTAATCACGGTCGAATAGGAAGGTCTTCAGATGCAATCTGAAGATGGGAAGAGAGAGGGAGGCGAGGCAGAGGGAATGAGGTGGGGAGTTCCAGAGTTTCGGGGTGTTAGTGGCTGAATGCATGGTGGAGAGGAGGGGATGAGGGACCTGCAGAAGGCAAATAAAGAATTTAAAAAAAGGAAAATCAAATGCATCCCATTGACTCCGCAACTGCAATTCTCTGCGCGCAACACGGCTGGTATTTACAGAGCAGCTTTCAAATCAAATAATCTCTGAAGGCAATTGCCAAATGTGACGTGTAGCCAAATCACCTAACCACTGCTTTGTTCCTCTCCCCACTTAGCGAAGCAAGAGTGAATGATCAGCGAAACCTTAGGCAAGTTTCCTTACTCCACATGCCTCTGTTTTACCTAATAGTAAGTAGGAACCTGGATGTTAGTCAATTGATGGATCACTTTCCGGGAGTAAAAATCCCTTTTAAAAAAATAATAATGTAGTCACTCAATCCACGACTGTTTGTGGGACACTGTTGAGCACAACTGGCTGCCGCATTTCGCTCACAAAATATATAGTCAATTCGCTTTACAGTATATCCTGGGAAGCGCTTTGAGATGTCTCGAAGATGTGTTAAAGTGCTATATCAAATGCAAGGATTATTATTATTATTAATCCACTGCGCCCCGCACTTACCTCAATCACAATGTCGTGGCACTTGTACTTTGTGGCAAGATTTAGCTTCAGTTCTGGGTTATCCACCAGAGCGATGTACTCCTGGAGAATCTGGGACAAAACACCACAAAAATCAGTCATTTCTGGCATCAGCAAAGTAAGATGGGGGTCAGGATGGTGAGACAACAACAACTTGCACTTATATAGCGCCCTTCACGCCGGACAGCATCTTGGAACACTGTCACACTGAAATCTCAGCCACATTGTGGTAGTAAATATTCCAATAGTTTCCTTCTCTTCTCTCTATCTCCCCCCCACCCCCCAATCCTATTTATGTCCTAGTTTGAAGTTGTGTTCACTGAGTTGAGGAATATCTTGTCGGAATATTCTTGCTGCTCAAGGGAAGAAAGCATCCGCCTACAGCACTAAGGTCCGTGACCCGATCACTCCCACCCTCGCCCGGCTTCACTAGCTCGCCATTCCCCAGAGAAGAGTTTAAAATCCTTGTCCTTACTTTTAAGCTCTCCACGATTTTCCTCTGTGACCTGCTATCCCCATACCAACCTGTCCACTCCCTCCGCTCGGCGAGTAATGGCCTGCTCCCGCCCGACCCTCTGGAACTCCATCCCGGAGCCCCTCCGCCTCTTCCCCTCCCTTGCCTCCTTCAAGGCCCGCCTCAAGTCCTTCCTCTTCTTCCCCTTCGGTCGTCTTCCCTCCTCCACCCACCTTGCCTGCTATCCCTCATGTCCCCAGCCTGCAGCTCGGGTGAACGACCTCGACTGTTCAGCGCCTTGGGACGTCCTCCCGACGTGAAAGTCGCTATACAAATGTAATCTTGTTGTTGTTGTAAAAGCTTACCTTAACCGGAGCATTATTCTTGTGTAAGATGTCCACAACTCGATGGAACCCAATGGGGGCTTTTTTCTTGGTGTAACCCAGCCAGTTCTTTAATAGAATAAAGTGGATGTTATTTACTTGGGGAGAAATGTTTGCACTGAGTTTGACAAGACAGGGCCAATATGCAAACCAGCAGGGAAAAGCATGGGTTAAACACAAGGGTGCAGACATAATGACAGGAATGATTGTTAATTGCATGAAAAGGGCATTTGTTTGTGGGACATTTGCTGTGCGCAATTGGCTACCGCGTTTCACCCGCAAAACACAGTCACTCCACTTTACAGTATATTTTCTCTTCAACCGTGCCTTCAGCTCCCCTCTCGACTCTCTACCCCCTCCTCGCTCCCTCCATTCCCACCCCTCACCCTGACCATTTCCCCTCCTGCTCGGGTCCCGACCCAACTGTCCAGTGTCTTGGGACGTCCTCCCGACGTGAAAGGCGCTCCATAAATGCAATCTTGTTGTTGTTGTATATCCTGTCAAGCGCTTTTGAGTCATCTCGATGACGTGTTAAGGCAATTAATCTCAAATGCAAGGATTATGATGATTATTATTATTATAATAGGGCTTCCCCACCCCAATCCGTGATGTTGCTCTCCGGGACGCTACCCTGCATGAAGGGCGCTATATATGCGAGTTGTCATTACAGAAATCGATCACCTTTGTAGTAAAAAGCAGATCAACGTCATTCCAAGCTTTGAGCTTCACTCGGGCTGCCAGAGCCGTCAACACGTACTGCTTGTCAGAAATCTGTGTGCAGGGGGCGGACAAGGAAAGCACATTCACCTCGATCTGTCTAAAAGCTGTGAATGTATAATCAACCTGGTGTCTGCCTCTGTACGTCTCAGGGTCTTAAGTATCGTTTCCTCCTCTTTCTCCCCAACCACCCACCTCCCACCCCTTAAAGGAGATGGATAACTGCTGAAACCCATCACTATGCTTAAAAGTATCCAAAACCCAACTGAGAATTCCATGCATCCCATCAGCGTTGGAAAAAAACATACGTGATTAGAAAACGGGGGAAAAAAACCCTACAGAATGGGAGGAAAACATGACCCCCTCCCCCAACACACGCGCACACACAAGCCTATTTCATCCCTTTCCCCCCCAACCCCCCTTTCACCTGGCCCACCCGCTCCCATCATAACTCGTAAATGTTATGTTATATTTCTGGAAGGGAAATGCAAAAATATTGCTTATAATATTGGCTCCCGGATGTTGCTCAAATAGGGTGTCCGGCCCTCAGCAGCCAAACGGTTTGACCCCCCCCCACCCTGAATTAGATCATGACTGATCTGTACCTCAACCTCAATTGAAGTTACTTACTTTGAAGGTTTTCCTCAGGTTTCCTGGGCCACTGAACGTGCCCTAGGAAGGAACAGAACGACAGGGTTACTTGCATTTGACCTGGAATTAGCCGAGCGTCTCGGCGCATGATGTCTCTGCCCCCACCCTTTGGAACTCCGTCCCAGATTGCCCTCGCCTCACTCCCTCCCTTGCCTCCTTCAAGGCACATCTCAAGACCCTCATCTTCGAACGTGCCTTCGGCCACCAATGTAGCTCATTGGTTAGTGTGCTCGCCTCGCAAGTGAGAGAACCCGGGTTTGATTTCCAGGTGGGGCGAAACCTTAGGCAAGTTTCTTTACTCCACACACCTCTGTTTACCTCGCAGTAAGTAGGAACCCGTTTGTTAGTCGATTGGCGGATTGCTTTCCGGGGGTAATAAACATAAAAAAAAATTTGCTGACTCAATCCATAACTGACTGTGGGACACAAAATATTCTTCACAGAATGGAATATAAATTCTATGCTTTGAGGTGTCTCAACAACGTGATAAGGTACTATATCAAATGCAAGTGTTATTATTATTAATGCGCCACGTTCGCCTACAAATACACAGTCACCACACTTCACAGTAAAACCTGCAAAGCGCTTCGAGACGTCCTCCTGACAGAAAAGGCGCCGTATAAATGTAAGGATTATTATAATAATATCGCACAAGAGCGCTGGTCGTAAAGGAATCAAAGCGGCTCCTCTCTCTCGCTCTCTATCTCGATCCCGCCTAAAGAACTTCCTTTTTGATCGTGCTTACGGTCACCTCCCCCCTCGGCTCGGTGTCAGACTCCGCCACCGTGAAGTGCTCCGGAACTTAACCCCATGTGAAGGGCGCTATATAAACGCAAGTTGCTGTTGCATTCGATGCCCGTGCACGGCACGCAAGCTGGACGGCGCTAACGTACTTCTGACTCTCCATAATGGTAGAAGCAGGCGTAGTAAAGTGTGGTGATCAGCGGCATATTGAGAATGGAGGCCTTCCTCGGATAACGCTTAAAGATGTCCATCTGTCCTGCTGCCTCAATGCGTTTGTCGTTCGCCTGAAAGACAGCAGCAACAACAACAACAAATGAGATTTACACAGCGCCTTTCACGGCGGGAGGACGTCCCAAGGCACTGCACAGTCAGAGGTTTGGATCCGAGCTGGGGGGTTGGGATCAGGATGCGTTGGGGGAGGGGAGGTGTCCGAAGGCGCAGTCAAAGAGGAGGGTCTTGAGACGGGCCTTGAAGGATGAAAGGGAGGGGGTTAGGGGAAGGGGCTCTGGGATGGAGTTCCGGAGGGTGGGGGCAGAAAGGCTAAAGGCACGACCACCGATGGTGGGGTGGGGAGGGCGGGGGAAGTGGAGCAGGCTAGTGCCTGCAGACAGGAGGGAACGGGCAGGTTGGTGGGGTTTTAGGAGGTCAAGACAGAAGCAGATGATCTCCAACCTCTTAACAACCTCCACTCCCTACACACACACACACACACACATATGCACGCACATACACAATCCTGCACGCACACATACAGACTCACACACAGACAAAAACACCCACTAACACACAAAAAAACATGCGCACCTTCGCATATACTCCTGCACATACGCACACACTCACACACAAACACGCACACACGTGCACACATACTCACACAAAAACATGCACAACACACACACACTCTCTCCCGCAAGCACATACAAAAACACGCATACATGCACCTGCACACACAAAAACACGCACTCACACACACACACTCAACACGCACACACACAAAAACACGCACACTCACACACTCGTGTACACACAAAAAACATGCACACGCATACACACTAACATACAAGAGGAAGAGGTCACCCAGCTCCGATACCCCAAACGATAACAAATGAGAACAACTGATATTATTATAAGAGTAAAGGACTCTGCCTGCTTCTGCTCTGACCTCAATGATGAGCTGTCTGTCCAGCAGTGTGTAGTGATCTTCAACGTGTGTGGCATCATCGGGTGCGAATGAAAACCTAGTGCGCAACAAGAGGAAACGTTACACGTTGCAGGTAATGTTCAACAACAACAACTTGCATTTACACAGCGGCTTTCAGGCAGGATAGTATCTCGGAGCGCTGCACAGTGATGGGGTTGGACGCCGAGCGAGGGAGAAGGGGGATGAGCGAGGAGGGAGGTGACAATGGTTGAAGATTCAACACTAATAATCCTTGCACGTGATGATATAGCGCCTCATCATGTCGTTGAGACATCTCAAAGCACTTCACGGGCTATACTGTGGAGTGACTGCGTGTGACTGTGGGCAAAACGCGGCAGCCAAGTGTCTCCCTTTCTACCCCTGTGACTACCACAACAACTTGCACTTATATAGAGCCCTCCATACAGGGTAGCGTCTCAAGAGCGCTTAACAGTGGCCGGACCTGACTCTTAATCAACGGCTTTAATGCGCTCTGAACGTTTACTCACCCGATGCAGCTCTTTACGAAGTCGGTTTTCTTAATTTGGTCCGTGATGTTTAGATGTTGCTTGTAGTGCAGGAGCTGAGAGAGCAAATTCCAGAGGCAGAGTAATAATATTAATAAGAATAATCCCTGCGTCGGATATAGCGCCTCATCACGTCGTTGAGAGGTCTGAAAGTGCTTCACGGGATATAACAACAACTTGCATTTACACAGCACCTCTCATGCAGAGTAGTGCCCCAGAGCGCTTTACAGTGGCAGAGCATGACACTTTACAATATACAGTAAAGTCTAGTGACCGTGTATTTTGAGGCCGCCAATTGCGCCAATTGTGTCCCACAAACAGTCATGCATTGAGTGACCAAATTTTTTTTAGTGGGGGAGGGATGGGGATTATTACCTCCAGAGAGAGATCCGCGTATCGACTATCAGTTGGGTTCCTACTTACTGCTAAGTCCCATTCGTTGTGGGGGGGGGGTGGGGAGAAAGAGCAAGGTGGGGGTGTGCAGACCCCGGGAAAACAGGGGGGTGGGGGGAAATACCCCTCTCTCTCAAAACGTAAACGTACTTACCGCTGCCTCTTCTGTTCTCCCCAGCGCTCTGCCAGTGAGACAAATACTGGGTTCAGATTCCACTGTTAAACTCCAGAACCAGCAAAGAAAACACACCCACCAGACAATCTCCTACCTGAGTAGCTCCATCAGCACCTTCTCTCTGCCCATCTCTTTCAGGTAACAGATGAAGTGGTTCAGAGCGCCCTGCCTGAGGCCGAGCTCGGGAAAGAGCACCTCTAAAACCCCAGAGAGAGAGAGAGAGAGAGAGAGAGAGAGAGAGAAAGCAGCGTATCAGAGGCCATTCAACCCATCAAGCCCGTTCCAACAATTTAGTAGAGCTGGGTGGTTCTTTGTATTCCAATGCCCATTCCCTTTCGCTACATATACCCTTAATACCTCTGGTAACCAATGATAATAATCTCTGTATTTGATACAGCGTGTGAAGAAGTATTCCCTGCCCTAAGCACTAATGGTATTGGTCTTCATTCTGTCTTTAAGGCTATAACCCCGGTAATTAATTAGTCTGACAGAGAGAAAAGGCGTTCACTCTGAAACCTGTTTTCCAATACACCAGCAGAAATTTTCCTATTACAGACACACAGAGCCACACACGTTCTCAATACAGGATAGGAAAACAGAATTCCTTCGAGGAATGCACACAGTGGAGAAGGAACGTTGACATTAATTGGAGTTAAGGTACTGATCAGCCTTGATCTAACAGAATGGCAAATAAGCTCGAGGGGCTGAATGTTCCTATGATATCAGGGCACCCAATCACCTCGATTCCATTCCTAATCTTCACCTTGATAGGTTTAACCCCTTCCATCCCACCCAAACTTACAAGAATAACGCAAGATAAAGAAGACAATTTACCTTTGCTTAACGTTTTGTTCAGAAATATCAGCACCTGGGAAGAGAAATTGTACCGTGTTTTAAAGTCTTCATGAGAGGTCGGGATGATGATCCTTCCATCTCACACATCATCCCACCCTGTTGCCCATCACAGCAGAGAGCCATTCCTAAATGTGTCCCAACACCCTGGCCTCAACCACCCTTCCTTGTAAGTTGTTAATTACCCTCGGCTTAAAGGGTCTGGTGTGTCTTCTAAAAGTGCTCGTCACATCCCTAAACTTGTGCCATCTTGTTCTGCTGCCTTTGTGTATCTGAAGCTATTGTTCGGCATGTACTTTCTCAATCCAATCTCAGCTTATTATACCATGATAATAATTATCATTATTAATAAATTATCATATTATTATTAATTAATTATAATTAATATTATACATTATAATATTAATTAATATTATAATTCTTAATAATTATCATAATAATAAACCATTATTATGCTCTAATTATACCATGATAAGGTGCCCTCGGTGATGTCTCTTTTCTACACTGAAGACCCCATGTTTATCTCAACCAGACACAGGAACATCTCCACGTATAGCTGGCAGACATATGTGGAACTCCCAGTCTAGTTTGGATGCTCTTAAGCACGGTGATGGATTTCCACAGGTGTCAGGACACCCCGGCTGACCAACTAAAAACTAATGTTTTTATTTTTTTTTAAATAAAAAAAAGTTTGGAACTCCATCCCACAGTCCCTTCCCCTCACCCCTTCCCTCGCCTCCTTCAAGACCCTCCTCTTCGACAACACCTTCGGTCACCCACCTACCCCCACCCTCCCTGATCGCAACCCCCAGGGATGCAAATCCTGGACTGTCCAGCTCCTTGGGATATCCTCCTGATGTGAAAGGCGCTATACAAATGCATTTTGCTGTTGTTGTTCCACCCAGTTGATCCTTGAAAGCTAAGAGATCGCCTCATTGTACTCCTGTGCACTGGCTCTAGGGATTGGGCCTTGGTCCCAGCGAGCAGGACTTGCAGGTGGGTGAGTGTGTGCTAATGTCACAGCACTGACAGGATGTCCCGTGTCGGGAGCCGTGGCGATACAGCACAGACTCACCGCCGTGATAACGTTTCCATCGTGCGTCCGCACGGCCTCATCCACAAGCTGTAGCTTGTCTTTCAAGGAGCGAAACTTTTCCAGGGAGTACGGCTGCCAAAACAAAACGACACCCTAAGACAAGGCTTGTGAGAAGTAGAAGCTGAAGCTTTTCCCAATGTCCCAGATTAGCGCATCGCAACTTTTTCTTCACCTCGGACTGGCTCAATCTCTCACTGTGTGCGACAGCCCCTCCCGAAGAGATTTGGGATAAGAAAAAGTCGCTCTAGTCAACTCTTGTTGACTTATTGTTGAGGCGGTGGGGGAGAGAAAGGAACCATTTCTCAGGGACATCATCTCTATTGTACAGGGTGTGCAAAATCCTGAGCTGGGCAATATCACGGAGGTGGGGGAAGGTAGAGACCTGCTCTGCCTTCCTCCACAATATCGTCGATCATTATCTGCCATGAAAATGATGGTGCTCACACACACATACCGACCCTCTGTAGTCTAAATATAGTTAAACACTTGCATTGAATAATTAAGCACATCTAAATATAATTGATATCATTCTTCCATATGTTTCAGTTGCATTGTTGGGGAATAAACACATGATGGAGGGCTGGTAACAGGACTTTGTGGACACCCTGTAGAATGATTTCTATACATGTTGGTGCAACGTAGAACAGCCCTCCGCAGCAGTAGATGCCAACCCCGCCAGTCATACCTTGGCCTTCTGCATCCGTCTGACTGTCTCCAGGGCGTTCCAATCAATCACACTGTCCTGGGGGGGAGGGGGGGGGGAAGGAAAACAAGCAATAATATCCAATGTCCAAAGTACTTTTTGTTGTATTCAATCTTCCCTCCTCCCTACTGCCCTCGGCCCTCAGCCCCCTCATCTTCGCCCCACCACCCCTACTTCAGCTCAAGTGTGAATCCTGGACTGACCAGCGCTTTCAGGGAACGTCCTCCCGATGTGAAAGACTCGATGTCAGATCTTTTAATCCCATTTCCCTTCCTCTTAGTTAAATCCCAAATCCCTCTTCTTAAAATATCCCAACTGCCTGTATCTGCACAACCTTCCAGTGGGAGTGAGGGAAGAGCAGACGGAATTTAACATCTCGACCAGTGTCCAGGGAATCACACAGTCATTCCTTTCTTTCTTCCTACCTTGTAGTCAAACTTGGATTTCCGAAGGTCGGGAGCTATGTTCGTGCTCCCGGAACCGATGACTGCTGGAGGAGTGAGGGAGGGTGAGAGAGAGAAAATCACAGTGCAGTTAATACACCACACACACAGACAGTGCTGTGACATTAGCACACAGACAGACCCACAAACAGACAGACCGACACAGATAGACAGACATACACAGACAGATACACAAAGACACACCCGGTCTTGCCCAGACTGCCCAACCCACAGACTTACAATCCGAAAGCGACAGGAAGCTCCCTGGCCTACTGCTCCCATAGAAACCTGGGGGAGGCTCCCGGTTTCTTCCTGGAAAGCAAGCCAACAACATGTTCAGTCACAGGCCATGCTGGGGACTGAGTGAGGGTGGCCTCTCTACCCACCACCCCCCCTCTAATCATGGTGCAAACCCCTCTCACGACCTGCCCCCCATTAGCTAGATCATCAGCCAGCTTCAGAACACCGGGATGAAGAATATACATTTATGTATGTTGTAGTGCTGTAGTGTAGAGGTTAGAGCACTTGCTTCACAAGCGAGAGGACCTGGGTTCGATTCCCGGTATGGCGAAATGTTGGGTAAGTTTCCTTACTCCACACGCCTCTGTTTATCGAGAAGTAGGAACCCGGTTGTTACGTCAATTGGTGGATCGCTTTCCAAAGATAATAAACCCTTCAGAAAAAATTGGGACACTGCTGTGCGCAATTCGCTGCCGCGTTTTGACCACAAAATACACAGACATTTCACATCACAATATATTCTGTGAAGTGCTTTGAGACGTCTCAACACCTCAACGTGATAAGGCCCTATATCAAATGCGAGCATTATTATTATTATATGACATTTAAGAGACTGTTACCTTTGAAAAAGCTGCTCAGAGAATAGGTGGAGAGGGGCTTGGTGACTGCCGACTGTGCATGGCTGGATTGGGATCTGGCAAATCCTTCATCCCGGATCTCGGACGCCCGAGTGCTCAATGAGTTTTCCTTAACTGACCATGCGATACCTGGAAGAGAGATGCCTTCGATTAAAGTTGCCTGTTGACAGACCACTACCAACCCCCAGCCCCCGCCATGAGATCAGCGTCATAATAGTCCCTTCGGCTCGCTCCCTCCCTTGCCTCCTTCAAGGCACGTCTCAAGACCCTCCTCTTCGACCGCGCATTCGTCCACCCTCCGACAGCTATGCTCCGTGCCCTCCACTCTCCCTGATCCCAACCCACCAGCTCGGGTCAAATCTCTGACTGCACAGAGCCTTGGGACATCCTCCCGACATGAAAGGCACCGTGTAAATGTAATTCTGTATTTAGTATTGGTTTGGTTAGTAGCTCTCTCTCTCCTCTCTGGGTCAGGATGTGGAGGGCATTACCCCACCTCACCTCCACAGAGCACGTTGTTGTTTGTTTGGACCATTCATTCGACCAAAGACTCACTTCCCACTCGCTCGCCGCTCCAGGTGACCTTTTCCACATCATCGTCGTCCTCATCATCTTCATCATCATCCACAATCCTCCGGAGATTGTTCACCGCACGCTTAGACTCCTTCAGCTGTAAAGGGACGTTTTTTTTAACGTAACATTGAAACGCCGTCAAAGATATGGCTGTCAAGTGTAGTAACTGTTGTTTGTGGGGAAGGTTCCCCAACTAGCCATGACCAATTTATCTGCAGGATTGTTGGCCAGGACACTGGGATAAACTCTGTATTCTCTTCAATGCTCTCAATTGGATTGTTAGCTGAGGTTCAAGAGCCAGCCACCCCATTGGAAAAGAGGAAGGGATTTTCTCTCGGTGTCCCAGCCAACAATCCTTGGCAAAAGTTAGTCATTCACTTCACAGCTGTCTTGGGATCTAACTCTGCTCAAATTCATTCAACTAAAAATATACAGTCACTACACTTCAAATTTACAGCGCAGAAGAATGCCATTCGCCCCACTGTGTCACTTGATAGCAATTGCCTGTGAAACTCGAGTGGGGTAATCCTGCCACTTTATAAATCACTGGTGTGACTGCACTTGGAATACCGTGTGCAGTTCTGGTCAACACAATATAAAACAGATATTGCAGTGATTGAGAGGATACAGAGTGGGGCAACCAAAATGATTGAGGGGATGGAGGGACTGGACTACAAGGAGCGATTAGATAAACTGCGCTTGTTCACACTGAAGAAGGTTGAGTGGTGATATGATCACGGTCTTTGTAAGATTCTAAAGGGACTTGATAATGTAGACCATGATAAGCTGTTTTATCTTGTGCTGAACAGTAGAATCAAAGACACGTCTTGCAATTGAAGGGGGGGTTAAATTCAGAACAAATCTGCAGAAACACTACTTCACTGAGCGAGTAGTAAACTTACAGAACAGGCTCCCTAGGGAGACAGCAGAAGCAGAAAATGTAATTTGTTTCAAATCTATCTAACAAGTTAGATAGATTTCTGCTAAAAAAATAATATCTGGGGATACAGTGTATAGTTTGGGACACGAAATGTCAAGCGACTGTCAGGATAGTGGAAGGCGAACTAGATGGATCTTGGTCTTCTCTCGCCAGCAAATTCTTATGTTCTTACGAGACAGTCCAATGTAATAGACTTTATGAAATGTACCGATTAGTATGTTATTATACATAATAATACTTATCCATGACTGTTTGTGGGACACTGCTGTGCGCAATTGGCTGCTGCATTTCGCCCACAAAATACACAGTCAATTCACTTTACAATACATTCTGTGAGACATCTTACAATGCAACGATTACTATGTATTATTATGATGTGTGCAATTGGCTGCCGAGTTTCACCCACAATACAATTAATTCACTTTACAGTAAGATTCTGTGAAGTGTTTTGAAACATCTTGAAGATGTGATAAGGCACTATATACCAAATGCAAGGATTATTATTATTTTATTATTATTATTAAGTATAAAATCAACCCGTTCACTTGCCTGTGTAAATTCGTCATCGTCATCAAAGATAAAAGCTTTGCATTTGGTGCTGTTCCAATAATCTTCTTCATCATTTTTATTTCTGTTCATCTGAAAATTAAAAAATATTGTGTAAAGCGATCACTTCTCTTTTCATCTGAATGTCGTTTGGTGATGATATGTTTGCTTCTGTTTCTCCCACCACCAGTTATTGCCACCTTCTCCTTTCTCTTTATGAAAATGCAACCTGTGCCAGTGATAATCCACAATCATTAATTAATCTGATGAACTGGGACTTTTTCCTCTGGAGAGAAAAAGAAAAGTTGAGAGGTGACCTAATGGAGACCTTTGACATTTTTGAGGGGTTTTGATGGAATCAACAGGGAGAAATTGTTTCCAAATAACAAAACAAAATATAAAAAAATAAAAATGGGGTCACTCAATCCGCGCCTGTTTGTGGGACACTGCTGTGTGCAATTGGCTGCCGCGTTTCATCCACAAAATATACAGTCAATTCACTTTACAGTATCTCATGTGAAGTGCTTTGAGATGTCTCGAACACGTGATAAGGCGCTATATCAGATGCAAGGATTGCTATTATATTATAATTATACCCAGAACAATCTGACTTTGGTGAATTTTGATGAGGAAGGAATTTGGATGCTCTTCTTCGAAACCGTGCCACGCGGGAACCCGTTAGCATCTGCCTAAATAGGTGGACGGGAACTCGCATTTAACATCTCACCCAGCAATGCAGTCACTCCACCGAAAGGCAGGCAGCGACAGCACACTCTGAGCAACGACGTCCACACTTGTGAGACGCTGCATGTGACAAAATCAGTCTTGGTCGTGAAAAGGACATCATTCTAATAGCAGGAGCAGGAGGTACCGTTATAATAATAATAATCCTTGCATTTGATATAGCGTTTTTCACGTCGGGAGGACATCCCAAAGCGCTTCACAGAACACACTGTAAAGTGAATTGACTGTATATTTGTGGGCAAACGCGGCAGCCAATTGCGCACAGCAATGTCCCACAAACAGTCGTAGATGGAAAATGACCAATTTATTATTGTTTTGGTTTGGGAGGGATTATTATTAGGCTCTGTGTGGAGTAAGGAAACTTGCCCAAGGTTTCGCCCTGAGTTTCCTCGTCCCTTTAGTAGGTCTAACCAGTTCAAACAACAGTTTGTGGGACATTGCTGTGCGAAATTGGCTGTCGCATTCGCCCACAAAGATACAGTCAATTCACTTTACAGCCTATTCTGTGAAGCGCTTTGGGACGTCGAGAAGACATGAAAAGCGCTATATCAAATGCGAGGATTGTTATTATATTATTATATTATATTGCCCCGACACAGGACCTTGCACGTGCAAATAATGTATGGAAGTCAATTCACTTGACCGTATACGCTGTGAAGCGCTTCGAGACGTCCAGAAGACGTGAAAAGCACTATATCAAATGCAAGGATTATTATTATTATATTATTATTATAATCACATCAAGTGCAAGTACCCTATGAAGCCAAGGTCAGAGCAAATCAACACACACATATATGTAGATAAGCAACAGTCGCAGGAGAATAGAGACACCAACCCCCCCCAACCCCCCCAAAAAAAGGGGTAGTGTTCATTAATCCCAACCCGTTTCCGGGTTCAAGGTAAACCCCACACACTCACCCCTCAGCTCAGCTGATAGCGCTCAACGCGAGACACGGAGCATGCGCGACGGCTTCGGCCAGCGAGCTCTGCGCATGTGCACAGACGCAGAGGACTTCGGGAGTTGTAGTCCGATTTGGTTAAAACGCGCCCCCCACCCAACACTGCCCTCTCTCTCTCTACTCCCTCCGCCCCCCCCCCCCACTCATACCCCACACTGCTCCGGCCTGACGTTGGCCTCGTGGTCACCACAGTTTCCGGTTGAGCCGTTGAGACAGCGCTTTAATTATTCCTCTTATTATTATTATTATAATTATTATTATTAGTTCCTTTCCCTCCAGGGAAGCTTGTGGGAGGGGACCGCCCGTTACCGCTGCCACAGAAGTCCAGAAACTTCTGCGGACGAGAAGGGAGGGAGGGGTGCGCGTGCGTGCGGGGCGGAAGTGACGAACGCGGTGTGGCCCCGCGCGCGGGGCGGAAGTTGGGAGAGGGCGGGGTGGGTGGGTGGGTGGTGGGGAACGCTGTGACGCGCGACGTTTCTAGTAGGTTCTGCGGGTGACGGTTAAAGGCTGAAGCGGCGGTGGGGGTGGGGGGGGGAAGGAGGAGGGGCAGGGGGCGAGGCGACGGGTCGCCGGCCGGCAGGCAGCAGCGAGGCGAGCAGAGCAGAGCAGAGCTCCCGCTCCGAGTCACCAACAGCCGCTGTGTATTTATTGTTATCTCCCCCTCACCCGCTCGGCTTTCACTATTTATTGCCCCACCCGCAGGGCGTCTGTCTGTCTCTGTCTGTCCGTCCGTCTGTCTCGTCTGCTCATGGCCAAGTGGGGCGAGGGCGACCCGCGGTGGATCGTGGAGGAGCGGGCGGACGCGACCAACGTGAACAACTGGCATTGGTGAGAGGGGCTCCTGCCGGCCCGCGGGCCGGGTCACCCGCTTTCGGGGTCCCTTCGGCTGCACCGCCGGGGGCCTGGGGGATGGGAGGCCTCGAGCTCGCGTGGTGGCGGGGTTTTTTTTTGGTCGGTGCGGGAGGTGTAGGGGGTGGGGTGGGGGGGGGGGGAGTTAGAGAGGCCGACGCGGCGCTGTGTGTGGTGGGAGGCGGGGGGGGGGGTTCGTGTGTGTGTGGTGGGAGAGGGGGGGCAGTGTGTGTGTGGGGGGGGCAGTGTGTGTGTAGGGGGGGCAGTGTGTGTGCGGGGGGGGGGTCGTGTGTGTGGGAGGGGGGGTCGTGTGTGTGTGTGGGAGGGGGGGGGGGGGGGGGGGTCGTGTGTGTGGGAGGGGGGTCGTGTGTGTGTGTGTGGGAGGGGGGTCGTGTGTGTGTGTGTGGGAGGGGGGTGGTGTGTGTGTGGAGGGGGGGTCGTGTGTGTGTGGGAGGGGGGGTGGTGTGTGTGTGTGGGGGGGGGTCATGTGTGTGTGGTGGGAAGGGGGTGTCATGAGTGTGGGGGGGGTGTGTGTGTGGGGGGGTCGTGTATGTGGTGGGAGGGGGAGTCGTGGGAAGGGGGTGTCATGAGTGTGGGAGGGGGGGGTTGTGTTTGTGGGGGGAGGGGGGCTCAGATGTCTTTTTTTGTTGTGTCTGGGGGAGGAGGGTGGGAATTATCTCTCTTCTCCTCCTCCGGCATGATGGTCCTGTCTCTCTCCCCCCCCCCCCCCCCCCACACACACACACACACACACGACCCCCCCCCCCACACACGACCCCCCCCCCCCCCACACACACACACAGGCGCTGTATATAGCGAATGAGGCAACAATGGGCTTCATACAAATACAGTTACTCAGGAGTTCCGACGAAGGGTCGTGGACCCGAAACGTTGACTCACTTTCCTTTCTCCGTAGATGCTGCCTGACCTGCCGAGCGGTCCCAGCGACTTCTGTTTTTTTACTCCGACTCGGGTTGGGTGTACATTGGAGCAATTTGTGTTCAGAATTGTCTTCAGTCAATTGACTTCACAGTATATTCTGTGAAGCACTTTGAGACACCTCAGTGATTTGATAAGGCGCTGTATTAAATCCAAGGATTATTATTCTGCTCCCCCTCCCGTTTGCAGGACGGGTCCTGTGACCTTGGAGGGTTAGTTTGAGCGTGAGAGCAATAGGCAAACCAGCAATAAATATTCCTGTAGCACATTTTTAATATCATCCAATATTTAGGAGCCGTTCGGGATAAGGGTACTGTGTATGTATTGTGTCATCCTGATGTTGACAGGTGCTGTATGAATTTTTTGTTGCAAGATACTTTAGAACTGGTTCAGAGAGATCTGGGTTTGCCATAGACCGAATCTGATGATGCTGGGATCCTGCCTTGCTCACGCTGCAAGAGGGATCCAAAGTGAGATGAAAAATTGAACAGACAGATAGATACCTGGGCTTTTACAAATCTCGAGTTGTGACTTTTTTTTGCTGTATTTTTTATAGCGCTGAGGATTGTTGGCCAGGCGCGGGATCTTTAGACCTCCTTTTAATGACAACAGCAAATTGTATTTATGTAACACCTTTCATGTCGGGAGGATGTCCCAAGGTGCTGTAACTTCCAGAATATGCATCTTCCACTGTGTAAAGAATGGAATTTGGCTCAGTTGGTTTTTAGATTTGCTTGTTGATGGTTAAACTGGCTGCCTATAGTCAATGTCTATGCAAATTAGTGAAGAATTGTACTTTGGGTTAAATACTGGAAATTTGTTGTGTTAGTTGGGACTGTATCGAACTGTGGCTTTTGGGGTGGGGGGAGAAGATAAAGCGTCATATAAACATTCCTTTAGTGCTGTGGAGGTATCTCCACAAGGACACCTACCACCTGCAAGGTGTTGAACTCCTGCAATGCAGCATCTCTTGATGCAGGCTCCTGTATTTAACATGGGACCAGCCATTTCACAACTCTGTTGGTTCCATCTGGATGCCTAAAGTGATTTTATACATCTTCCTTCAAAAGCAGATTGTTTGTGGCACTGGTCCTGTAATCTGAGGCTTGTTTATTAAATAGTATTTCATCTGTACTAAATAGATTAGACGTGTTCTAAACCAATTGGAGCCATTTGTTCTAAGCAAGACTAAATGTAGTCTAAGCCTATGTTAGGGAATTATATAAATGGCACCTATTATCATTCCTCTCCTACTTTTCTCTCTCCCCCCCCCATCCCATTTTGGTATTGAATGCTGAATGCTCCTAGCTTACGTATAGTGTTGACATGAATGCAGTATTTCAGTACTCTACTCCCTGCTTGTTGAATTGTGTTAAAATCTAGATTGATGGATTTTTTTTGTACCGGGTGAGAAACGAACAAATTATTGTCCAGTATTTGTTGGCGCCTCCTCATTTTAAAAGTACTATAGTCACGACTTGGCAGTGACATCCATGCAGTGATCCAGATTTAGAATATGAGCAACACTGTGCATGCTCTTTTGAACGCACACTGCTTTTGTGAGGTTTCCTATGGGTGAGATCTCTTCCAAATCAAGTTGTCCATCAAAGGCATGGAAACAAGGGACAACTTAATGCAGAATTCCACTGTGTTGCAGGTATTCATTCACCCAAAATACAGATTCTTCCACAACATAGTCAATCCAGTTTACAATATATCCTGTGAAGCATTTTGAGACATCGTGAACACGTGATAAGGCGCTAGATCATATGCAAGGATTGTTATAAGACTAATTATATATATATAGAGCTGACCCCTTCCAGCAGTGCTTGCAGGACTCTATAGTTCATAAATCATTGCTATCTGAAACCTCTAATCAGCAGCTGGTGTGAACCTCATTTGAAAATTAATCTCCACTATATCATTGCAATTTGCTGATATCCTGGTTAAAGCCCTGTTCCTGTCCAGGATGGGGAGGTGGGGGCTTTGGGCAAAATGCATTTTTATTGCCGGCTTGACAGGTTTATTATGGCAAGCAAAGATTGTATTCATTTTGAAATACTGTCGGACCTCCCAAGTCCTAATGAATCTAACCTGCATTGTTTGAAATGCTGCACTAATCATAGTAATAATAATCCTTCCATTTGGTATAGCGCCTTATTATGTCAGAAGGATATATCAAAGTACTTCACAGGAATTACTGTAAAAATGGTTTGACTCTATATTTGTAAGTACTAGCTGGTAAAATCGTTGATACTTGGTTTAATGAAATTGCGGGGTTTTTGTTCTGATTCTTGTATAGGGGAGGATTATCAACATAACTAGGAGTCCTGTAGCTCAGTGGTTAGAGCACTCGCCTCACAAGCGAGAGATCTGGGTTCGATTCCCGGCAGGGCGAAACCTTGGGCAAGTTTCCTTACTCCAAATATATGCAAGGATCATTATTATTATAATGATAATCCTTCAAAAAAAAATTAAAAAGATTGGTCACTTCAATCTACGACTGTTTGTGGGACACTGCTGTGTGCAATTGGCTGCCGTGTTTCACCCACAAATATACAGTCAATTCACTTTAAAGTCTATTCTGTGAAGCGCTTTGAGACGTCTAAAAGACGTGAAAAAGCGTTATATCAAATGCAAGGATTATTATTAACTAGTATAATGTTGCCATATTAGACTCTTGAAAGGTGAGAGCTCTGAAATTATCCTGCACAAATTGTCTCAAAGCTTCACTTACTGCAAAGAGTGTGTCGTGTGCATGCCTTGGGACATCCTCCCGACGTGAAAGGTGCTATGCAAATGTATTTTGTTGTTGACGGGCTCTACATCAATGCAAGTTGTTGTTGCATGGGGGGGGGTGGGGGAGAAGCTCGACATGTTATTACCACACAATAAATAATTAACTTATTATTTATGATAATAATAACCTCGTCACAATAAAGCTGATATTCCAAATCATTCTGCAGGACAGAGAGAGATGCCTCAAGTTGGTCAATAGATAAAATTAAAGCACTGTTGCTGGCAGTCAGTGTAGAAAATGAAGAGGGAACGTGCAATGTGACGGAAGTGAGCAAGATTGATGGGGAAGCGTCAATTAACAATAGAAAAGGCAAGCTGATATTCTTCTTTGAATGGAACATCCAGATCTCCTGGACGGGTGAGTGTAGAAAACAAGTCTTGAATTGTTTTTCTCTCTTCTTTTCACCTTCTTGTTTGAAGAAGGTAGAAAGGTAACTAATCTGCTCCCTGTTTTTGAGGGCTAACTTTCTTTGTCAATGTTTGTCTTCTTTCCTCCCTTCCCCCACCCAAAAGTGGGCATTGCCTCACACTGGACATGGATCCATGTATGTTGATAACCCTCCAGTGATTAGCCCAAGTGTCTATTCTTCACACAGGTCCGGATAGTGAATATATCAAATTGTTCGACCTTGTGGTTGGGTAGGACAAGGGCAATACATGGCTGAACCCAATCCGTTCCACACAGTGCACCTCCAGCAGCAGTCACTGGGAACACTGAGCATCTTGATGCTCAATTAAGGACTTTCTTCCCCAATAACGTCGCTCTCTTCCCCCCCCACCCCCCAAAAAAAAAAATTGGTTTATAAATCTAATTGTCTTAACAAATAGCTCAAGCTGCCATTGTGTGAAGTAATCTTGGGACTAATGTCATGTTCTTTAGGTATTGTATCTCATTTGAAGGTTTGGCACATTTGGGTACCTTCACCATCTCGTCTGTATGAAGAGATTTTTACTTGTATTATGAATGCTGGCATAATCTGTTACTTTAAAAATCAGTGAGCACCCCTATTGGGAAGAAACCTTTTCACACCTGCCTTAGTTGGACAGTTCCAGAAAGTGTGGGGGAAGGGATTATAGCACCTAGGAGCAAGCTGAATATCTTTCCTAATTGTAGATCCTGCACTACACATCTGAAATCCTTTTTTATTTTGTGCTGTTTAAGTGCTATGTTTAATATTTAAAAAAAATAACACTGCATAAAATCAGCTTCTTTGTTCTAAAAATGTTTAGGACTCTCCAAGAATGGAATTAAATACAAAGGAACTGGAGAAGTACCAAATCTCTCTGATGAAAACGATCCTGATGAATTAGATGTGAGTTGCTTTTGTATTAAGCTGCTTTTGCTCTTGTTTGTACAACCGTGCGTGTGCTGTGAAAAGGTAATAGGTCTGGAAGGGACCAATCTGCAGCCTTTCAATCCTTGCAAATATACAGTCGATTCACTCTACGGTATATTCTATGAAGCGCTTTCAGATGCTATATCAAATGCAAGGATTATTAAGAAAGAGCATCAGTCCTGGTTATTCTGTATCACTGTACTCACTGAACCGGTATTACTTATTGGACAGTTGGTTTTCAGTAAAACAGTTATGGAATGCATATCCTGAAAGGGTGGTGGAATCCGATTCGATAACAACTTTTAAGAGAGAAGTAGATAATTAATTGGGGAGGACAAGTTCCGGGGGAGTGGGATTGAATTAATACCTCTTTTCAAAGAGCTGGCACAGAAACAATGGGCCGAAAGGCCTCCTTCTGCGCTGTATAATTCTATGATTCTATGCTATTACAAAATAGAATACAAATTTGCTTTGTATTCAAATTGAGATGCCCCTCTCTCAAGCCTGAATTAAATAATTTATTTTATTTTGATGAAAAGAGACTTGAACTCCCTCCCCTCCTGGTGTTTTGCAAGTGCAGCGTTGAAACTTCTACGGCTGCTGCGGCATTTGCTGGTAATAGAGATTGTTGCATTTTGTGACATGACGTCTATTCTTCAAACAAAAAACTGTTTCTTATGTGCTGTCACCCACAGTGAGCTTTATTAGCCGAGGCTGTCCATGTTGACTTCTATAACGTGCCCGTGGTTGAATACCTGTTCTTGTAAAGCATTGATGTGACAAGGCAACAAATTTAATGCAAGAAACCATTTTAAGCAAATGTGGGGAATAAAGAAATATCTACTCCAAAGATATTGGGAGTATCAAATATTTTGGAGGCTGCTTTTTAATTGGAACGGTATTGGTGTTCATTTGTGAAATTACCTTTCCTTAGATTAATATTTCACTCTCAAAAGATGAGCCTGACACAAAGCTACTAGCTTTGATGAAAAAGGAAGGTGCAAGTAACATCAGGAAGGCGCTTGCTACCTACATCGAGACACTGAAAACTGGTAAGTGTGGAAGGAAACATTTCACAGGGTGAAAGTTCTTTCCTCCTTTGTACACACTGGTTACTGAGTATTTTCTGTTGTGAAACTGCAGAATAGGTAACAGGCAAAACTCTGCACATAACAATTCATTTATAAACTGGTACTTGTTAATAGTAATTCAGAGAATCAGAATCTTAGCAATAACTAGCCGGACATCACAACTGACTCACCTGGCTTCTTGTGATCTGCTTTAGAATGGGAGTGACAGTTACTGGCATGAGGAATGGCTGTTGATCCCATCAAGCCTGATCTGCCTTTTTTTAAGATAGTGGCAGATCATTTGTATCTGCCTTTGTTTAAGATAGTGGCAGATCATTTGTAAGCTTGGTTCAGTTGGGGACACTTATTCTCTGAATGAGAAGCCTGTGAGTTCAAGCCGTCAATTCCAGATTATGAACCTGATCGAGGCTGGCACTCCAAAGCAGTGCTTGGGAAACACTGCATTGGTGGTCTCATTCAGAAACAAATTGTGTTTTAAAACCGTTCAATATGATAAGGCATTATAACAAATGTAAGGATTATTATATTCTCTTTAGTACTATTTCTCCATAACTCCTTTGTAAGATAGTTTTGGCCACAAAATATACAGTCAATTCACTTTACAGTATATTCTGTGAAGAGCCTTGAGGGTCTCAAAGACACAATAAGGCGCGAATCAAATGCAAAGATTATTATTATTATTAGTAGTAGTAGTACTTGTAGCTCCCAGGACTACTGATTACTCAAACGAATGCTGAATTTTGGGTTTGTATTCCAGAATTTACTCAGGGGATGATTTTACCAACAATAAATGGAGTTCAGAAGGAAACATCTCAGCCCAAACCTAAGATCGATGTGAAGGCCACGGTAAGGCAGCAATGGTACCATGCTGTATATGATTTGTTTTGCGGGTTGGGAGGTCAACTGGGAGTGTGACACATGCAGAAGCCCATCGCCGTGCTTAAGAGTCTCCAAATCACTAGGTTAACTTTGACCACTACATTGCGATACAGTTCCAGGTTCCAGACAGAGCCATCAGTGGCAAGATAATTCCATGCATCCCGCCTACATATGGACATTTCAGAGGTAGATTGTTGGAATGGAATGTGCACTCTCTCCCTGCAGAGTATTAGGCGCAGGTTGGCAAGAGCCAGGCTTGGGGACCTGCAGAATATGCGTTGGGGGGAACTGCTGAAGTCTAACCAGCCAAAAATGCATCTCTAGCCATTGATAGCTTTGTCTGGAATCTGAAACTGTATCGCCGTGTAGTGGTGAGAATTAACCAAGTGGTTCCTATTTAACGGTCATATGGAATCCTTGAAGGACCAGCGTTCAGGGCCTTGTGATATTTATCCTAGAAGCAGTGATTCTAACATTCATACTGTAATGTATACCTTCATGATTGACCTCAGTGCACCAGATTGAAAACAATTTGCAGTTCCACTGATCCATTTTTCTCCACCAAGAATCTAAACCTAATCTTCATTTTAAGAGACAACCACTTACCCTTTTGCAAAATTATAACCTTATAAAATGCTTGAATGGCAGGCTAACCGGACTGATTTGATGGGGCTTCTTAGCCTCAAAGACTAATTCAAAGAAGCAATTACTATAAAAAGTACTTGAAAAAGGAAAAGCAAGTCTGAATAGTCCATTTTCTGATTGCTGGAGGAACGAAAGAAAATGAGGATTTGAGAGGATTAGGATCAGTTGTGTAAAATGCAGGTGCATCAAAGCAACCAAAATGGTTAAAGTGACTTGCTGTGATTGATGCAGTTGGAGCAATTTCTTCTAATTGTGGAATTAGAATGAATTTGTATTTGCATTTTAATCCCAAGGGAATGTCTTGAGTGCTAATCCGAAATATTCACCAGGAATGTTGTTTCTCTAGGTCTCAGCAGGATCCCGAGTGATCATCGTACTTCAGTCGGGGTAAAAATCCCAACTTGTAAGATCAATATAATGGACCGTTTCCGGACTTCAGTTGACGAGCTGTACAGGATCTTTGTGACACAAGAGGTAAGGACAGACATTAATGAGAGAAGAGTGAAGAAAAGATGAATTTGCTCCTAAGGTAGCAGCAAGTCCATATTTAAATGCTGTGTTCCACAGGAAATTTAGTGTTGTGGTTCTGTTCTCTTGGTTTCAGCTGGTTCAGGCTTTCACACATGCACCAGCTTTTGTTGAGGCGGAGAAGGGAGGAAAGTTCCGACTCCTTGATGGGAGCGTGAATGGAGAATTCTTAGATCTGGTGAGTCATCCTTAAGCCTTTTGAGCACTGGCAAAGAACACGGTGCATGGAATCCTATGTCACATTCACAGTTCATCCCTCACTCTGTCCCTGAGACATTGTTTAAGACGGGTTTAATTGATTTTTGCATCCAATGCTGAAAAATCTGTGCAGCCATCACTGGTGAATTGCAGTCAAGTCTGTGCCAGTGCTTTGAGATGTTTCAATGATGAGGCACTATATCAAATGCATGATATTTTTAGTGAGTAGGTATTTTTGTCCAACCTGGAGCATCTCATATACCATCTGTACATATTAACCTTCCATTTATCTATTGACCTGTGCACCTACATTCCTTCATCACATATTGTTGAGTGACATCTTGATGCTAAATGAAGGTATCACTATGGCTGGTATTGCTCTAAGATGCTACCCTGCCTGAGGGGCACTATATATAAATGCAAGTTGCTGTTATTGGCTTCAAGAAGTCTCCAAACTATTGATTTCCAATTTTATATTTTATGCAGCTGTAACTATTGAACTTCGAGGTATTAAAAGGTGTTCAAAGGGCGTAATGGTATTAATTGGATAACAGTGTTATTAATTGGATTCGTACCAATTAATTATTTTGCGGAGTTCAAACTGATGTATTATTTAATTTGCCAGGTTTTCGACGAGTCAATTGTTATGAAGTGGAGATACAAGTCTTGGCCGGCCGGTAAGCTTCAGTTTTTTCCAGCTCTATTGCATAGCATTGGACGTGAACATTTAATAGATTCATTTAATAGGAATTTGGAAAATACATGCAATCATAAGCTTTATTTTCTGGTTCAAACTTAACTCTGAAATACTCTGCAAGACAGACCTAATAATGCAAGACAAACCTAATGTGTATCTGTTCCATTGGTGGTGAGGCAAAATAGTCTTGCTGGATAAATGGTCACTGCCTCAAGATTAAGACCATAAGACGTAGGAGCAGGAATAGGCCATTCGGCCCCTGAAGCCTGCCCTGCCGTTTAATAAGATCATGGCTGATCTTCTACCCTAATTCCATTTACCCGCCCTAATCCCATATCCCTTAATTCCTTTAGAAATCTATCAACCTCGGTCTTGAATGTGTTCGCCTCACTCCCTCTCTTGCCTCCTTCAAGGCATGTTTCAAGCCCCTCCTCTTTGACTGCGCCTTTGGTCACCCTCATACCCCCACCCTCCCTGCCTTCCACCCCTCCTGATCCCAACCCCCAGCTCTGGTGAAAATCCTCGACTGTCCAGCGCTTTGAGCCATTCCTCCTGCCATGAATGGTGCTGTGTAAATGTAATTTGTTGTTGTCATTAGTGATGTTCCAAAAGTACAGTGACTAATGTTGCAAACGCCTGTTTTTCAGAACATTACGCAATCATAACGTTGACTTTCTGCAACAAGGATGATGAGACGGAGCTACAGGTGGAGTGCAAAGGGGTGCCTGTGGGCGAGGAGGAGCGGACAAAAGAAGGCTGGAAGCATTACTACTTCGAGGGCATAAAACAGACTTTTGGATACAATGTCCGCCTGTTCTAGAGACCTGTCCAACTGCAAACCTCCTAGCTTAATGTAATGTACAAGTACAGAAAAGCTTTAGACCCTTTTGTTCATTTCACATTCAGTTCATTCTTTTTTTTCCAATATTGATCATTCAATTTGCAACAATAATCACAATAATGGACACCCTAAGTGAACAACTTGCCCAGTTGTGGGTTCCAGGTACACTTTTCTGCAGCAGCCAAAAGCCATTCAGTATACAGTCTAGTTACCATCTCATGGTGGGAATGTTTTATTTTGCAGGTTGGTGTAATTTGTGAAGTTTCACGGTCATGACTGTTGTTCATTGGGAAGTTCTTTATGACTTACTGAATTCCAAGTTCCATGCAAGAATTTCCCACTATATGGTATGTGTCAGACGAGGCATTGTCACTATTGTTGATACCATTGTTGATATCAGTTGTTTTCTCTAATATTAGAGGAACACTTGGTGAGTTTAAATGGAGAAATTCTTTTTTTCCTTTAACTTACTTAAACTACACGCTGCCTCCACCCAAGACTCAAGATGAAACCTGTGTACTTTGTTCAGAGAAAACGGGTTTTTTAATGAATTGTTCAGGAAAAGCAAATCTGACCTGTTACCTCTTACCTGGGGTTCATTGCTTAGTGAATAATGAGTGTGCCAGTGAAGGGATGAAATAAAAGCTAGAAGTGGAAGAAATCGTGAACAGTAGCAGTTTTTTTTAATGTAATCGGGTCAAACGGACCTGGGTTGAGCGAATGTGTTCTGAATATTAATGCACAGCTATTGACCAACCTTTGGTTGCTTTTGCATGTGTCAGCTTGTGGTTAACCAATTAGGTTGTCATTCTGTGTTTCTCCAAAAAGTTGGGCCCCTTCTGAAAGGCTGAGCCCAGTTGAAAATAATCCACCTGGTGAAAGCAATTGTGCCTTTTTTTAAAAAAAAAAGCAGCCCCTGAGGTGCAGAATCGAGTGTCTTGTAAATACTGTATTAGTCAAGAGTCAAATTGGAATAAGGAGATTTGGATTTAAGGACTTTGAAATATTGGCAGTGAAACTTGCTGCAATTGTAGAACTGCACTGCTCTAGTCCCAGACAATAGGTTAGATTGTGTTTGATTGTGTTTGGTGGGTGTGACACATGCATTGTGCTTTTTGATCTAGACGTTGATCTGCCCTGTGGATGACATTAGGTTGACCATCTCAATAGCGACAGTTGTACATGACTACCAGAAGAAAAGGCATAGGCTGGTTCTCTATCCTATCCTATGTACATATTGTCTCCACGTACTTTATTAAATACAATTTCTACTTAAATGTTTGTGTCTAAGACCTATCAGATCACAAGGTTGGGACAGTGGCACTGTTGATGCGAACTTCATTTCTGGACTCTGGCTTTTAATTGCTTCCAAATATCAGCGTAGGTTGAGATGTGGAAATGCCCTCTTTTTACTCTTTCAAAGTTGTATAACTATTGTGGTAGTGATTCCAGTCACACAACTAGTGTGACTAGTTAACTGAGAGTTACGTGATGATTTGATGCCTGTGTGGATTTATGTGTTAAATGTAGATGGCTTCTGAATAGGGCTCCTTTTCCCTCTCTTCCCCTCCCCCCTCTTTTCCTCTTCCCCAAACACATCAAACCTCATCCAGCACTGAGTACAGAGAGCCAAGTAACCTTCATGTTGCCAACATCAGTGTTACTATCTGCTATCCACATGATAAACCTTGTTCAGAATTGGTGGATTTTGGCAAGTACTTTATTTGAAGTTTGGATAGTTCTATACAGACAGGTACACTCCAAATGCTGGAGCTGGCATCACTTTATGCAGTGTCTTTCCTTCCCCTTGAAGGTGCAATGGCTTCATTCAATTGCCACCTTACAATTTTATGCCCTCGTGCAACTTAGTGCAAAGCTTCCTCCCATTTACTTCTGCAGTATTCCAGGGCACCACTGATGACAGCACAGCCAGACTGGCACATCAGCAGGACCTGGAAGGGCAGACTAGTCACTGGGGAGAGGGAGACATCCCACTCAGCTCCTGTTAACCCTGCAAGCCAAAGGGTGGTAAGGTGGTCCTAGCTGGATAAGCGGCAGGAAAGCTTGCCAGAAAGCAGTATCAATGGCAAACTATGTGGTTTTAGCTTTTAGAGGTCAGCAGTTACCCCAACACACATTCTGGGTCCCAAAGCCTCGGTTTTTGCCAACCTGTACCTAATACTTTCTGGAATTAGTTAAGCAGGATATGTCCCTCCAGGGAGAGAGTGCCCATTCCATCAATCTATCTGGGATTTCCATGTGAGGGTGGGATACATGGAAATCTCAGCTTAGCTTGGATACTCGTAAGCATGGCGCGGGTTTCTGCATGTGTCAGACACCCGGCTGACCCCAAAACAACTTTGCTGCAGCTATCCAGGGAGGGATTGAGCACTGTCACAGGTCGAATGAATGAATCTAGGAACCTTTCAGAATTTAATGGTCTCGTCATAGTGCTTGAGTCAGTTTTCTTCAAAGGCCCAAGAGTAGAGCCCCAGGAACTTCACTCAACACTGGTGGCTCTAACAGTGAGTGCATTGTAATATTGTCAGAACAATGTGAAGTCATTGCAACTTGACTACCATTGGCAGAGGTACAAGCTTGTGTTTCTCCTCAGGTGGGATGAAGGAACATTTGCCTAATTAAGACAATGAGCTTGAGTTTGCCTCTTGCATGAAGACATCAATGCAAGCTCAGCACAAACCTCACTGACCTTCACACATTTGTATTGTCTGACACAGGACAAAGGGAGTGGTTTGATTTAAGGCAGTTTATTTTAATCCCAGATATGGGACAGAATTCATACATAAGGTACAATCAAGCACTCTGTTACAGAATGCCAGTCATCGCTTCCTAACACATTGAGGCTTCTCACTAACCCAAGAAAGAGCTGTTAGTTGTCCAAACCAGCTTTGTGGTGACTACATTGTAAAGTTCCACCAGGTTTGACTTGGGGGTGAAACTTGTCATGAATGTCACAAAATCTCAGCCCAAATAGAATACCAGGGATTGATTTTTTTTTAAAAAAAGTTGATTTGGGAACCTTGAACAGTAACTTTTAAGAGTTGTTTCTCCCCACCTCACCCAAGCTGTTAGATACAAAATTCTCACCCTGATCAAATACAAAAGTTTGGTGAAATGATGTAGATAAAATGGTCTGAGCTTTTCTCCCCACCAACCCTGTTAATCCATAAATTGCACTGCCTATACTTTTATAAACAGCAGCAAAAAAAAAAGGTTTCATGGCAAGCAAAAGTTATGACAAACCATAATTGGGGAAAGGGGTTGTTGAAGCTTAAATGCTGTAGTTTGAGTACTGGAGATAATCACAGGCTAAAGGGTCTCCATCACCACTCTTAATAAAACAACTTTCCAAGATAGTTTGTCCACTTTCAAACATTTCCCTTGAGTCGAACAACTTGGGCCGGTCTCAAAATGAGGGGAGTAATAATAATAACAATTCTTGCATTTGATATAAAAGTGCCTTATGTTGTTGAGGCATCTCAAAGCGCTTCACAGAATATACTGTATTTTGTGGGTGAAATGTAATGTTTGCAATTACAGCTAAACTGGGTCAGATTCAGAAAACAATAAGTCATTCATTGCTACTGAACTATGTTTTCGCAAAGTAATAAAAATCAAACCTTAAAAAAAGTTTCAACTCTCCCTTTTCGCACCCTGGTAAACTGTTTTCTAACGCTGCCGATTTAATCCAGATTCTTTTTTATTTTGACCATTCACTTGCCACACCCAAGCACAGAATCTTTTTAGAATTTCTTTTTTAAAAAAATCTACAAACTACAGCAAATAAATAAAAAAAATCAAAACATTTTTTCTTATTTTTTTTTGGTAATGCGTTATAAATTATAACCTAAAAGGGGAGGGGGGAGGAAAGGAGGGGAAGAGGAAAGAACTTAAAATATACACAACCTCTGAAATTCCTTGCGAGTTAGTCATAATAGTCCTTGTATTTGATATAGCGCTTCATCACATTGTCAAAGCGCTTCACAGAATATACTGTAAAGTGAATTGACTGTATATTTGTGGGTGAAACACAGCAGTGTCCCACAAACAGTCGTGGATTGAGTGACCAAATTATTATCACTTATTTTTTTTTGAAGAGATTATTAACCCTGGAAGAGCGACTCCCCAATCGAATAACAAACGGGTTCCTACTTACTGCTAGGTAAACGGAGGCGGGTGGAGTAAGGCAACTTTCCCAATGTTTCGCCCTGCCCGGGAATCAAACCCGGCTCCTCTCGCTTGTGCTACATCATTACGCTACAGGACTCCACAAGTTGAGCATATTTCTAAGAGGTTGAAACTTTTTTAATATAAAGCAAAGGTCATGAATCACGAGAGACGGGTGCAAATTTAATGCATGTTCTCTCGGATGATTGATTCAGTGGGTTCGTGATGTGTTTTGCCAATGGTGGAGTGTCTTGAGGGGGGAAAAAAACCCTCATGATGTAGCCTGGTGTAGCACAGGCTACACCAATACAGTGTTTGTCTATTACCCACAATAGTGGGGGGGATTTATATATTATATATGTGTATGAAGTTGAACAGGTTCACGACTGAAGCTTGCAGAGTGCAGAACAGGTATGGGGGCGTGGGGAGGAGGGGGAGTGCAAGGTGCCCACTGACGAGATGTGCTTAAGATCTTTTTGCAGCCCAATCACATTCCTTCCCATCTGCCAAACCTCAACACCGCTCTTCAATGCAACACACGTACCCGTTATTGTCCGAAACTGAACACAGCCTTTTAGACAGTGAGCAAAGGTGACGTTGCGCAATGCGATCGATAAAGGCCAACACTTTGCAATCAAAAATATGAGCGTTTAAAGGGAGGAGATAGAAAATGTCCATGATTCTATTCTAATACGTTGCACAGAAACAGCTTAGGTAGTCATCTCCAGTAAATTGCAGCAACAATGAAGGGGGAAAGAGGAAGAAAGAAGAGATTGAACATGGAGCGCAACACAATACCCGAACAAGCCATGTCAACAGCGTGTACACACACACACTACGCACACACAACATAGGAGGAGCATAGTTTGAGAAGGGCATTAATTTACTTCAAAACAGAACAACAACAGAAACCCAAATGGCACAGAACTGCCAACTTCACTTACCCCAAGCTCCCGATACAGTGTTTCTGGGGGACAAGCTGACACGTCTTACATTGCAATAGACCTCTCAATTCAGTTCTAGTGTTCAACACACACTTTTTAAAAAAAGGAATAAATAAAAAGTGGCTCCAGAAAACAAAAATCACACACAAAACTGTATTTTTCCACCGCTTCACAATTAAGGTAGGATTAATCATCATTATTATTATTAATAACAAGACAATGTTCTTTTACTGCATTTATGAAACAAGCCAGCCAAATTGACAAAGTAGACAATCTCGTCAATGCAACAAACTTGGGTGAGTCTTGAAGCAATAACAATGATCATCACCACATTAAAAAAAAGTTATATATATAATATGTACACACACACACGTCAAATATTCAAAGCAATGGACCAAAGGTTACAGCACAGAAACGTTGGAAGGCCATCTGCTGACACTTGGCTCTTCTTCACTGGAGACAACTATGTAGGGTAGTTCACAGGCTGCACTTGTTCCTTCCTCACTCCAGTCAGTCAAACTCCAGCTAATAAATCGTTTCGGTCCTAGTCACACCCTTTGCCAAACGGCCGTCACAACACTCACTCCCATATTTTTTAAAAATATTTATATTTTAAAAAAAGCAATGATTTTTTTCAATACAGTATTGTATGTACAAAAAAAAACACTGTGGCGTACGTTCCAAGCAAGTAATACATCAGTCAGGTCAACAACCTGCCCAGAACGTCCCACCTACACAAGTTAGTTTCTAGTAATGTGTGTGCGTGTGTGTGTGTATTGCGGGTTTGTTTTTAATCAGTATCGCAAGATCTGGTCACATCATCCAACACACACCTCTTTGGTTTCTTTCAAGACATTTCTCTACCCACGTTCACAAACTACTACCAGAATAATTTCCCCATCATTTAAAAAATATATTACGTTGTTTTCAATATAAACCCTGGTGTAAACCCATTCATTATAATAATCCTTGTGTTTGATACAGCGTCTCATCACGTCGTTGAAACGTCTCAACGCGCTTCACAGGATATACTGTAAAGTGAATTGACTGTATTTTGTCTGTGAAACACGGCAGCGCACAGTCGTGGATTGAGTGACCAATTTTTAAATGTTTTTTTGAAGGGGTTATTACCCCCGGAAAGCGATCTGCCAGTCGACTAACAACTGGGTTCCTACTTACTGCTGGGTAAACAGAGGCGAGTGCACTAAGGAAACTTGCTCAAGTTTTTGCCCCGCCTGGGAATCGAACCCGGGTCCTCTCGCTTTGCGAGGCGAGCGCTCTAACCAATACACTACAGGCCTTCACTGCTACGTAGATTTAAGACATCAGCTAATGGATTTTTGGAAAGTATGTCTGAGGAAACATTCTCTAAGCTATTCAGACGACTGCATTTAAGTGCAGAGCAGAAGGCTTTCTCTACACGGTGGTGGGGGCGGGGGAGTGAAGAATTAGTGTGAAAGAATCAAAAACATCTATTACCCAGATTTACAGAATTGTTGACGGGGGAGAGGTGCTGGATTAAAGACACCTGGATTTGCACATTGCTGCACTGCGTAAGCGGAGGAGAAAGAGGGGGGAATAAATAGCTGAGGGTCCTAGAAAAACTCTGCGATGATAATAATAATAATCCTTACATTTGGTATCATGCCTTATCACAGTTTCGAGACGTCTCAAAGCGCTTCACAGAATACACTAAAGCGAATTGACTGTATGTTTTGTGGGCAAAACACGGCAGCCAATTGCACACAGTAGTGCCAACAAACAGTCGTGGATTGAGTGACCAAATTTTTTTATTTCTAATTTTTTTTGGAGGGGTTATTAACCCCGGAAAGCAATCCGCCAACAACCGGGTTCCTACTTACTGCTAGGTAAACAAAGGCGTGTGGAGTAAAGAAACTTGTCTTAACGTTTCGCCCTGCCCGGGAATCAAACCCAGGTCCTCTCGCTTTCGTGGCGAGCGCACTAACCACTGAGCTACAGGAATCATGCGATGGGGATGAAGGGGTAATTTCAGCAGGTCCTCACAGAGGAAAACCATCACCGTGCTTAAGTGCATGTGAACAAAAGGAATTGAGGTGCAGGATGCCACAGACTGCCGGGCGATACAATCACAAACAAGGTACATAAGGGGAACAAAAAACACTGCTTAATTCACTTTGCTGCGGATTACTGGCTAAACTTAAAACTACTCTCTCTCACACTCAAAAGTTCCACCTAAATCCTTTAATAATTTTTGTATTAAAAAAATCATTATATATAATATAAAAACAAACATTTGTATTTCGAAGCTAATGAACTTTACAAGATGTACAGTATTTTTGTGAATGGGGGAATGGAGGGAGAGAAGCAATGACTGGATTATTTTTTTTTACTAAAGGTTACCAAGTTTGTAAGCTGGTTTTGGTTTTTGTTTGATTGCTTTAAAATTAAAATCATGTCGCAGGCGAAACTGCCATAACTCTTAAAAAAAAGAAACTCTCAACTCTCTCCCAATTCTCATGAGCAGCCAGAATAAACTCAAAACGCACTCTCACTTAGTGGCAAAAATCTGCGCACACACATATATATATGTAACACTGCATATATATATATAAAATATAGATATAAATACACACACACACACCTTGACAGTCCCAGAACCCTTCTAAGCAGAGTATGGACAACTGCCCCATTGCAAGCATTTCACATGAGGAGGGGGCAGTCTTGGGCCGAACATACTATGAAACGAATTGACTGTATTTCGTGGGCAAAATGCGGCAGATAATTGTGCACAGCAATGTCCCACAAACCACAGTGTCTTGGACTGAAGTGACCAATTTTGCTTTGAGGCAATTATTACCACCCCCTGGAAAAGCAATCTGCCGATCCACTAAAATTGTAGGTGATGTTGATGATTCAGGGCGAACTTTAATATGCAAGGCAAAAAAACAGGTCCATACACACAGCACGCGCACGCCATACACAGCACACATACACGCCATACACAGCAAACACACAGCACACACAAACACCATACACAGCACACACACACGCCATACACAGCACACACACGCCATACACAGCACACACACACACACACGCCATACAAGCACACACAAACACCATACACAGCACACACACGCCATACACAGCACACACACGCCATACACAGCACACACACGCCATACACAGCATACACACACACGCCATACACAGCACACACACGCCATACACAGCACACACACGCCATACACAGCACACACACGCGCCATACACAGCACACACACACACGCCATACAAGCACACACACACACGCCATACAAGCACACACACATACACAGCACACACACGCCATACAAGCACACACAAACACCATACACAGCACACACACGCCATACACAGCACACACACGCCATACACAGCATACACACACACGCCATACACAGCACACACACACCGTACACAGCACACACACACACGCCTTACACAGCACACACACGCCATACACAGCACACACACACGCCGTACACAGCACACACACACACACGCCATACACAGCACACACACACACGCCATACACAGCACACACACACACATGCCATACAAGCCAATAGCTCTGATGCCACAATGGGGAAATGCACGGAATCTCTCCCTCTCTCTCGGGTTGCCATCAGGCAGGGAAAACAGTCACCCTAATAATACTGAGTAGAGAGATAATCCCATTGCTAAAAACCTTTCAGAGCAGCAGCTGGAGTGTCAGTCGCTCACTTGTTAGCCTCTTCTCTCACTCCGTGCGTGTGTGTCTGTCTCTCTCTCTCTCTCTCTCATGCCCATTCCTGCCAATCATGGAACACTGCAGCTTAAAAACCTCCTAAGTCTCCACCAACACAACTGTGACCATGACCCTCCATCGCCCCATAAAACCCGCCACGTGTTGGGTACAAATATTGGTGGGGAGCGGGGAATAAGAGTGTGGGTGGAGGTTAAAGAAAAATTGAAGCTGGATAGATGCACCAGAAATGCTTTACTGTACAAAGACAGTATTTTCAGCAAAGAATGGATAAAGTTCACCCCCCCCACCCCCGTGTGGGTCTCAGGCAACCGTCACACACACACGCAAAGCCCCCCCGCCCCCTCCCACTTCTCTCTCGGTCTGTGTCAAGGCTCTCTCTCTCGCTCTCTCTTCCGCAGTCGGTCTTTTTTTTAATATAGAAAAAGAAAAATGCAGTTCACTTAAAAGATGCTTCAGGCCTTGCTCTCTCTTACGCTCACGCTCTCTCTCTCGCGCCCCCCACCGTATGCTCACGGTCTCTCTCGTTCGCGTGCTCACTGGCCGGCTCGCTCCTTGTCCTCTCGCTCTTTGCGTCCGTCCATCTTAAACTCGTGTACTCTCTCTCCCCTGCCCATCGTGAAACACTGCGTCTTAAAAGTCTTCTGAGCAGAGCAGGGACCTGCGATTACTGAGTCAGTCTGACTGCAATTTAAACTCACCGGGAACTTAAAACACACACACCCGCGCGCGCGCACACACATACCCCCGCGCGCGCACACGCACACATACACACACACGAATACAGAATGCTGTGAAAAATCAACCCACCCTTGGAATAGAGGAAACCTTTCATCACTTTAGTTGTAATAGCTTTCCCCCCCACCCCTCTCGTTTCTATCTTCTCCGTCACCAATCAATTCGACTCAAAGCTGCAAACCAAGTCCCAGTTCCCATCGCGGAAACCTCAGAGTCACGGGACAGACGGACAGAGACGGGATTTCTAGTCTCACCGATTCATCAGTTCAGCGTTGGGTCACAACGTTGAGAAAAGGAGCCGGTTTTACATTAGAAAAAAAAAGGCTCTTTCCCCGCCCAACCTCCTCCCTCCCTCTCTTTCTCTCTCCCTCCCACCCATCCTCATCTCCCCCTCCCTCCCACCTTCCTCTCTCCCCCCTCTCCCTTCCCCCACCTTCCTCTCTCTCCCCCCACCCTCCCCTCCCTCGCTCCCCCCACACCCTCCTCTCTCCCTCTCCCACCCTCCTCCTCTCTCTCCCACCTTCAGCTCTCTCTATCCTCCACCCTCCTGTCTCTCTCTATCCTCCACCCTCCTGTCTCTCCCACCCTCCTTCTCCTTCCTTTTCCACCCTCCTCTCTCTCCCTCTTTCCCACCCTCCCTGACACCCCAGTGTGCGTAGAGCCAGTGACAGAGGGAGTAAGGCTGCCAACCAACAATGTCTCGGTTCTCAATCGTTCCCAAATCACTGCCTGTCTTTCCTCTGGGAGTGGGGGGGGGGGGGGGGGAGGAGGAGAGGGGAGGGGGGAAATGCAATCGTTCAGTTTACAGCGACCCTCACCAGGGCAACCTTTATTTCTTCGTTCTCCCATTCTGGCTCCCGTCTTCTCGCTAACCCCTTCCTCTTCCCACCTCCCCCAACGCCCCCCCCCCCCGTTCGTCCACACCGTGTTGCATTCAGTCGCACATCTCCTCCGCTATTTCGTGCGGGTTCAGGATTCCCGGGACCGTCATCTGAATTTTCCGCTTCTCTTCCTGGGCTTGTCGCAGGGCAGCTTCCCGCTCCTCCAGGAACAGGTCTGAAGTGTCCTCGCCCCCGAATTCCTGAAACGGGGAGTTTGTTTTTTAATTAAAAAAAACAGTTAATAATCCTTACATTCCACGCAGCAACTTTCACGTCAGTCACGCGTCTCAAAGCGCTTCAAAGGATGCGCTGTAAAGTGCTTTGTGGCATCAACGCGGCAGGCAATTTGCACTCAGCCGTGTCCCCACAAACCCATGTCAAGACTTGGTCCAACCCGACGCTCCAATGCAGCTCCAATGGGGGGGGGGGGGGGGAGATTGTCGGGAGATGCCCGAGTTTTCGGTTGAGAAGTTAATCGAGGTAATGTCTGCCAGTTCAAGTGGATGTTATATACAGTCACTCCACTTTACTGCGTATCCTGTGAAGCACTTTGAAACGTCTCGAAGACGTGATAAGGCGCTGTATCAAATGCAAGGATTATTATTATTATTTAGCAAATGCAAGGATTACTATTAACCAAAGCAGAACGATCACAATTCAATCCCTGGTCACATGGAGCCACTGTAGAGTTTGAACCAAGAATTGGATTTGATTCAGTGGTTGTGTAAAAGCACATTTCAGCCAAAGGTTGCAAGTGAAGAGTTAAGGTGAGCAACGCATCGCAAATGATGGCGTCCCAGAGTTGTGTTAGAGTGGTCGCCTCACAAGCAAGAGGATCTGTAGGCTCATATTTGCGATGCTTAATGTTTTGAGGGCTTTTTAATTCATCTTTATATACTTTTAGAATATAACCCACGTGGGTAATCCTTCACAGTATGACCAACTGATCCTGTAAAGCATAATAATAATCCTTGCATTTGATACAGCGCCTTGTCATGTCTTCTAAATGTCTCAAAGTGCTTCACAGAATATACTGTAAAGTGAATTGACTGTATATCCTGTGGGCGAAACACAATCTCAAATGCCTAGCTTAGGGCCTCTGGAAGGGTTGTTAGCAGAAGGTAAAGATATATTGGCTTGACTCAGTTCAGATCAATCAGTCTCTGATAACATTGCATTCCTTGGTTCTGTTCTTTGGGTTCTTGATGTCCTCCTGTCTTGAGGTCTGAGTAACTACTCCTTGAGCACGATAAGAGCAAAACCAGGAAGGCTTGTGAATCAGACCAAGGCAGGGGGATAGGGGAGGAAGGCCAAGTTAAAAACATATAATATTTAGACGAAAGAAAAAAAGAACTTTGGAAAAGTCGGGAGTAGTTGCAGAGGGTCAACACTTCTTCCCAGTGGAATCGGGTAATATGGATTTGACAGTATCTATGATCTCAGTTTGAGGTTAGACTAACGTGCTCAGCTCATTGACTGGTTTTATTGATTGCTTGATAAAATACTGGACTCTTCGATCTGTTACCGACCCAGGTCCGATTCCCAGTTGGGGAGAAACCTTAGGGAAGTTTCCTTACTCCACACGCCTCTGTTTACCTAGCATAAAGTAGGAACCCGGTTGTTAGTCGATTGGTGAACCACTTTCCGCGGATAATCCCTTCAACAAAAAAAATTTGGTCATGACTGTGTGTAGGACCCTGCTGTGCGCAATTTCACCCACAAAATATACAGTCAATTCATTTTACAGTGTATTCTGTGAAGCGCTTTGAGACGTCTCGAAGACGTGATAAGCGTTACATCAAATGCAAGGATTAGTATTGCTATTATCGCCCCCTCTCTGATTTTGAGACTGGCTCAAACTGTTACCAACTCTCAGAGGAAGCATTTAAAAATGGACAAACTATCTTGGAAAGTTATTTTATTAGGAGTGGTGATGTGATTATCTCCAGTTCTCAAACTGCAGGATTTAAGCTTCAACAACCACTTCTTCCCCCACCCCATTAGGGTTTGTCATAAAGTTTGCTTGCTGTGAATCCATTTTTTTGCTAGTTTCAAAAGTATAGGCAGTGGAATTTATGGATTAACAAGTGGGGGGGGAAGAAAAGATCAGAGCATTTTAATTACATAATTTCCCCCTCCCCTTCAAAATATGTCTTGAATTGTCCCAGGCAGAGATTAGCCTCTAACCTGACCACCCACATTAACACCAGCGTTGTGTCTTGAATGTTGTTGAGTAAATGGTCTCCCTGGCCAAGGCTGGAAGGAAATCTCGTAGGCTTTATAGATCTTATATAAAGGAATCTCGCCTTTTTTTTAATAGAAGTTATAAGCGTTTTCAAGCACTTGGCACCCGCTCTGTGGAACTGCATTCCCAGATCCCTCCCTCCATGGGGATGTGAAAGGCGCAGTGGAGTATCAGGTCAATTGTATTGCATTTGTTTCTGACCTAACGGGACTGACTGGTTTCTGTGTGTCTGCAGATGGCTTGGCTCGGGGACGTTCCAGCCGTTCCCTACTTTGGAGACGGATTAAACATAGTTTCGTGCATTCACATCAGGGACTTGGCTGCGGAAGTGTGAGAGCTTTCCTGTCGGCTCAGAGCACCAGCAACGGCAACTTACAATCACGCAGCTCCATTCCTCTAAAGTAACCGCCCCGAGAAAATGCCCTTCACTGAACATCACTGATTGGAGATGAAAGCGAATGTTGTTATGGAAGTAAACCCTCCTGGTGGGGCAGGGAATCTCCCACTCAACTCCCGTTAACCCCACAAGCCAAAGAGCCTCACCCTCATTTTCAAATCCCTTCGTGCCCTGGCACCTCCCTCCCTCTCTGACCTGCTTACCCCCTCCCCTCCGACTCACAACCCCCCGGCTCCCCCGGCCTTCTGCAAGTCCCTCGTGCCCTCCAATGGTGGCCGTGCTTTCAGCCACTACGCCCCTGAACACTCTTCCTCTATCCCTCCGCCTCGCTCCTTCCTTCCTCATCTTCAGGTCGCGCCTGAAGATCTTCCTCTTCAACCATGTCTAGTTACACCCCCCCCACCCGGGATTCTCCTTACCACTGTCAAGCGCTCCTGTGTGAGGGGCGCTATTATGAGTGTAAGTTGTGTTATTGTGATCCATACCTTTATCTGTACCAGGAAGTCCCGTAGGTGTTCCTTGAACGAGGCAATGTCTTGGTTCAGACTGAACAGTCCGGTCACAAAGATCTTTATCTGTGCGCTGAGGAGGAAAGCGACAGTGAAGGTGCTGAACATCAAACCAGGGGGGAAACCGAAGCCACTGTGTCACCCAGCGAAGCTGCTCATTACAGCAGCTGCCCCCCCCCACCCCCGGCTCAGTCCCGGAATCCGTTACAGTGAAGCGCTCCGAGACGCCGTCTGGCGTGGAGGGCGCTCTATAAATCCAAGTTGTTGCTGCTGCTCTTCACATGTCGGGAGGGTTTAAAGGTGTTGAGGGTGGGGGGGGGTGACTTTTTTTTATATAAAAAATACGGAAACCCATCACTGCGCTTAAGAGTCTCCAAAGCAAGCTGAGAATCCCACCTACACGTGGGGAAATCCCAGAGACAGATTGTGAAATGGAATGTGCACTCTCTCTCTCTCTCTCCCTGGTTCCCTAATTTCGGAGAGTATCAGGCGCAGGTTGGCGAGAGCCAAGGCTCGGGGGGGACCCCAGACTGTGCGTTGGGGTAACTGCTGGAGTCTAACCAGTTAAAACCACACCGATTGCCATTGATATCACTGTCTGGCCAGCTTTCCCGCAGCTTGTCCAGCGAGGACCACTCTACCCTTTAGGGTTTTGGCTACAGGGTTAACAGGAGCTCCCCCGGCTCCTCCTCCCCCACCAGAAACCAGTACTCACTCCTGTAGGTGAGGGAAAGCCGTCTTCAGAAGGTTGGCCACAAATTCCTGGACAAACAGCTGGTTGTTGACGGTGGGAGTGGAGGGGCTGAGCGAGAGCGTGATCTTCCCATCCTCCACCAAGCTGAACATGTACGCCAAGATAGTGGCATGCATCGTCAGGCCTGGAAGCGGGGGAAGAGGAGAAAGGGTTAAAAAAGTTATTCCCCCCCACCCACCCACCACCCCACCCAAAAAAACAGGCACACATTCCCCCGTCCCTCCCCCACGCCAAATTTTCAACCTCTTCCATCGCCTAATGGCGCCATTTCTGTATCCTACCCCACGTCTCGCCTCCAGCTGATGTTCCTTATAATGTGACTCGACTGCATTTTGTGAATGAACGTGGCAGCGAATTTGCACCCAGCCTCGGAGTGAGCGACCAGTTTTTATTTGGGGGACTGTTGGCCAGGACGTTGGGAGAGAACAACTCTTTTCGAATAGTACCACGGGATCTTTAACATCGTTTAACGTGTCATCTGAAGGACAGCGCCTCTGACGATGCAGGGCTCCCCTTCACCTTAAGACGATGTGATTCTAAGTCCTAACGTGGTGCTGGAACCCACAAGCTTCTGACTCAAGCCAGGCTCTCGGGTGGTGTGTGAAGGTCCTTGTACACACTCCACACAGGACACTAAGCAGGAGAGCTCTCTGCTTACCTGCCGTGTGAGAGGTGTCCGTCACCACCGAGAAAATGTGCTGGAGGATGTCACAGAAGTAGGTCTGGTAAAAGCTCTGGGCAGCTCCAGCCTCCTGAGCAACGTTCTGCAGCAAGATGTACAACACAGACAGCCCTGCAACAGCAAAGTCAGCCAGCGGTCAGAGAGAGAGAGAGAGAGAGGAGAGAAAGAAGAGAGGTTAAGTTCTTTGTAATGGGATCCCCTCTGCCACCATAAGCACTGAAAAATGTACTACATCTCGGGATCAGCTCCCAAATTATGAGCAAGAGAAAGAATAACAAAAGACCAGCCTGATAGAGGACAAGGACAAGAGAGGGATCTCTAAAATAACATGAATAGAGAGCCCAAACAGAGGAGAATATTAATTATAATAATCCTCGCATTTGATATAGCGCCTTATCACAACTTTGAGACTTCTCAAAGGGCTTCACAGAATACATTGCAAAGTGAATTGACTGGATATTTTGTGAGCAAAACAAGGCAGCCAATTGCGCACAGCAGTATTCCACAGACAGTCATGGATTGGAGCGACCAAATGATTTTTTTTTTTTGGAGGGATTATTACCCCCGGAAAAGCGATTGATCCGCCAATTGACTAACAACCGGATTCCTACTTACTGCTAGATAAACAGAGGCCTGTGGAGTAATGTTTTCCCAACATTTTCCCCCGCCTGGGAATCGAACCCGGGTCCTCTCGCTTGCGAGGCGAGTGCTCTATCCATTGAGCTACAGGACTTTACCGGATGAAGAGGGCTGGAACCCCTCCCCTCCACCCAATGAAAAGAAAGGGGAAAGACTTCCAAAAGGTTTAGGGAATGTCTTACCCGTGTCAGCTACGTTCCTCATGGTGTGTTTGAAAGCCCAAATAATGGAGTCGAGGACCAATTTGAATTGGGCTGGAGGGATGTTCAGGAAGGCAGGGAAGCAGTACATATTGACTGCTTGAAGAAGTAGAAAGAAGTTAGTCCTGTGTTCGGGAAACTCTTCAAAGTCCTGAGGGGAACAATAATAATAATAATAATCCTTGCAGTTGATGTAGCGCCTTGTCAAGTCATTGATACGTCTCAAAGTGCTTCACAGAAAATATTGTAAAGTGGTCACTGCATATTTTTGTGGGCGAAACAGGACAGCCAATTGCGCATAGCAGCGTGCCAAACTCGTTGACTGAGTAAACCCAATTATTATTATGTTTTTGGAAGGTTTTATTACCCCCAGGAAAACGATCCATCAATCGACGAGCAACCGGGTTCCCACTTACTGCTCGGTAAACAGAGGCGTGTGGAATAAGGAAACTTGCCTAAGGTTTTGCCCTGCCCGGGAATTAAACCCTCGCTTGAGAGGCGAGTGCTCTAACCAATACACTGCAGGACTCCACAATGACCTAATAGAAAGGCTGAACAGGCTTGAGGGGTTCAATGGCCTCCCCCTATGATCCTATGTAAAACGCTGGTGTTTTCAGGCTGATAGTCACCTTGTTGATCATGTCCAGGGTGCACTCGAACACGGCGTCAAAGATCTGGGGCACCTCAGCCGTGATGTGGTTCTCGAGCCGGTTGACGATGGTGGCCATGGTGCTCAGCACCTCGGGCTCGCGGGCTGCTGGCACGTTCCTCTGGTAGTCGATCAGCACCGCGTCCAGCAGCGGCGGAACAAAGTTCTCGGCCACCTGCGGGGGAGGGGGGGAAGGAAGGATCATAACCCACACAACGCATCAAGTTTGAGTAACTGTTAAATTCCACCCGAGAGAAAATGATATTGATAATAATGATGATAGATAATAAAGAAGATAAAGATAATAATCCTTGCATTTGATGTAGCGCCTTATCACCTTTGGATGTCACCCCGACCTGAAGTTACTGTAGCAATACTTGCCATACAAACGTAATTTATATTTGCTGTTCTTACTACGTCAAAGAGATGTCTCGAAACGCTTCCCAGGATACACTACAAAGCGCAGTGACTGTCGTTTTGTGTGTGGGGTAAAGCGCGGCAGACAATCGCTCACAGAAATGTCCCGCAAACAGCTACGGGGTGAGCAACCAATTTTATTCGGAAGATCGTTGGCCAGGACACCGGGGGGGAGAGAGAGAGAAACACTCCCTTCTCTTTTTGAATAGCACACACGGGATCTTTAACATCCACCTGAGCAGGCAGACGGGTTTAACGTCATCATGAAGGATGGCGCTTCTAACAATGCGACACTCCCCAGCGCTGCACTGGTGCGTCAGCTTAAGACTGCGCGATTCAAAATAAATAAATCTCGGTGATTGTATCTCGGGGTTCAGGGTCGGTAACTCACCAGCTGAGGGTCCGACGAGCGGCTCACCCACCCGGAGATCAGCTTCAGGGTCTCTCGCTTCACAGTCCGCATGCTTTTGATCAGCGGTTGTTTGGTGACCACTTCACCTAAATGGATAAATAGCAATAGTAACAATAGTGATCCTTGCACTTGATACAGCGCCTTATCACATCTTCAAAACGCCTCAATGAGCTTCGCAGAATATACCATAGAGCGAACTGACTGTGTATTTTGTGGGTGAAACGTGGCAGCCAATTGCGCACAGCAGCGTCCACACACACACACACACAGTCGTGGATTGAGTGACCAAATTATTATTACTATTATTATTATTACGGAATTATTACCCTCAGAAAAACGATCCGCCAAATCGACTAACAACCTGGTTCCTACTTCCTAGTAGGTAAACAGAGCCGTGTGAAGTAGGGAAACTTGACCAACGTTTCGCCCTGCCCGGGAATTGAACCCAGGTCCTCTCGCTCGGGAGCTGAGTGCTCTAACCACTGAGATACAGGACTCCGTGAAGCACGGAAAACCAACACAGATTAAGAGCAGTTTTTTGCCTCCACTTCAGTAACCATTGTTACACAACAATAATCCTCAATACTGTATCGATAATGGTCAAAGCCTCACAAGTAATCTCTGTGAAGCGCAGTCACTACATTCTTAAGGTAAACGTAGCAACCAATTTGCGCACAATTCTCCGCAAACAAACAGCCGTAACTGATTTCTCTGGAGGGTTGTCGGGCAGGACGCTGAGAGTAACACCCTGCTCTTTTCCAGCAGGACTACAGATCTTTAAACTCCACCTGAACAGGCACAGACGGGACCCTCGGTTTAAATCTTCAACCAAAGGATGGCACCTCCGACAATGCAACCCCTTCCCCCAGCGCCGCACTGGAATGAGTTCAAATCCCGAAGTGTGGCTCAAAGCCACAAACTTGGGCGCGGGTTCAACTGACTGTGAGCCGGGCTGGTGAGCTAGCCGGAAGTCACAACGTGGGGCTTGAACCCACCGCGAGACAGAAAGAGAGAGAGAGAGAGAGAGAGAGAGAGAGAGTGAGAGCACACGCGAGAGAGAGGGAGAGAGAGGGTGATTATATTTACCATTGGCCTGGATGGCTGCGGAGATGTTTTCACTCAGACACTTGTACACGTTGAGCATGTCGAGGTAGATGCGGCCCAGCTGGATGACGAACGGGTGCCCCACGGCCTTGCACGCCCGCACGTTGGTTTTCAGGATGCTGCCCAGCTGCTTCACCGTCTCCGCGTCCTTCAATATGTCAACGTTCTGCATTTCGAGAGGGAATCAGAAGCAATAAAATAAAAATAACAACAGACGGAAATGTCCACTTCAGTGGAAAAACGCAAACCTCGGCTCCCGTTTTCCCCCCACGCCAGGCAATAAGGAGCTGACGTTTACCTTGAGCGCTGGTGCAACAACAACAACGTGTATCTATTTATACAGCGGCCCCCTCACTCAGGGTAGCGTCCCAGAGCGCTCGACTGTGGTGGAGCGCGACGCCGAGCCGGGAGGTGGTGACTGCAGTCGAAGGGCAAGGTCTTCATTTACAAGAGCAAAATGACTTCTATATGGATAACGTCTTTCACGTCTGAAGACCGCCCCCCCCCCCCGCCCAGGCTGATGAACAAGCAGCCATTCAAAACAACAACTTGCACTTATATTGCGCCCTCCGTCCACCGAGGGTAACGTCTCGGAGCATTTATACGGTATACCTCACACAAGTCTGATCAGTTGGGACCATAGGTTTAACATGATTTATGCAAAGCACAAATTACATACTGTCTGACAAGCTTTCCCGCGAGGACCACCCTACCCGTGAGGGCTTTGGCATGGCAGGGCTAACAGGAGCTGAGTGGGAGGATTCCCTGCCCCCAGTCACTGGTCTGCCCTTCCAGGTCCTGCCGATGAGCCAGGCTGGGCTGTGCTGCCATCAGCCGTGCCCTGGAATTCATAACTAATAGGAAATTCAAAGGGACCTGGGTGGAAACAGCAGCCAATAGCACACAGCAGCGTCCCACAAATACTCGTGGATTGAGTGACCAAATTACTACCCCTGGAAAAGTGATCCACCAACAACCAGGTTCCTACTTACTGCGAGGCAAACAGAGGCGTGTGGAGTGAGGCAGGTGCCCCAAACACTGAGCTATACGACTTATACAGATCAGATTTGTGCAAGTTTTACTGTAATATCCTGTGTGGATCAGGGTAGGGGCGCTGGCTCACCTTGGTGGCTTGCTGAATGATGCTGTCCCACACCTGGTTGGGAAGCAGCATGTACTTCTCTATCAGGTGTTCCTGTACAGTCTGGTCTGTCTGTGCCCCGATCATGTAGCCCACGGCTTCATAGAACGTGTGAACCTGAAACAAGCAGAAGGGACGAGGCTTCCTGTTAAACAGGACTGCAAAACCCAAAACTCAGGAGAATGCTCACCCTCACACCCCCCACCCCCCCATCGTGTCTGTGCTGGGGCTCGCTCCCCCACTGGAGCTCTCTCCTCTAACCCCATTCCCTGCTTTCTCTCTCTCCCCATCGTATCTGTGCCGGTGCTCGCTCCCCCACTGGAGCTCTCTACTCTAACCCCATTCCCTGCTCTCTCTCTCTCCCCCCATCGTGTCTGTGCTGGTGCTCGCTCCCCCACTGGAGCTCTCTACTCTAACCCCATTCCCTGCTCTCTCACTCTCTCCCCATCGTGTCTGTGCTGGGGCTCGCTCCCCCACTGGAGCTCTCTACTCTAACTCCATTCCCTGCTCTCTCTCTCTCCCCATCGTGTCTGTGCTGGGGCTCGCTCCCCCACTGGAGCTCTCTACTCTTAACCCCATTCCCTGCTCTCTCACTCTCTTCCCATCGTGTCTGTGCCGGTGCTCGCTCCCCCACTGGAGCTCTCTACTCTAACCCCATTCCCTGCGCTCTCTCTCTCTCCCTCCCCCCATCATGTTTGTGCTGAGGCTCACTCCCCCGCTCGAGTATCTTGTGGCTGAAATGCGGTAGCCGATTGCACCCAGCAGCAGTGTCCCACAAACAGTCATGGATTGAGTGACCAAATTTTAGCGACTGAGCGTCCAGCACCCGGACTGTCACAAGTCAGGCTGGTTACAGTGTGGAGCCTCCCTAGGCCTGATCGCTCACCCGACCTCCCCCACCCCCCACTCTCCCCCGTACACCTACCTGGTGAGGCTGCAGGTCACAGATGATGGTGTTGATGTTGGTGAGAATCTCGTCGATGAACGGCATCACTTCGCCCACCTGCACCTGAACAAAGTGACGTCGGCATTTCTGCGCTATTTTGATGAACGTGTCACACGCCATGTCTTGCACTCCATCGTGGGTTTCTGTGGGAGAAATGGGAGATGTTTTCAGCACAGGATGCATCTCGGAGCTCGATCACTGGAGCTCTCTACTCTAACCCCATTCCCTCCTCTCTCTCTCTCTCCCCCCCCCACCCCCACATCGTGTCTGTGCTGGGGCTCGCTCCCCCACTGGAGCTCTCTACTCTTAACCCCATTCCCTGCTCTCTCTCTCTCTCCCCCCCACCCCCCATCGTGTCTGTGCTGGGGCTCGCTCCCCCACTGGAGCTCTCTACTCTAACCCCATTCCCTGCTCTCCGACTGCAGAGTAGCTCTACATTGCCGCCACGTGGCCAGAGATTGAGTTGTGATCATTTGTGCTTTGGTTAATAACAATCCGTGCAATTTGATCTAGCGCCTTGTCACGTCGCTGAGACGTCTTAAAGCGCTTCACGGGATAGATCGCAAAGTATATATTGTATAAACTATAAAGTAGATATATTGTAAAGACTACATTGGGGTGTAAGCGCTTTAAGACGTCACAAAGACGTGATAAGGCGTTACATCAAATGCGAGGATTATTATATATTACCTGTGGTGGGTGTGTGTTTGCGGGTGTCTGCGAGTGGAGGGGATTGCTGGGGGAAACCCACCTTCACCGCCTCTCCGGCCCCTCCGGCCCACTTACCATGCATAAACTCAAACAGCTTGTTGACCACAGTCTTGAGGAACTTCCAGTGAGCGCGGAGGAAGCGAGGGTACTGCCCCACCACGTACATGATGTTGGAGGCGATGATGGCCTTGTTGTCCTTCCCTCGCTTCTGCTCACACAGACCCAGCAGATCCTAGTGCATAATACACGCATACAACACGGTCAGATCAGCTTCACAACCTTCCCTTCACAACCTCAAACCTCCCCACCACCACACGCGCGCAACCCCCTCCCCAGCACACGCTCGCGCATGCAAACACCCTCCCCGAAACGCACTTGACACACCAGCACCCCCCACCCGCGGACACCCCCCCCGCCACACAGACACTCCCCCACCTCCCCCCCACCCTAGAACGCTCTTCCTCCATCCCTCCGCCTTGGTCCACTTCCTTCCCCATCTTCAGGCAGTGCCTGATGGCCTCCTATTCAACCGAGCCTACGGTCACCTCCCCCTCCCCAACGCCGTGCTCAGCCATTGTCAAGCGTTCCCGGACCCTAGGGGGCGCTATAGACATGCAAGTTGATGTTATTGTGCCTGTGGCGGCTCCTTGAAAGAGTTATCCAATTAGTTCCACTCACTCCCCCTTACACCCTCGCCCCCATATTCTCTCATCACCTCACCGCCCCCACCACCACCTCACCCCCGTCTCCCTTGAACAAAATGGACCCACAGGATCTGTAACATCCATTGGATAAATCGGCACCCAGGACACTCTTTCCTTTGCTGGGTTGGCGAAGGGCGCAATCTTTTAGGAAGTTTAACTCTGGTGCCTTTGCAAACCCTCCACCTCCGCCTCAACAACAACAAATTGGATTTAGCTAAGAGTTGTTCACGTCATGAGGACGTCTCAAGGCGCTGGACGAGGGGGGAGACAAGGCGGGGGGGAGGTGTCTCACGCACCTTGATAACTGTGACGAGGAATCGTTTCTCATCCTCCTCGTGCATGGCTCCGCTGATGGAGCCGATGGCCCAGCACAAGGTGTTGAGGTTTTTCCAGGACCATTCGGTGCCGTTCACCTGGTTGTGCAGCTTCTCGGTCATTATACACTCCGTGTCAGCGTAGTCCAGGTGGGTGAGGTACACTGAGAGGAGATCGCAGGTCACACACACGCACACCAACCATGCACCATATACACACACGCACCCGCACAGTCACAGAGACAGTCACACAAAAATAGTAATAATCCTCGCATTCGATATGGTGCCTTATCATGTCATTGAGACGTCTCAAAGCGCTTCACAGAATATCCTGTAAAGTGAATTGACTGTATTTTGTGGGCGAAACACGGCAGCCAATTGCGCACAGCAGATTCCCACAAACAGTCGTGGGTTGAATCAAATGAAAGGATTTCAATCAAATGCAAGAATTATTATTATCTTAAAGCGTCAGACTGTTTCCCCCCCCCACCCCCAGAGAGCTGTCACTTAAGAACATAAGAAAAGCTAAATAAAAAAAAACCAAGGTCCATCTAGTTCATCTTCCGCCTTCCTCGCGGTCACATGCATACATGTCCCGAACTACCTACGTACCATATCCCATAATGTTATTGCCTAAAAGAAAACTATCTATTCTGTAACTGAAAGAGTCAACACTTGCTGCTTCAACCGTCTCCCTAGGGAGCCTGTTTCACAGGTTCACTATTCGCTCTCTGAAATAGTGTTTGCGTAGGTTCGTTCTGAATTTCTCCCCCTTCGATCGCAGGCCGCGTCCTCTGGTTTTGCTATTCGGGACAAGTTGAAGCAGCCCGTCATGATCTGGATTGTTTTGCCCCTTTAGAATCGTAAAGACAGCAATCATGTCGCCTCTCAATTTTATCTTTTCCAGCGTGAACATGGCCAATTTACTTAATAATAATAATAATAGTTGCATTTGATACAGCGCCTTATCGTGTTAGCAAGACGCCTCATAGCGCTTCACGGGATAAATCGCAACGTGAGTTGACTGGATATTTTGTGGGCACCAAATGTAAGTGGAAATATTTCTTGTTGTTGCAGGATTCGCACTCACCCAGCGTTTCTCTCATGGTTTTATACAAATTGATGGAGTCTGTGTCCTTCATAAACTCTCGAACCACCTCCCCTTGTTCGTTCTCCACCACCAGCACCTCCTCTGGTTTGGCCATCCGGCTGATCATTATCAGTCTCACCTGAGTGAGTGAGTGAGTGAGTGTGTGTGTGGGGGGGGAGAGGCAGAGAAAGAGGAGAAAAGCAATGGAACGAGTAAATTCTACGCTCATCATCTTTAGCGTTATTTAATCCATTTATAATTTTGAGGAAAGTCATATGATCGCTCTGACCAGGGGGCACGAGTTAAGATAGTAACGTGGGAGAATAAAAGCAAACTCAGGAGGAACGACTTCACGCTGAGGATAGTGAGATTGTTGGGCTCACTGCCTCAAGTGGTAGCTACAGAGAAACTATTTCCTCTGGTGGGGGGATCCAGAACAATGAGGGGCATCATCTTAAAATTAGAGCTGGGACATTTAGGGGTGAAATTAGGAGGCAGTTTTTCCCATACAAAAAGGTTAGTGGAAATCTGGAACTCTCTCCCCAAAAGGCTCCCCATTCATATTTTCACGTCCGAGATAAAGATATTTGCTAGGTCAAGGTATTAAGAAAGTTGGAGCAAGGGAGGGTAATTGGAGATGAGGTACAGATAACACAGGGTGACCGACAAGTCTTACTTTTCAGCGACCCTATTATCTAGAAGAAATATCATCTTTTCTTTAAGACGCCTTAGACATTCTAATGTCTTTAAATGTATGTTGGACCCGGCATGTACCTTGGAGAGGACGGGTAGGTAGATCTGTCTCCGTGGCGGCACGTCACTGTGGGGGTTTCCCAACGCCGGGGAGGCACTGATGGAGAAGGGGTTCTCCCGGTAAAGCTCCTCCGCCAGATGGTTCCAGTATTCCAGGCAGATCTTAAAGATCTCGATCTCCTCCACCTCCGAGATGAGGATCATGTAGTTCAGCCCCTAACAGCAGCACAAACAAAGTACTGTATCATCCGGGCTGCACATCCCCTCCCTCCCCTCCCGAGCAAGTCTCCCCTCCACAAATTCTCATTTGATCACCAGCCTGTGACCCTATCACACCCCCATCCTCGCCCGGTTCCACGGGCTCCCCATCAACCCAGAGATTAAAATCTTAATCTACTCGCCTTCCCTTTTAAAGCCCTCCACAACCTTGCTCCTCGCTATCAACCTGTCCGCTCTCGAACACTGGCATGCTCTGCTCCATGTCCTCTAACCTGCCCACCCCACCGTGGGCAGTCGCCTGACTGACTTCAGCCTCTCCCGCTGTAGCTCCATCCTCAAATCCCTCCAGCTCACGCCCTCCCTTGCCACCTCAAGATCTTCCTCTTTGACCACGCTTTTGGCCACACTCCCAGCCCTCTACCCTCCACCACCACCCCGCCAGCTCAGTGCAAACCCTCAACTGTCCAGAGCCTGAGCCCCGAGTGACCGTCTCCTGATTGGCTGGGGCCCTGCGTGCACGTCGCCTGTATTTGCTCGGACAATGAAGTTAGGAACGGTTCGCAGGCCGGATGGGAATCATTCCCCAGGGCCGGATGCGGCCCGCGGGCCACCGGTTGGACCACCTCGGGTTAAATGGCAGTGACAAGTTAAGTCAACGGGGTGGGGGGGAAAAAAAAGTTACTATAGTTAAGTTGCCATGTTGCGATCCTTGCGCAGCATCCAAAGGTGGTCTCCGAGGTGATCTACTCACATCCAGCAGTCCCTCCCTGAGCTCCAGCGTCCTCTCCACCAGTGCTCCATGCTCCTTCAGGAAGGTGCAGAGGAACAGGCTCAGGTTCTGGATGAAGTTCTGCTCGTCATCCTTCCCGTTGGCGTAGGCCAAGCGGATGTTGGTATTGGCCGGGAGCATCTGAGGGTGAGAACCAGGGTTAGAATAATAATAATCCTTGCATTTGATTTACCAAGTCATTGAGATGTCTCAAAGCGCCTCACAGAATACACTGTAAAGTGGATTGACTGTATTTTGTAGTATAAACATGACAGTCAGTTGTCCCACAAACATTCATAGATTGAGTGATCAAATTTTTTTTTTTTTTCAAGGGATTATTACCCCCTGGAAAGCGATGGATAAATTCAGAACAAATCTATGGAAACACTATTTCAGTGAGCGAAGAGTGAACCTGTGGAACAGACTCCCTAGGGAGACGGTTGATGCAGGAAATGTTCCTTCAAACACGGATTTGAAAGTCTTCTTTTAGGAAATAAAACATTATGGGATATAGTACGTAGGAAGTTCGGGCAAAACACGGCAGCGTTTAAAATAAACGTGATCAGGCACTATAATCCAATGCAAGGATTATCATCATTAAATCTGTCCCTCGGTGCAACAAGAAACATCTTGCTTCTCATAACTCGACTCCTCTGGACACACCACCTTAACACCCACCCCGACACACAAACACCCGCAGGCTTTACCTGTTTGAGCTGACCGAGGGTCAAGGTGAATAAGCTGACAAATTGCTCGTCGTACTGGCTGACGCTGACGCCTGCGATCTCCGTCAGGCACTTAAGCGTCACGTTCCGGAACATCGGCACGTTCAGGAACTGTGGCCGGAGAGGGGAAGACAGGGAAAAACACAGGGTTTAATAATAATAATCCCTACGCTTGATACAGCGGTTTAACATGCAGTTGAGACGACTCAAAGCGCTTCACTGTCAAATGGATTGACTGCATATTTTGTGGGCGAAACATGGCAGCCAATTGTGCACAGCAGCGTCCCACCAACAGTCCTGGGTTGGTGACTTTATTTGGAGGGATTATTACCCCCGGAAAGTGATCCACCAATCCACTAACAACCGGTTCCTACTTATTGCTACATAAACAGAGGCGTGTGGAATCAGGAAACTTGCCTAAGATTTCGCCCTGGAGGGAATCAAAACCCGAATCCCATCACTTGTGAGGCGAGTGCACTAACCACTAAGCTACAAATTGCAGGAGACCCAACACGTTTTGTTTATTTGCTTATTTCTCCCTATTACAAAGAGATTAAGTAGTACAAGAGATCCTTAACACATCGCAGTGTGTGTGTGTGTGGGCGGGGGGGGGGGGAAAGGAAAAAAAAAAAATCGCTCTCACCACAGCAACAAATTTAAATGAAAACAAACAACAGCAAATCACATTTGCATAGCGCCTTCGACATCGGGAGGATGTCCCAATATGCTGGACCTGCGCACACACACACATTATGACTGATGGGAGATCGGCTCTGGTGCAGGAAGCGTGGGTACCTTGTACACTAAGCTGGTGATGAGTTTGGTCTCGAAGATGTAACCCAAAGGTATCCAGTTGAGGAACCGCAGCAGCGTCTCCAATGTGGCGTGGACCAGAGGAGCATTCTGAGAGTTTTCCTGTCGATAGCAAATCACAGCCCCCCGGGGAGCTCGATTTAACATCTCACCCAATGACAGCACCTCCGACCATTAACGCAGACACCCGCCCACCCCTTCCCCCCTTCCTATTCCCCCCTCCACAGCGCTGCACTGAAGCCTCAGCCTGCACTGTGAGCTCAAAGCCCACCCAACCTGGAGGCTTGAGGCCACAACTTTCGGACTCGGTCGCGAGCAGGATACCAACTGAGCCAGGCTGACGTCCGTTAAACACAACCGGGAACAATGATGTATGCGATAACGGCTAATATTTACTCACCATGACAAACTGACACAGCTGGAATATCTGGGAAAACTCGTTGCACATGCTGGCGGAGGGGAAAGAAAAAAAAATTAAAGTTAAAAAGAAACTCATCGTAATAACTCCACGAGTATTCAAAATATTTTTGAATTTCGGTCAGCCGGGTGGGTGTCTGGACACATTCGGAAACCCATCGCCGTGCTTAGGAGTCTCCAAACCCAACTGAGAATTCCCCGCCTCCCACCTGCCACTGATATCGCCGCCTGGCAAGCTTTCCCGCTGTTTGTACAGCGAGGACCACCCTACCTGTTAGGGCTTTGTGCAAAGTTAACAGGAGCTGAGTGGGATGTGCCTAGATAACCTGTCCAACAAGAAGAATAACTCGCATTTAATGTAGGGCCATTCACACGGGGTAATGTCCCAGAGCGCTTGCCAGTGGCGGAGTCTAACCCTGAGCCAAGGGGAGAGGGAGGGAGGGGGAAGGTGACCGCAAACACGACCAAAAAGAAAGGTCTTTAGGTGGGATTTGAAGATGGGGAGGGAGGGAGGGGGCGAGGCAGAGGGATTGAGGGAGAGAGCTCCAGAGGTTCGGGGGTAGTGGCTGAAAGCACGGCCACCGATGGTGGAGTAGAGGGCACGAGGGACAAACAGGAGGCAGGAGCCAGTCAAGGGGAGGCAGCGGGTGGTGGAATGGGGGGGGGGGGGAAAGGGCGGTAAGTAGATCAGAGAGGGAGGGAGGTGCCAGGGCATGAAGGGATTTGAAAACGAGGGAGAGGATTTTGAAATCGAGTTGAGTTGACTGAGAGCGAGTGACCTGACCCCTCACGTCACACACCCACCTGTCCTTCAAATGCTTGGCTTTGACCTGGGTCATCTGCCCACTGGAGAAGTCAAACACCTCCTCACTCAGCAGCTTGAGGATCACCATGTTGTTCTGACACAGAGACTCGCTGGTCCGGCTCGCTCCCACGATGTCGCTTATAAACGTCGGCCAGTTTTTAGGCCACTCGTGCTTGAGGATCTGCGGTTTGAAACAAGAACAACATCAACAATTCCTCACATTTGTCACGGCGGCCATTCACGTCGGGAGGACATCTCAAAGCGTCCCAAAACTCTGGAACTTTTCCTCTAACCCTCCACCTTGCCCCTTCCTCTTCGACCGTGTCTACGGTCACCTCCCTCACACCCCTCCTGCCCCCACCCCCCGGCGGCTCAGTATCGTGCTCCGCCACTGTCAAGCGCTCTGGGACTCTCTCCTGCGTGAGGGGCGGTGTGAATGCAGGTTATTGTTGCTGTTGTTTGCTTGCGATGGGCTATATAACACCTCATCGTGACATCGAGATGTCTCAAACCGCTTCACAGGAAGTGTAATTGTGGCTGGAGATGACTAGTGTTGGTGGAGAGTGGGGGAAGAGGAGGAAAGGGAACAAGAGGAGAGACGGGAACCTTTAGCTTCCCCCAGCCCCCCCACCCCTCACCCCCGCAGCAGGTGGTCCACGTTTCCGTGCCTTTGGCTACAACAGGTTTGCGGATCCCTGGAAACAGATGCTTTGATCTCCGCCATTTGCTAGGTAGAAACACACTCACCTGTACAAGTATCATGTTGAGTTTGCCCAGGTAAACTTTATCTTTCTAGGAGAGAGAGGGAGAGTGGGGCGATGTGGGGGGGGGGGGGGGGGGGAGAGAAACAGGGAAGGGGGGCGGGAGGGGAAATCAGGGGGAGGGAAAGAGAAGAAAAAAATCTTTTAGAGATTCACAGGATATACTGTAAAGTATGTTGTGGGCAAAACGTGGCGGCCAATTGCGCAAAGAAGTGTCCCAGAAAGAGTCGTGGAGTGAGTGACCACATTTTATTTGGGGGGAGGGAGGTTGTTCGCCAGGACACCAGGAGAGAGAGAGAGACTCCCTCCTCTTTTCGAATCACACCGCGGCACCTTTAACGTCCAGCTGAACAGTCAAATGGGAGCGAGTTTATTTATAAACACATGCGGCCGGCATGAATTAAATGATAACTTAAACCTGGGTCAAGTTGTTAAGAGTTTTACTGCATTTATACAGCCACAAGCAGCAGCTGATCTGCGTCAAAACACAGCACATTCAGTGGGATTTCGCGAACCAAAAGGTCATTCGAACCAATTACAAAATGGAGCAGAAACTCTTCTTATGCAAAAAAAGAGATTTTTTTTAAAAAAAACAAAACACTGAGGACGACAACTTTACCTCCAAGGTCATGTTTTCTGAAGATGTTTTAATAATTAGGCCAACGACATACTTTTTTATTCCTGGAAAACAAGACGTTTAAAGAGAAACGATTAAAAATGCTGGAATTGGTTCCGGCTTTTCATCCACACATGCAAATCCCTCCGTGCCCTGCACTTCCCCATCACTCTGAGCTGCTCACACTCCAACAACAACAAATTATATTTGTATAATGCCCTTCACGTCGGGGCGATGTCCCAGGGCCCTGGACAATGAGGGGTTTGTACCCAAATTGGGTGGGTTGGGATCAGAGAAGGGTGGAGGGTAGGGATGGTGGAGGGTGGAGGAGAGCAAATAGAGACATACACACACATACACAGACAGACTTGCGCACACACAGACACTCACACAGAGACAGACAGATACACAGAGACAGACACAGAGAGAGACATACGCACACAGAGACAGATATACACACACGCAAACACACACAAAGAGGCATACACACACACACAAGGCACAAAGAGAGACACACACACAGTTCGCTCACCATCACACTGATTCCGAGGAAGAATCTTCCATCGTGTTTTAATGACATTTTCCAGGATCTGCAAAGCATAGTACTGCAAAGAGATGTTTTTTTTAAATTAAAAATTTTTGCATAGCCCTGAAACAAGCCAACCCTCCGTGCCAGTGTTTATACTCCACACGAGACTCCCGCTGTTCTTAACTCCCTCCTGTCCTCTCGCTCTCACAGGTACAAGAAAAAACTGCTGCTCACTCGAATAACTAGCAGACATTCGGGTGATTACCAGCTGCCACATTTCCCTACGTACAAACAAACAAGCGCTACTCTCCAAAGTAACTCAAAACACAGGAGCGAGCACGAAAATCAAAGGTTACGTGTCTCGCAATTCCCCTCAAAAACATAACCCCCGCCCCAACCCCCCAAAACCCACCCTGCCAACACCCACCCGTCCCCTACACACGCACACAAACATCAACCACACGCGCACATCAACCACACACACACACATCTCTGAAGGCCTTACCTTTGTGTTCATATTCTGGGAGAATTCTAGGATCGTGTCGACCCTGGTCCAGGCATCTGGATGCTCCTTTAAATGTGTCAGTATCTCCTGTGCCATTCGTTGCTGGGAACAAAGACGAGGAGAGTCGTCAACACCAAAGGTCATTTCAACATTCCTTCCTCCCGAAAAAAAAAGAAATATCTCGAGAGTTTCCTCTCGGATTTTAGACGATTTATGCAGTTTGCTTGCAACTTAAATGTTACGGCCCCAACTGATACTATCTCTGCCCTCTCCCCACCCACCCCTCCCTGGAGGTTTAGCAATAGATGCAGCACCAGAAGCAGCCCACAGTAGGCGCAAAGGAGGAACGAGTGTGGAATGAGAGTTAAGGTAGAAACCCCCCCCACTCCCCCACATGCTGCAATTTTTATTATTCCGCACAATCCCCCCTCATCCAAAAACCCAACCAGGTCTATCGCTGTGCATGGGACACGTGTGTTGGGGGAAGGGGATGGAGGGGGTGCGGGAGCCATGTTGGGAGGACGTTCCAAGGTGCTGGACAGTTAGGCATTTGGACCCGAGCTGGGGGTTGGGATCGGGGGGTGGGGTGGAGGGCATGGAAGGAAGGTATAGTTGGGAGGGTGGCAGGCGGGGGATGTTGAGCAGGTTGGAGCCTTCTTTAGCGGAGGGAGAAGACAGATTGGTAGGGGGTTAGTAGGTCACAGAGGTATATAATGGGAGTAGTGCTCTCCAGGGAGAGAGCGAGGTGTTTGTTCGGGAAGCAAAGGAGTCAACCCCGCGGAGAAAATTCTGCTAAAAGTCCCGCAGAACGCACTCTCACCTGGGAACCTTCCCCGTGATACAAGCAGTTGACCACATTGTCCAGCAGGTTGATGTCGAGCTTCTGCGTGAAGTCCAGAAGCTGACGAGCAGGGTGATCTGTAGTCATAATTGTTGGCATGAGGTCCTGTGGACAACATATACATGTATATTAAAAAAAAATCAGAAACCATCTAGTTAAGTAATCTTCTTGTTTGCATCATTTCATTCCTTTCTCTTCTCCCACCGCAGCCCTGAGCAGAACAGTGACACTCGCACAGGGGTCTTGAGTCACAAAGCCCCCACTGTTCCAGCAACTCGTGGAGTCCTGTCGTGTAGTGGTTATAGTGGTTAGAACAAAAAGGAAAGGCATCAAGGAAGTTGCCTTTTCGAAATAGTGCCATGGGAATTAAACATTCACCTGGACAGGTACAGGCAGGACCTCGGCTTAATGTCTCACCTGAGACGAACTTACCGATCTGGACTGGTATTTGTGAACGCCTTTTCGTGTCTGGCTCAGCGAGAGCACTCTCACTGGAACCCAACCCAACGTCAAACCAACCTGTCTGCTCAATGGGCACTGGCCGGCTCCATGTCCCCGCCCGCCACACCATCGGAAGTCGGGCCTTCAGCTTTTCTGGCCCCACCAACTGGAACCCTACCCCTCCTCCTTCAAGGCCCGTCCCAATTCCTTCCCCTTTCCGACCATGCCTTCACTCTTACCCCTCTCGATTCTGACACACCCCCCGCCCCCAGCTCTGGTGCAAACCCTCAACTGTCCAGCACCTTGGGACTTGAAGGGTGCTATATAAATGTAATTTAGTTTCTTGTTATCAGTCAATCCCTCCCTCACTTGCTGACTCAACTTGTGTACTTTCAATTTTGCCCATAAAATATACAGTCAATGCACTTTACAGTATATTCTGTGATCCCTCCAAAAAACAAAAACAATAATTAAATTGGTCATTTTCAATCTATGACTGTTTGTGGGACATTGCTGTGCGCAATTGGCTGCCGCGTTTGCCCACAAATATACAGTCAACTCACTTTACAGTATATTCTGTGAAGTGCTTTGGGACGTCCTCCCGACGTGAAAAGCGCTATATCAAATGCAAGGATTATTATTATTATTATTAAGTGCATTGAGACGTCTCGAAGACATGATAAGGCGCTATATCAAATGCAAGGATTATTATTATTACTTGGTTTTAAAAGCCAGTGAGTGAGTGGACACAAATAGAGAGAGAGCACAGAAACAGACCATTCGGCCCAACAACAACAAAATTACATTTGAACAGCGCCTTTCACGTCGGGAGGACATCCCAAGGCGCTGGATGAGACTGCCCGAACCAGTCCACGCTGGCGTTTTACATCCCCATTTCATAATTTATGATTAGGACCTAATAATAATAATACTTGCATTTGGTATAGCGCTTTTTAACGTCATTCAGACGTCTCAAAGCGCTTCACAGAATAGACTGTAAAGTGAATTGACTGTATATTTGTGGGCGAAACGCAGCAGCCAATTGCGCACAGCAGCGTCCCACAAACAGTCGTGGATTGAAGTGAACAATTTTATTATTGTTTTTTTTCGAGGGATTATTATTAGGCTCTGTGTGGAGTAAGGAAACTTGCCCAAGGTTTCGCCCTGACCTGCCGGGAATCGAACCCAAGTCTCTCGCTTACAAGGCGAGTGCTCTAACCACTGAGCTACAGGGCACCACTTTGGTGAATAAACAGATGGCAAATTTACTGGGCAGGGAATTTTTAGGGGGTCAGCAGGGAAACCCATCACTACACTTATGAATAATAATAATAATAATCCTTGCATTTGAATCCAAACCAAACAGATTTCCACGCATCCCACCTACACATGGAAATCCCAGAAACAGATTGTTGGAATGGACACATCCTGCGTACCTAATTCCAGAAAGTATCAAGACAAGTTGGCAAGAGCCTTGGTTTGGGGGACCCCAGCGTGTGCGTTGGGCAAACTGTTGGCGTCTAACCAGCTAAAAAAACCATAGCTTGCCATTGAGAGCACTGTTTGGCTAGCTAGGGAGGGAGACGAGAAGGTGGTTGGGGAAATGAAAGAGAAATTAAAAACATAGCCTGAGCTTTCTATTCTTGGTAGCTGCCCAGTGACCCCTTCTGGCAATTAGGGTTAGGGTTGGAGTCTGTGTCTATATGAGCTCTGGAAGAGACCAGACATGATACCAACCACTACTGAAACGTTCTGCTTGTTCACTGCCCACATGTGAACAGGCTTACAGGAGGAGCTCGTATAGCCCCTACAACCAGAGTCAATGCATTCAAGGGAGAGAGAGAAACAAAACTTCCCAAGTCAAAACCAAATATAGTTTTTGCACAAGGAGATCAATTGAAAAATGCCCCCCTCTCTCAACTCAGAGCAGCTTCAGTTCAGAATATTGCAAAAAGCAGAATCCTGTAGCGAAACGGTTAGTGCACCCACTTCACAAACGAGAAGAACTCGGGTTAAAATCCCAGGCGGAGTGAAACCTTAAGCAAGTTTTCTTATTCCACCCGCCTGTTTACCTAGCAGTAAGTAGGAACCTGGTTGTTAGTCGATTGGCTCTCTGGGGGGATAATAATCCCTCTAAAATAAAAAATAAATTGGTCACTTCAATTCACGAGTGTTTACTGCTGTGCGCAATTGGCTGCCGTGTTTCACCCACAAAATGTACCGTCAACCCACTTTACAGTATAGTCTGTGAAAAGTTTTGAGACATCTCAACGACCTGGTAAGACCTTAGATCAAATGACTGGAGTATTATTAGTACATTAAGGAAAGATAAACCTGTGTATGTGCAAAACAAGAGAGAGCGTGTTGACTTGGCTTAAAGTTTGCATTAACTTAATAGGGAAGGAAAGACACAGAAGCGTTTCTGTAAGTGTGTGTGAGCTGCTGTGTGAGCGAGTGTGAGCTGCTGTGTGAGCGAGTGTGAGCTGCTGTGTGAGCGAGTGTGAGCTGCTGTGAGTGTGTGTGTGAGTGTGAGCTGCTGTGTGTGAGTGAGCTGCTGTGAGTGAGTGTGAGCTGGAGTGAGTGTGAGCTGGAGTGAGTGTGAGCTGCTGTGAGTGTGAGCTGCTGTGAGTGTGAGCTGCTGTGTGAGCGAGTGTGAGCTGCTGTGTGAGCGAGTGTGAGCTGCTGTGTGAGCGAGTGTGAGCTGCTGTGTGAGCTGCTATGTGAGCGAGTGTGAGCTGCTGTGTGAGCTGCTGTGTGAGCGAGTGTGAGCTGCTGTGTGAGCTGCTGTGTGTGAGTGTGAGCTGCTGTGTGTGAGTGAGAGCTGCTGTGTGTGTGTGAGAGCTGCTGTGTGTGAGCTGCTGTATGTGTGAGTGAGTGTGAGCTGCTGTGTGTGTGTGTGTGTGAGCTGCTGTGTGTGTGTGAGCTGCTTTGTGTGTGTGAGTGTGAGCTGCTGTGTGTGAGTGTGAGCTGCTGTGTGTGAGTGTGAGCTGCTGTGTGTGTGAGTGTGAGCTGCTGTGTGTGTGTGTGAGTTGTTGTGTGAGAGTGTGAGCTGCTGTGTGTGAGTGAGTGAGTGTGAGCTGCCGTGTGTGTGAGCTGCTGTGTGTGTGTGAGTGTGAGCTGCTGTGAGCTGTGTGTGAGTGTGTGTGAGCTGCTGTGTAAGTATGTGTGAGCTGCTGTGTGTGTGTGAGCTTCTGTGTGTGAGTGAGTGTGAGCTGTGTGAGTGAGTGTGAGCTGTGTGAGTGAGTGTGAGCTGTGTGTGTGAGCGTGAGCTGTGTGAGTGAGTGTGAGCTGTGTGAGTATGTGTGAGTGAGTGTGAGCTGCTGTGTGAGTGTGAGCTGTGTGAGTGAGTGTGAGCTGTGTGAGCTGAGTGTGAGTAAGTGTGCGAAACGCCAACAAGTGGCACCTTTCTCAAATCAATGAACACGCGGGGCGCTCCGCCAACCTAACTCGCTGACGGAACCCGCGTGATCGACAGCGGCCGCGACCAATCGGCGACCGCCGCCGCCAAATTACTCAATGGGCCCGGGGGGGGGGGGGGGCGGGGCTCCGGGGGAGAAGCAGCAAGTGTGGTTGTCGCTCTCCCTCGCAACAAAACGTGGTTTGTACCATTACACAATAGCCCTGAGGGAGCGTCGCTAAAATCTGCTTCGGGGGTTTCTTTTTCGCTCCATTCCGGTGCCCCCGGGGGTGAGGGCAGGAGGTGGGGGGGGAACAGCGAGAGAGACGTTATGATTGCAATTCAGGTTAGAAAAATACTTGCGCTTCAGGATTTTCAACGGAGTCCACAGTTTGTTTTTTTTTTTCGGTGTCAAATGAGGCAACTTTTGCCGACACTCCCTGAAACTGGCACAAGTTTTTTTTCACATACAACACACAAAAAAAAAGGGGTATTTATTACAACTGCCAAGAACTTTATGTATAAAAGCCACTGTAACCTATGTCCACACACACATACACATACAAATGCTCACATAAACACTACCCTCATCTAAAGTGTGTGTTTTTTTTAATACAATAAGACACCCTCCCCTCCCTCCAGGAAAAAAAAGGTGCAACCACACAAAGCACAACATTGCAATGAATTTACTGTAGAATAAAGCGTTTTTTAAAAAAAACACAACGCACACAAAGCCGAGCGTTTCGCAGTGCCACCAAAAAAAAAAAGTTGGGCTGAAAAGAACTGAAAAAATGACTGTTAAACAGAGCAGCAAAAAAAAAATCATCATCAAAAAGAAACACGAAACGGGTCAAAGTAATTCAGCCCCAAATTTCCACTCTCCCCCCCCCCCCCCAGAAGAGAGAGATATATATTCGCAACACCTACACCGATAATATTTAAGACACACACACACAGGTCTTGTTGGAAGAACTGGTGTTCCAAATCCATCAGAGAGATCCCACTCATCCCATCTCCAAAAAAAAAGATTTGCTTTTTAATTTTTTTTCCAAAAAAAAAAGGCAATAGTCGTGTATATATATATATATATATATAAATGAAAAAAGAAGCCACTGGAAGGAATTAACCCGAACCATCTCTACACAAAAAAAAATCTGGATTAAAAGAAGCCACTGACTGCCCTGGTGGGCAGAGGCCAAACACTCACACACAAACCTCACACACACACACACACACACACACAGGCCCTGAAACCCACGCCTCTTAAACACTGTAAACTGATGGCACTTACCGAATAAGGTGAGAAAATCCTCCTCGGATGGGGCTGGAAACTCCGTTGCAAAATGTATCCCACAATTAGGAGATGGGAGGGGGGGGGAGTTGTGGTGGGGGTGAGGGGGTGTGTGGGGAGAGAGAGAGAGGGAGGGAGGGAGGGAGGGAGGAAGGGAGGGAAAACTCAACTGCAGAACCAAGCCACTGTGTCAAAAAAAAGGTGGGGGGTTGGGGGGTGCAGTTTGTGTTTAGCACAAACACACACACACACACACAGAGAGAGAAAAAAAAACCCCTTTGGTATATATGTCAGTTACACACACACCACAAAAAAAAATCGTGGCAACAGTTGCAGAGATAACGACTGTAGAAATATATATAGAGAGATATATATGTGTGTATGTGTGTGTGTGTGTATAATCCCTCCTCTCCTGAGGGGTGTGTGTCTGTTCCTTCTTCTGTTGGTCTCTGTCTGTCTGTGTCTCTCTCTGTGTCTGTCTGTCTCTGTGTCTGTGTCTCTGTGTCTGTGTCTGTCTCTGTGTCTGTCTGTGTCTCTGTCTGTGTCTCACAGCGCAAACACTGGAGTTGAAATTCAAAAGGACAAGAGAACTGCAAACTTAAAAGGTTTGGGAGTATTTTTTGGGGGGAGAGAGGGGGTCCCTCTCCCTCTCTCTCTCTCTCTTTTTGGCCTCTCTCCCTCCCTCCCTCTCTCTCTCTCTCTCTCCCTCTCTGTCAGTCAGTCAGTCAGTCAACACGAGTTTGCGAGGAGCAGCGGAGGAGCAGAGAGAGGGCACAGGGCCGCTGCTGTTGTTGTTGTTGTGGTGGTGGTGGGGGGTCTCTGGTCGGGATGGGTCGGGGGCAGCGCGGGAGCTCCTGGACTCGGTTGGTCGCCGCCGCTGTCGCCGCCGCCGCTCAGTCTTTCCCTCTCACCGCGTCTGACAACCGGTTGCAACCGGTTCCTACCGGGAGATTCCATCTTCATGTGGCCATCCGGAGACACCCGGAAACACCCGAGCCCGAGCCGAGCCCGAGCCCGAGCCGAGCCCGAGCCCGAGCCCGAGCCGAGCCCGAGCCGAGCCCGAGCCCGAGCCGAGCCCAGCCCGAGCCCAGCCCGAGCCCAGCCCGAGCCCGAGCCGAGCCCGAGCCCGAGCCCGAGCCCGAGCCGAGCCCGAGGCCGAGCCCGAGCCGAGCCCGAGGCCGAGCCCGAGCCGAGGCCGAGCCCGAGCCGAGCCCGAGCCCGAGCCCGAGCCCGAGCCAAGCCCGAGCCCGAGGCCGAGCCCGAGCCGAGGCCGAGCCGAGGCCGAGCCCGAGCCCGAGCCGAGCCCGAGGCCGAGCGGTGCGCTACATTGGGCGGGTTTCACCCCCACCCCCCCACACACACACACCCCCACACCCCCTCCCCGCTGATCTCCCACCCACACACACCCCCCCACACCCACACCCCCCCCCACACACCCCACCCCCCCCCATCCCCACACCCCACAACCCCACACCCACACCCCCCACACACACACACACCCCCCACACCCCCTCCCCACTGATCTCCCCCCCCACACCACACCACCCCCACACCACCACACACCCACACCCCCCACTGATCATCTCCCCCCCACACCCCCCACACCCACACCCCCCCTCACTGATCATCTCCCCCCCCACACCCCCCCACACCCACACCCCCCCCACTGATCATCTCGCCCCCCACACCCCCCCACACCCACACCCCCCCTCACTGATCATCTCCCCCCCACACCCACTGATCATCTCACCCCCCCCACCACCACACCCCCCCTTTCTCTCCCCCCCCCCTCACTGATCATCTCACCCCCTCCCCACCCACCCCCCCTTTCTCCCCCCCCCCCCCCCACACCCCCTCCCCACATTCACTCAATTGGGCTATTTTCACGCCCGATTTGCAAATTGGACGGGTTTCAACCCCCCTTTCCCCCTCCTTCTCCCCCACCGCACACCCACTCCATTTGGGCTACTTTCACGCCCAATTTGCAGATGGGGTGGGGTTTAACACTCCCCCCCCCCCCCGCCCCCCCCCGCACCCCACCCCATTTGTTTTTAAGGCACGAGGAAAGGCCCGAGTGCGCAACGCGGAACTCGCTGCATGACCAGTTCAAAGGCAATGAGCGCCAGTCTAGGTCAGGCGCTCCGAGGCGCTGCCCCGCGCGGAGGGCGCTGTACAAGCGCAAGTTGTTGTCGTAGCCGTTGCGCGTCAGGAGGAGCGACTCCGCCTTTTCGTTCTTAAAAATCGGAAGTTCGCGTCGTTTTTTTTGAAGAGCCACACTGTCGGTCACAGTCAGTCAAGCGTTGTAATTGTTTCGCGCCCAATTGGGTGTGTGTTGGTTACGTTTGCGCACGAAGACGTTCGGTTTGGTTTGAGCTCAATTAGAAAACAAATTAAGATCTAGATGTACGGATTATTATAATCATTTAGTGTTATTTCATGCCCAGTTGAGCGGGTTTTGGTTGCAATGCACATGGGAAACCCTGCTTTGCTTTTGGGGAGAGGCGGGGGGGGGGGCGGGGGGGGAGTTGCAATTTTTAATATTTATTAATTTAAAACCCGCAACGCATTATTTTTCTCCCGTACTTTTTCTTACACAGTTTCAAAAGCACCAACGCTTCTGATCGGCCGCCCTTCTGCACCCCATCTGCACTTAAAAATGGCTTTATTTGCATAAAATTCAGATTGTTAAGCGCATTTTAAGACCGACATCATACATTGGGCTACTTTTTGAGGCTAATGTTTGGTGGGATTCGGGCTACAAACTACATATTTTTTTTATCCCTGCTCGCCTTCTCCTGATCCCATTCCATTTTTAAAAAAAACCCTCTGGAGTTGCGTTCAAGCTCGCATCCTTTTCCTTTTGAATAAATTAAACCCATCCCATTCATTCCTTTTCACTCAATCCGGAGAGTAATAAATACAAATATCTGGATCCCCCCCCACCCCCCCCCCCCACAAAATGCACCTAGAGATTTTTTTCCACCCTCTCAGTCTTTCTTTTTTTATAGAAAAACGAGCAGAGCCCCATGGCTTTTACTTCCATGGGGGCTCGGGTTTTGAATGCTTTTCAAATTAAACTCCATCCCCCAGTGCCTTCGCCGCTTCCTCCCTCTCCTCCTTCAAGGCCGGTCTCAAGACCTTTCTCTTTGACCGAGCCTTCAGCTCCCCTCTCGACTCTCTACCCCCTCCTCGCTCCCTCCCTTCCCTCCCCTCACCCTGACCATTTCCCCCCCCAATGCTCGGCTCCCGACCCAACTGACCAGCGCCTTGGGACGTCCTCCCGACGTGAAAGGCGCTCTATAAATGGAATCTTGTTGTTGTTGTTTTCCCTTCCTCCTTTGCTAAGAATCCGCTCCCCATCATGTGTTTGGCTGCAACAGATAGAGTCGCCTCTGTCCTGGGGGTTTCGTTACCCTGTGTGTGTGTGAGTGTGTTTATCGCTGATACACTGTGACGCCCGCCTGCCTGCCCAACTCAACCAGCCTGAATTCCTCATCATCCCCTGGCTCAGCGGGTAAGCAATCCCTCTCGCCCACAAATATACAGTCAGTTCACTTTACAGCATATTCTGTGAAGCGCTTTGAGACGTCGAGAAGACGTGAAAAGCGCTGCATCAAATGCAAGGATTATACTATTATTATTATTATTATTATATAGCCTCTGAGTCAGGAAGGTTTCTGGGTTCGATAATTATAATGACTGTAATAATGATCGTTGCGTTCGACACGGCGCCTTATGACGCCGTCGAAACGTCTCGAAGCGCTTCTTCGCAGGACACATTGAAAAGCGGAGTGACTCTGTATTTTCGTGGGCGAATCGCGGCAGCCGGTTTGCTCACGGCAGTATCCCGCAACCAGTTGTGGATTGAACGACCAATTTGCTTTGGGAGTGATCTGGAAAGCGATCTGCCAATTAACTAATAATAAATAATAATAATAATCCTTGCATTTGATATAGCGCTTTTCACGTCGGGAGGACGTCCCAAAGCGCTTCACAGAACACACTGTAAAGTGAATTGACTGTATAGTTGTGGTTTTGGTTTTGGAGGGATTATTATTAGGCTCTGTGTAGAGTAAGGAAACTTGCCCAAGGTTTGGCCCTGACCCCCCGGGGATTGATCTCAGGTCTCTCCAAAACCAAAACCAATAATAAATTGGTCATTTTCAATCTACGACTGTTTGTGGGACATTGCTGTGCGCAATTGGCTGCCGCGTTCGCCCACAAATATACAGTCACTTCACTTTACAGTCTATTCTGTGAAGCGCTTTGGGACGTCTGGAAGACGTGATGAGGCGCTGTATCAAATGCAAGGATTATTATTATTATTATTACAGTTACGTACTTACACAGTCAGTGCATTTAAGTTATCTGTCCTTTTTTTAAGCCAGAAAGTGATTTATTCCAAAACACACACATACACACACATACACAACACAAATACACACACACACACAAATACACACACATATACACACAGATACACACACATACACACAACACCCACACACAAACATACACACACACAAATACACATACATACACACATACATACACATACACACAAACACACACACATACAGACATATACACACACACACTCGCCCTGAAGCTGAGAACGCGTTTTGAGAGCGGTTTGTGCGGAGGTTCCCTCAGGGCCGCCGTTGGGGGGGGAGGGGGGGGGGGGGAGGGGCGGGGGGGGGTACAGGGCTCTGTGACGTGTGTGTCCGCGGCCCCGGACCCGCCCCCTTCACCGCGTCACCGCCGCCACCACCACCACCACCGGCCGTCCCGACCGTCCACACTCACACACACACACACCCCCACACCCACACACTCACACACACACACCCCCACACACACACCCACAGACACACACCCCCACACACACCCACAGACACACACACACACCCACACACACCCCCCCCCACACACACACACACACCCCCACACACACACCCCCACACCCACACACTCACACACACACACCCCCACACACACACCCACAGACACACACCCCCACACACACCCACAGACACACACACACACCCACACACACCCCCCACACACACACACACACACCCCCACACACACACACACACCCCCCCACACACACACACACACACCCCACACACACACACACACCCCCACACACACACACTCACACACCCCCACACACACACACTCACACACACACACACACACACACACACACACAGACACCCACACACACAGACACACACACACACACACAACACACACACCCACACACACCCCCACACACACCCCCACACACACACACACACAGACACACACACCCCCCACACACACCCCCACACATACACACACACACCCCCCCCCCACACACACACACAGACACACACACACCCCCACACACACCCCCCCCCACACACACACACACACAACCACACACACACACACACCCACACACACCCCCACACACACTCACACACACACACACCCCCACACACACACACACACACACACACACCCCCCCACACACACCCCCACACATACACACACACCCACACACACACACACACAGACACACACACCCCCCCACACACACCCCCACACATACACACACACCCACACACACACACACACAGACACACACACCCCCCCACACACACCCTCACACATACACACACACACACCCCCCCCACACACAGACACACACACACCCCCACACACACCCCCCACACACACACACACACAACCACCCACACACACACCCACACACACACACACACACCCACAGACACACACACCCCCACACCCCCACACCCACACACCCCCCCCCCCACACACACACCCACACACACACACACACACACACCCACAGACACACACCCCCCCCCACACACCCCCCCCCCCACACACACACACACACACACCCACAGACACACACACCCCCCCCCCACACACACACACACACACACACAGACACACACACCCCCACACACACACCCCCCACACACACACACACACACACCCCCACACACACCCCCCCCACACATACACACACACACCCCCACCCGGGCACAGCGCTCACTCGCTCACTAACTCACACCCTCAGTCACTCACACACTCACTCAGTCACTCACACACTCACTCACACCCTCAATCACTCACATACTCACTCAGTCACTCACACACTCACTCACACCCTCAGTCACTCACATACTCACTCAGTCACTCACACACTCACTCACACCCTCAGTCACTCACATACTCACTCAGTCACTCACACACTCACTCACACCCTCAGTCACTCACATACTCACTCAGTCACTCACACACTCACTCACACCCTCATAGACAAAGACTCACACACTCACTCATTCATACACTCACTCACACACTCACTCATTCATACACTCACTCATACACTCACACACTCATTCACTCACACACACACTCATTCACTCATACACTCACACACACACTCATACACTCACACACTCACTCATACACTCACTCACACACTCATACACTCACTCACACACTCATACCCTCCCTCACACACTCATACACTCACTCATACACTCACTCATTAACTCATACCCTCCCTCACACACTCATACCCTCACTCACACACTCACTCATACCCTCACTCCCTCACACCCTCACTCACTCCCTCACACAGGAGGCCGTGGGGTCAGGAGGAACTGCCCACTTTCCACTGCAGCTGTGAGTCCCCCTCCCCCCCAGAGCTGCCAATGTAGCATGTGTTATTATGATTATTATTATTAATATGTTGGTTATCTGCCCCAACTTCACCCCTCCCCCCCCCCCCCCCCCACCCACCCCTTGACCCTTACCCGCTGCAGTGTTCAACATGCCTCAAGTATTGTGTGGGTAGAGAAGAGTTTGGGGATTATTTTGTTGTGGCTCTCAAATGTGACTTGTAGTTGAAACTTTTTTTTTCGCTCCAAATCCACTTTGTTTTCGTGTGTTTTTTTGGGGGGAGTGGGGTGGGGGGAGAGCTAATGGCAAAGTCCCAGCTGTGTGTGTGTGAGTGAGTGTGAGTGAGTGTGTTTTTAAGGTACGCGCAGAGATGCCGTACAATAGAGAGAGTGCAATGATCTGATTGTGAGCTTCCAGGAAGAGGAGAGTTCTTCCCCTTTTTTTTGGGGGGGGGGAAGGGGGAAAAGGCATTTGGCAAATCAAGGAGTCCAGTGGCTCGAGGACTCGCCTCGCAAGCAAGAGACCTCGGATCGATTCCCAGCAGGGCAAAACCTTGGGAAGTTTCCTTACTCCACACGCCGGATAATAATCCCTCAAGAAAACAATAATAAATTGGTCATTTTCAATCCACGACTGTTTGTGGGACAGTTGCTGCGCGCAATTGGCTGCCGCGTTTCGCCCACAAACATACAGTCAGTTCACTTTACAGTCTATTCTGTGAAGCGCTCTGAGACGGCGAGAAGACGTGAAAAGCGCTATATCAAATGCAAGGATTCTTTTTTTATTTTAAATCTTTATTTTGACAAATTTTCCCTCTTTAGGGTCTTTCGAGATTTTAACCACGCGCACGCGCACACATGTTTGGGGACCATCCCAAGTGTGTCTATAAATTCACAGCCATTCACAGCAATTACTTGTGAAGAGCTTCGAGACATTTTTGAAGTTATAGGCATTGCGTTAAGTGCACTTGACATAGTGCCTATAATTTATTATTTACCCAGCAACACAGTGAGAAGTGTCCCGACAGGTGGATAGCTCTGTGAAAGTTATGATTGCTATGCAGGAAACTCCTGATAGCTCGTCAATCCAAGAGGAAAGAGCTCAGTGACGAGTTATCAGGAATGGCGAGTTAGGCATATGTATAAATACATCAGTAAATGGTGATTTAAGTGCCGTGTTTCGCCCACAAAATAACCAGTCAATCCGCTTTACAGTATATCTTGTGAAGGCGCTTTGGGACACCTCAATGACGAGGTAAGGCGCTGTATCAAATGTAAGGATTATTATTAAAATTATTATTATCTGTGCGGTGGCACCTGTCTCTTTCTGCCGTCTATGTGGCCACATTTTCCTGATAACTTGTCCTTTTTTTTTACTCTAGCAATGATGCACCGGGGGGAGGTGGAATACCAGGAGAGCTTGTTCGTGTGGAGACGTCTTGTCAAGTAAAAGCAGAGAGAGAAAAAAGGTTTCCTCGTATGAACAAGGTACAAAATATACAGTCACTCCACTCTACAATATATCCTGTAAAGCGCTTTGAGATGTCTCGACGACATGATGAGGTGCTATATCAAATGCAACGATTATTATTGTTACTATTATTAGCTCCCTCGATCACCTACACTTCACCAGACCACACGTGCCAATTATTACTCCTGTAGCTTAGTGGTTAGAGCACTTGCCTCGCAAGCGAGAGGACCCGGGTTTGTTTCCCGGGCAGCGCGAAATGTTGGGCAAGTTTCCTTATTCCACACGCCTCTCTTTACCGAGCAGTGACTATGAATCCGGTTGTTAGTTGATTGACAGAACACTTTACTGAGGGTAATAGTCCCTTCACAAATAATAATCGTGTGGTCACTCAATTAACGACTGTTTGTGGGACGCTGCTGTGCGTAATTGGCTGCCACGTTTCGCCCACAAAATACAGTCAACTCACTTGACAGTATATTGTGTGAAGCGCTTTGAGACTTCTCGAGACGTGATGAGACGCCATGTCACGTGCAAGAATTATTATTATTACTGCGATCCTTTGACCTGTGACAACCCTATAAAAATGCAGGACATTTCTTTACAGACGTCAGTGGCTGAATCTATGTTGTCGGATGAGTTGCAGTCCAGGCCTGAGGTAGGAAGAGCCATTTGTGTCAGCTTGTGTCAGAGTTTCCGGTTTGCTATGAAGGCTTCACTGTGTTCTCTCTCTCCCTGCTGTGCAGTTCATATTGATGTGGTGCTGAGAGAAGGGTGGAACCTTCTATATCCTCCTGTCGCCGCACCCCCCCGCCCCCCCCCGCTTCCCCCCACCTCCCACAAAGTAGTCATATTTCATCTGTGAGCCCCAACACCTAGCGTTTGTCAAATCCTAACGTGTTCGATTGCTGGAGGGAAACCTTAGGCAAGTTTTCTTAACTCCACACACCTCTGTTTACCTACAGTAAGTAGGAACCCGGTTGTTAGTCGATTGGTGGATTGCTTTCCGAGGGTAATAGTCCCTTCAACGAAAAGAAAATTTGATCACTCAATCCACGACTGTTTGTGGGACACTGATGTGCGCAATTGGCTCCCGCATTTCACCCACAAAATACACAGTCACTCCACTTTACAAGATAAAGGGAAGGCACTACATGCAAGGGTTATTATTATTAATACACGGTGGTCCAATGGCAAGCGATGTGGTTTTAGGTGGTTAGACTCCAGCAGTTACCCCAACGCACACTCTGGGATCCCCAAGCCTTGACTCTTGCCAACCTGTGCCTAACACTCTCCGGAATTAGGTAAGTAGGATACATCCCTCCAGGGATAGAGTGTGTGCATTCCATTCCAATACACAAGAAATACTGCATAGGAATATAGGAACAGGACTAGGCCATTCAGCCCCTCGAGCCTGTTCTGCCATTCTGTAAGATCATGACTGATCCGTACCTCAACTCCGATTACCTGACATTGCCCCGTATCGATTAATACTCTGACCCAATAGCATATTAGGTGGGATGCATGGAACTTTCACCCGCTCTCTTGCCACCTTCAAGTCCCATCTAAACACCTTCCTCTTCGAACGAGCCTTCGGCCACCCTCCCACCCCCACCCGCCCCTGGCCTACACTCCTCCTGACCCTAACTCCCAGTTCGGGTCAAAAAACCCCGGACAGTCTTTCCGAGGTGAAGGGCGCTATGCAAGTGTAACTTGTTGAAGTTGTTGCTCTCTTCACGGGTCCGGTTTCTATCCCCAGCTCCTGGTCCAGTTTGTCCAGAACACCTTCATACCCTTGGGAGAAGGACTGGAGGAGCCGGTCTCCATAGCCCCACAATCTCTCCCTCTGCCCAGTCGCAGTGCATTCCGCAACCAAGCACCAGCCTCAGGTAAGGAGAACGTAACTTACTCAGAAACTGGGCAGGGAGAGAAGGTGGTGGTGGTGGGGTTGGGGGGGAGACACACACACAGTTATTTCTCTTACGTGATTTGCATGGTGCCATGTGTAAACTGTGTGTTTAAAAAATATACTATATTTGTGACTTGTGTGACCACAACTCCCTCCCCCCACTTGCAATCTCAGGCCTCCTGCCCCCTCCTTCCATGTTGTTGAGAGCGGTAGTGGTTAGCACACTTGCCTTGCAAGCGAGAGGACCTGGGTTCGATTCCCGGGCGAGGAGAAACCCTAGCCAAGTTTCCTTACTCCACACGCCTGTTTACCTAATAAGTAGGAACCCGGTTGTTAGACGCTACGCAGATCACTTTCCGGGGGTAATAAACTATTTAATAATAATAATAACAATTAGGTCAATCAAACCGCAACACTGCTGTGCGCAATTGGCTGTCGCCTTTTGCCCACGGAATAGTCAATTCACTTCACAGTATATTTTGCAAAGTGCTTCAAGACATCTCAACGACGTGATAATATCAAACACAAGGATTATTATTAATACAAAATGTTTGTATAAAACACACAAATTCAGAGTGAGAAATGTGACACAACAACAACAACTTGCATTTATATAGCGCCCTCCCCGCAGTGTAGCGTCTCAGAACGCTTAACAGTGGGGGAGTTTGACTCCGAGCCGGGGTGGGAGAGGTGACCGTAAGCACGATTGGAAAAGGGGGAGAGAGGGGAATTGAGGGAGAGTGTTCCAGAGTTTCGGGGCGTAGTAGCTGAAAATCCCATCTCCGATGATGGGGCGGAGGGTGCGAGGGACGAGCAGGAGGCCGGTGCCAGTCAAGCGAAGGCGCTGGGTGTTGGATTGGGCAGTGAGGAGGTCGGAGAGGTAGGGAGGTGCCACAGAGTGCATGGATTTGAACACGAGTGTAAGGATCTTGAAGTCGATCTGTTTGGTGATGTGGAGCCAGTGGAGCCTGGGCCAGAACTGGTGAGATATGGGTACGGAGTTTGTTCCGGGTCAGTGTGCGGGCGGCAGAGTTCTGAATGAGCTGGAAGTTTTGAATGGCGGAGCTGGGGAGACCGGCGAGGAGTGCGTTTGAATAATCCAGGCAGGAGGTGACAAACACATGCACAAGGGTTTCGGCTGCATTTGGGGTAAGGTACAATCGGAGGCGGGCAATGTGGCGGAGGTTGAAGAAGGCGGTCCAGGACAGGGACTGAATGTGGGGGAGGAAGGACATCTACTTCTGCTTCTCCTCCAGCTGTCAGCTTGTCTGACGGACATCAATGTCTGGATGGGCATAAATTTCCTGCAGCTGAACGTTCAAACTCTTCGGCTCCTGTCAATGTCTTCTTTCCTGTGGGTCCGAACTCCTCAGCCTCCCTGGCTCTCCCTCAAACTCGTCTAGATTGCGCTCTGGTTTGGTGAGTGTGAGGGAAAGGCTGAGGAAGTTGAGGAGGTCAGATCCGCAGGAATGAAGATGTTGACGGGAGCCAAGGAGGATGGCTTCTGTCTTGTCCGCATTCAGCTATAGGGAAGTTTACGGTCATCCAGGCCCTGATGTCTGCCAGACAAGATGATAGAACATCGGTGGACATGGAGTTGGTACTGGAGGAGGCAAAGTAGATTTGTTTGTCATCCACATACACGTGGAAGTTTGCCCTGTGTCTGCGGGGTAAAATTCTTCACGTTAACTGACAACAAAAGCAACAACAACTTGCTTTTATATAGCAACCATCTCGCTGGATGGCGTCTCGGAGCGCTGACAACTGTCACTGCACGCGTCGCGTATTAAATGGATACATTAAGTGGTGTGGGGCGCCTCCCTGCGTGAGGGGCGCTACGTAGATCGTCGTCGTCGTTGTTGTTGGATTGTGTTCCTGAGACATCTGCTGTGTTGTAGCGTCAGAATCAATCTGAACTTGGGGGCCTTATCGGTGGAATTCAGCCTCTGCGTTGAGTCAGTTGTCCCCAGCTTGATTGAGTGAGATCTAATGCCGAGCCCTCTCTCCTCCCGCGACTATAATGCCGCATTGTTAAGATCGTCAGCCTCGAAGCCTCGCGCCCACGCACGCAATAACCATTGACAGGCTCAGTATTGTACTGCGCAGCTCACAGTCGGGTGAATGGGGGTGGGGGAGTGATGGAGGTTGAATAAGAAGCCTTGCAGTTGCCGGGTGCCAAAAGGCAACAACATACTGCAGATGCTGGAAATCTGTAATAAGCTCAGGAGTCGCTGGGAACACTCAGCGGGTCAGGCAGCACCTATAGAGAGAGGACAGTGAGTTACCGTTTCAGGTCGATGACGTTTGAGTTCTGACGAAAAGTCATTGACCGGAAACTGGTTGAAACCTCGGGCTTCTTTTACCAAGTAAATTCTCATGTTCTTATGTCTACTTAGGTGGGAGCCCGGCATCCAAGCCCTCGGCACCGGCTAGCCAGTTGGTGGTGCAGGATACCGGGAACGCCGAGCCCAGCGATGGGACAGGGGATTACGGAGCTGGGAATGCCGAGCCCAGTGACGGGACAGGGAACACCGAGGTCAAGGATGGGGCTGGGAATGACGAACCCAGGGATGGGGCTGGGAACGCTGAACACAGGGATGGGGGTGGGAATGCCGGAGCTGGGAACGCCGAGCGCAGGGAAGGAGCAGCCCCGCTGTACCTGCGGATTCAGGAACTGGCTCACGACAGCCTGGTGGCCGCTACCAGAGCCCAGCTGGCAAGGGACGTGGGGGAACCGGGTAACGGTACAGCTCTGCCCCCACTCCCCCCCCCCCCACACACACACACACACGCCCATCCTCCAACCACCCACACACACGCATCCCCCACCCACACACACACACACACACGCCCATCCTCCAACCACCCACACACACGCATCCCCCACCCACACACGCACACATCCCCATTCCTCCCACCCACAACCCCCCCAACACACACACGTCCTCACCCCCCCTCCACACACATACATCCTCACTTCTGCCCCCACACACATCCCCACCCACGCCCCCACACACACAGCTCAGTTGCCCCCCACCGCACACACATATCCTCACCCCGCGCACACACACATTCCCACACACGCACACGCACATTCCACACACACACATAGGAAAATTTGTGAAGTGCCCCCCTTGTGTTTGGCTGCTAAGTGCCGCCCCCTCAGGATAAAGAACCCACGTCCTCTCTCTCTTGCGAGGCGAGCGCACTGACCACTACGATACGGGGCTCCGACAGTAACATTATTATGGACTTCTTATTGCTACGTTGTTCGCAGGGGAACCTCTGCACAGCTGCTGCAGGAAGGAGGGCAAACCTGAGCCAAGTCCTGGCCCTCAGCGCAACGAGAAAACCCTGAGATGCAGCTACGAGGGCTGCAGCCGGACTTTCCTGTGGCACGCTCACCTCAAATACCACCTCAAAACACACAGGTCAGTGCCACAGGGATTTTAAGAGTCACCTGGGGGATTGACAAGGTAATAGGAATCTCCCTCCAGTAGAAGGATCCAATAAGAGGATATAGCGCCTTATCGTGTCGTTGAGACATCTCAAAGCACTCACACTGTAAAGTGGATCGACTGTATTTTTTGTGAGCGAAACACAGCAGCCGGTTTGAGCACAGCAGTGTCCCACAAACAGCCGTGGAGCGAATGACTTAATTTTATGTGAGGGATTGTTGGCCAGGACACCGGGAGAGAGAAACGTTTGTCCTGTCCGCTCCCTCCACTCAGCGCGCTCCAGCCTGCTTCATGTCCCCCACGCCCAGCCCAGCCCGCCCCACCATCGGCGGTCGGACATTCAGCCTCTCTGCCCCTACCCTTTGGAACTCCATCCCGCAGTCCCTTCACCCTGTCCCCTCCCTCCCTCGCCTCCTCCAAGGCCCATCTCAAGACCCTCCTCTTCGATCAGACCTTCGATCACCCTTCTACCCCCTCCCTCCCTGCTCTCCACCCCTCCTGATCCCAATCCCAAGCTCGGGTGCAAATCCCTGACTTTCCAGCGCCTTGGGACGTCCTCCCGACATGAAAGGCGCTGTGTAAATGTCATTTGTTGCTGTTGTTGCTGTTGAGTGAATCCCTGTGTCTCGCTGGTCACTAAGGAACGACCGATCTTACACCTGCCCAAAGGAAGGGTGCGGGAAGAGTTTTTATGTGCTGCAGAGGCTGAAGGTCCACATGAGAACACACAACGGGGAGAAACCTTTCATCTGCCCTGAGGATGAGTGTGGAAAGAAATTCACCACAGCCGGGAATCTGAAGAACCACATCCGGATACATTCTGGTAAAGATAATACTAATAATAATAATCCTTGCATTTGACATAACGCCTTATCATCTCACTGAGACGTCTCAAAGCACTTCACAGAATATGTTGTAAAGTGAATGGACTGTGTTTTTTTCTGGACGAAACGCGGCAGCCAATTGCACACAGCAGCGTCCCCACAAACAGTCGTGGATTTCCTGACCACATTTTAATTTAATTTTGGAGGGATTATTACCCCCGGAAAGCGATCTGCTAATCAACTAACAACCGGGTTCCTACTTAATGCTAGGTAAACAGAGGTGCGTGGAGTAAGGAAACTTGCCTATCGAACCCGGGTCCTCTCACTTGTGAGACGAGTGATCTAACCATTACTTAATTGTATTCAGTACAAGTGTTTAACTATATTTAGAGGTCCAGAGGATTGGCGTGTGTGAGTGAGTGAGCGCCATCATTTTCGTGATAGATGATAATCCCTCGCCATGTTCGGTGAAACATTTTCCGTAACATGGATGGAGTGAGGAGGACGTCACTGTAGAAGACATTGTTACACTCGACCTGCAACAGAAAATAAAAATTCACTGCAAGGAAAAAAATACACAGGTGGGTGGGGGAGTAACAGGACTTTGTGGACGCCCTCGACAATGAATCAATCCTCCGTGCTTTGTCCTGTCTGACCTAACGTGCCTCCCCTCATTTTATCTTCAGGAGAAAAGCCATTCGTTTGTGAGGCTCGAAACTGCCGACGCTCCTTCACAGAGTACTCCAGTCTCCGCAAGCACATGGTGGTGCACTCAGGTAATGAGGCGTGCCTTCAACAACAACAACAGATTGCATCGCTATGGCGCCTTTCACGTCGGGCGCATGTCTGGTTCTTCGTCTGACTGTGTGTGAGACACTGCTGTGCGCAATTGGCTGCTGCGTTTCGCCCACAAAATACACAGTCAATCTACATTACAGTATATTCCGCGAAGCACTTTGAGACGTCTCAACGCAATATATCAAATGCTAGGATTATTATCATTATTATTATCATTATACCCATCCCGTGACTAAGACCATTGACCTGTTTTGATTGAAGGGGAGAAACCTTATCGGTGTAACATTTGCGAAAAGACTTTCTCTCAGAGCGGGAGCAGGAACGTACATCTGCGAAAATATCACAATATCTTGTTGGCCTTTGGAGACCAGGAGGACGCTCCAGGTATGTGTCTTGACGGGCAGTGGCGCTTCATTGTAACACAACGGTTGTGGTGTTGGCGGGGGAGAGTGCGGGGGGAATTGATTCCCAACCACGGGTATAACCGAGCACCAGCCTGGCACAGTGGTGGCACACCTCGCCTTTGAGTCGGAAGGAACATGGGAATCATTCAGCCCTTCGAGCCTGTTCTGCCATTCTATTAGATCATTGCTGATCTGTACCTCAACTCCAATTCCAACTCACAACTCCAAAGAAGGTTGTGGGTTCAAGCCCCGTGTCAGGACTTGGAATCGTATCGTCTTGGCTGATGCTCCAACGCAGCGCTGAGGGAGGCGCTGCATTCTCGGAGGTGCCATCCTGCAGATGAGACGTTAAACCGAGGTCCCGTCTGTCTGATGGACATTAAAGATCCCAAGGGCAGGCAGTTACTCCTGTCTGTCTCACAATCCCCTCCCGCTGTCATCCCGGTAAAATGATCATTTGACTCCTGCAAAAAAATCAATGTACTTGACATTTAATTGCTTTGAGTCAGTTAACAATGGTTGAGGCCTTTTTAAGAACGCAAGTTCTTTCTCTGTTGACCTATCTCTCTTGTATCTCGAAGCCAACCTGTTTCCTGAGGCCGGGGCATTAAGCGAGGCTGTGACAGTAGCTGGTCTTTCAGAGGCTCCAGGGCCTGTAGCAGAACAAGCTAGACTGGAGCTCCAGCCTCTAGTGTTGCCGCCTGGTATCCTGGGAGCAGAGCAGGGTGAGTGTCCAGCTCAAACCTGACTGACCTATTTGTATTGTGCGTAATGATCCTCAATCCACGATGCTGGTGGGCGTCTAACACAGGCGGAAACCCATCACTGTGCTTAAGAGTATCCAAACCAAACCAAGAGCTCCATGAATCCCACCTGCACATGGAAATCCCAGAGACAGATTGTTGGAATGGAACTCGCGCTCTCTCTCTCTCTCTCCCTGGAGGGACACATCCTGCTTCCCTAATTTCAGAAAGTATTATGCGCAGGTTGGTAAGAGCCAGGGGTTGGGGATCCCAGAGTGTGCATTGGGGTAACTGCTGGAGTCTAACCAGCTAAAACCGCAGCTTGCCACAGATATCGCTGTCTGGCAAGCTTTTCCGCAGCTTGTCCAGCTAGGACCATCCTACCCGTTAGGGGTTTGGCTTGCAAAACAGGAGCTGAGTGGGATGACTCCCTGCCCCCAGTGACTGGTCAAACGTTAACACAACTGGAAAAAGAGAACGGAGTTTCTCCAGATTCCTGGCCAACAATCCCTCAGATATATTGATTGTTTGCCCCACGGCATATGTTTGAATTAAAAACTGGTTACGTTCTATTTTCCTCTCTCCCCTCCCTCCCTCCCCCTCTCCCGCCCCAGAGGTATTACCGGAGAATTTGCCCTCGGTCTCCAACACGACAGCTACAGCCTCGGTGGTAGTCGTCCCGCAGCCACATCACCTCGTCACCATATCCACCGCGGGTCACTCGTACGAGGAAGTGGTCACTGTGCTGCTGCAGTGATCGGAGACGCACTTATCTCTTCCGTTTGACGCCTCTTCCACCGGAACAACGGAAGACAGAATAGCCCCACGTGGAACGCTCGACCAGTCATCTCTCCGCTACCCTCCCTCCCTCCTTTCCTTCCTCCACACCCCAATCAGATGTCGGAGATTCGTCTCGAAGAGGTTTAATCGAACGATCAGACCAACCTCCTTATGGACAAAACAAGCAACGAATCAGTCTACTCAGCGATTGAGGTCTTTGTCTCTTTAGCATCAGGTTTGCTCTCTATGCAAGATCTTCGCGTCCATTGCAGTGTTACATGATTTAACTTTTTTTTAGTCATCCACAAATCCTGGCACACACACACACAGAAACCCATTGCCATGCTTAAGAGACTCCGCGCCAAACTACTGAGAGTTCCACATGTGCACGATTTGTGTTTGTCAGACAGTGAAGTGCACACTGTCTCCCTGTAGGTGGTGCGTACAAGGTCTCCTGGAGAATATAGGTGCAGATTTACAAGGTATTACTGACTTGGAGGAGGGGGTGGACCCTAACATGACATTGTCTACCTGGTAGGGTGGTCCCAACCATTTGGCTGCCGAGGGCCGGATGCCCTATTCGAGAAACCACAGGCCACACAAGCAATATATTTGTGTTTTGCTTCCAGAAACATAACATTTACGGGTTATGGCGAGAGCGGATGGGCCAGATGCAATGGAGTGGGGGGCTGAGTGGGGGGAAGGCGGATGTAATCGAGCACCCTGGACCACCCTGCCGTTATAGTGACACTGTGCAGAAAGTCAACCACAGTTTCTGGGTTTGGGCCAGCGAACGGTGAAGGAAAAAAAAACAATGGCAGTAACAGACGAACAAGTATTACACCAAAGTGGTGACGTTTCCTGTTTAGCCAGCTGCAGAGTGGCGTCGGTGCTCAAGAACTCGAGGATGTCCATCAGCCCAAAAGATCTGCAGGGGAAGCAGCCAGAAAAGTTTCAAACGGTCAAAATAATAAGCCAGGAAACGTTTGATGATCAACTGCCAATTAACCTGCAGAAACTACCCCCCCACCCACCTTTTCTTCAGATCTTTCATTTGTGAATTGCTGAATTCCTGAATTCTTTGGCTGCACAAATGCCAGTGGAATATCTGCTGAATATCATAGGGTCCTAGTTTGAGAGCTGGGTTGCACGGTGGGCCACATATATTGCCCTTTCACCTCCTGGTCCCTGCTTATCTCACCACCACTGTGTTTGGAAAGCTGGACGCATTTGGCTGCCGCGTTTCATCGATCCACTTTACAATATATTCTGTGAAGCACTTTGAGACGTCTCATTGACGTGATAAGGCGCAATATCAAATACAAGGCTTATTATTAATATTAAACTTGATCCATTCAGCAACAGATGTGAGTTCATAGGATAATAGTGTTCCTAACTTCCCACAGAATGAAAAACAGCCAAACCTGAATCATTAACTGTTTTATTGAAAGATGGGAAACATTTAATATTTAAGGCACGTGAAGTAAGGAAACGTGCCTAAGGTTTCGCCCTGCCCGAGAATTGAATCCAGGTCCTCTCGTTTGCGAGGCGAGTGCTCTAACCACTACGCTATAGGACTCCAAATAACTAGAAAAGCTCCTCACCCTATCTTCATTGAACATTGCAGTGTGAAACTCTTTTCCATCAAGCTTGAATCCCAACCCTGGGACCCCACGGGGGGATTTTGTAATACACATGGGAGTCATGGTCTTCAGCTCCAGATCTTGCTGGGACTATTGTATTCCTGATGAGCTCTCAGTTGAGGTGCTGGCTCACAGCAAGATTTTGTCACTAAAATGTCTTCCAAACTTTTGTTTTTCTTTCGCCGATAACAGACTGATCTGCTTCCGATTCAGTATCACTTGGTTACGCGCGTACAATGAACGGTAAAGCGATGGTACTGTAATATCTATGGAATTGAGCTTTTCCTACATTTCACTTTAAATAAAAATGTGGCTTTGCTGCAGATCTAATGGACAGTGAATTCAGTGCACTTAAGAGATCTAAATGCACAATGTTAATATTGTAAGAGTGGGGTGTGTGTTACCAATGTGATTTGGTATGATGCAATAGAATTTCACAGCAAGGAAGGGGATGTTCAATATCAAATTGCATTTATTTTTAATCAAGGCACAGTTCTAGGGAAACAGTGGGGAAAGTTTGATAAACCTGCTAACTCTGAGGGTGTGTGGTAGATAGGCTGAAACTTGCTCTGAGCTGATGAGTAACATCTACAGTGTGTATTTAGCTTCATTTGTGCAGTTAGCAGCCCAAAGTAATATTTCCAATTTACAGTTCTGTAGAATGCATTACAGGGGGGGGGAAGGGGGTGGAAGAAACGGAATAAAAGCAATTTCACAATGGTAATCTGGTACTAACTTTTTCTAAGGTCTAAAATGAGGACACAGGATGCATTTTCTTGCTAGAGGTCCGTATTGGTTTCCGAGGTGTCTTGGGAGACGCATAGTGAGAGGTTCATCAGTTGATGTATGTACAGGGTGTCCACAAAGTCCTATTTACACCCCCCCCACCCCATCACAAAACAGAGATACAAAACTTCAGAGGAGATGAAACAAGATGTCAGAGATGTATTTCACCTCCTCACTCCATCCATGCTATGGAAGATGTGGCACCAAATGTAGTGACGGATCATTATCTGCCATGAAAATGCTGGCGCTCACACACGGGTCCTCTAAATACAATTAAACACTTGTACTGAATACAACTAAGCAGTCTAAATACAATGATCATCATTCTTCCAGTTTCAGTTGTTGGTCAGTGCACTGTAGAGATAAACACGTGGGGGTAACTTTGTGAACACTCTGGAGAGAACGTGCGAGTGAGTTGAGACTGACTGGGTTGATATCAATGGTTTTGAATTTGAAATTGCAATGATAATATTTTTAATTAAAATGTTATCGTAATTTTTAAAAAGAGGAACATGAGATGTAAACCTTTTCCTTTGAGCCGAGACTAATCTTGGGAAGTCTCAGAGTTTGCTCTCTCCTCGTGCTCTCCGATCTCTTCACCTTTCTCCTGCCCTGGTTTGGTTTTCTCTACAGGTATGCTGCTGCTGCAGCTCCTGGTCTGTGCTGTCCTGCGGAAGAGGGGAAAAATTCTCTCCTTGATTAGAATCTGTTATACAAACTCTCGAGGCATAATGGTAAGTAAAGGTAATAATAGTAACAATAATAATCCTTGCATTCGATATAAGCGCCTCATCACATCTTTGAGACGTCTCAAGTGCTTCACAGGATATACTGTAAAATGGATTGACTGTGTATTTTGTGGGTGAAACGTTGCAGCCAATTGCGCACAGCAGCGTCCCACAAACATTCGGGGATTGAGTGACCAATTACTGGTTATAATTTTTTTTAAAATAAAAGCGGAAAAGCGATCCGCCAAGTGACTAACGACAGGGCTCCTACTTATTACTAGGTAAACAGAGGCGTGTGGCCTACGGAAACTTGCCCAACGTTTAGTCCTATCCGAGAATTGAACACTGGTCGTCTTGCTTGTGAAGCGAGTGCTCTAACCACTAATTATTGCACTAAACTCACTCCCCAGAATCCATTTGGACTCCAGCCAGTAACACTCCCACATACTCTATTGTTCTCTTTTAAAACCATCTCCTTCAGACTCCAGCCTGTAATTCAAAATTTTCGTTTGGTGCACTCAGTGAGATTATTTTATTCTAAGTGCCTCGGGACCTGAAAGGCACTATATATATGTAAATTTGTATCGTATTACAACATCAATAAATTATAATTGTTTAGGGCCTTTCACATCGGGAGCACGTCCCAAGGCGCTGGACAGTCAAGAATTTGGACCTGAGGTAGGGGTAGGAGGACCAAAGGCGTGGTCGAAGAGGAGGGTCTTGAGAAGGGCCTTGAAGGAGGCAATGGCGGGGGCGAGCAAAGGGACTGGGGTTGGTGTTACAAAGGATAGGGATAGAAAGACTGAAGGCCTGACCACTGATGGAGCAGACAGGAGCCCGCTGAGTGGAGGGTGTGGACAAGTCAGTATGGAAACCAACCTATTACATTGTATACCTGTCCCTGAGAATAGCTCTGAGACATTACCATATTCTAACATTGCTATTAACTGTACATGTCTCTACGTTGGAAGGTCTTAGCCTTGGGAGAGGTTAGGAACATGACACAGGTTACAGACTAGTTGTTCCTCGGGCAGCAGGTGAAGGCCTATGGTTATTAGTTACAGGTCGCATATACAAGTGTCAGGGTCATGCATCTGATTTGCAACATAATCTATATTGTGTTAGAACCAAAAGTAGTATGTAAATCAATCTTGTATAACATTTTTCTTTATTAAAATGCTAAAAGATTATTATTATTATTATTAAAAGGTTGTCGTAGTGGAAAGAAACTACCTATCTTCAGGCTCGCTGCCATCCTCCTCGTCAGAGATTGTGAGAGGAAGGTGCTCCGTGCATCTCCCTTTATCCCAGACAAACTCTTCATCCACGCCAGCTTTATGCAACGTATCACGGTATCGCCTCTCAGCCTCCTTTGTTGCGTTTTTCTTTAAAAGGAATATAGCTTTGTCAAGAAATCATAATAATCTGCATGTCGTTGAGTCGTCTCAAAGCGCTTCACAGAATATAATGTGAAGTGGATTGACCGTGTATTTTGTGGGCGAAACGTGGCAGCCAATTGCGCACAGCAGTGTCCCACAAACAGTCGTTGATTGAGTGAGCATATTTTTGTTTATTACCTCCAAAAAATCGATCCACCAATCGACTAATAACTGGGTTCCTAGGTATAGAGGCGTGTGGAGTAAGGAAACTTGGCTCAGGTTTCGCCCCACCGGGAATCGAACGCAGGTCCTCTGCTTGCAAGGCGAGTGCTTGGGATGCCCTCCCAATGTGAAAGGCGCCATACAATGGAATTTTGTTGTTGTTGTGCTCTAACAACTACTCTACGGGACTCCACAGAAAGGCCGGAAAAGCAGTAGATTTTTCCACCTACAGACAAATATTGAACGCGCTCTCCTGAAAATGCTAGCTCAGTTACAAAGGCACAAGGCACCCTCCAGCACACTGCCCATCCTTCATGTTTCTGCCCAGAGAATGAGTGTTGGTAGTAGGCCATTTGACTAATATGAAAAGAGATCATTACAAGCTGGCCTTCTGATTGATTTGGGCTATTCATATGTACCAGAAGTCCTGGCAAACCCATCATTTAATTCCAGTAAACTTCATGGGTGCCTGTGATTGCAATGTAAATTGAACAAGCATGTGTTAAGCATGTTCCTGGTCATTTGGTTGCTCAAACGACCAGGAACATGTTTAGCGCATGCTTATTCAATGTGCGATTGAATGCACACAGTCTTTGTACCTGAGTAACCTGTTCAAAGAGGTATGGTCTCCGAAGCACTCGTCTCTTCATCTCTTCCAGTTCTTTCTTGTATTCCTTCTTCCTCTTGGAGTCTTTCTTCCTGAAACCGTGACAGTGAAAACAGACAGAGTTGAGTTGAGTTGATGTCACAGTTTAGGGTCATCACATTGCTGTCTAGTTTCTACAGGGTGTCCACAAAGTTCTGTTACTCCCAGCTTTTTTTTATAGTGCACTGACTAACAGTTGAAACAACAACAAAAAAATTACATTTGTATACCATGTGGATGAATGATGATTGTATTGAGAAGTACTTAATTGTATCAATACAAGTGTTTAACTGTATTTCGACACCCAGAGGATCAGTGTGTCTGAGTGTGCGCCGTGATTTTCACGGCAGATAATGATCCATCGCCAGTGACATCTTCCGTAACCTAAATGGAGTGAGGAGGAGTGGATGCATCTCTGACATCTTGTTTCAGCTCCTCTGTAGTCTCATAACGCTGTGTTGTAAAGGTAAGAGGGGAGGGGGAAAGGTGTGGTAAGTGGCGGTACAGCACTTTGTGAACACCCTGTACACGAAAGCTGTGGGCAAACAGAAGAAACTCACTAGGAAAATCAATCCTTGGTCTATGTCACCATCTGATCTCAGCCAGGGTGTTGGCAGTAATGTGCCTGTTAGCCTCAATATGCCTGCACTGGGAGTGGAGACAATCAGTTCACAGTGACATCAATAGAAATCTGGTAAAGGTAGGATTGGGCTCAACGATAATAATAATAGCATTTCCCCAGCACCACATTTGAGCATCATCCCAGCCTATTGAGCTCAAAGTCTCGAGCTGGAACTTCAATCCACAATCTATCAACTCAGAAGCGAGAGTGCTACTAACTGGGTCACCGTAGTCCCTGGGCTTTGCTTTCTGACTCTCATTAAAATTTCTGGCCTACCTCCCAGACACTATTACAATAAGCAGAGGAAAGAGACTTGTTTCATAGCAGTAAGTTAGAATTCCAAAAGCAGAGGCTTGGGAGTTTGTCTGTTCACCGTTCCAGCTGGGAGACCCAGATTACAAACCTGTGTTTCTGCAATTTCTCTTTGTAGGTCTCCTCGAGACTCTGATGGGGATCCATAGCTTTTGCTCGTGACAGTACTCCTTTGCTCATTAGTTGACTATTTAAGTTGTAGCTCTCCATCCATCGAGCTCTCACTTGCTCCTCCACATCTTGTTCCTCTAAAGATTTTCTACGGAATAAAATATAAATATATATATACACATTATATATAAAAACTGGCAGGTGGAAAATAGATTGGCACAAAAACAATGTGTGGACAAGATTTTTTTAAAATAAATGTTTCTACAATAAACCTCATATAAATCAGTTGGGACCACACATTTAATATGACTTATGCAAAATGGCGTAGAGGCAAAATGGCCTCTACGAAACTTTCTATGATTCGACAAGATGCCTGTAGCAACATTTAATGTCCAGGAGTCTTTCTTCCTGAAAATTAGAAGGTGGGTCAGTCAGAATTAAGAGTTTATGTGGTGGTGCTTAGGGTCTTTTCACCTTTGAGCTCTCTTTACCTAATAGCCGCCTGCCTTTTCCTTGTGGTGTCTGAAATGTACATGGGCAATATCTCAGAAGACAGCGATGCAATTGCACTGTAGGATTTATCTCTCGTCAGATGGGGCTTCCCATTTTTAGTAGAATCCTTTAAAGAGGAAAAGAAAAAACAATGATGTTACGGTTCAGTGCCTTGGGACGTCCTCCCGATGTGAAAGGCGCTATATAAATGTAATTTTGTTGTTGTTACACCATAATATTTGTTTTTTAAAAAGAAAAAACAATATTTTATTTTTGTTATTCTTAAGATTGACATTTTTCTTTTATTTGGCAAATGTGTGAAAATGATTATTCTTCTGTATGATACATGCTGGGACATGCTGCAATGAGGGCAATACACATACAGCCCAAGTGAGGTCTGTCACACAGTGTAACACTGGAATCCAGTAACGTAGTGGTTAGCTCGCTCGCCACGAAAGTGAGAGGACTTGGTTTTGATTCCCAGGCAGGACGAAACCTTAGGCAAGTTTCCTTACTCCGCGCACCTATTTACCTAGCAGTAAGTAAGAACCTAGTTGTTAGTCGATCGGTGGATCGCTTTGCAGGTGTAATAATAAATCCCTTAAAACAAATTGGTCTCTCAATCCATGACTGTTGTGCTCAATTGGGTGCTGAATTTCACCCACAAAAATAGTCTTTACAATATCATCTGTGAAGCACTTTGAGATGTCTCGACGAAGTGATAAGACGCGATATCAAATGCAAAAATTACTATTATAATTATTAACACAGGCTCGACTTATCACACATACCCAGTCTGGGACATTGATTGTATTATAGTGTCAAAGAAGAAGTGATATTAAACTTGTACGTCACCTTCAATACAACTTCGGTTCCTCTATTTCTCTGTGCCCGTAATTTGGCTGTAAGAAATTCAAACGGCTCACATTTTGTTGCTTCCTTGGGCTTGTGCTTACTCCCCACGTCCCTCTGAAATGCTTCATACAGTTTGTCAAAGTCAGGAACTTCCATATTTATTCTGGGCTTGAACTTGGGTTCCTCCTGCAAAAATCCCAGCCTTTCATCTTTGGCCTTCAAGGAACTTGCGGCCAGGGACTTCTTGTAGGGCTCAGTATTGATAGGTGCAGCGGCACTTTTCATCAAATCTGCCGCTCTCATCTGTATCCTTATCTTTCTCAAGAGCTCCTCTTCTTTAAGAGAGGTAGAAAAACAAGATTGTTAACCCAGAAAATCTCGCAAGTAACATGGAGGCTAAGTGGCTTGGAGAACTAATATACAGCAACAGGTTCCCAAGGGGAGCACATGCTCAAAGCTGCATGTGCCAGGCATTAGAGCTGCCACTACGAGGAATAATAATAATAGTAAAGGGAATTGACTGTATATTTTGTGGACAAAGGTCGCCACCACAGCAGTGTCCCACAAGTGTGGATTGAGTGACCACATTATTATTATTGTTATATATTTTTTAGAAGGAATTATTACTCTTGGAAATCGATCTGCCAATCGACTAACGACCGGGTTTTACTTACTGCTAGGTGAACAGAGGCATGTGGAGTAAGAAAACCTTCCTAAGGTTTCTTCCCACTCAGGAATCAAACACAGGTCCTCTCGCTTGCGAAGGGAGCATGCTAACAATACATGGAGTCACTAAGTGAAAGCCAAATGTCTCCCAACAAGTGAGAAGCAGAAATAGAAATGTTAAATGCAGAGTCAGCTATGGACTTGTGTTGGTGTTTCTAGTGGTTATGGTATCAGATCAGTGGGTCACAGGATTTCTGGAGAAATTCAGAAGAAAAAAAGAGTTTCTTCCGTTTTATACGTCAAAATATCTGAAAGCACTTCACAGTAATTATGATAATAATAATCCTTGCATTGGATATAACACCGGTCATGTCTTCAAGGCATCTCAAAGCATTTCACAGAACATACTTTAAAGTGAATGGATTGCGTACTTTGTGGGTGAAATTCAAGTGTAGTGACGGTTTTTCATAACGGGCTGAAATACAGTGTACTTTCACTGCTTAGTTCATTGTTCAGCTCACCTTTCAGCTTCTCACTGACTGTTGCGTCCTGAACAGACTTTGGAATTTTCTTTTTCAATTTCTTCTTCTCCGCATCCAGCTCTGCTATGTTGGCCTGTTGGCTCAGTTCCTCCTTCCTCTTGTCCTGCCGGTCAGTAAAACTGAACGGTTTCTGCATGGCCTTCAGGAGCTCTTTCCGTGTCTCGATCTCCTTCCTTCTCCTTTTCTTATTGTACTCATTCATTTCGTTGAAGAGCGACAGGTAAACGTGAGCAGGAATGGGGTGCGCATGGAATTTTCTTTGGAATTCTACATCTTCTTTCTTCTGCCTTTCTATTAGCTCCCTCTGCAACTCCAGTAATACCTTGGACTTGAGCAGATTGTTTTTTTTATGATCTTCCCGAATGGTCATGTGGAATGGCTTGGGGTCTGAATATATAAACAACAACAATAAAAATTACATTTGTATAGCGCCTTACATGTCGGGAGGATATCCCAAGGAAAGTTAAATTGGTTCGTACTTTAGATTACATTGATTAGTTAGAGCACTCTTCTCACAAGCAAGGAGACAAACCCGGGTTTGATTCCCGGATGGACAAAACCTTGGGCAAGCTTCCTTACACCACACCCTTCCGTTTGCCAAGCAGTAAGTAGGAACCCGGTTGTTAGTTGATTGGCGGATTGCTTTCCGGACTTAATAATAAATCCCTTAAAAAAATTGGTCCCTCATATGTGTATGTTATGTGACTGTGGGTTATCTAATGGATATAGATTGTGGCAAGATAATGCAACAACAGCTATTTGAAACAGGTAAGGATATTGAAATGACCATGTAGAACCGAAAGTATGCAAGAAATCTGCAGGGGATATTTCATCATGATGCCCTTAGAAGAAAATAACCAACGGTTGTGTGGAAAACATGGTTTATTCAGTAACAGAATCACAAAGAGCTTGAATTCTCCTCTTAACTATTGATGCAATAACAAAGTAAAGTTAATGAGCACCGATGTGAACAGTGAACTTTGATTCAAAACAGCTGTAAATCTGCAGTGGGAACCAGATTGAAGCTGTCTTGTAAAAGGCACTTTGCCCTTGTACTGCTGAATAAGCAGGAAATTCTTACCTAGTCAACACAACAATGGATCATTCTTTTAAGGGTTAATAATAATAACCCTTGCATTTGATATAGCACCTTATCACGTCTTCGAGATGTCTCAAAGCGCTTCACAGAATATACTGTAAAGTGAATTGACTGCATATTTTGTGGGTGAAATGTGGCAGCCAATTGCGCACAACAGTGTCCCACAAACAGTCGTGGATTGAGTAACCAAATTATTATCATTTTTTTTGAAGGGATTATTACCCCTGGAAAAGCGATCCACAAATTGACTAACAATCATGTTCCTACTTTCTGCTAGGTAAACAGAGGCAAGTGGAGTAAGGAAACTTGCCGAAAGTTTCGCCCTGTCTGGGAAGCGAACCCAGGTCCTCTCACTTGCGAGGCGAGTGCTCTAACCTAGGGGATAATTAATGATAAAAGACCATAGGTCCAGCAACATTACCTTACACAATGTGGTGATCCACCATCTATTAATTAAAAAGTTCTTAATTCCAGTGTAGAAATTAATGGTTTCCATAAGGATTCAAGCAAGTATGGAATGACCTTGCTTCTTCTACAGCTCACACAAAGCCTACCCCACTTTGTGATTCACATACTCAATCTTTCTCCTGGGGAACATTTAGTACCGCTACTCTCATTAAAATAGATTGGTTTACAGTTCTTGGAATATTGCAGTGAAGTGCTGAAGCCCGGTGGCACATGAAAGACTGTGACAGCGAGTTCCCAGATATGCGATCATTAACTAACGGAGACAGGTAACTTTACCTATATCAAAGCTATTTTACATAGTCAGTCAATTGGACCTGTGGAGTGAGACCGTATAATTCTTTTTGCTTTCCCTGAATATAAACTGGCAAAAAAAAAGGTAGTACAATGCTAGGCAATTCTTGGTTAGGGAATGCTGGGCAGATAGTTATTCACTTCATTTTTGTAACTTCCATCAGATTTTGCTTGAAGATGTGAAATGTTTTTGTGTGGTTTGGAGGGTCTGGAGCAGGGGAGATAATAGATGTATAGATGGATCTTACCTGTAATTTGCGACATCCAGTCTGATGTAGAACTCTTATGTGGCTTCTTCAGTAGTGTGCAGATCTTTGCCACCATTGTCTGAGATTCGATCAAACCTTTGAGCTCATTCACAGGGTAGGGTTTTCTCACTTTTGCCCATCTGAGAAAGAAGAAAAATAGCCGAGGGTCAGATAAATAATGCACAAATTTGATGTTTAAATCGGGTCTAGCTAATTCAGAGAGGGTGAGATTTGGAAAAAAATTAAATGAGTTTTTAATTTCAACACTCTGGATCGATGCAGGGAGGAGAAAGAGCATATATTTGTATCAGAAAAGCAATGTTCACAGGAGAATTAAACACGGAGAGAAATGGTAGAGCTCATGGCTTGATACCTTTACTCCTTTGTCCTGTGTTTGGGAGCTAGTAATCTATTTGAGAAGTATGTTTTAGGAAGCACTTTGACACTGTGGGTGGTAGGAGTCCATGAATGGTACTAAATTATCAGGAATAGAAGGGGCAGTTTTCTATATCTGGAAGGATTTATGAATAACAACAACAGCCTCACCCTGATGTAATAAGCTTGGAGATTCTATTATCAGCAAGAATTCTTCTCCCACTCACTGAGAAGAACCTGTCCTGCTCTTCGCTCACCCTCGACTTTCTCATATTGCCCTGATTTTTCAGGTTAGATAAACTCTTGTGCTGATCGTACAGCGTTCCTAGCTCCAGTAGCCTCTGCCTAAACACATTGCTGAGGGTCAGAAGCTGATCACAGTTCTGATCATCAGCGTTCGCTGTTTGCTCTTGTCTCAGAAACTCCAGGAATTTTTCAGTGTTGCTCCCATTAAGCTCAGCTGTAGGTTCGTTGCTGTAGTTAGAGGCATTCTCAAACAGATCCTGAAACACCATATAACAATAACCACTGCTTAGAAGACATTAGAGTCAGTATGAGGAAACATAAGCACATTAGTTACTTTGGAAAACCCCAAATGAAGTCCATTTAATATTATATATTAAATGGACTTCAGAATATATACATATAGGATATATATTAAAATGAGAAATGTAATACTGGTTTCAGTAAACCCTGGGGAGTAGTCTTGTTCAGACAATGACAATCACTGTCTACAACAACAACAAGATTCCATTTATAGAGCGCCTTTCACATCGGGAGGACGTCCCAAGACTCTGTACAGTTGGGTCAGGACCCGAGCATTGGGGGGAAATGGTCAGTGTGAGAGGAGGGAAGGGAGGGAACGAGGAGGGGGTAGAGAGTCGAGAGGGGAGCTGAAGGCACGGACGGTCAAAGAGAAAGGTCTTGAGACCGGCCTTGAAGGAGGAAAGGGAAGAAACAGCGAAGGCACTGGGGATGGAGTTCACGAGCTGCAGAGTTCTAAACTGAAGCCTAAAGAACTGGCACCTTACAGGGCAACTGGCACCAAGGAATTGTGCTACAACCTCAACGTGCACACCGGATACTGAATGTGGTCTCTCGCTATATACCGATACTGTGAGGCAGCAAATGGACAAGGCAAACAGGAATCTGGGCCACATCGCCAAGTCAAGTGACTTCAGACCACCAGACGACACGGATCGCGCTGCACATTCGCTCTGGTCGGGGATGTATCCGGGTGGGGGGGGTGGGGGGGTGGGGACTGGACTGCATTGCAAACAACTTTGGATGAAAAAAAGAAAGAGACCGAAAAGAGCGAAAGAGAGGTCAGAAAGGAGAGAGGGGGAAAAAAATAGAAGCTTTGCAGCTCTGATCATCTGCACATGTGTGTCCTGTGCGGTGGGGGGGGGGGAAGGGGCGGGGCCTGGGCCGGTTGCCATGGCAACCGCCGCTCCACACAGGCCCCGGGCGTTATATTTCTTTTTTTTTAAACAAAAACGAACAGAAACGAGAGGGGGGGAATGGAGGAGGAGGAGAGGACGAAGGGGGAGTAAAGTATTCGGGTGACTTTGAGGCTGTTTTGTCTTTTAAGAGAGAGATGTAAACACAAACTGCGAGGCCGCGCCCCGGGGCCGCTGACCTCCCACAGGCCGCCGCCCGCCGCCTCCCACTCCGGCTCCACAGGCTGCCTGACGCAAGAGTTGGTGAAGACGGACGAACTGTGAGAAAAGAGCATATTTTTTTTTCTCTTCCCCCCCCTCCCGGTCCGGAATATGACAGATAAATTATTTATATATTATTTAATTGGGGTCTCCGTTCGCCGCCTCGAACCGAGAGAGGAAACCGCGCCACTTCCTTTCCGTCCCTCCCTCCTCCCGCCCTCCCGCTTCTTGCCGATTGGCGCGTTAGCGGCCGCCGATTGGCCCAAAGGAGCCGTCAATCAAAGCGCCGACTCACCCCCCGACTGTCGATTGGTTCTCCGCGCTGTCGATCACACGCAGCTCCCGCCTTCCAACACGTGATGAGTCCCGCGGACGTGATGAGTCAGGCGCACCGACGTCCAGCAGCTCCCGCCCCCATTAGCTCGCGTAACTGTCAATCACACCGACATCCCACCCATTCAGCCTGCCTGTCACCCATTGGTTCACTAGTCTGTCCGTCACAGACAAGTCCCCACCCACCAGCCACCTACTGGTTCCCTTCACTGTCACTCACCCATTCACAGCGACCAGGTTGCTACCACAACAACAACAGCATTGCATTTGTATAGAGCCTTTCACGTCAGGAGGACGTCCCAAGGCGATGGACAGACAGAGTTTTGGACCCGACCTGAGGGTCCCGGTGGGGGAGGAGGGAGGGCAGGGGTGGAAGCAGGGAGATCGAAAGCACGGTCCAAGAGGAGGGTCTTGAAGGTGACGAGGGAGGGTAATAAATAAACTTGTATTTATATCACGCCCTTCAAGCGGGATAGCTTCCCAGAGGGCTTGACAGTGGCAGAGTCTGGGGGAGAGGGAACGGTACCACTGAGCCTAACGACCACTGAGCTGACACACAAATCCTACTCACTTGTTGGAATTATTGGAGTTGATTTATAATATCCACATCTTTGCATTTTATATATATATATAGCACCTTATTGCAGCATCATTATTATTACACACAAGTCGCTGCATTTTACAGTAAAAATCTTTTACTTCATCATAATAATAATAAAATGCAGGATCCTTGCACTTGACATAACGCCTTACCACGTCGTTGAGACGTCGCAAAGCACCACATCGCTTGCCATTGATATCGCTGTCTGGCAAGCTTTCCCGCTGCTTGTCCAACTAGGACCACGTTAGGACTTTATGACTTGGCAAGAGTTAACAGGAGCCGAGTGGGATGATGACTCCCTGCCCCCAGTGACTGGTCTACCCTCCCAGGTCCTGCCGGTGAGCCGGGCCGGGCCGTCATCAGCCGTGCCCCGTGATCCAGGACTGTTTGTGGGACGCCGCTGCGTCCAATTGGCTGCCGTGTTTCGCCCACAAAAAAATACAGTCACTACACTTTACAGTATATTCTACGAAGCGCTTTGAGACGTCTCCGGAAGACGTGATAAGGCGCTGTATCAAAGGCAAGGATTATTATTATTATTATTATTGTTATTATAATCCATCAAACACGAGCTGCTGCAGGGATGACTGGTCAAGCTGCCCAGGTCAGGTCACTGAACCGGAAGTTCATGCGCGCAGGCTGCGCACCGATTGGCTGAGAGTGCGAGGGTGAGACCGGAAGCAGTAGCCGCACTTCCGCCCCGCACTGTGGCAGGGAAGGTCACCGGCTCCCATGGCTCCCGGGCTGCCGCTGTGAGAGGCCGCGTCATGGGGCTGTGGAGAGCAGCGAGGCTGGGGATGGGCCTCCGGGCCTTGGGCACCTGCCGCCGGAGCTGCTCCGCCGCCGGCTCTGCCCCGGAGCTTTACGACGTGATCATTTCAGGAGGAGGGATGGTGGGCACCGCCATGGCCTGCGCTCTGGGTGAGAGACACACACACACATAAACACAGGCCAGACCTCAGAGAGACACACACATAAACACAGGCCAGACCTCAGAGAGAGAGACACACACACATAAACACAGGCCAGGCACAGAGACACACACATAAACACAGGCCAGGCCTCAGAGACACACACATAAACACAGGCCAGGCACAGAGAGAGAGACACACACACAAACACAGGCCAGGCACAGAGACACACACATAAACATAGGCCAGGCACAGAGAGAGAGACACACACATAAACACAGGCCAGGCACAGAGAGACACACACATAAACACAGGCCAGGCACAGAGAGAGAGAGACACACACATAAACACAGGCCAGGCACAGAGAGACAGAGAGACACACACATAAACACAGGCCAGGCACAGAGAGACAGAGAGACACACACATAAACACAGGCCAGGCACAGAGAGAGAGACACACACATAAACACAGGCCAGGCACAGAGAGACAGAGAGACACACACATAAACACAGGCCAGACCTCAGAGAGAGAGACACACACACATAAACACAGGCCAGGCACAGAGAGAGAGAGACACACATAAACACAGGCCAGGCACAGAGAGAGAGAGGCACACACACACACAAACACAGGCCAGGCACAGAGACACACACATAAACACAGGCCAGGCACAGAGAGAGAGAGACACACACAAACACAGGCCAGGCACAGAGACACACACATAAACACAGGCCAGGCACAGAGACACACACACACACATAAACACAGGCCAGGCACAAAGAGAGAGACACACACACACACAGAGAGAGAGAGAGAGAGAGAGAGAGACATAAACACAGGCCAGGCACAGAGAGAGAGACATAAACACAGGCCAGGTACAGAGAGAGAGACATAAACACAGGCCAGGCACAGAGAGAGAGAGACATAAACACAGGCACCCTGAGTAAGGATGACCCCATTTTGTAAACCAAATCAGGGGACACATAAATAATAATAATTTGGTCACACAATCCACGACTGTTGTGGGACGCCGCTGTGCGCAATCGGCTGACGCGCTTTGGCCACAAAATATAGTCAATTCACTTTACAGTATATTCTGTGAAGCGCTTTGAGACATCTCGAAGCATGAAAAAATGCAAAGTTTATTATCATTATTTAAATTTTTAAGCAGAGAAGAGATTGTTTGCATGACACGTGCTGTCTTGTTTCCTTGCAGCGCAAGACCACAATTTAGCTGGAAAAAGGATCTTACTGCTGGAGACTGGAAATAAGAAAACTGTCACACAACTGCCCAAAACATACAGCAACAGAGTGAGTGCGCTCACTCCAGGCTCTCTGCTCCTCTTGAACAGTATGTTTGTAGATGGTCTTTAATACATGTTTCTCTTCTACTCAATGTTCTCGTACATAGTGGTGTAAAATAATTGTGTCTCGTGATCTGAAATGTCACTAAACTTCCCTTACGTCGCATTTGATACAGTGCAATATCACATCGTCGAGACGTCTCACAGCCTGACTGACTTTGCCTTTTTGATCATGTACATTTACTTTCTATGCATTTTGTTCACCTGCCCAACTGGGGCATTCATTCATTTGCAAAACAATAGTTGTTACGTTTTTAAAAAATTTAAAAACCGCTTGCACTTGCATCGTGCCTTTCACCATAGGATGAACAAAGTGCTTTGTTGCAGCAGTGTGGATCACTGAAGGGGGCAGGGAATTAACTTGAGCTCATAGTTTATCTAGGCTGTGTTGTCGTGTGTGACTATTTAGGTGGACTTCAAACATCCCGTGGCACTCTTGCAAAAGAGAAGGGAGTTTCTCCCTGCGTCCTGGCCAACAATCCTTCAAATAAAATTGGTCCTTTGCTTCATGGCTATTTTTAGGACATTGCTGTGTGCAAATGGGTTGCAACATTTACCTATAAATATACAGTTAATGTAGTAGTTTACAGTAAACCTGTGAAACGATTTGAGACGTTTTGAAATGCAAATCTCATTACTAGGAAGTGATGTTTTCTTGGCATCCTGATCACCCAGATTATACAGCTTGCTTGGCCCAACCAGTCTACGTCCATGTTTATACTCCACACCAGTCTTCATCCATCCCTCATTCCCTCTTTCTATTCCCAGATCGGCTTTGACATGAACGTTGGCCAGTTTTTAGCACACGGAAGCCATCCATAAGTCCTCAGCTTTGTAAACGAATCCAGCATTATAATGGGCTTTTACCGTCACTCCCTGTTACTGTTACGGAGTGGCCTTTGTGAAGCTTTGATTGCTTAAGAAGAAATATCACAAACTCATCCCCACTCAGAATGTAACAAGAATGAAGAATGTAACAAGCACAACTTGCATTTATATAGTGCTCTTCACACAGGGTATTGTCTCAGAGATCTTAATGGTGGAGGAGCACAACTGAGGGGTAGAGGAGTGAGCTGGAGAATTGCTTTCTCTCCCTTTGCCGATGATTGTTTCAGCCTGATGTTTCTTCCACTTCCCTTTCCTTTAGGTGTTGGCGCCTGGGATCATATCAGCAGCATGAGATATAAGCCATTTAAAAGAATGCAGGTAATTTGTTATAGTATTGATATGTCTTTCAATTTATAATGTTTCTCCTTCAATACAATTTGTTCTTAATGCTGATTTTTTTGTCACTGCCTTCCTTATTGATACCCAGTTAGTCTCCAGCATTTACCCCAAATCACACTGCGGTCTCTGAGCCTTGGCTCCTGCTAACCTGTGCCTAAGACTCTCCGGTATTAGTTAAGCAGGATGTGTCCGTCCAGGGAAAGAGAGCGCATTCCATTCCAAAAATCTCTTGTGATTTCCATGTGGAGGTGGGATGTGTGGAAATCTCAGTTTGGTTTGGATACTCTTTAAGCCGGTAATGGATTTCCGCGCGTCTCAGGCAGCCACTCGACTGATCGAAAAAAATACCCGGATAAATGGGGATTATCTAAATCGAACGCTTGGTTTCATTTATATCACATGTGATGTAACACCAGGTCTCTGAACCTGTCTGTTCCCCCGCCAGGTCTGGGATGATTGCTCAGATGCCCTGATCACGTTTGACAAGGGCGACCTAATGGAGGACATGGGTTTTGTGGTGGAGAATGATGTGGTTCTGTCAGCTTTATCCAAACAATTGGAGGCGGCTGCTGGTAGGTCTTGGCTTCTTCTTTGATATAGCGGCTTATCACATCTTCTAGGCTGACTGTACAGTCAATACAGAATTGGATTGAAGTGACCGTATTATTATTATTTATTTATTAAGGATTTATTACCCCCAGAAAAGTGATCCGTCAATCGATTAACAACCGGGTTCCTACTTACTGCTAGACAAACAGAGGCGTGTTGAGTAAGGAAACTTGCCTAAGATTTCGCCCCCACCTGGGGGTCGAACCCAGATCCTCTCGCTTGCGAGGCATTTGTGCCGATCACTATGCTACAGGACTCCACTAGGGGGAAAGTAAAGGGGGAGGCGAAAGTTTATTTTTAATAGACTGTTACTTTGGGACAAGGTAACTTGTTGGTGTTGCTCTCAGACAGGGTGGAGGTATTGTACAGGAGTCGTGTGGTGAAGTATACCTGGCCAGAGGCTTACCAGTCTCCTGAGGCCAATCCCTGGGTACAAGTGGCGCTGGATGATGGGAAGACACTGCAGACTAAGCTGCTGGTGAGTGTCCACAAGACTCTTGAAATGTAGCAGCTGTAGCAAAAAAAATTGTCTCACAATTTAAAGGGCCTAAAATCTCCTTTCGAAATAGATCGGGGCGGATGGGCAGAAGTCTACCGTGCGAGAGTCTGCCGGCATTCAGACAGTGCGGTGGCAGTACGACCAGTCTGCTGTGGTCGCTACCCTTCATCTCGCTGAGGTAGGAGATGGTGTGACTCTCCAGCCTCCTGCTTGTCCCAAGTGCCCTCCGTTCTACCATCGTTGGCTGCACTTTCAGCCACTGCGCTCTGGATCACTCTCCCTCAGCTCCTCCACTTACCCCCTCTTTCCTCATCTTCAGGTCGTGCCTGAAGACCTTCCTCTTCGACCGCGCCTACATTCACCGCCTCCCCCCACCCCCCCACCCGGCTCGGGGTCGTGCTCAACCACTGCCAAGCGCTCTGGGACACTACCCTGCATGAGGGGCGCTGTGTAAATGCAGGTTATTCTTGTTTTTGATCACAGGCGTTGAGGCAACAGCAGTGCCCTGATGTGCAGAGTTTCAGCGAAGCCCAGTGCTGATGTGCTGGGGTGAGGTGGGGAAGGGAAAACAAATGGAAGATTGTGAGATTCGCCTCTAATGAATTGCCTTTTGTATCCTTAGCCCACAGACAATAACGTAGCCTGGCAGCGCTTCCTTGTGACTGGACCTATTGCGATGCTTCCGGTCAGTTTATCTTTTTGTTTAGTTTATTCGTGAGTTTATTTTTACTTATGAGCTTACCCATTTCCTCCACCCCCCCCAGCTCGGGGCCAAAGCCCTGACTGTCCAGCACCTTTGGGGCATCCTCCCGATGTGAAAGGCGCTATAACAAATGTAATTTGTTGTTGTTGTTGAGTTTTAGCTATTTAGCTAGTCTTTAAGAGCATGCTTGCCTTTTGTAAGTTAGCAGTAATTTGCCTCTGGCTAGTAAGACTCCAACCAAGGTCTCGTCAGGTGATTTGGGGAGATATTAAGACTCTAGTGACCGACTTTTATTCTGGTTTCTTGGTCAATATTCTTTCCCCATGTAAATTCACATTAGTAAGTGGGAACCCGGTTGTTAGTTGATCGGCGGATCGCTTTTCCAGAAGTAATAATCCCTTCCCCAAAAAAATAATAATTTGATCACTCAATCCACGACTATGTGTGGGACGCTGGTGTGCGCAATTGCCCGCCGTGTTTCGCCCACAAAATATACAGCCAATTCAGTTTACAGTATATCCTGTGAAGCGCTTTGAGACGTCTCGAAGACGTGATAAAGCGATGTATCAAATGCAAGGTTTATATTATAGACCTGCAAATCTATTATTAATCAGACGGTGTTCCTCTTGCCGGCAGCTCTCGGATACCCTCAGCTCCTTGGTGTGGTCCACCTCGCACCAGCACGCCTCCGACCTGGTCAGCATGGACCAGGAGACATTTGTGGATTCCATCAATTCAGCTTTTGTGAGTGGAACCTGCAAGTGGGGAGAAGGGAGTGGGAGGGATTCCTTCCCCCTGTGTTCCTTATGTTACTTCTCCCATCTTGTTAACTAGAAGGAAGGTTAATTTTGATCATGCCTCAAGGCTTCCATTCCACGTGATAGGTTCTGAAGAATTTTACACACGGGACAAGATGCCATTTGCCCCAACTGCTATTTTCACTGCGCTCCATTTCCTCGGTCCAGACCGGAGATTGGTGACCGTGGCTCCGGTCTGTGGCTTCGGGCTCCTACTGTTGAGATCTCATCCGTCCTTCCGATGAGATGTTAACCCGAGGTCCCGCCTGACATTAAAGATTGCATGGCATCATTCGAAAAGAGAAGGGAGTTTCATTCTCTTCCGGTGTCCTGACCCCAAACAAAATCGGTCACTCACTCCACGACTGTTTGTGGGACTCTGCTGTGTACAATTGGCTGCCAGGTTTCCCCTGCAAAACCGCACAGTCACTACACTTTACGGTATGACCTGTGATGTGCTTGAGACGTCTCAACGACGTAATAATAATAATAATAATAATCCTTGCATTATCACGCCTCCGAGAGTCTTCGAGTGCTTCACAGACCATTCTGTGTATTTTGTGGGCAAAAGACGCTACATCAAATACAAGGATTATTATTATTATATGCATGTTATGGAATTGCGATGTGTGGAGGCTTCAAGGTAGAAAAACAAACCCACAGGAACCCTGGCCGACCCTTTGCATCTCCTGTTTCTCCTCGTGTTGCAGTGGAGCAATGAGAATCACTCTGAGTTGGTGGACACTGCCAGTTCCATGTTCCGGAGCGCCCTCTCTTTCCTCAACCCGACCGGGACCTCGGTCAGACAGCTGCCCCCGAGCGTGGCTCACATCGACCCCCAGAGCAGAGCCATGTTCCCGCTCGGGCTGGGCCACGCCACCAAGTATGTCGGGCATCGAGTCGCACTCATTGGGTAAGGATTACTGTTATCATGGGCTGGTGCTGCCAGCCTACATCGCACAACTTCTAGTGAGGGATATTGTGGACTGCATGAAATTAAGGTATTTGATGCAGGTTTTGTTGCACACAACCTCATCGTTTCTTTTACTGTGTATCGTTGGCAAAGCACGTAACCTTACGTAAGCCCTTAATGGTAAGCCCTCCACAGCCTTGCTCCTCCCTACCTCCCTGACCTGCTGACTCCATACGGGCCTGTCTGCTCCCTCCGCTCAGCGGGCTCTGGCCTGCTCCATGTGCCCTGCCCCATGCCCCCCGCCTTCAGCCTCTCTGCCCCTACCCTGTGGAACCCCATTCCACACGACCCTTCGTCTCACCCACTCCCTTGCCTCCTTCAAAGCAAGTCTCAAGAGCCTCCTCTTTGACCGTGCCTTTGGTCACCCTCCTACCCCCACACTCCGTGCCCTCCACCCCTCCTGATAGCAAACCCCAGCTCGGGTAAATCCTTGACTGTCCAGCGCCTTGGGACGTCCTCCTGAACCGAAAGCTGTGTAAATATCATTTGTTGGTAGTGGTGGTAGTGATGACATGCCACAAACTTCATTTTCGCCCTCTTATCCTCTTCTCTTTCTGCAGTGATGCTGCGCACAGAGTTCACCCTCTGGCAGGGCAGGGAGTGAACCTGGGTTTCGGTGACGTAGCCAGTCTCTCGCAGCACCTCAGCGAGGCTGCTTTCAGTGGCAAAGATCTAGGTAGGAGAATCATCACGTGGCTCCGTGCAGCTGAATTAGGGAGAAAGGCCGGGCAAGCGTTGTCTAGTATTTCGAATGTAGCCGCGTGGATGAGGTCCAGGGAGCTGCTGCCTTTCTGAAATAGCATCTCGTTGAGACGCCTCAAAGCGCTTCACGGGATATATTGTAAAATGAATCGACTATATTCTGTGGGCAAAACGCAGCACAGCAAAAGCGCACAGAGGTGTAGTTTAGTGGTTAAAGAGCGCTCGCCTCACAAGCGAGAGGACCTGGGTTTGGTTCCCGGGCAGGCAAAACCATGGGCAAGTTTCCTTACTCCACACGTCTCTGCTTACCTGGCGGTAAGTAGGAACCTGGTTGTTATTCGATTGGCGGGTCGCTTTTCTGGGGGTAATAATCCCTTCAAAATCAATAAAATAATAATAATTTGGTCACTGAATCCACGGTTGTTTGGGGGACGCTGCTGGGTGCAATAGGCTGCCACGTTTCGCCCACAAAATATACAGTCAATTCGAAGCACTGTGAGAAGCCTCGAAGAAGTGATGAGGTGCTACATCAAACGTAAGGATTATTATTATTATATGGAGAGCACAAGTCTTAAAGAGGAAAGTTATATTATAGTTATATTTGTCAGAATTGCTTTTGACAGCCTAGTCTTGCCTTTGCTGTTTAACCCAGGCTCCACAACATACCTCAATGCTTTTGAAACTGAGCGTCAGAGACACAACATACCCATCATGGCTGCCATAGATTGCTGAAGAGGTTGTACTCAACCAAAAGCCCACCGTTGGTGCTGCTCAGGAGTCTCGGCCTACAGGCGACAAATGCTCTCCCACCTATTAAGGTAAATTATATTTGCCATTATGTCAGACCTTTACCCCGAGTGATGCAAATGTATGTTTTTTTTAAAAATGTGGTTACTCAATCCACAACTGTTTGTGAGACGCTGCTGTGTGCAATTGGCTGCCGGGTTTCGCCCACAAAATATACAGTCACTCCACTTGACAATATATTCTTTGAAGCGCTTTGAGACGTCTTGACCACATGGCAATGCGCGATAAATTATTATTTCAAAGAGGATGAAAGCTGAACTGAGTAAATGCAGCGTTGAGCACTTTGAGGTGTCCTTCCCATGTGACAGGAGCAATATGAACGTAAGTTGTATTGCAAAAGTCCTCACCGTGAACTTTTCATTGTTTTACAGGAACAAATTATGACATTTGCAAGTAAGTGAATTGAATCGAACTACTTCGACAGTACATTAGGATTCCACTGCACACGTCACCACCGACCAGATAAGAGTGCCACACAGTCGGTCTGCTCTCACAAAGGTCTGAGTTAGGTAGGGTCTGGCTTTCTATGAAAGATCTGCTCGGTAAACTGTTTGTCAATTTATTTAAGAAAATACAAACAAAAGTAAAGTTTTTAAATGATCTGTAACCTCACTACTGTTTGTTGTGCTGGATATTTGAGTCCATTTAAACGAGTTCTTCAGCAATCGTGAACTCCACACTGAAAGTGCCTCAAGGCTGCAGTTCTGAGATGTGATGTTGAATTCACACTGCATCTGTCTTCCTCTTGTACATGATTACACTCGCTGTTTGCTTCAGCTGTTATGTCCCCTGAATCCTAGCAATGAACTGGTTTAGCCAAAAACAAAACCCTTATTTTTCAGGGCGATTCAGCAAGTTTCAGTGCTGATTCCTTCTAGTTTTTTTAATCTAGAAACTCGTATGAACAAGGAAACTGGTAATTTGTATAAAATTTTGGTAAATGTATTAAAATTGAATTATACAGATGTATATGGACACTTCAATTGTGGATGATTGTAATACGTATTAAAATGGGTCAAAGCACTTCACAGGATTTACTGTATATTTTGTAGACAAATCACAGCACCCAATTTGCACACAGGAATGTCCTGCAACCTGTCGAAGGCGATTCATTCCCTGGGCTGACAAGTGACTAACTTTTGGGGAAATTGCTTATAACACAGCGTGTCACGATTTGTTACTGATCAATTTCAGTCGTTTTAATACTCTCCCCTTTCATAGTTCAGTAGTTTCTCAGTCCATTAAGGTGTTTACAAAGGGAGGCTTAACATTTTGCTGCTCTCCTTGTACTGTTGAGCTTCACCGTATCTCCAGCAGAGGGTGTTTCCCAGCCCTTTAACTGCTTCGCTGGAACCAGCGACCAAGTGGAAACGGGAGGAATAAACTTCCACCCACGAACCTTCCAACGTTGCGTAGATGTCTGGATGGGGATCACGTTGCATCAAGTGATGGCACTCCCGCTCCCAGCATTGTGCTCTACCCGCTTCCTTAAAACATCTGTGAATCTGTACAAATTTTAAAACATCCGTCACTGTCTGGCAAGCTTTCCCGCTGGGACCATCCTACCTGTTAGGCTTGCAGACTTAACGGGAGCTGAGTGGGATGATTCCCTTCCCCCAGTGACTGGTCTGCCCTTCCAAGTCTTGCCGATGAGCCGGGCTGTGCTATCAGCAGTGCCTTGGAGTATTGGGAACGCTCCTGGCTCAGGAACCGGACTGTCGAGACCGCCAGAGGGCTGGCTCGATTCTGACATTCCGTTGCCAGTCCGTTCATCTCCAAGGAGACCCCGCATCACCTTTCTTTCCCACGGAGGAATTTTAAAAAAATACAGAGCGAGAGAGAAAATTGCATAGATTGGGTGTTGACGGTTGTTCGATATTTGAATGCATCAGTTACATCAAAGTTTCCATTTAGTACTAGAATTGGGTCTGAATGATAACAATTCTCTTCTTCCATCACACGAGTTGAATGTAGGTTAAAAAAAGATCGAATAGACGATATATCCTATTTTTATTAACATAAGTAGAATTCACAGGTTATTAAATATAAATCTGTTTAAAAATGTCTCCAAACATATACAATTGAATTTACATTACAGGCATGATACAAGAACATTTGGAACATTGAAGTGTGTGTTTCACTTTCCTGAAATCCTCCAAATATTAAGTGAACGTTTATACAAATGATCATTAATTACAAGTTGTTGTGTGGGTGATGTGCAACATAGAATTAGTTGTTACCCAAGCAGCATGATGTGATCTTTGTTGTACTCTACTCTGGAGTTGGGCACTGTTTTGTAATGACTTCTGAAGAGCCAGACAGTTGTTCCTGAGTAAGCTCTCCACTATATCCCAAGATAAGTTACTGAACAAGACTCTAGGTACTGTTTAGAAAAATTAGCTTCCGTGCAGCTGCTGTGGGATTTGTCTGCCATCAGATCATTTGTGCACTGCCTTTAACAGTGCGCAAACCTTCAAATCAGTCAGGACTATAACATTTAATATGATTTACATGAAGGTTGAATTACAAACAGTAAGCTGTATAAATTTAGATTTAATCAATAATCTACACTGCACTTCTGTAGTTCAATGCAACCGACGTGGTGATGGGCCAAGACTACGTTCAATGCAGACGGCTGGTAAGTGTATTGCGTCGACAGGTTACGACAACATTGCCCGTGATTCAATGCAGCCGGTAAGTGCAGGAGTAATTGGAGGGTAAGGGGAGTGGTACTAGGAGATAATTTGTTTTATAGAAATATGACTAGTGCAAAGAAATCTAAGTGGTTTTGCCAGGAAACTGAATGGGACTTGGGTGTGTGTAAGGTTTGGGTGATTAAATGATTTATAAAGATAAGGCTTCTGTGAGTTTCACTGTATTTCAGCCAAGGATCGATCTTCACTTCAGATGTGAAATGAAAATGAAACTTTTTGGATCTGGTAACAGTCAGCACCAAGTCTGAAACCACATCCAATTTTCGTTTTACATGAAGCTTTCAAAATGTGCATTTTTTAAAAAAAAAAGTTACAAGGTTCAACAATATATATCACACCACCATGGTTTGTTTATCTGCAGTCTGATCTCAAGTCTACAGGCAACTTAGGAGTCCAGAAATACAAGTCGCTGAAGCCTGGGCTATAGTCGGGAGTTTGTGAAGTCATTTAATATCACTACACACCTCCTGGAAGACCACTCACCTATTCCACAGCTTAAGAAAAACTCATATGAGCTGAACAGAAAAATCATGTTGATTGTATAGCAGCTTTGGTAAAAAAAAAACTGAACAACTAAAATCATTTGATGTGCAAATCAGAAAGGAAAAGCAGTGGGAGGATAATGGATCCCTGCTGGTTCAGCATCACAATCACATTGTAGTGCTAATGGCAATGATCAGAACATTCAGGCTACCAACACGCTGCTTTGTGTTGAGGCGGTGACCATCTCGAATATACTCGGATATAAACTGTCAAAGTCTAAGGCGCGTGGATCAGAATTTTAGTTTAGCTGAGTAATTCCAGGAATAAGATTATTCCCTGATGGATCTAATTGATCCTGAGGATTTTCCTGATGAGCTAGGAAGTGGAAGCAGCCAGATTCATCCAGTCAATCTTTGGCATTGATATGGATAAATCAATATGACAACTCTGGGTTCCTTTGGACATGCCAATGTCCAAAATAATATTACACTTATAGAGTACCAGTTTTTGCATGTGTGCATAAGTGTGGTTCCACCATTGAGGAATCCATGCATAGAATGGTTTCATTTCTGGAATACAATGCCAATTGTCATCAATCCAGGTTGTGTCAATATTTGAGCTGGACTGGACTAAATCATGGTGGTGGACATCCAAATCAGAGTGTTTCACCAGCAGGGGCTCCAGGGAGCAGGGATGTGTGGTGCAGTCATGGTGTGGTTTATTTTCCACAGGTGTCCAAAACATGAATTGCTGCCAAATCGAAAAATGTGGGCAATTATTTGAGTGATATTCCTCACTGTGCAACTCAGGACTATAGAGGTCATTTTAAGTCAGAAATGCAGTCTATTATGTCTCAAAAGATAACGCTATTAGTGACAAGATAAAGAGCAGTTAGTTCAGAAGTCCAGCAGAAGTTTCCTTAATTAGAGCCATTGATAGTATTAGTGGATTGTTTTCCCCCAATTTCTCCATCCCACTGCTTGAAAGGGTGGTGAAAGCAGAGTCCATAACAACTTTCCAAAGGGAATTGGATAGATACTTGAAACGGAAAAATTACAAGGCTATGGGGAAAGAGCGGGGGAGTGGCACTAGTTGATAGCTCTTTCAAAGACCGGCACACGCGTGATGGGCTGAATGGCCTTCTTCTATGCTGTAATATTCTATGATTCAAGATGGAAGATTGCTACTGGACAAATTATTGCATTTAATGGTTCTCTAATGTCCTCGAGTACAATCAACCTGTTTGCACTGGAGCTGGGAACTCTCAGCAGGTAGAGTTGCACTAATCCATCTTTCATTGTGTCACAATCAAGAGTGTTGTTACCCTTTAAAGTAATTGGCTTTTAGTTCAGGTTTCATTCTGGAGCAGTCCTCAGTGACTGGATGAGGTGGAATGCTGCTCCTAATGTCCAACTGGTTTCTATATTATTGACTTTCTTCTTTAGCTGTGAAACAAATGAGAACTGTGAGGATTGAGAAATACTGCCACAAAATGTAAATCCTAGCATGTGTTAATGCTTTCACTTAGAAAACACTTTTTAACCACCCTGTATAAAATCAAAGCTGAGCTAATTGATAGATAGAAATAATGTATTCTAAGTGGAATTCATTACTTCACCGCTGTCAAGCGCTCCCAGACACTGCCCGCGTGAGGGGTGCTCTATAAATGCAAGTTGCTGCTGTTGCCTTCTAGTATTAAGTGTGCCCTCCGAAAGGGCTAGGTTCTATATTTAGCAAGATATTGGCAATTTTTCTCTCCTGATAATTCAAGATCTCCCAAGCACAATGTGAGCCTTTTACAATTCCAATTATTAGGACCAAGGCACCATGTCCTGCTCTAATCTTGGGTGTATCAGACACGTCAATGTGGGTCGGGATTCTTCAAACTCAGCACTTGTTAATCCTGCAAGCCCAAACCAGAGCTGCTCGGATGCCCCAGGCTGGACAAGCAGTGTGAACACCACCAACAACTTACACTTGTAAAGCGCTTTCCACGTCGGGACAGGTGGAGGGCAGGGAGTGTGGGGGTAGAAGGGTGACTGAAGGCGCGGTCAAAGAGGAAGGTCTTGAGACTGGCCTTGAAGGAGGTATGAGGCGAAGGAACTAGGAAATGGGACGCTGATGACTGACCAATGGTGATCTACAGTTATTTGCAAGTTTATGTAGTTCCCTGCAACTTCTGGCACAAAAGCCAGAGCGATCATACCCTTACCTGTAACTCGGTGTGGTCGTAGAAGCCAAATCCCTCCTTGAGTAATGCAGTGATGTAGGTTAGATCCATGCATAGAAAGGGACTCCCTGTGTTTGTCTCCGTCAAGGCTTCGCACACTGAAGAGTTCATTATTAGGAGAGAGAGAGAAAAAAAGTTGAATTTTGTTTTCCTCAGATTAAAATGATTAAAAACAAATTACATTTGTATAGCGCCCTTCACGTCAGGAGGACGTTCCAAAGTGCTGGGACCTGTGTGCAGAAATTAGAATTATAGTTCCACTTTGTAAAGTATTTGAATGCAAAAAATCTAAACACTGCAGGTGCTGTTGGAAACTAAATTCTTTAAAATGACTTGCATACTAGAATATAACAAAACATATCTGTGTCCAGGTTGTATGGTTTTGCTGCAGGTTTCAAATCCAGAAGAGAAGCTTGGACTTCACATAGATAGTTCTCCTGTTGTGAGAGCACAAAGTGGCAGTATTGAGCCTTGCAGCGACGGCACTGTCACTAGTTTACAGGATTATTATGAAGTTTTATTGCTTCATTTGCCATTTTTAGACTCTGGGGCTATTACAGCCAAGTTTAATTATATTTGTGCTGAATTGGCTAACAACTTTGTTCCTCTATTTACTGCTCAGTAAACAGAGGCCGTGTGGATAAGGAAATTTGCTTAAGGTTATGCCCTGCCCGGGAATCGAATCCGAGTCCTCTCGCTCGCGAGGGGTGTACTCTAACCACTACGCTACAGGTCTCCAGATGACTCTCTTGATAGAGGACAGAGTTAAGCACAGGAAAAGGCCCAGTTTGCTTGCTGGTGAAGTTTTATCAGAGTTTTGGTGGGAGAGAGGTAGAACATTATACATAACTCATGAAGCATTAGGTTAAAAAAATACCTTTGTTGGCTTTCATTTCAAAATCTTTCACGAGTATAATGCCACCTTGATCACCGTCTAAAAGAGCAAAAGAGATTGAAACCTCTGGCTTTATTTAACACAACAACATCGAGACTAAAGGCAGGAAATAAAAATCCAAGTGTCTTAAATTGTACTCGCCAATCATTCCTGTGTCGACCGCTCGATCGTAGTAATAGGAAAAGGCGTAGAAAGTCCTGCTTCTGATTTCAGCAGGTTGATCAAGCTTTTCTCTGATCACCTTAAGTACTTCAGCATAGCAGGACTGGAACCCAGTAACTTCTGCGATCGCAAAGCACATTGATATAATTTTCACCCACAAAATATACAGTCGATTCACTTTACAGTATAATCTGTGAAGCGTTTTGAGACGTCAACAACATGATAAGGCACTATATCAAAAGCAAGGATTATAATTATTATTTATTATAATGCATTTGTCAAGAGGATAGAGTTCATTTTATTGCTGCATTCTCTTTCCCCCACCGCTCATGATTCACACTGGCCTCTGTTCCGTGGCTGAGAGCCCAACAGACACTGTATATAAATAGAGCCACACTAATGAGAATTAGCAGATAGTAATCTGAGCTCCTCCAATAGTTCATTGAGTAAATGCACTAGCTTGTCTAGTACTAGGTTCTACAGACCAGAAAGGGGGCAGCTTTGATTAGTGTAATATACTCTTAACCAAGTGGAAAATTCCATCTTTTCAAATTGTGCTATGGGATCTTTAACTGCAATATAAAGAAAACGCAAACACAATCTTGGTTCAATGTCTCATCTGATGAATGGCACTTATGGATTTGCAGCCCTCCCTCAGTACCACACTGCAGTGTCAGCCTAGACTTTGAGCTCCTGTATTTAATATGTTCTGACCCCGAGGCAAACATGCTGCAGACTGAGTCAAGCTGACGTAGACATATATGATCAGCGTTCCTGTGTGACATAGTCCTGGTTACCTAAAAGGAGTTGCCCTTTGTGACTCAGGGTCTCTATGAAGAAATCCAGTTAATGAATAGCCACAATTGGTTATTATTGCCACACAGATCTTGCTCAGTCAGTGAGCTTCATTTGAACTATTTGCCATGAAACACATTTTCACAATGTGGACAATGCTGGCAACCAAGCAGAATACTAATGTTTCCCTACCTTCTGCCATTCCGCCATACTTATAGTTGATACCACCAAATTTCCATTCAGCCTTCAAAGATGGTGGTAAACATGAGCTCCTGTACATCCTGCTTTCATCTGCTGGAACCAAAGAGGGCAAAATACATAGGATGCAACAAAAGACGTAAACTCATCAATAACTAAATCTTAGATTTATATTACAGACCAGACTTTTAACCCAAATATGCAGTCGGAGATCAAATTATTTTGTTCTATGATCACATTTAAAAAACAAAAAGTGATTGTAGTTTTCACAGGCTCAGGGAAAACAATCTTAAGGCAAGTCAGCGATACCAGCTATTGCCCAGAGCCATGTTCACATGTGGCACAGTTGCAAGGCTCTGGGGAATTCATTACAAGAGGTGTCTTTTGTCAACATCTTCAGATCTCTCATTTGCCTGCTCTTTTGAGCACCAGTTGAACAAGTTTCCTTACTTCACACGCCTGTCTACCTAGCAGAAAGTAGGAACCCGGTTGTTAGTCGATTGGCAGATTGCTTTTCAGGGGGTAATAAATTCTTAAAATTATTTTTTTTTAAAAAGTGTGGTCACTCAATCCAGGACTGGTTGTGGGTCACTGCTGTGTGCAATTGGCTGCCGTGTTTCGCCCACAAAATATACAGTTAATTCACTTACCAGTATATTCTGTGAAGATGTGATATAGTAATAATAATACTTGCTTTGATATTGCAAGGATTATTATAATTATTTGTCAACGATTCAAAACCAAGTTTCGCTGTCTCAGTTTTCAGTGGCATTTGTACAGCATGCACTGTAGTGGCTGAGTTGAAAACACCTACACTGGCGATGCCAACACTGCCAACACCATCAACAGTAAAATCCGAGTATAAATAGAGTATTAAAGTTTTCTAAACTCAGCGATTTAAAATCAGTACAAACTACTGGCTTCTTCCTGAAGCCTTTTCAATAGTGGGACACAACTTGCCCACTTTATCTGGATTCTGAACTGATTGAGCAGTAAATATCAGAAAGAATGATGTAGGTGAGACTAGTGGAGCTGAAAGCTGGAGCAGCTTGAACTACAACTCAAGACAAAACCTAAGCTGTACACAAAAACATGATCACTTTACCTTTCCCTCCCAAGGCTCCAAGTATAGCCAGCCGTGCAGCTTTCAGTCCGAAACCTAGGTAACTAAAACAAGTTGTTTCACTGATTAGCTTGGATAGAGTTAGATCCACAATATCCCATTGATAAAGTTTATAACCCTGGATAGAATTGTAATTGGTATAATTGCAATTGGCTGCCACAAGAATCAAATGCAAGGATTATTCTACTTGTAATAAAAACAAAAAAGTGAGACACACAAAATCCTTTGGATAATTCCTGAAATAACAATTGAAACCACAGGATCAAGTTGTACCATCGAAAGATTTATCTGTACTCAGACTGTAAGGCTCCCATTCAAGATCACATTAATAATAATATTTGCATTTGTTATAGCGTCTTTCACACCGGGAAAGTGCTTCACCGGATTTTCAGTAAAGTTTAATGACTATATTCCGTATGCAAACACAGCAGCCAATTTTACTGCATGGCAAGGTCCCACAAAAAGGTATCGAGCGAATGACCAGTTTTATTTTGGGTATTGTTAGCCAGGGCACGGAGTTCAAGAAACTCCACTTGAACAGGTAGTCAGGCTCTTAGTTTAACATTTCATCCAAAGAAGGCTCTTCCAACAATACAGCGCACCCCAGCACTGATCTGGAGTGTCAGCCTAGATTATATGAGTTCAAGGATTGCTACCAATTTGGGGTTAAGAAGAGGTGAAATTTATTACTTTGGCAACATTTCACTTCGATCAAAGTCTGTATGTGCTGCTGAAGGGATTTCTTTCCTATTTAATAGATAGGCCTTTTTCTTCTGGCGTGGGAGTAACTGGCCATTCGATAACATTTGTCAAAGAAGCTTTTATTTACACAATTTCCAAAGAGTAAATGGAACTACATGAACTAAGCTTTGTGACTGGGACAAAAACAGTTACAAGAACAAATTATAGTCCCAGCGTTTGGATATTTAGAAAATGTTGAAGGGGTTGATTTAGGAAACCGTTTATACATCTAGATCTCAAGATACAATGACAAATTACATTTACACAGCACAATTCTTGTCGGGAGGACGTCCCAAGGCACTGGACAGTCAGGGATTTGGACCTGAGCTGGGGGTGGGGATCAGGAGGGTTGGAGGGCAGAGAGGCGAAGGCACAGTCAAAGAGAAGGGTTTTTGACAGTTCATTTACACAGCAATAGCTAGAACAAACTGCAAAGCTTTCTACTATTAATTGGTAAATATCAGTTAGTACCGTAATTGCCACATGGTTATCAGAAGGCGACCATTTGTAAAACGTACCTATGGGTGTACAATTTGTAAGAACGATTGAACATCTCAAAGGGACTGATGTATTTTTCAGATGCAGCTTTAAGTGTACTCTGTAAGACAGTAATAATAATAGCATTTGTTATAGCGCCTTATTACGTCTTCGAGACGCCTCAAAGCGCTTCACAGAATATACTGTCGTTGGTGGGCGAACGATTCAAGAAGCAATGTGCCAACTCAACACCTTCACAATCGAATGGCGAGAGAAGAGAAAGATTGAAATAAAATCAGACTTATTCTCTGCCATTATTTCTTATCCCATTTATTTTCTTACCTCAGCCTGCGGAAGGAATGTGATCTGTGTGGAAGCTCCCCCTAGGTCAAGGATTCCCACAGTGCGCTGATTTTGATCATACAACTGACCTGGAAATCACATTAAAACAAAAAGTCAAATGGATGGTCTCATACTGCTAAAAATCGGTCTTGCAATATACCTCCCCTGAATACAAAGCCCAAAGAACCCACTCCTGTCTGATGGACTTAATAAAGAAATAACGGCCAAATTCATCCGAATCACCCAATTTTGTAAACCTTCTATAGTGCCCTGACACTGCTCAATTTTCCACTTCTTTGTAATAGATCTTTCAGGTTTGCCATGAATAACTACAATTAATAGCAGTAATAATATATTATAATAATAATCCTTGCATTTGATGTAGCGCCTTATCACATCTTCGAGACATCTCAAAGCACTTCACAGAATATACTGTAAAGTGAATTAGAACTGGGAGTGCGAGAGGAGTGAAGTCAATGCGCTATTACTGCTTTTTGGGTCTGACTGAGGACATTGGATGAACAACAAGCAATAGATTATGAACCAATGTCAAACCAGTGGCAAGTCTATTTTACTTGTAATAAGATACTCGACTGCCTGCACATGTAGTGTGACTAAATCACTGAAGTTTTATTAAAAGTTTTCAGTTTTAACTAGCAACACAAACGAGGTATTGATTGGTGTAGCTTCAGGGAACATGACTTTCTGTACAGCAAGCTACCCTAAACACAATCAGGTCGGGGAATAGAAATTGAATGTACTTTTGAGTTTTGTAAGGAATTAAAATATATAGCTAAACATGTATAGCAGCCAAAGCAGGAGTAAAGGGACAGGATAAAGGTGAATGAAGAATCATATGTACACATACAATCACATACCTGTCAAGAAGTTTATTGTGACCCAGGCTAAAATTCCTGCAGACAAAATGCAACCGTGGATTAATGGACTATACAGAGATGTTAAATGAAACCCAAGAGTAAAAGTACCAGTTCAATGTGCTGCCAACTTGAAAGAATTGGAGCAAAGATGGATGACTGTCTTGACTGTTCATTTGTTAGGCATGTGGCCATTGCAATCCTTGATCTCAAACTTCAGTTACACAGCTTTAGCATTGAATTCATGTAAATTGTGCAATACAGCTCTAGCACAAGAGGCTTCTCTCCCACCGTGCTTGACCCATTGTTTAGGTTTTCCTTCAGGCCCCACATTAGCTAGCTTTCATTTAGCTTGTGCTTCCTGGTTCTCCTCTCTATACTCAACCCACCGATTACTCTTACTAAAATAACACTTGGATCATACCTTCCTCCTTCAAACATAAGTTCTTTCCCTTCATTAAGGACAAATTTAAATCCTATGACTTCTTCTGACAACCTGCTGTTCTGAATCTGGAAATACTTTGGCTTTGAAAGGTAGGGAGTGAGTTCAGGAAAGAACAGACATTGAGACAACTGAAGGATTTCTGTGATCCCAGAGATACAGCATCTCAAGGTCACAATAACCACAGTGTACTATTTACTTCCAAGTCTCTGAGAGATAAAAATCTGTCAGCGTCTGTGCCTAAAAGCACACACACACACACACACAGTGCCTTGGTTGCCAGCAACCAGCCCTTTTTTTGTCTGCTTTAGGCAAGCTCTCAGACATCCTTACATGTCAGCAATGCTATTTTCACGTCACTATAACCTATATAAACCTTTCCGCAGAGATGGGAGAGGCTAGTGCAGGACAAAATAATAATAATAATAATAATAATAATCCTTGCATTTGATATAGCGCTTTTCACGTCGGGAGGATGTCCCAAAGCGCTTCACAGAAGACACTGTAAAGTGAATTGACTGCATATTTGTGGGTGAACGCGGCAGCCAATTGCGCACAGCAATGTCCCACAAACAGTCGTGGATTGAAGTGACCAATTTATTATTATTATTTCCCATTTTATACATTCTACTAAGTGTAATTAGAGTCTCTGGATTACTGTCCTCCACGATACTCAGAAGGATTACCTGGCTGTTTGTCCAATACCCTGTGTTATTATCAGACCGATATGCGCCGGCTACAGAATTCAAAGTATCATACAATGCAGAACGAAATGGCTTGTACCATCACCAAGTACTCTCAAACTCATCAAGACCTGAAAGACAGAAGTGATATCAGGACTAACCTTCATATGTCCCATTCATTATACTGACACATTCATCTGGTACTAGGAAAGGGGATTCCTCAAATAGTTCTTGGACCTATATTGAGAAAACAAATATATTCACCCAAAGAATGAATCAATCAGGATGCCAAATCAGCTGAAGCTGATGAATGAACAGTCCTAGGTGTCATTGAACTGACAGAGGTGTGCAGAGATTATAAAAAGAATCTTCCATGATAAGTAATTTAACTCACAAATGCTCAAAGAGGGTATATAATAATACATTAATTTGACACAGCGCCTTATCACGTCGGATTGAGATGTCTCAAAGAATATTCTTTACAGAATATGCTGTAAAGTGAATTTATATATTTAAATTTATATATTTAAAAAATCTACTTATTGAACTCCAGTTCTGTATGTGGATGATCCAGAATGTATCTAGTTTGCTTTAATCATTAATAAGTACAGTAACACAGCAACAATTCTACTCGAGTGTTTTAAGGAGGTTGAAAGTCTGTACCTCCGACAGCAAAGCTTGTGCTTTCTGCTCAGGGAGCAGCCGCAGTCCTGCGGTGGCTTTTAACACCACAGGTGTAGAACTCCAGTGAGTTGAAGGTATCGTCTGCTTTGCCATATCCAATAGTCCACGTACAGTCTCAGCACCCTACAGCATAAATTACAGACTTCAGCTCAAAAAACACTTTAAGTCCTTGTGATGCCTCAAACTACACAGAAGAGACTGAATTTACCATGTGGGTTTTATTGGGTGCAAACCAATATTCTAATGCACTGTACCACAACACGTTAAGAACATGGAAACAGGAGTAGGCCATTCAGCCCCTCAAGCCTGTTCTGGCATTCTAGAAGATCATAGCTGATCTGTACCTCAACTACAATTACCACCATATCCCTTCATACCTTTACTTAACAAATATCTATCCACCTCAGTCTTAAAAATTTAAATGGATCCAGCAATCCACAGCCTATTTTTTTTAAAAAAAAGAGCAGCAACACTTCTCTTTAAACAGTAAGAATCTCTCTGACAAGTTTCTTTCGCTGCATAATACAATTCACCCAAGAAGAAATGTTGTACTCACCTGCTCAGGTTGATCTACATAAGCAGACAGACCAGGCTTAACAGACTCAAAGATTTCATTGTCCAAATGAGGGGGCTCTGCTGTTTTTAAAAATAATTAAAACTATGTTATTTAATTACTTGAAAACACCACACACTTCACAGCTCATCATTGACAACAATTTTGCAGTCATTGGCTGGACAGACAGCATTTGCAGAAAATGAGTATAGGAGCTACACTTATAAACCTAATAATAATAATAACCCTTGCATTTGATAGAGGGCTTTTCACGTCTTCTAGACGTCTCAAAGCGCTTCACAGAATATAGTGTAAAGTGAGTTGGCTGTATATTTGTGGGCGAAACCCGGCAGCCAATTGCACACAGCAGTGTCCCAAAAACAGTCGTGGATTGAAGTGACCAATTTATTATTGTTTTTTTTTCTTGAGGGATTATTATTATGCGTGCAGAGTAAGGAAACTTTGCCCAAGGTTCCGCCCTGCCGGGAATCGAACCCAGGTCTCTCGTTTTAGAGGCGAGTGATCTAACCACCGAGCTAAATTCCTCAGGGTGCCACTTTGGCAGTGGAAAGACATCATTATGGCAACAGATACCCGGCTCAATCACAACTCCTCATTAGGTGACAAAAATACTACTTGTTCTTTATAAAGCTGATAAGAGCTTTCGAACCGGTTAAAGTATCAAAAGGTATGAAGTGAAGAGAATGGGGGAAAGCAAGAGAAAGCAAAATTAATTTGCAATTGACATGGAGCCAGTCACTGACATTTCCCACAAGTCTTCTTAGTGTCCATTATAAGAATAATTAATGATAATCGCATTTGATATCGCTCCTTATCATATCGTCAAATTGTGTCAAAGTTGCTTCATAGGATTTTACTGTTTAGTGTAGTGCCTTTGCATTTGTAGGCAAATGTGACAGGAGACTTGCACACAGTGATGTTCCACAAACAGTTATGAAATGAATGACTAATTTAATTTAAACATTTACATGACAGATGTGAAAGAAATGGGACCCAGCTCCACAACCTGCACAAAAGGCAAGCGGCATATCTATTCCACATGGTGATTGGTACAGAGACACGCAATTGAGCTGCAGGATACAACAACACAAAAGAAGCAACGAGGCCTGATGCACAAATACAAGCAGATCAGACTCACCAGAAGATTTTTGCATGAAAGTATAAATGTGGATGCGTGTCCCGGTGCTTCCAGCATCGAACATAATCCCATAAAAAATATTGGATATATTTAGTGATGTTGATCTTGAAGGCAAGAGCTCTTCATTTCCAATTCCATACTGTGGGCTGAAAACGTCGACTTCCGACACTGTGCTGCAAACCAGGGAGGCCAGGATCAGGCTCCTTAAAGACTCCATCTTTTTAAGGAAGAGGAAATGATTGCATGCAAGTGCCTCTCATGGAATTTGATGCACCTGAGAAAAAAAGTTTTGGAAATGGTTTTGTTGTGACATCAGGAAAGTACAGCTGGAAAAGAGCATTGCAGTCCATTTGGCTCATTCCAAACACTTAAATAATAGTGTTACAGAATGCAGTAAAAATACAGAAAACAATCATACCCACAAAGGGGTGCAATGAGAAAAGGCCATTCGGCCATCAAGCTCAAAACCTACACTAGCGTAAAGTTAAACCGACTGACTCAAGACAACTTTGGAGACAGATACTCCATGATCTTCAGCAAAACCTCCAGAAGATTCAAACTATCCCCGTTATTCAAAGTAAACCTCCTTCCCTTCAGGACAACACTTTCCCCACTCCAGCTGAAATCATCATGAAATATTTTGTTCATCTCAGATTGCGTCTAGCCCTGTATCTTAGTCAGTCCACCATCAAGATTACTACTATATTAAATAATTATTTCTACTAAATCGAGAGAGAGGTAAGATCACAATTTTATACAGTCCAAAAAGATAAGCATTGCAGATCCAAAATACATGTCCTTGTGAGGCTCAACCAGCCAAAATATAAAACATGCCGAGATAACGTAGTTATTTGTTTGCCTGTGAAGTCAGTTGAAAAGTCTATAAGTTTAAATTCCAACGTAAAATAAAAGTCTAGAAAACGAAGAAAGTACAATAATGGAGGAAAATGTGTGGTTGAAAAGTAAATAAGAAAGGGAGAAAGGTCAGGTCTAGATACATACTGACATAATGAGGGTAGATGGAATGCTGAAATTCACTGACACAGGATTATATCAGTAAACTTGCCTAACTTTGCTATTAGGCCAGAGGTGAAGAATGTTTGAAATCAGGATGGCAATGACTGCGCTAAAATTTGAACTGAAGTAGGGAAGTAACATTAAAATAATCGATTCTGATTCTTAAACCTTCTGGAGCAGATGATATAACCGACTTTGTGAAGAAACGTTTTCTGATCTCACTTCCAATTATCCTAGCTCTAGTCTTAACATGATGATCCCTTGTTTCGGATCCCTCTACCCATGAAATTGCTACTTTGAATCCTAAAATAAAGTGCCAGAATAAACATTAGAAAATGTACAAACCACATCCACGGGATAGAACATATAGATATTTTCTGCAAACAAAATACTGTATTGCGTGCTATGAAAAGGATTATTCGAGTTTGAACATCCGCTCCAATGCACCCAAACAAAAGATTCTGGCTATATCATAATTTTTTGCCGTGTCCAGTGAGGCGTTAAAGTCAAGTTTAAATCTGCCTTTTTCACATTTTCAGCTCATGCAGTGGAATGTAATGAAATAACAACTTGTCCTGTCCTCCCAACGTGAAAGGCACTATGCAAATATGATTTGTTGATGATGATCGCAGAAGGTTTACAGTTCCAGCTGTTTATTCAGTTCACATTCTACAGTGTGGATTACATGCAGAGCCTTGCCGTGCAGAAAACTCGCAAACTAAATCTAAATCGTTATTAAGCAAACTGACTGCTTTTGTGGCTGAGATCAATTTGAACATAAATGAAAGATCCAAACACAAGCTGGATCTCTTCAGATAATACAATTAACAAAATAGGAATTTCTTCCCACACAGTAGTGCTCACAATCTGTCTGCAGGTGACATGTCCTTAGTCTCGCACTTCCATGAGCATAATATTTCCAAGAACTTGAAGGTAGAGACAAGCAGATTAAAATCAAATAAATGAAGCAGAACAAAATTTACGTGGGAGGCAAAAGGAGTTAAGTAACACTTGCAAAATACATCTTAGCCGGTTCCACACAAATGTATAATAATCCTTGCATTTGATACAACAACTTGGATTTATATAGTGCCCTCCACGCCGGACGGCGTCTCAGAGCGCTTTACAGTAATGGATCCCGGGACCGAGCCGGCGGGGGGAAGGAAGGTGACCAAAGGCGCGGTCGAAAAGAAAGGTCTTCAGCAGAGACCTGAAAATAGGAAGGGAGGGAGCGAGACGAAGGGAGTGAGGAAGGGAGTTCCAGAGCCTCGGGGCATAGTGGCTAAAGGCACGACTACCGAGGGTGGAGTGGAGGACTCGGGACGAGGAGGAGGCCAGACCCGGAGGAATGAAGGCAACGGGTACTGTTTTGAGGAGAGAGGAGGTCAGAGAGGTCGGGGGGTGCAGAGGAGCGCAAGGACTTGAATACAAGGATGAGGATCTTGAAATCGATCCTCTCTGGGATAGGCAGCCAGTGCAGTCTGGCCAGGACTGGGGGGATCAGGGAGCGGAGTTTTGTGCGGGTGAGAATGCGGGCGGCAGAGTTTTGAATGATTTGGATTTCATGGATGGTAGTGGATGGGAGACCGGCATGTCTTCTAGATGTCTCAAAGCGCTTCACAGAGAACATGCCAACAACATTGAAAGTAGACACATATCTGAAGGATGTTTTGAGGAATTTGGCTTCACAAAAAAGTAATGCATATTGTAATGAATAACTGTTATTCTGAATCAACAGCATGTTTAAACCCAGATTGGTTTATCATTATTATATATAGTTTATCATTATAGTTTAAAAGTTCAACTTTTATGTCTATCAACTGTAAATTCACTCCAGTGAGTTTTACTTAAAAGGTAGAGTTAGCCGATGAAGTCAGAGATTCAGTTGGACCTCAGTGTGCAGTGCAACTTAATCTTTGCGTAAATCCATCTAATATTGCATTTGGGAAAGCTGGTATTGAGTTACAAGCTGCAGTTCAAATCGTGTGGTTCCAAATACCTACATAATCTACCTATTGAATTACAGTCTTAAATTCGCACCAGCTGTTTGTCATACAGTGGGGAGTTTGACTGTTCCTATTGAGGATTGAGGACATCAGGTCACCACTCCCCTTAGATATTCCACTGTCGCTGCCAGACAATATCAGCCTTTTGCGCTCCACCCGCTTAATATTAGCTTTTCTTCCCCCCGTTGTCGTCCCCCGTCCCCTCATCACACAGTGCTGGAGCTCTTCTCCCTCCCACCGCTCCACAGTCCAGGCTCCCTCCATAGTTTTATTCAATATATCTGCTGAATAAGGGTTAAAGCTGAGTTAAACTTTTCTTGGTTTGGCTCAAGGTCTAGTTGGCAGTCTGCCCACCGGAGAAGAATCTGACTACGCGGACTGAACTCTCAGGTTCAAACTGGTGCTGAACACAGTGAACATAAACCCCTCAATGGTCCCACTGTCTATGCAATATCTCCATCTTATTTAGAGGGCAAAGTTCAAACTGCTGTACAATTCCTTTAAGAACTGAGTGTGTATTCATTGTGAACCACACACGCAATCAACAGCTGCAAATTTTTTTTTGTAAACCACGTACTAATGAATGCTCACAAGCTCAATTTTGTTTAGTCAGATGGGTGTCTGACACATGTAGAAACCCATCACCATGCTTAACAGTATTCAAACTAAAAAAAGCTGAGATTTCCATGCATCCCACCTCCACATGGAAATCCCATAAATTGTTGGAATGGAATATGCACACTCTCCCTGGAGGGACATATCCTGCTTACCTAATTCCGGAAAGTACTAGGTGCAGGTTGACAAGAGCCAAGGCTTGGGGACCCCACAGTGTGCTTTGGGGTACTGCTGGAGTCTTACCAGCTAAAACCGCATAGACTGCCATCTATATTGCTGTCCGGCCCATCAGATGGTACTTTTGAATGGGGCCAATGGACATTATCTAAACAATGCAGACGAGGAATAAAAAAATCCCGCTGTTTGTCCAGCTCGGACCACCCTACCCATAGGGCTTTGGTTTGTAGGGTTAACAGGAGTTGAGTGGGATGACTCCCTGACCCCAGTCTGCCTTCCAGGTCCTGCCGATAAGCCAGGCTGGCTTGCTGTCATCAGCAGTGTCCCAGAATACTGCGGATCCACCTGTCTCCGGAACCAGACTAGCAAAACCACCACAGAGGGCTGGCTCGATTCCGACATTTCATTGTCAGACATGGATCAATACAGTATTAACCACAGGAATAATAAGGGAAACTGGAATAGACCATCTAAGCAATCTTTCCGTACAATTTCCCACAATTTGTCTACAACATACACAGTCATTACATATCTTGTGAAGCACTTGAGACGTCCTCCCAACATGAAAGGCACGGTAACAAATAAGGATTATAATTACTTCCACGGGTCAATTTACCTTCCCACATCAAGTACAAAATTATGTTTTAAAAAGGCCAATATGAATTTCTGTACTGTTTATGCAAGCAACATTCATTTATGAAACAAGATTTTTTTTTGGAAGGCTAACTTAAACCAACTAATGCTCCAGAAAAACATTGATCCCAGTTTGCTGTACTATACTGATTAATTTGTGGCATAGACGAAGAGTATTCCAGAGTTTCAGTGGCATTGACCCTATTATTTTTGACATTGACATTGACCTGACATTGCCCCTTCTGTTTTTAATATATTCAAAAGTACAGAACAGTAACTTGTACAATTACAGTAACACTGCAGTGTGTTCACTTTCACTTGATTGTTTTTTACATCGATAGTTAAATTAACTTTTGTTCCCAATAATCTTTCCCTTTTCAATAATCTTTCTTGTTCAATAAACAAATAGTTGGAAATGAAATAACTGCATGATTAAGTGGCAAACTATTCACACTGATAGTTAAACATCAGAATGAGTCAGAATGAAAGACATAATGATGATAATCCTTGCATTTGATACAGCGTCTTATCACATCTTTGAAACATCTCAAAACGCTTCACAGAATATACTGTAAAGTGAATTGACTGCATTTCGTGGACGAAACACAGCAATCAATTGTGCAACTTGTCATCACCTACCACCAATAAGCTAATGAATAATATCACTTTTTCAATGCCAACTGAAGTTGCAATCCAGTTGCAATTTGTTTTGAATGCTCGCATAGCAAGAAGTCTTATCTAATGCAACCATAAACCATTCCCGCAGCCGGTACAGAGCACTGTGAGAGATGAGTTAAGATAAAAGCAAGTTCCCACTGTCCCATAA